TTCTCAGCCTGTCTACATGGATACTACATTCTCAGCCTGTCTACATGGACACTACATTCTCAGCCTGTCTACATGGATACTACATTCTCAACCTGTCTTCATGGACACTACATTCTCAGCCTGGCCACATGGACACTACATTCTCTGCCTGTCTACATCAACACTACATTCTTAGCCTGTCTACATGGATACTACATTCTCAGCCTGTCTACATGGACACTACATTCTCAGCCTGTCTGCAGGAATACTACATTCTCAGCCTGTCTACATGGACACTACAATCATGTCTACATAGACACTACTTTCTCAGCCTGTCTACATGGATACTACATTCTCAGCCTGTTTATACAGACACTACATTCTTAGCCTGTCTACTGGATACTACATTCTCAGCCTGTCTATATGGATACTACATTCTCAGCCTGTCTACATGGACACTACATTCTCAGCCTGTCTACATAGACACTACATTCTCAGCCTGTCTACATGGACACTCCATTCATGTATACATAGACACTACATTCTCAGCCTGTCTACATGGATACTACATTCTCAGCCTGTTTATACAGACACTACATTCTTAGCCTGTCTACATGGATACTACATTCTCAGCCAGTCTACATGGACACTACATTCTCAGCCTGTCTACATGGACACTACATTCTCAACCTGTCTACATGGACACTACATTCTCAGCCTGTCTACATGGACACTACATTCTCAGCCTGTCTACATGGATACTACATTCTCAGCCTGTCTACATGGACACTACATTCTCAGCCTGTCTACGTGGACACTACATTCTCAACCTGTCTACATGGACACTACATTCTCAGCCTGTCTACATGGATACTACATTCTCAGCCTGTCTACATGGACACTACATTCTCAGCCTGTCTACATGGACACTACATTCTCAGCCTGTCTACATGGACACTACATTCTCAACCTGTCTACATGGACACTACATTCTCAGCCTGTCTACATGGATACTACATTCTCAGCCTGTCTACATGGACACTACATTCTCAGCCTGTCTACATGGATACTACATTCTCAGCCTGTCTACATGGATACTACATTCTCAGCCTGTCTACATGGACACTACATTCTCAGCCTGTCTACATGGACACTACATTCTCAACCTGTCTACATGGACACTACATTCTCAGCCTGTCTACATGGATACTACATTCTCAGCCTGTCTACATGGACACTACATTCTCAGCCTGTCTACATGGATACTACATTCTCAACCTGTCTTCATGGACACTACATTCTCAGCCTGGCCACATGGACACTACATTCTCAGCCTGTCTACATGGATACTACATTCTCAGCCTGTCTACATGGACACTACATTCTCAGCCTGTCTGCAGGAATACTACATTCTCAGCCTGTCTACATGGACACTACAATCATGTCTACATAGACACTACTTTCTCAGCCGGTCTACATGGATACTACATTCTCAGCCTGTTTATACAGACACTACATTCTTAGCCTGTCTACTGGATACTACATTCTCAGCCTGTCTATATGGATACTACATTCTCAGCCTGTCTACATGGACACTACATTCTCAGCCTGTCTACATAGACACTACATTCTCAGCCTGTCTACATGGACACTCCATTCATGTATACATAGACACTACATTCTCAGCCTGTCTACATGGATACTACATTCTCAGCCTGTTTATACAGACACTACATTCTTAGCCTGTCTACATTGATACTACATTCTCAGCCTGTCTACATGGATACTACATTCTGATCCTGTCTACATAGACACTACATTCTCAGCCTGTCTGCAGGAATACTACATTCTCAGCCCGTCTACATGGACACTACATTCATGTCTACATAGACACTACATTCTCAGCCAGTCTACATAGCCACTACATTCTCAGCCAGTCTCCATTTACACTACATTCTCAGCCTGTCTACATGGACACTACAACGTCTAATTGCCACTAATTGGACACTAAAGCGAGGCCTTTGTAATAGTGTGGTGAAAACTTGAAAACAATCCTACCATAACGACTTAAACAGATATTTTAGTATTTTACATAATGCCTGTTTGGTGGTTCCGAACTACCTGAAAAGCGTTTGCTATCAGGAAGTACACGTGGACTTGTCTTATCATTGGCGAATCAGGACCTGGTCTTTGACGAATTGTACACGTTAATGTAAAATGAATCTGATTGATTAGCAGAATTGGATCCCGGATCTCTGTCGGTCTTTTCTAGGCGAATAGGTTTATGTTCAAATTCGAGAAAAGCCATACCAATGGGTTTGGGCGAAATGGACACCCCACTCCGGTGTATTTGCTTTTCGTCTAAAGAGGCGGGGTCACGTATCCCCGAAGCATGTGACGTCATCCATTGTATCTAGGCAGCCATTTAACTAACGAGTTTGTGTGAGTGAGTGAGTTAGGTTCAACTCCGTTTTGAGCAGTATTCCAATTATATCACGGCGTGTATCAAAAAGGACATTACAGTGTTTATTCGAATAAATTGTCTGTTTCAAGTGGTAAAATGTTTGACAGATAGCCTGTCTGTAAAATTAGCAATAGTTTATCTGAAACGATTTGTCTAGTCTATCTGTAAAGATATGCGGACGCAGAAAAGGCATCATGTGACAGAGTCGGTTATTTGAGCATAAATGACTGCAAACCATATTTCTGTAAAAATATATTCATCAGACTATACCATAACAATTTCAGTTTCAGGTAATGATAAATCGACACGACAGAAACTCTGTTAGTGTAACAAAACAATCAACTGTAATACTGGAGATTCAATTAGCAAACAATATCAACGACTCAACCATTTATACAGGACGTAGCGTTTACTTGTAATATGTGATACATCTTTCGTGACATATTATATAGTACAGTGTAAGAAAATAGCAGTTTGCAACGATACAACAACAACGATACGACTTTACCAAAGACCAATTGAATGTAACCTGCCAGAATCTAACGCATTATGCTACACTGGACACCAAGCACACATACTTGTCGTAAAAGGCGGCTATGCTTGTCGTAAAAGGCGGCTATGCTTGTCGTAAAAGGCGGCTATGCTTGTCGTAAAAGGCGGCTATGCTTGTCGTAAAAGGCGAATATGCTTGTCGTAAAAGGCGGCTATGCTTGTCGTAAAAGGCGGCTATGCTTGTCGTAAAAGGCGGCTATGCTTGTCGTAAAAGGCGGCTATGCTTGTCGTAAAAGGCGGCTATGCTTGTCGTAAAAGGCGGCTATGCTTGTCGTAAAAGGCGACTATGCTTGTCGTAAAAGGCGGCTATGCTTGTCGTAAAAGGCGGCTATGCTTGTCGCAAAAGGCGGCTATGCTTGTCGTAAAAGGCGGCTATTTTTGTCGTAAAAGGCGGCTATTCTTGTCGTAAAAGGCGGCTATGCTTGTCGTAAAAGGCGGCTATGCTTGTCGTAAAAGGCGACTATGCTTGTCGTAAAAGGCGGCTATGCTTGTCGCAAAAGGCGGTTATGCTTGTCGTAAAAGGCGGCTATTTTTGTCGTAAAAGGCGGCTATTCTTGTCGTAAAAGGCGGCTATGCTTGTCGTAAAAGGCGGCTATGCTTGTCGTAAAAGGCGGCTATGCTTGTCGTAAAAGGCGACTATGCTTGTCGTAAAAGGCGGCTATGCTTGTCGTAAGAGGCGACTAACGGGATCATGTGGTCAGGCTCGCCGTCTTGGTTGATGCATGTCATCATATCCCAATTGGGTGCATCGATGCTCATGATGTCAATCACTTGATTGTCTGGTCCAGACTCGATTATTGTCAGACCGCCGTCGTATAGCTGGAATATGTCTGAGCGCGGCGTTAAACAACAAACAAACCTAATCGGTAAAGTGTCTCTGCCAAGAAGGCGTTGTTTGTCCACACCAAGTCGCCATTCTGCTCATCCAATACATAGTTTAATCGTTTATACACAACTGCCAATGAATCCCCACGCAGGATTACTAAGCGCTGAGTGTATTACTTCCATACACTGACAGGTGCAACCCCGCTTTGCTTATAGTTTGAAGGATGGTTCATACACCCCATAATGGGGAGGTTGATGCGCTTTACTGAATACTAATAATGTGCATATTAATAATGCGCCAAACGCATGCTCAAAGCACTAATTATTACCCGTGTCGAAGTATCAGTGTGGACTCGAATTTCATTCTCAGCACCCTGGGGAGGGTACTGCCCAAGCAAGAAGGTCAACTTTACCATATCCTTCTGCCGGGTCACAGGGGTATTTTTGGAACAAAGTCTCTTTCCTGAGGACCTCAACAACTTCGTACAAACACAAACACCTTTTAATGTACATGCGTGTTTCAAAGCCTTTCGGGTAGCCTAGTGGTTAAAGCGTTCGCTCGTCACGCCGAAGAACCGGGTTCGATTCCCGACATGGGTACAATGTGTGAAGCCCTTTTATTGTGCCCCCGCCGTGATATTGCTGGAATATTGCTAAAAGCGGCGTAAAACCATACTCACTCAGAGCATTTTCACTTTCTTAGTTATTTAGTTTTTAAAGCTGTCCAGCAATGTATATTCAGTAACTATCGATTTGAGCTTAGCTGTGTGACAGAAACCTATTAACATGGGTTCGAATCCCGGTTCGCCCTGGTAATGTTCGTGATTTTCACCAAGTGGTAAATGTCTAAAACCACATCAGTCTACACGATGCGATATAACTGAAATACTGTTCAAAGCAGCGTTAAACCAAACTTACTCCCTCTTAACTTTCCAGCGTATTTCTCCTTGTATATTGATGACTGGATCATCATGTATTTGAAATATGCTTGTAGGATAGCGTTTCAACGTGGATAAGAACGTTTGCACCACTGAAATTCTGCCTGAATTTTATCACAATGAAAGTTCACAGGGTGTGTTCTGGTGACATAGACGGCATGATAAGACCACGTCCTTCACAACATCGCTAGCTCAGCGAGTCATCACGCCCCAGGATGTACGGCTAAGCATGGCATAAACGTGCAAAATGACTGGGGCTGCCTGATGTTATTTGAGAAACAATTCTTTCACAACAGATGGCGTCAACAGTCCATGCATATATAAGTATCAGAATCTACGAAACTTGTCATCTCAACTTCAACACTCTAAGGTAAGTGACGTTATGGGGAAGAACGGCTTTGAAATACTGGCTCACCCCTGAGGTAGCCAAATAGCCTAAGAAGACACAATTCGCTGTGCAGAGTTGCTTCCCTTGCACGTGACAGAACCCTATGATTGTTGGTTGGTTGGTTTGTTGTTTTACGCCGCACTCAGCACTTTTCCAGCTCTATGACGGCGGTCTGTAAATAATCGAGCCTGGACCAGACAATCCAGTGATTAATATTATGAGCATCCATCAACGCAATTGGGATCAATGACAAGCATCAACCAAGTCAGCGAGCCTGACCACCCGATCCAGTTAGTCGCCTTTTACGACAAGCACAGTCACCTTTTACAGCAAGCATGGGTTGCTGAAGACCTATTCTACCCCGGAATCTTCACGGGTAACTATGCTCGTGTATCGGCTTGAATATCAGATTCGCCCAGATGGCTCGTGGGTTTCACCACAGTGATGAACGTCAATGGCCTGTAACACTTCAGGCTCTCCTCCTACATTAAACTGACATGCCGTGATGTAACTTGAATACTGTTGAAAGCGACGTAAAACCCAACTCACTCACTCACACACTATGACTGCCGTACGTGCATGTTAACAATGGAGTTGACAGTCTTCTGGTATTATACTTACTGTACGTAACCCACAAAATTTGAATATCATGAGATCTCAATCGCGCACATGTCAATTTGTTAATATTATTTGACGTACAAAATGGCCGTTTTTGAAAGTGTATCACGGCTTTCTGATTGGTCAATCAGTGGTTTGCTTGACAGGCGGCGAGACCTTAATTTTTAAGCCTATATGTACTCCAATTTGTAGTTTTACTAGAGATTGCGCCAGACAAAACGTGCAATGAAACCGAAAATGTTGTAATTTTTCAGGTTCAACATGCTTTTCATGCTAGCTCTGTTGACGATAACAACCTCAGCGGTCAACACACTGCCCGTGTCTCAGGGAGATTCAGGCGGACCTGGCGCTGTCGGGGTTCTGGTTGGAAAGAGAGAAATGTCGGCTGCTAAACGGGACTTCTGGAGCGATCTCAAACACGACGTTGAAAACATAGCTCACGAGGTCGGACACGCAGTGGAGGGGGCGGCAGTGACGGCTTTGACAAGCGCTGCAGTCGGGACACTGGTTGGAAAGAGAGAAATGTCGGCTGCTAAACGGGACTTCTGGAGCGATCTCAAACACGACGTTGAAAACATAGCTCACGAGGTCGGACACGCAGTGGAGGGGGCGGCAGTGACGGCTTTGACAAGCGCTGCAGTCGGGACACTGGTTGGAAAGAGAGAAATGTCGGCTGCTAAACGGGACTTCTGGAGCGATCTCAAACACGACGTTGAAAACATAGCTCACGAGGTCGGACACGCAGTGGAGGGGGCGGCAGTGACGGCTTTGACAAGCGCTGCAGTCGGGACACTGGTTGGAAAGAGAGAAATTTCGGCTGCTAAACGGGACTTCTGGAGTCATCTCAAACACGACGTTGAAAACATAGCTCACGAGGTCGGACACGCAGTGGAGGGGGCGGCAGTGACGGCTTTGACGAACGCTGCAGTCGGGGCTCTAGCTGGAAAGAGAGAAACCGATTCAAGTTAAGAGAGTAAGTTATTGTACTGAAACATCATTATGATGCTGTTAGATTTCGTCATAATTTTTTAGCTCAACTTATCACAAAAACTGTGTGTCAACATTCATATTGTTATATTTGCTTATGAGTGAGGAGTGAGTGAGTGTGGTTTTACGCCGCTTTTAGCAATATTCCAGCAATATCACGGCGGGGGACACCAGAAATTGGTTTCACACATTGTACCCATGTCGGGAATCGAACCCGGGTCTTCGGCGTGACGAGCGAACGCTTTAACCACTAGGCTACCCGACCGCCCTATGAGTGAGGAAGACTGAATTGGTGAGTGAGTTGGACTACAATGTCAAGACGTGTCGGTTCATTACAGAAGAAGGCAAAGGTAGCGCACACGGTTCCCCACATGGGTACACGATTCCCAACATGGGTACAATGTGAGAAGCCCATTTTTGGTGTCCTCCGCCGTAATATTGCTGGAATATTGCTAAAAGCGGCGTAAAACCATACTTACTCACTGTATCAGTGTTTTTGTTTAATTTCCAGGACTCCAGAGCCGGTAACGAACAGTAGATGTTGTTGAAGCCACCTACCACAGTACCCTATCGATCTTTTCTAATAAACATGTTTACACAACATTTGAGCCAGTATGTAGTATGGTAAAGTGCCGTTATAGTGAGTGAGTTTGGTTCTACGCCACTTTTAGCAATATTCCAGCAATATCACGGCGGGGGACACCAGAAATGGGCTTCACACATTGTGCCCATTTGGGGAAACGAACCCGGGCCTTCGCCGTGACGAGCAAACGCTTTAACCACTAGGCTACGCAACCGCCCCAAGGTTGCCGTTATAATAACGAGTGAGTGAGTGAGTTGGGTGTAACGCTGTACGGGCAGTATTTCGGGTATATCCCAGCACGTCTTTAGTTAATGTTGGAAGGAACCCTTAAGTAGCACCGGTCGTAGACATTTACCACAAAGAATACGGTCTGAAACTGACCAAGGATCACAATATGGATGAACGTTGGTTTGAACCCCCGGCCATCACATCCTGCCATGTTAATGAACGCAGCAATACAAGCAAGACAACTTGGGCGCCGTGGCACCGATTAGAATCAGCCAAGTGCCACATTGTAGTAACTGGCTGATGGGTACTAGCGTCTACGTCCTGGAAACCAACATAGACACTGGGGGCTCCGTCCTGGAAACCAACATAGGTACTGGGGTCTACGTCCTGGAAACCAACATAGACACTGGGGGCTACGTCCTAGAAACCAACATAGACACTGGGGGCTCCGTCCTAGAAACCAACATAGGCACTGGGGGCTCCGTCCTAGAAACCAACATAGACACTGGGGTCTACGTCCTAGAAACCAACATAGACACTGGGGTCTACGTCATAGAAACCAACATAGACACTGGGGTCTACGTCCTGGAAACCAACATAGACACTGGGGGCTCCGTCCTAGAAACCAACAAAGACACTGGGGGCTCCGTCCTAGAAACCAACATAGGCACTGGGGGCTCCGTCCTAGAAACCAACATAGACACTGGGGTCTACGTCCTAGAAACCAACATAGACACTGGGGTCTACGTCATAGAAACCAACATAGACACTGGGGTCTACGTCCTGGAAACCAACATAGACACTGGGGGCTCCGTCCTAGAAACCAACATAGACACTGGGGTCTACGTCCTGGAAACCAACATAGACACTGGGGGCTCCGTCCTAGAAACCAACATAGGCACTGGGGGCTACGTCATGGAAACCAACATAGACACTGGGGGCTCCGTCCTGGAAACCAACATAGACACTGGGGGCTCCGTCCTAGAAACCAACATAGACACTGGGGGCTCCGTCCTAGAAACCAACATAGACACTGGGGGCTCCGTCCTAGAAACCAACATAGACACTGGGGGCTCCGTCCTAGAAACCAACATAGACACTGGGGGCTCCGTCCTAGAAACCAACATAGACACTGGGGGCTCCGTCATAGAAACCAACATAGACACTGGGGGCTCCGTCCTAGAAACCAACATAGACACTGGGGGCTCCGTCCTGGAAACCAACATAGACACTGGGGGCTCCGTCCTAGAAACCAACATAGGCACTGGGGGCTCCGTCATGGAAACCAACATAGACACTGGGGGCTCCGTCCTGGAAACCAACATAGACACTGGGGGCTCCGTCCTAGAAACCAACATAGACACTGGGGGCTCCGTCCTAGAAACCAACATAGGCACTGGGGGCTCCGTCCTAGAAACCAACATAGGCACTGGCGGCTCCGTCCTGGAAACCAACATAGGCACTGGGGGCTCCGTCCTGGAAACCAACATAGACACTGGGGGCTCTGTCCTAGAAACCAACATAGGCACTGGGGGCTCCGTCCTGGAAACCAACATAGACACTGGGGGCTCTGTCCTGGAAACCAACATACACACTGGCGGCTCTGTCCTGGAAACCAGCATAGACACTGGGGGCTCTGTTCTGGAAACCAGCATAGACACTGGGGGCTCTGTCCTGGAAACCAGCGTAGACACTAGTAGCTCTGTCCTGGAAACCAGCAGAGGTACTGGGGGCTATATCAGGAGGAAACATGACCTGAGTTGTGATTTGTGTCGTTGATATAGTGACACTGACACTCGCAAGTGAAATTGACTAAAATTAAATAAACATTGGTTATCGGTTTCATTCTTGAGATCACTTATTTTTCGTCCAGAAGAAAATGCCTACTGTGGACTTGAGGAATCTGATTTTCATTTTCCACAGTAACATGTGAACTGCCTACTGTTGCTTCAATGCAGTGCTCGTGATCATATTGGAAATGTCTCGTCGACAACGTGTTGAACGCTTCAGGGCTATGGGCGTGCTTCAATGCAGTGCTCGTGATCATATTGGAAATGTCTCGTCTACAACGTGTTGAACGCTTCAGGGCTATTGGCGCGCTTCAATGCAGTGCTCGTGATCATATTGGAAATGTCTCGTCTACAACGTAATGAACGCTTCAGGGCTATTGCGTGCTTCAATGCAGTGCTCGTGATCATATTGGAAATGTCTCGTCTACAACGTGATGAACGCTTCAGGGCTATTGCGTGCTTCAATGCAGTGCTCGTGATCATATTGGAAATGTCTCGTCTACAACGTGATGAACGCTTCAGGGCTATTGCGTGCTTCAAATCACTAGAACACATATGTCAATGTGTCTCAGTCTTGGATTCGCAGACTTTGTAACAAGTTACACAAAATGTTAGTGATTGGCCACCCTCTATGATAGCCGAACTGGGACAGGTGCTGCAGGAAGTGGACAAGACTCCTGGGTCTATTCCTATATGTAGATTGTCCTGAACATTTTGGGCATACATTTTGTGTACACAAAGGCTCAAAGATACGTACATACAAAAGTGGTATTGTTTGTTAGCTCTATCGTCAAAATGACAGTGCTTTAGTTTGTTTTGAGCACATTTTATGGCTGAAGAATATCTTTTGAAACCACTCTTGTACAAATATAGAATTGCAGTTTCTAGACTCAGATGCTCATCACATGAATTAAATATTGAAACGAGAAGATATTCCAAAATCCCAAGGAAATTAGATTATGTAAAATGTGTAGTCTATAGCTAATAGAGGATGAGTACCATATAGTTCTCATTTGTCTTTTTATCAGAATTTACGAATTGTATACATCAATGTACACCCATCAATGTATCAATTTCAAAATATATCTAAGTTTCATGTCTTCTATAAATATTAATCTACAGAAGCCTTTGACAGCGTATATATTCCATGCAAGGAATTTTAGAAATGATAAGATGAATTACTTAAATAAGTAGAAATCAATATGTCCTCCCACTATTCACAAAGATATGTACTGTCATAGCGACTGATTTACGACTACCATTGTCTGAAGTACAGTTGACTCCGAAGGCAAATTACCCTGTAGCCATGTCTCCATAACTTAATTGTCATTACGTTTTAGGCGCTAATCCCCGTTGTTAATCCTCACCAACATTTCATTGTATATTGACTGGCAGCCAACCTGGGCTACTTTATCACTTTCCGTTAATTACTGTTATTTATAGTATGACATTTATTGCCTTAATTGTTCATCCCCTGAGTTGTGTCGGTACGTCACCCCCAGAAGTCCGTAGTCCAGAGCAACGTCATTTTCCATTTCCATTGTTGTTCATTACTATATATGTGCTACTAATACACAGTTACTACGGTGTTAGTCAGGCTTGGTATTCCGAGTGCTGGCATAGGGACGACCTCGAGCAGGATGTGCCGCTCGTAGGAAACGTCCTGAGGAGAGCTGGAGCTCCGCTCACCTCTTGTACGCCTGAGCTGGAAGGTCCGCTCATCGCTGTGTTTGTGTTGTCAGAGCAGGTATTCCGCTCATTGTGCAATTGTTGTTTACTGTTTACATGTTGTGCATAAAGCGTCCCGGGACAGTGATGTCGATTTTGTCCTTTATTCCCCGAAGAGCTAATTCCCCGTCGACATGCCCGTTGACAACTATAGGCCTATGGCCTTCAGTATTTCTGTAATAAAGATTGATTGTGGATGACAAGGGTGCCATCTACCTTCCTGTACTAGTAAACGGGTTGGATTGTGGATGACAAGGGTGCCATCTACCTTTCTGTACTAGTAAACGGGTTGGATTGTGGATGACAAGGGTGCCATCTACCTTCCTGTACTAGTAAACGGGTTGGATTGTGGATGACAAGGGTGCCATCTACCTGCCTGTACTAGTAAACGGGTTGGATTGTGGATGACAAGGGTGCCATCTACCTTCCTGTACTAGTAAACGGGTTGGATTGTGGATGACAAGGGTGCCATCTACCTTCCTGTACTAGTAAACGGGTTGGCTTGTGGATGTGGAGGGGCTTCATTTTCAAAATGTACAATGTAGATTTCTTTAAGAGTGAGTGAGTGAGTATGGTTTTACGTCGCTTTTAGCAATATTCCAGCAATATCACGGCGGGGGACACCAGAAATGGGCTTCACACATTTTACCCATGTCGGGAATCGAACCCGGGTCTTCGGCGTGACGAGCGAACGCTTTAACCACTAGGCTACCCGACCGCCCTTCTTTAAGAGAGAGGGGATCCATGGGGAGCCCGGGACCTGCTCGCAGGTGTCGTTTACCCATGAAAAGTAGGTTCGGGTCATGCTGGATTTGGTTTGGCGGATGAGGTATTCTTTGGAGAGGTTGGTTGTAAGCATCATCCCGAGGCAAGGGCGTTAACTGACTATAAAAGTCCAGTTTCCTCCCTTGCCGAACTAGGAATTATGGATATTTATATTTAGCTGGATTAACGAGTCTATGCTTGAGGCGGCGCGGTTTGTATTCCCGATGCATATTGGCCTACTCGACAGTGTGGAGTTTAGTGATTTCTTTTGGTAAGTGAAGCATTCTCTGTTGTAACTTCGAATGAATGCTTCAGTTTTGGTGACCCGAAATATAATGATCTGTCTGGCTACAGCGCATGCATCACTGATCGCCCGATTCGTAGGATAATACGTTTTAGACATTGGGGAATACGCCTAAAGTAGTCATGTATGTATCCGCTTGATTGACAACGTAATCACGTGACATACTGAAGTTCATCGAGAAATGGACGACAGTTAGCTTGTTAGTGTTCACCTAGGCGAGGTCACCCGCTTCTGTCAATATTTCGTCATGAAAAGTCTTTAAATGGCTTTCCAGTGGTGGTAACAGAGGTGGCCGGCCTCTACTCCAGCCACAGGCCATTCAGACAGACTTTGAAGTGGCAACTATCAGAATCGTAGATGTATTCCAAAATTCGAAGATGCAGAGTTATGGTGAACCTCCAAAAGGACATCCCTGAAGTCAACCAATGGACCACAGGTTACAGAATTGCTTGATAGGCATCACTAAGAAGTTGGTGGATGACACAGGTTACAGAGGCTGAAGGGCCACTTCAAGATGTGGTGAACCTCCACAAGAATAACCTTCAAGTCAAGAAATGGACCACTGTTTACAGTGGCTGAAAGGCCACTCAGAGAGGGGCGTGAAATCCCATTCATAGATTCTGTAGGACATTTAGTTAAACTTGGCTGAACTGTTGAACAGTACAGACCACTAAGTGTTATTTTTCAGAAATATATTGACATTGTAGCAGCCCGGGCCAGAACTTCTGATAAACCTTGACGTCTGGATGTCACTAAATGTCAAACACTTCTTTTCAATGTATAAATAGTTTTTTATTCATGTGGGTATGACAAAGGATAACACAATGCTTCCAAATGAGTAGATCCTTCTGAGTTTTAAGGTTTATTTGTAAGGACCAGTGACAGGGCAAAATGATTATTGCCTGTAACTATAATGGTAGTTTACTTCAGGTATCGGTCAGGTATCTGTCCACTGTAGACTTCAGGTATTGGTCAGGTATCTGTCTACTGTAGACTTCAGGTATTGGTCAGGTATCTGTCTACTGTGGATTTCAGGTATTCGTCAGGTACCTATCTACTGTAGACTTGAGGTATCAGTCAGGTATCTGTCTACTGTAGACTTGAGGTATTGGTCAGGTATCTGTCTACTGTAGACTTGAGGTATTGGTCAGGTATCTGTCTACTGTAGACTTGAGGTATTGGTCAGGTATCTGTCTACTGTAGACTTGAGGTATCAGTCAGGTATCTGTCTACTGTAGACTTCAGGTATTGGTCAGGTATCTGTCTACTGTAGACTTCAGGTATCTGTCAGGTACCTGTCCACTGTAGACTTGAGGTATTGGTCAGGTATCTGTCTACTGTAGACTTCAGGTATCGGATAAGTATCTGTCTACTGTAGACTTCAAGTATTGGTCAGGTACCTGTCTACTGTAGACTTCAAGTATTGGTCAGGTACCTGTCTACTTTAGACTTCAGGTATCGGTTGGGTACCTGTCTACTACAGACTTGAGGTATTGGTCAGGTATCTGACTAATGTAGACTTCAGGTATCGGTCAGGTATCTGTCTACTGTAGACTTCAGGTATTGGTCAGGTACCTGTCTACTGTAGACTTCAAGTATTGGTCAGGTATCTGTCCACTGTAGACTTAAGGTATCAGTTGGGTACCTGTCTACTACAGACTTGAGGTATTGGTCAGGTATCTGTCTACTGTAGACTTCAGGTATCGGTCAGGTATCTGTCTACTGTAGACTTCAAGTATCGGTCAGGTATCTGTCTACTGTAGACTTGCGGTATCGGTCAGGTACCTGTCTACTGTAGACTTGAGGTATTGGTCAGGTATCTGTCTACTGTAGACTTCAGGTATCGGTTAAGTATCTGTCTACTGTAGACTTCAGGTATCGGTCAGGTATCTGTCTACTGTAGACTTCAGGTATTCGTCAGGTACCTATCTACTGTAGACTTGAGGTATCAGTCAGGTACCTGTCTACTGTAGACTTCACGTATCGGTTGGGCACCTGTCTACTACAGACTTGTGGTATTGGTCAGGTACCTGTCTACTACAGACTTGTGGTATTGGTCAAGTTAACTGTTTACTGTAGACTCGAGGTATTGGTCAGGTATCTGTCTACTGTAGACTTGAAGCATTGGTTTAAGTGTCTGTCTGCTGTAGACTTGAGGTATTGGTCAGGTATCTGTCTACTGTAGACTTGAAGCATTGGTCAAGTGTCTGTCTGCTGTAGACTCGAGGTATTGGTCAGGTATCTGTCTACTGTAGACTTGAAGCATTGGTCAAGTGTCTGTCTGCTGTAGACTTGAGGTATTGGTTGTGCACCTTTCTACAAGACACTTGAGGTATTGGGTTGCTGCAGACTGACCTCCATTGTGTAACATCAAACTCTCACACAACATTTTTCATGAATGTTTATTGAACTGTTTATAAACATCGATTTTTGTAAAAGTATTAATAATAAGATATCTGGAGAAGAATATGAAGAGGATCCGGAACCACACGAACTGACTCCAGTGGGTGTACATCGCTCTCTGAAACATCGGCATAGTAGGTATTCAGTCATTTCATAATCATCATGACGAATGGCGTTGACGGCATCATCATATAGTAACTAGGGAACAACCAGATAACATGTTTATTGTAATCTGTCTTTAGTGGCAGCTGATAATGGAGAGAGACAATAGTTAATGTTGACATAAAAAAGGGAATGATTAAATACAATGCCGTTATTTTAATTGTGATGCAAACTACATGGAGAGGTGTATTTATGCAAGTTGACATTAGTCGCATGACAACTAGTATGTGTTTTAGCAGAGACCATATAGTGGTATATAGTCTCTGGTTCTAGCTGGGTTGACAGTACTTGTATGACAATTAAATTGTTCCAACATGAATTGACGGTACTTGCATGACAACTAGTTATTGTCCAGAAATAACAGTATTTGCATGACAACTAGTTATTGTCCTGAGATAACAGTACTTACAGTACAACTGGTGTGTGTCCAACCTGAGTTGATAGTACTAGCTACTGTCCTACCTGAGCTGTAAGGACCTGAGATGGAGACGACACATACACTACGTCAGCTGTTTACAGGCCGAATGGCAGATCTAACAGTGAGGTATACTTGCAAATCATGTGCTAGTACTTGCATGACAACTAGCTACTATCCTACCTGAGCTGTAAGGACCTGAGATGGAGACGACACATTCACTACGTCAGCTGTGTACAGGCCGAATGGCAGATCTAACAGTGAGGTATACTTGCAAATCATGTGCTAGTACTTGCATGACAACTAGCTACTGTCCTACCTGAGCTGTAAGGACCTGAGATGGAGACGACACATACACTACGTCAGCTGTTTACAGGCCGAATGGCAGATCTAACAGTGAGGTATACTTGCAAATCATGTGCTAGTACTTGCATGACAACTAGCTACTATCCTACCTGAGCTGTAAGGACCTGAGATGGAGACGACACATTCACTACGTCAGCTGTGTACAGGCCGAATGGCAGATCTAACAGTGAGGTATACTTGCAAATCATGTGCTAGTACTTGCATGACAACTAGCTACTGTCCTACCTGAGCTGTAAGGACCTGAGATGGAGACGACACATACACTACGTCAGCTGTTTACAGGCCGAATGGCAGATCTAACAGTGAGGTATACTTGCAAATCATGTGCTAGTACTTGCATGACAACTAGCTACTGTCCTACCTGAGCTGTAAGGACCTGAGATGGAGACGACACATACACTACGTCAGCTGTGTACACGCTGTAGGGCAGATCTAACAGTGAGGTGTATTTACGAAGCAGGTTGACACTCTGTAAGCTGTAGCACTCAATGTCTGTAACAGAAATACACCCTAATAATGCTACAACAACCCCAGAATAATACATTGTCAGACTGTCATGCAGAGAAGCATTGTATCAGAACAATAGCACTGATCAAAAGAGAGTGAGTGAGTATGGTTTTACGCCGCTTTTAGCAATATTCCAGCAATATCACGGCGGGGGACACCAGAAATGGGCTTCGCACATTGTACCCATGTCGGGAATCGAACCCGGGTCTTCGGCGTGACGAGCGAACGCTTTAACCACTAGGCTACCCGACCGCCCCTGATCAAAAGAGACTGAGTTGATCAAGAAAGTAGAAGAAATAAAAAATATATCATCTATCACTGTTGTCAACAGGAGAATACATAACATACCTTGTAGCTCTTTTCTGTCAATCTTTAGATGTCTGTGAAGAAAGAAAGGAAGTTTTACATATGATCTCTCCATCATGATGCTGTTGTACCAATAAATGTGAGATACAAGTTTGTTTGTTTGTTTATAGTTTAACGCCACACTCAGCAATAGTCCAGCTATATGACAGCAGTCTGTAAATATTCAAGTCTGGACCAGACAATCCAGTAACTGACATCATGAGCATCAATCCATGCAACTGGGATACGATGACAAGCATCAACCAAGCCTGACCAGCCAACCCTGTTAGTCGCCTCTTACGACAAGCCCCTTATGGCAAGCAATTGCTTGCTGAAGACCTATTCTACACCGGATCTTCACTCATCTTGAGATACAAGAACATTATCATCCTCATGTTCTTCAATACATGCATGAAGGGAGCAAGGTACACAATAGCCTTGCACTAAGGGAGAGAACAGCTTGCTCACTAAACCGATTCACATACTGTATAATCAATCAAAGAGGAAACCTGTTTTAAAGCCAATTCAGATATATTTCACCATTTTCAATTTGGAAATGTCTACACCTTCAGAAATGTTGAATTGATACAAAACAAATGTCTTAAAATATTTTCATGCTTTTGTCCAAAGGCTACATTTTCATCCCCAGGCAATCTTGTGACCTCTAAATACTACTGATGTCGGTACTTTTCTAATTAATGTCAGCCTCATTTCAGGGTTGAATTATGATGATGGAATCAGTTCCTTGGGGTCAGAGTCAAAGTTAACCTTAAACCAATACTAGCTATATGACGAATGTGAATATTCGAGTTATACCAGACAAACCAGTGGTTGATACTGTAAGCAACAATTGACTGCCTCCGTGGTCTAATGGTAGAGCATCCGCCTGGAGAGCGGAAGGTCCGGGGATCTCCCCGACCGCGTCATACCAAAAGACGTTAAAAGTTGGTACTTGTTGTTACCCTGTCTGGCGCTCGGCATTAAGGGGCTAAAACAAGGACTGGTCAGCTCGGAGTCAGTATACTGTGTCTGAGTGGGGTATTCATGTTAAACTGCGGCATGGTATCTCAGTGAGCTAGCACTATAAATCGGCATCAGTCTGGACTAGTACAAGCAGTCAATGCATGCACGTCGCTATGTAAGTGCAATAATCTTGGACGCGACGTTAAACCCCATTTCACCTCACCTCACCTAAGCAACAATCCACGCCGTCTGGATACGAAGACACTCAATCAATGAAGTCACAAAGCTCTCCAACTACAAGCATAGGTTTCTGGGGCCCTATAATAACTCACAATCTCTTGGGGTGTGTTTTAGAACAATATGGATAATCAACACATATCTAAGCCCCTAACTCACCTCACAGCCTTGTACAGCTCTCTATGGTTGCTGTGACCACTCACCCCATACCCGTCAAACGTATAAATCTGAAAATGTTCATCATTAACTTATCATCAAATATGAAAACATCACTGTGTGTTACTTATATGCATACATCATGCAAAATTTTACAAAATTACAAAAACATATATTTCAAGTTTCAATGTAGATTGCCACAGCTTCTGAGAGAACAAAGGTCACAGGGAGGATTTTCATATTGTTATTACCAGTATGTTTCATACCATGTTATGAATGAAATACTGATTAGAGAGTGAGTGAGTGAGTGAGTTGGGTTTAACGCCGCTTTTAACATTATTCCAGTTATATCACGGCGTGTCAGCTTAATGAGGGAGGAAAGCCTGAAGTGATGCAGGTCTCGGATGTTTACCACTTCGGTGAAACCCACGAGCACGGGTATGGTGCTGACAAATCTAGAAACATAATTGGGGCGAACCGGGATTCGAACCCACAATCATAGGTTTCCCAAGGGACGCAACTCTGCACGGTGATTCGCGGCGACTGGGCCACCCGGCCCCCACTGATTAAAGAGGCATGAAACAGAATTTGTTACCATGGTTACACAATACAACACTAAATGAGGAAAATGCTGTTTCCAAGTTTGATACCTGTGAGACTGATAGCCATACCTGGTAGGTCTCCAATATAAAATTCACAGTTTTCAAATATTGTATACCAGTTGCAGCTAACGTCAGAAAACAGGGCTACCCATGCCCATCTGATTACTTATGGTGTACTGTAGCTGTCCGCTGGTCACCAACCAGTTATCGCCATTTATTTTTTTTTTAATGTTATTTCTGACATATTCCGTGGACAAAGTTGACTGTACCAATAACTTTAATTTTTGTGAAACTATGAGCAAATGTGCTTATTTCTGTCCGTTGAATAAGATTCAGTTAATTTCTGTCATGATCATGATAATGCTACAATAGGGAATCAAAACAGTGGAAATAGAACTTTCCCATTGCCCTACTGTACCAGTTATGGCCATTGTCTTAACAGCATGTGATCACGTGCACCGTTTCAGCTATATACAAATTACATTTTTAGCATCTCGGGTATCGCACTTAATTTTTTTTATTCATCAAAATGAACATGTGTAATCCCTGAAATTTTCAGGGAATATATGTAATGTCTGATTAACTCAGGGAATATACATAATCCCTAAATTTTTCAGTTATTATACATATTCCCTGATTTAACATCAAGTTTGTAAGACATATTCCCTGAAATTACTTTTGAGGCTCTCATATGGTCAAACTTGATAAAAAGAAATCGAGAAGGCAAATTTATTTGACATATAACAAATACCTTTCACTTAACTTAACAATTAGTCTTAACCGTAACATAGGATGGAAATGAGATTAAAATACTGTAAAGCGTGAAATTAATGCGTCTCCAAAAGAATGCGACTGCTGGCCCCTGGTCAAAAATGCGACTCAATATGAATGCGACACCCCCTCCTCTCAAGCATCAGTGGATTTATATCTAAAGAAAATACAGGAGAATCCTCACTTTAATCCAACCTTACATTAATCCAATCACACACCAAATAGCACCGCTGAGTAGAGTACTTCCGCTTAAACAATACATGCGCGCCCCCTCGTGACGGAATTCGACACAGTCGCAAAGAACAAAGACACCAGAGATTTACAGTAGTTGTTGTAACAACACATGGTTATCATTGCCATTAAAGAATCCGTGTTAGAATATGAAGTACAAAAATAGTTTTAAAAACAAACGAGTTTGCAGCTGCAACAACATGCGAAATTCAAGGTATAAAACTGCTGACATTATGTATTACTGAGTCGTTCATTGGTTGGTTCGTTCATTCACGTCTGTTTTCAAAGTCGGAGATGTACATGATGTAAACACGTACATAATCGCATCACAGCTTCTCTGCCTGATTACTTCCGGCTACTTTCTGAGATGCTACCAAACTCATCCAAACTACCAAACTATGATCAGACAAAGGAATCTCGAACACCCACATAGACTAACCACCTGGGACTCGGACACTAGGCATAAGCCAGCTTGCCGGCCGCCATTCGCCGAACGCCTCACCCCCAAGCGCCTCCCCCCTTGGACTTTTCAAGGCTTAACACACGATAGATAAGTCTAATAATTAAACTAATTAAAACCCACAAGCTGGAACACATCTAAAAAACACACCCATCTCACACCTACATTCATGACAACCCCCACTCCCCGACACAGACACATCCCTTTATACACTATTTCAAAACCACACAAAACTCACCAACAGAGAAAAACAAACATTATCACTCCAGCATAGACACCAAAACACAAAACTGAGTGGGAGTTTAGAGGTGATATCTACCTTCTTCACTCTGTGTTGTATGCAGTGGCGGAGGATCTCACTACAGACTTGCTGTCTATCCCACTGCACCTTCGGACTGTCTGGCAAGGATCTAGAAAAAGAACATATCAATAGTGGTGATCCATCTGGACTGACTGAGCAGACCGCTTGGCCTCCAGTACCCCATAGGGGTTTAAGAAGTGACATCTTACTGAGGCAAGGGAGTTAGCAGACTATATATGACGGATGTCAATTTCGTTTGGACTATGCATAGACTTGTTAATCCAGTCAAAATATAACTCCATAATTCTAGCCTAGTTGGGCAAGGGATGAGACTGGACTTTTATAGTCAGTTAACTCCCTTGACTGGGGAAGATGATGGTCTACAGGTGATGGTGTTGGGTCAATACATGATATCAAAGCTTGTTGGACAAAACACAATACATACCTGATATCTAGTACTGTCACCTGCTGTGGAGACATACCCAACACAGAACAACTCTTCAATACCTCCTTCTTTCTCAAATCACCTTTCTGGTCATAATTTCCTTACCAAAAAAAACAAATAGACACAATATTACATTTCAATCACATATACATTGACAAATAATACGAAAAGGAAAGATAACTGTGCAACATTTGATGGTGTAAGTCATCAAGAAATGTCATCAAGAATGTCACCGTTTTTTCAGCATTGGATCCGATTTTGCGTGCTAACCCATACTGTCGATTCCAGAAGGGGAAGGTGGAGTGGTGGGGTTCTGATTGATTAAGGGGGAGCAAATAAAGCAACTGTACCTGTTGTAAAACAAAGCAATGATGAATGGGATTCTACACCCAGGATTGCTGGAGCAAAAAACATACACTCATCGTCTGGGTGAGCGGTTATGAATAGAACGTTTGCATTGTCTTTCGGCTCAGACACACGTGATCTCTTCCGCCACAAGATGGGTATGTATACTATGATTGCGAACACGTACAAGAAAATATACGCGGTGAATAAAACAGTACACGGTGTCTGAAAATGTTCCAACAGATCTAACGACGAGGACATGTTGAACAAGGAAGCGGCCATTGAGTTAAAATAAAGTATTATCTTTACGACTATTTACAAACTTTTGAAACTGAACGACTGTCAGTTGAATTATTATTTTAAGTCGCTTAATGATGATTAATAGATTAAAAACATACTAGTTTTATAGATACAAACATTAAGATGTACGTTATAGCTTTGTCAAAACATTATATATGGAGTGTATGCAAGTAAGACTATCAAAGGTTTGAAATTTTGTACCAGGCTTGCATGTCATTCATTTCCATTTAATGTTTATAACTTACAGTTTATCTCTGCTCAGAATGAGGTTTAGTGATAAACACTATAGGTACCATAGGGACGTGGATATTGTGAGTGAGTGTCTACTGAGTGAGTGGGTTGGGTTTAGCGTCGCTTGAATTGAATTAGCATATTAAACCAACGGTTATTATGACACCATTTTAAAAGTTGTGTTAAGCTTACGACATTAATTTCACAAAATGATACATTATACTTGCACTTGTTTTGTTGTTTGTTGTTGTTATACTCTTCTCTTCAATGAATAACTCTACTGAATGCACTTTTATATTATTTGTCGTCTGCTTCATGCTGATTGAATGAACCAAGAGGAACATTAGTTGTTAGGTATAACGTGTGTTTGGTATGTCGTAAATGAGACCCTATGTTTGTTGGAAATAGTGCAATTATTTTTCCGTATTGTATGGAATTTCTTATCATACAACAAGATGATACTGTTATAACCTGCATAAGTATTATGAAGGCATTTCATGTATTCATTTATCAGGTATAATTTATATCCATTGCGACATGCCGGAGAACGTGTCGCCTAAAAACACCGTAGCATAGCAACAGCGTCAGGCATGATTGTTAGGTTTTGAGGCTGTGCATGTGTGTTTTCGCAGGTCAGTGTTGGAAAACACCGTCCGTTATATTTCAATATGGCAGAAGAAGCACAGGAAATACCTAAAGAAAATGATACCGATGTACAGGATACACAAGAATCCCCGAAAGCCGACGTAGAGGCCGAGAAAGAAGCAGGTCAGGTACCCGTTGCAGAGATTACAAATCAAAACCAAAGTGACGAGACAGATGGGCCCAAAGAAAAAGAAGATGGGAAAGGTGGTGAAGATGAGACTGACAACACTGCCCCTGAGTTTGCAGCTCAAGGAGATGGAGGAGAGGATGAACCGAATGACCCCAAAGAAGAACCGGTAAAGGAATCAGATAAAGAAACGGAAGATCAGACTATACCCAAAACTGTGGCAGAGGGAGAAGAAACAGAGGGAACTAGTCAAGTAGCAGCAGCGCAGGGGCAAGCTGCAGAAGAAAATCCATCTGAAGATGTAAAACCAGAAGATGAGGAAAAAGCAGAGCCAACAGAGGAACAAGGTATGGCATCACACAAATATAAATCTGTATTGTTGTGCGCTAAAGTTATCAATGCAACACAGGAGGCAGTGTTTGCAATTATGGATGCAATTCAACGGGTCCTTGACATTAAGCTTATGTTAAATGTTGGAAATTAAGGGGGCCCCTAGTTTCAAATACTACGGGAGCAAACCTCAAGTACCCTAACACAGCCCTAATTTCAAACACTTGTATGAAAAACATGTCGTGTGTTCATGTTTGTATGTTTGTTGATAACCTAACTTTATCACGGTGGCCGGTATATGATGAGGTTTGAGATTGGAAAACCAGTGGTTGATAGCAAGATCAACACCCACCCCGTCTGAGAATGATGACCCACAGTCGGCTAAGTCCAGCACTCCAAGCTTTGATTTTTTCCTAGGAGCTTCTTGGATTCTGGTATTATTTTTATAGGTGCCATTTTAAACTTCAAGGAGCCACATTAAAATTTTAGGAGCCACATTGATTTAGGCTTACAAATAATATATTATCAAAGAAATTAAATAAAAAGACATGAGAAGATTGAAGACATTTCTATTATTCTGATATGTCTCAACAACAAACTGTGAAACCTTGTGGCAATAAAGACAAGTCATTGTACAATTCCCCTTGTTGAAAGATCGTCACTGGAATTCACTTAGCCAATTACTGCTACTATCTTTTCACTTTATTTATTATGTTGTGCCTTGGCTTGGTTTTTCCATTCATTTATTACTATCAGACACATTCACAGTAGGTGAAGTAATCTCGGTCGTCTCGCATCCCAATGCTGAATTCTCTGATTCTCTGCCCACCAACATCTGCATCTAATAAACGCTTTTTAGGACTACTGGCTGTAATAGCCATAGTTCTGTTATAGTGTTATTCATGTCATCATTCTGTGATCGACTGTTTGGCTTAGCGATGGCTCTTGAAAATATGTCAAATATTCTTCTATGATTTGAACATGCCACTATAGTGAAAGTAAACTGAGAAATGTGTACATGACCAGAAATACATAACCTTGTAGCACTACAGACGATAGCATCAGAAGCAGGATAGGCTTCAGTATCCCTGTAAGGAGTTACACTACCCCCCTAACCAGGGAAGTCATGATGTTGATACATACAAGCGATGTTCTGCTCAAGTTTTTTTCAATATGTGAAATATTTTAGTCGCCAAGCTTATTTATTAATGGGCGCAGACTGCCATCCAAGCGGCGAAACCGCATTATTGGTGGTTCGAGAAGGGAGCTAACTCCGTTTGCCTAATCGAAAGTTTGAGGTGGGCCCACATTCGAAACTAAACGCACTTGTTTTTGAGAATATATACTACGTAAACAAACCCTCATAACGAACTCATGAAGGTCTATTTAAAATAAGTATTATGACTTATAATTGGATTAAAATGTACAAATAAGATGGCAATACAGCAGAACTCACTTCTACGAACATCGCCAAACTAGGTCGTGGGGTCATTAATATTCATGAGTTATTCCTTTTATGGAACAAGTTCTCGAAAACGTTTGAGGCTTGTATCATGTCCGAGATCAATTCAAGTGTAGACATATTTTCAGGCTTATATCGCCACCTACACTTATGATTAGATTGAACTGTTATATTGGAAAAAGTAGAATGAGTGGTATTGCCTCTGTAAATTTAATTTGAAGTAGATTTAAGTTTCTTGCTTGGTAGCTATTTTTGTAAAACTAGTGTGGTCAGCTATGACGCAGTTATTCAAACTTCAAAGACTTTTGTGCCTTTCATGGAATTAATGTCACACGAAATGATTTATAAAGATATTTCCCATCAATATTACAAAATATGAATAATATATAATGTCACATAATGACAAACGTGAGCCCACTAGCCTAAATGACTTCGCAAACCTAATGAAACCCAGCGATTTAAAAATGTGGGCCCACCTGTTTCGATCACTATAAGACGGGAACAATGTGGGCCCACATTTTAGAAAATGGTTATAAGTAAGCCAAGCTAATGAAGCTAGCGATTTTTTAATGTGGCCCCTCCTTTTGCAATCACTATGACGGAAGAACGTCTACCCACTAGGCGATATACAAATGTGGGCCCACTTGTTTCGATCACCATATATGACGGGAACAATGTGGGCCCACATTTGAGAAAATGATTATCAATATTTAAGTAGAATTTCGCGATTAATAAATGTGGTCCCTCCTGTTGCAATCAATATGACGGAAGAACGTCTGCCCACATTTAGGGATTAATTATCAGAACTAACGAAACAACCTAACGAAGCTAGGCGAAATACAAAATGTGGGCCCACTTGTTTCAATCACCATAGATGACGGGAAAGATGTGGGCCCACATTTTAGAAAATGGTTATCACCACTAAACCAATCTTAGAAGATGTACGGATGGAAACATAAATATATAATGCATTCAAACATTTAATTAAGAATACGTTTTACCTTAGGGATTAGCTGGGCATTTAATAGCTGGACCAACAACGTACAGCATGACTGACGCCATTTCTCGCAAATACGAAAACAACGGAGATAGCTCCTGTTTGAATTTAGAGTGACCTCCCTTTCCCAATATGAACCACTGATAATGCGGTTTCGCCATCCAAGCAATAAATACAGGTAATTGGTAATTCAATAATGGTAATTTAGGTTGCAAATGTCGCTACTTGAAGGGCTCAAATCACAGCCTGACCACCCGATCCTTTATATAGTTGTCTCTCATGACAAGCATGAAACACAAGGGACTGCACATTGCATTGATACAAACTCATTCAATTATATAAAAGGACATGTTATATCAGTGTTTAAAATTAAACATGTTAATCAACGAGTCCTTGTCTTTTCCTCAATGTTAAAAGTTAAAGGTTTAGGGGCTCCAACACTGCCCAGGGGGGAAGTTTCAGTTGCCCAATTTGTTGTTCACGTGTGCATCTCTTATTAATCAGAAACCTGTGATCATGGATTCTATTCTTTTATTCACCCTGATTATGTTAATGGTAAACTGATTTGAATAATAGCATGCACTGTGTTATTTCCACTAGCCACTGGCCAAAGGACAATAAGTCAAGTTGAACCTGTAATGCTTAGCAGTGGATCGGTGGATCGCGATATTTATTTCTCATTACAAGCTCTGATCACAGTCGCACTCAAAGTAAAAAGTACCGATTCTTACCTAAATGTATTCGTTAATAAATGTTACACCAAACACTAATTACTTGTGAAAACGTTAATGGTTTCATCCATGGCACCATACCTGACACTGCCAACTTTAAATCGTCAGTGTGCCAGGTATTTGGCCATCGTGACTTTGAAAAAGATAACTTACGCACCACAGATATGAGCACATTCAAGTATCGTGATATGCATCTGATCGTGAGCAAGGTATCGTGATACATATCGGATCGCACAGCTGGTGAATCTTCCCTGCCTACAGTCTCTTAAATTGCTAGGTGACGCTCAAGAGACGGTTCGAGACGAGGACTTTACAGATGGTAAAGTGGAAGGTCCAGAGGATGCTCAGCATACAAGTGAAACTCCAGCCAAAGAGGAGAGGCCTCGATCAAGCAGCACAAGAGGCAGCAAAAGACTTTCCCCTCAACCTGATGCTCAACCTGATGCTGAGGGAGGCACCCCACGACAGTCTCCACCTCCAGGTGCAGGGGAGACAAGCAGAACACCCCCACCCCCTGAGGAGGGTAATGTGGGGTATCCCGCCCAACCCCCTCCCACACAGGCTGATGTTGAGGTTATTCCTGACGCGCCACGACTCCCCTCCAGAGAAAGGACGGACACATCACTCGAGGGAACTATGTCCAGCTCAGCTCTGGTTAGTAGTTAGCTTTGCTTACACTTTAGGTGTTGTGTTGACTTTCATTCTGTGTACATCAATTCTCTGTTTTTTCAACGTTAGAAATTGGCACTAGTCCTGTAGTCCTTGCCAAACTGCCCAATAGTTAAGATATCCTCACTAATAGTATATGTTATCTTTGTAAGTACTAGTGGACTAAAACTCTTAGTTTCTAATGCTGTTTTTTCTATTTTCCATGTAAATATGCCAAGAGGCACAAAGAAAATTAATTGTCAGGAATGACAAGGTAAATTAAAAAGAATAAAATGCTAAATAATATTCATCGTGTTGATAGTCATTCTGGTAAAATATCTGAACAATATTAGACAAGAACCAGACATCTACTTTGGTTAAATGTTTTTTTAACACAATATTATAAGAAAGCCATTATGACTTATGCCCTGCTTAATTCCCTCCTGTGTTACAGAACATGGTGTGGTCATTTGGCCTGAACCGCAGTGTCCCGGTGCTGAACTTGACCGATGGCGTGAGGAAGGTGATCATGTACCCGTGTGCCCACGTCGGCGTCCTCTACGACTTCCACAACAACAAACAGCACATACTGCAGGGACATGTAAGTCACAGCAGTCTCATTCAGATCTCTTAGTTTGGCAAGATACCTCTCTGTGTGATCATCTGACGACACACATTTGACCACCCAGTCTAATTGAAGGCAGCATGGAAGTCATTCGAATCAGACTACAAATTCAGCCGAAGTATAGGAGAGAGAGAGAGAGAATATTTTATTAAGATGTCACGGGCAAATAACATATACATACTGCATAAAAACAAAAAAATCAATTATCATCGGTATTACACCCAGCCTTTACAGGCTTATGAGACATCGTATGTACATTAAAACATGTATAAAAGTTTCCAAGTAAAACATTGTAAGCTTTTTTCTTACATTGTACCATCATCTTTTCATCAAAAATAACCATCAAAACACCTATTTATGTGTATGTTACCACCAGTATGATTAAATCTCTTGATTAGTACATACGTGCAAGTTTTAAATGTTAGGGAATATCTTCTAGTAAGAATACCAAATGATAATTTCAAAAGACATAGTTTTAGACTGTTGTCGAAGTGTAACCTCATTAGTCTTTAATTTCTCATCTGAGAAAATACTGTAAGCAAGAATGGGAATGGGCCTGTGACATTTGTAATACATGTAATAGAAAATACATGACACTGGATGATCAAGGATGATGACTGGAAATGATTCACATAAACTTCACCATTTCATATTTGTCTGTTCATCAGCGATGTGGGGTTGATTGTTGGAGACACTGTGAGATACTGCTGTCCCCAGCATCCTGTGCTTGTTGATGATGATTTGGAGATATTACGCTCTCCGACATTATGTGTATTTCGCACACGGACCTGTGTTGGTTGTGTGACTACGGGCTACGGGATCAGTCTCGGCAACGTGGTAGATGGCATGTTGTTGTACCCTGACGATTGGTACGCTGCACATGACATCAATTACTGGATTGTCTGGTACAGACTTGATTATTTGCAGGTGTTTGAGATATAGCTGGAATATTGCTGACTGCAGCGTTAAACTACAAACAGAAGATTCTCGATTCTTGGTGTCCACCCAGGTGTCTAAGTGGGGTTAGACACTACTCACTGACTCAGTGACTAACTGGCTCACTGACTAACCTTTTTACTGGCTTACCGACTGACTAACTGACTCACCAAGTATCTGGCTCACTGACTCACTAACTGGCTCACTGACTCACTGACTGGCTCACTAACTCACCGACTATCTGGCTCACCGACTGACTCACTGACTGGCTCACTGTCTCAATGACTCTCTGGCTCACTGACTCACTGACTGGCTCACTCACTCACCGACTATCTGGCTCACTGACTCACTCACTGACTGGCTCACTGAATCACTGACTAACTCACTGACTGGCTCACTGTCTCACCAAGTATCTGGCTCACTGACTCACTAACTGGCTCACTGTCTCACCAAGTATCTGGCTCACTGACTCACTGACTAACTCACCGACTGACTAACTGACTCACCAAGTATCTGGCTCACTGACTCACTAACTGGCTCACTGACTCACTGACTGGCTCACTCACCGACTATCTGGCTCACTGACTGACTCACTGACTGGCTCACTGTCTCAACGACTCTCTGGCTCACTGACTCACTGACTAACTCACTGACTGGCTCACTCACTCACTGACTATCTGGCTCACTGACTGACTCACTGACTGGCTCACTGAATCACTGACTAACTCACTGACTGGCTCACTGTCCCAATGACTATCTGGCTCAATGACTCACTGACTAACTCACTGACTGGCTCACTGTCTCATTGACTGGCTCACTTTCTCAATGACTCTCTGGCTCACTGACTCACTGACTGACTCACTGACTGACTGGCTCACTGAATCACTGACTAACTCACTGACTGGCTCACTGTCTCAATGACTCTCTGGCTCACTGACTCACTGACTGGCTCAATGTCTCACCGACTATCTGGCTCACTGACTCATTGACTGGCTCACTGACTCACCGACTATCTGGCTCACTGATTCACCGATTGTCTCATTGACTGGCTCACTGATTCACCGATTGTCTCATTGACTGGCTCACTGACTCACCGATTGACTCATTGACTGGCTCACTGACTCACCGACTATCTGGCTCACTGATTCACCGATTGTCTCATTGACTGGCTCACTGATTCACCGATTGTCACATTGACTGGCTCACTGACTCAAGTATAGACTCTCTGATTCACCACTGATTCCTTGTCTCCAGGCCAACCCGATCACATGCACGTGTGTGAGTGAGGACAAGCGCTGGCTGGTGACGGGGGACAAGGGCTCCGACTCCATGGTGATCATCTGGGACACCTACACCGGGTAGGTTGTTAGTCGGACTTGTGTCTGCTGTAGTAGAGGAGAGTGTGAAGGAGGACCATTAAACATGAATAATCACCTTTGTTTTTAATGTCAAGCTCTTTCCGGGACAATTGTTTTGTTGTTGATATAATCCAACCCCACCCCTGTGTCTGAATGGGGTATCCATGTTAAAATGTGACATGGTATATGTGATCTCTCTGGGCTAACTCTATAAAACCGGCATAAGTCCGGAGTAGTATGAGCAGCCACTCACACTCATACATACATGCATGCACATTACAATACAGTCATGCCCCGCTTATATGGACTTCAGATATCCGGAAACCTTGGTTTCCGGACAATTTTCATTCAAAACGAAATAATTACTATTTAAATTTACCCGTATATACAGAAATTCAGTTTCCGGAACCGGATGGTCATTTTCATACACAAAACACTGAAATGCACACAAAATTGTCTCACTTACCCGGACAATACACTTCCGCTGGTAGTAATCTTCCACTGGTGGTAATCCTTTGATTCGTGAGAAGTCAATTAACAAAGTGACACTGAGTTACGTTTGAGACGAGCTTGTTTATTGTACGCGAAAAAAGGGAAATTTGTCTGTTTAAGGAAAAACACCCGTCAGCAAGTTTGGAAACCATCAGTAAGCATTATGGCACTGAATTTCGCTTGTGCTTGTATAGAGACCTTGATTACATATTACGAGAACACAGGCGATCTGGACAATTTGGAATTATTGTTTAAAATTCAAACCTCAAAATGTGGTAAAGTTCAAACTTCCAGGACAGATTTTTTGAAACGTGTATGTCTTGAATAAAGATTGAGTGGATGTATCTGTTTGCTCTGTCATCTGTCATGAGTTGCATAATTGAAGGGAGGTAACTCCTCCAGTAAGAAGCTGGTTTCAGTTATACGGAAATTTGTTTATACGGACAAATTGTGAAATGACGAAAGTTTCCGTATAAACGAGGCACGACTGTACATGTATGATTGAAATAAACTTAAATGCTGCTACGTAAACCCAATTCACCTCACCACTTTCTACTCATCCACAATGTCTTTATGCTGGGAAGCAGCTCAAATGGGGTTCTGCTTTGTCTGTCTGCAGCATTCCCATCCAGACCTTGTTTGATCCAAATCCTGAGGGAGGCGTGGTTGCCGTGGCGTTGACCCCAGATGCTCGTTACCTAGCAACCCTAAGTGCTTCAGAAACACAGGTATTATTTAGCATATTTTAGATTGTGTGGGAATAGGTCCCTACTACTAGGAGACAGAATGGGTAAAGTGTTGAGACTCAACGTGGGATGTTATGCTTGTCGTAAGAGGTGACTAACGGGATCGGGTGGTCAGGCTCGCTGACTTGGATGATGCATGTCATCGTATCCCAATTGTGTGGATCAATGCTCATGACATCAATCACTGGATTGTCTGGTCCAGACTCGATTATTTACAGACATAAATATTTCTGAGTGCGGCGTTTAACAACAAACGAACAAACAAATGTGGGATGTTGTTGATATATCAACCACTAGTTTGCTTGGTCCAGACTTGTGTATTTACAGGCTGCCATCATGTAGCAGGAATATTGCTGCGTGCAGCGTTAAACAACCTACGAAACATGTATTAGATCACAAAATATGAATACTGTTTTCGATGTAATAAGCGCCGAGGGCGCTCTCAAAATTAGAAATAGGGGGCTCTTATAAGAATATGATTTTGGTGAGATTAAAAACAAGGTTGAAAGATTGTAAATTTTGTGGTTTATCCTGACAGCCTGAAATGATATGGAAGAAGAATCTGTGTGTAACTGTGCTAACTGGGACTGTTCACTAGCCATTATATTAGCAAATAACGCCGTGGGCACTTATTAGAGCGGGGTGCTTATTACGTCGAATACAGTAAAGTTCACGTTTTCAACACCCATTTGTCCCCCAGATCCTGTCAATCTGGGACTGGACTATTGACGGCGAGACGCCCGTGTGCACCGCGGAGCTCAACCCCAAGTACGGCATTCAGAACTACATCTTCTTCAATCCCGACGACATCCACTTCCTCGTCACCAACAGCGAGTCCCAGGTCATCTTCTTCCAGTGGGTGAGTAACCATGGTAACAGCAGCATCGCCACATTACCATGCAGACATTGACGTGTTGTTTCTAGTGTGCCACATGGGTCTTTGAGATGGTCAGGTGTGCTCTAAATATAATTTGGGCAACTAGAACAGAATTGATCCATAAAAATAATCATTAACAATCTTTGATCTACTTGTTCAATGAATATTTGTGTTATATTCAGTGTTAGGCTGAATGGTCATTGTTATCAGTATGAAATAATAAGTCAATCAACCGCTACAATTTGTGAAATAAGGTACTGCTTATTTCTCATAGAAAAGGTGTGGGTGGGTGAATGGGGGTCCCCAAATTTATCACCACTGTATGGGAGGGGCAATAAAAAGAATAACTCAGTTCCATTTTGTGAAATAAAAAAAACCATGAAAAGTATTTGGTGGAGGGGTAGTGGGGGGTGAGCGTGTAAAAATGTGGGGTCAGCAAAATATGATACAGTCCTAAGACCAATCTCCACCCTGTCATTCCCTATTAGGAGGAGCGCCGGATGGAGTACTATGCCCCGCCCCTCACGGACCAGGACTTCAACAAGCCTGTGGGGCGCTACAGCCAGTCCATCTTCCAGGCCAGCAACACCCGCGCCCTTACAGGAACCTCCCTCGGTAACCTCGTGGTCTGGGACAACAACCAGGTCCTCACTAAAGGTGAGCTGTCAGGATCACCCGCAACCTTTCTTATTTACATTTGGAACTGTCCATTGAAGTTAGTTTTGGCAAGTACCTACCGTATTTTCTTGAGTATAGTGCGCACCCATGTATAATGCGCACCCCCCTCTAGCAGGTTCAATATTTTGGAAAAAAAGAAATTTGAATATTATGCGCAGAAAAAATTTACACCATACCCTTTCAGCGAAGTCCGGCAATCGAACGGGTGCTGAGAAACTTCGTCAGTACAAATTCGAAATTTGAGATAAAAAATCACCAGACATGTTTATTTACCGTTTAAATAGTATTTATTGTTCTGCTAGGCATTGTTTTATATCTAGGGATTAAGATTACCTTGTGTATTTTCTCGTAAACTAAGCCGGAAACAGCAATCAGCTGTACACACGTTTTCTTGGAATCGACCGGTGATTCGGTCAAGACACACCCAATGATATAACTTTATAGGATTTTTAATGCAAGGATCGGCAACAATTGTATCTGAAACTATTTTTGTTATCAGGAATAATATATTCCATTATTTTCTTAATTATATGCAGCCTTTACTAAACATATTTAAAATAATAATAACCCTAAGCGAAGCAGCTGATCGCTTTTTTTACATGGAACCAGTCTGACCAGTCACCGTCAAGGCTTACGCGCACGTGATCGCGTGATCGCGAGAATTTCATGTTGACATAGAATCGTCAAACAAAAACAAATATGACTTTTAACGAGTCAAAGTATGTCATTTATGATATATGTATCCATTCTCTGTCAACTAAAGTTTGTTTCAAGGCATCAATAGCGGTATTCTGACCGTGGTTGCTGTTAATAACGGTGAGTTGTGCGATCTTCCGATCGCTTCACACACGATTTCGCCAAAATTAATAAAAACAATATTATAAGGAATTTTGAATGAAATTAATGAAATAAGTTACAAACATAAGTCCAGATATACAAAGAACACTTTTTATAGCCAGACAGTGTAATTACATGATTATTTTGCGTACTTCAGTATGGATTTGTTGACATGGTATTTCCGGTGTTTCGTGCTCACGGTAATTTCTTTCCATGGGGGAAAAAAACATCCAAACTCATAATTCGTGTATAATGCGCACCCCCTTCTACACAGCTGTGTTTTTTCGAAAAAAAGTGCGCACTATACTCAAGAAAATACGGTAAATAAGATATGCTGGTCTGAATGCCTTGCTTAGTCATGCCTAGTCATGCAGTGATTAATTGTATCAGAGAGAAAGATCTGATTCTAATGAGAATGTGTATGCCAAAGGCTTAGTGTCTCTTGTCATGCAGTGGTAACATCAGAGCAGACGGCCAACAAGAAGGCGCTGAAGATCATCAAGCTGCAGGACCGTGGCATCAACGTACTCACCATCACAGACAGATACATCGTCGTTGGGGACATCGCTGGTCATGTCAAGTTCTTTGATCAGAGTCTCAAGCTTATCTACTGGTAAATTTCTATTTTTATTGCATACACCAAATTTGACTAGAAATAGCAGAAATACGCTTCAAATTATTTGCAGGGCAAAAAACATTTGTCTCATGGGTCGGAAAAAGATCAAATCTATTTTTAAGGTAAAAAATATGTAATCAATATTTCCATAGTTTGTTAATGGTGTACAGGGTTTAACCGGACACTAAACAGTCCACCGGTTGTGCATAAACATTAAGAATGGATGGAAAAACTCTGAGCTGACCGAGTCTCATGGAATGCACAAATATTGAGGCTGTTTAAATTATGGAAACTTGTTACGCATTATACCCGTGAAGTTCCGGGGTAGAATAGGTCTACAGCAACCCCTGCTTGCCTTAAAGGCGACTATGCTTGTCGTAAGAAGCGTCTAACGGGATCGGGTGGTCAGTCTTACTGACTTGGTTCGTACATGTCATGGTATCCCAGTTGCATGGATCGATGCTCATGATGTCAATCCCTGGATCATCTGGTCCAGACTCTATTATTTACAGACCGCCATCATATCGCTGGAATATTGCTGAGTGCGGCGTTAAACAACAAAGAAAGAAACAAACAAATAAACAAACGTGTTAAGTCTAACTAACGTTTCCATACTGATAAGAAATACATTCACATTCAACCTGTCCATGTTCATCAGTCAGCACATAAACATAAGGAAGTATCTCTTCAAACAAGAACACCCCCATCTCCAGTTAATGCTATCACATCATTTATATCATGGAAGTCAGGTGAAGTGAGTCATGTGTCATCACCCTGCAGACATGAACTTGGTCAAAGTGTTCGCCAAGGAACCCCCATTTTCATTTCTCTCAACCACATGACACAGACATTTATAGGATTCCCCAGGACAGATAGAAAAGTGCAGGTAACCCGCTGGGTATAGACACCTGACTCACAGGTCTTGCAATCACTGGAGACAGTGTCTGTCGACAGTTGTTAAAAAGTAGAAATGCTTCATGTGGGTTTTGTGTATTTCAGGTACCAGGATTTCGGCCTTGGGCCAGTCAATGCGCTGTGCTTCTCCTTTGTCCCTGAGTTCACACCTATGTGAGTACACAGGATCAAACACATTCATGAAGTGTATTATTGAAGTTTGTTGTCAGTTTGAGGAAACAGTTGTAGATGTCAGAACTAGGGAGGATTTTATTGTTTGATAGTTGTATCATTTGCCGCTCATTTTGACTTTTAAGGATTTGAACAATGTAATGGGGTGAAAGTATTTGTTAATCTTTGATATTATCATCCTTTTCCAAATCTTGTGCAAATGTTGAGGCAGAGGTCCCCAGTATCCCATGCTTGTCACGAAAGACCTGACTCAACAGGAATTGTGTTTGTTTGTCACCAGGCAGAGGTGATTGTGTATCTCACCTAAACAACATGCTCATGCTATCAGTCACTGGTTTGTCTGGTCCACTGCCATGATGTAGTTAGATTGCTGACTGTGTCCAATGAGTCATCCATTTCCTTGAGACCAATGTTTGACTGTGTATGTTTTCCCCTCGATGTTTGACTGTGTATGTTGTTTCCCCAGTGTTTGACTGTGTATGTTGTTTCCCCAGTGTTTGACTGTGTATGTTGTTCCCCCGATGTTTGACTGTGTATGTTGTTTCCCCGATGTTTGACTGTATGTTGTTTCCCCAGTGTTTGACTGTGTATGTTGTTTCCCCAGTGTTTGACTGTGTATGTTGTTTTCGACAGAGCAGCTGAGAACACCAAGTACCCCCCAGATGCCACCATTGCTGCCAAGAAGTTTGTTATCCGAGACTTTGTTGTTGGAAGCAGCATCGCAATATTTGGCAACATCACAGCAGATGGCACCAAGGTTGAGGTTTGTACAAGTTTATACAACAATTGTATTCTTATCACAATTGTGTTGGTTAAATTAGCCATAATTGTGGCCCACTCATCTAAGGCTCTACGAATTGCTGTGCAGAGTTGCATCCCTTTAGTGGGCCAGAAACCTGTGTTTATGGGTTCGAATCCCACATTAGCCCTGATTATGTTTCTAGTTTGTCAGCACCATACCCATGCTCGTGGGTTTCACCGAAGTGGTAAACGTCCAAGAGCTGCAACATTCTGACTTCCTCCCACACCAAGATGTCACACAGTGTGGTAACTGAAGTACCGTTCAAAGCAGCGTTAAACCAGATTCACTCACACAGTAATTCTGTCAGTGTGAGATGCCACAGAATCAGTCAAAGTCCAAAACAGAAAAAGAATTGTTCTTGCCTAAATATTTATGTAGTTTCTCTCAGACACTCACACATCAGTTAAAAGACACCCTGGATGAAAGAATTTTATTGCAGTGTTATGAATAGATATGAACAATTCCGACATTGTTAAAGGGAGGTATCGAACGGCTGCAGTTTCCAACTTGAGCAACTAGTACGAAGCCGGAGTCTTGTAAAATTCTGTTCGGTTTATGTAGCTTAGCTAATAACAGTCCATCTAATGACACTAAAATCTACTGAAAATGAAGTGCCATTTTCGGGCTGGGACTCTCAGACGTTTTGGGCACACACTGCAGCTGTTTCACAAGCGGTTTGGGTGTTATTTCTCTGTAACAAGAAACACAAGGCAGTACACAGTGTTTACTAAATGAATTGTTTGTTTGCAAGATATGTCTAATCAAGATGTGGTACCTGTCATGTGCAGATTGGGAATGTAGGCCACGTGGTACTATGGGTCTTCCGACTTCGCAGTATGACACGATGACTGTCTTTAAACGCTCGACACTAAATCAAAACTACATGGTGTGACATGAGCACCAAAGTAGCAACAGATTATCCTCGGAAGCAGTTTGCATTCTATTTTCTTAACATGTTATGTCAGGAATGTAGTCTGTCATCTTCCCGAGGCAAGAGCGTCCACTTGCCTATTTATCAAAGTCTAGCATCCACCCTTGCCACATCAAGCCCACTTTCCTGTGCTAAATATGACTGACTATATCACATATCAATCGTCCAAGCAGAGCATGTTACATAAAATCAACATCCGGGTCAGAAAACATGGCCGCTGCCATACAGCTTGTCAAATTTGCACTGAACAGTTAAGTGAAGACATGTCTCAGAGACATGAAGAGTTTTAAGTAAAAGAACAAGTTTGTATTCATTTTTTAGGGAAAAATAGTTGTTTTTACCACAGACTTGTGCAATCTTAGCTGCAGAATTTGTCTGGGACTGGTACTGATAATAGTACGTCATGCTGTCACACCACAACCCTTGAGCTACAATACTGAAAGAAATAATTTCGGTCACTAGATAGATCTGATTGTAACACACAAATATTCAAGTATTTCCTTGTAACTTGTGACCTTGTGATGATAAATGTGTCACACTTGTGTTAGTACCTCATGGTATAGAGAGGGAGGTTGTCAGCCTCATTATCTGCAGCCAATGTTTCATCTGCTACCTTGTCATGTCACGACTCCTTCCTGCAGGTGATCCATCGGGAACATGACGCTTCCATCCACGCCCTGGCCGCCCACCCCACACAGTGAGTTATCTGCCCTTGGGGGCCATTAGAGTTACCTCCCTTCTCTCCTGTGAAAATAAATGTACCCCGGGGTATATATTAGTTGTTGGATGTCTTACGGGAAGAAAAAAACATTCTGTTTCAAATTTGTGAAATTTTGGTTTGCCAGATTTGACAGTAAAGTAACTGATGCAGGGGAAAGGTTTTGTTTCCTTGTTTTTTAAATCCATTTCTTTCTTTATCATGTCTATTGAAAATACAAATTTATCAAAAGTATGATTGGTCAAAGTCTGTGTCACTGAAGTTGTCAAAACATTTAACGTAGACAACATTGGAATTGGATAATAGATATGAGTGGGTGTGACTTCTATGAATGTACATTTCTACCATGCGATTATATTTGTCATTATTTACATTATTCCATATGTTGAAATTCAGGATGTTTATCAACAACCACGTTTTACTTTCTTCTAATTTAGTCCTTACCTAGCAATTGGCAGCTACTCTGGGCTTCTCAAAATCTGGAACTATGAGCAAAAGTAAGTACTGTTTTGTCGATTTAGTGATGCGAAATATTGTAGTAAAGGTTCAAATCTATCTGCTTCTCCATCAATGAATTAAGACTTCCCTTGTGGTACAATTTTAGGATGAATTTGAAGTTTGAGTGTAAAAATATTTTGATGATGGTACAAAGACATTCCTGACTACCAGGATACATGGTATCAGCCGTGATGTTGTGTTTCTCATGACTGTGATGGTGTATTTCTCATGGCTGTGATGTTGTGTTTCTCATGGCTGTGATGTTGTGTTTCTCATGGCTGTGATGTTGTGTTTCTGATGGCTGTGATGTTGTGTTTCTCATGGCTGTGATGTTGTGTTTCTCATGGCTGTGCTTCTCATGGCTGTGATGGTGTATTTCTCATGGCTGTGATGTTGTGTTTCTCATGGCTGTGATGTTGTGTTTCTCATGGCTGTGATGTTGTGTTTCTCATGGCTGTGATGTTGTGTTTCTCATGGCTGTGATGTTGTGTTTCTCATGGCTGTGATGTTGTGCTGCTCATGGCTGTGATGGTGTATTTCTCATGGCTGTGATGTTGTGTTTCTCATGCCTGTGATGGTGTGTTTCTCATGGCTGTGATGTTGTGTTTCTCATGGCTGTGATGTTGTGTTTCTCATGGCTGTGATGGTGTGTTTCTCATGGCTGTGATGTTGTGTTTCTCATGGCTGTGATGGTGTGTTTCTCATGGCTGTGATGTTGTGCTTCTCATGGCTGTGATGTTGTGTTTCTCATGACTGTGATGGTGTATTTCTCATGGCTGTGATGTTGTGCTTCTCATGGCTGTGATGTTGTGTTTCTCATGGCTGTGATGTTGTGTTTCTGATGGCTGTGATGTTGTGTTTCTCATGGCTGTGATGTTGTGTTTCTCATGGCTGTGATGTTGTGTTTCTCATGGCTGTGCTTCTCATGGCCGTGATGTTGTGTTTCTCATGGCTGTGATGGTGTATTTCTCATGGCTGTGATGTTGTGTTTCTCATGGCTGTGATGTTGTGTTTCTCATGGCTGTGATGTTGTGTTTCTCATGGCTGTGATGGTGTGTTTCTCATGGCTGTGATGTTGTGTTTCTCATGGCTGTGATGTTGTGCTTCTCATGGCTGTGATGGTGTGTTTCTCATGGCTGTGATGTTGTGCTTCTCATGGCTGTGATGTGTTTCTCATGGCTGTGATGTTGTGTTTCTCATGGCTGTGATGTTGTGTTTCTCATGGCTGTGATGTTGTGTTTCTCATGGCTGTGATGTTGTGCTTCTCATGGCTGTGATGTTGTGTTTCTCATGGCTGTGCTTCTCATGGCTGTGATGTTGTGTTTCTCATGGCTGTGATGGTGTGTTTCTCATGGCTGTGATGTTGTGTTTCTCATGGCTGTGATGTTGTGTTTCTCATGGCTGTGATGTTGTGTTTCTCATGGCTGTGATGTTGTGTTTCTGATGGCTGTGATGTTGTGTTTCTCATGGCTGTGATGTTGTGTTTCTGATGGCTGTGATGTTGTGTTTCTCATGGCTGTGATGTTGTGTTTCTGATGGCTGTGATGTTGTGTTTCTGATGGCTGTGATGTTGTGTTTCTGATGGCTGTGATGTTGTGTTTCTCATGGCTGTGCTTCTCATGGCTGTGATGTTGTGCTTCTCATGGCTGGGATGTTGTGTTTCTCATGGCTGTGATGTTGTGTTTCTCATGGCTGTGATGTTGTGTTTCTGATGGCTGTGATGTTGTGTTTCTCATGGCTGTGATGTTGTGTTTCTGATGGCTGTGATGTTGTGTTTCTGATGGCTGTGATGTTGTGTTTCCCATGGCTGTGATGTTGTGTTTCTCATGGCTGTGATGTTGTGTTTCTCATGGCTGTGATGTTGTGTTTCTCATGGCTGTGATGTTGTGTTTCTCATGGCTGTGATGTTGTGTTTCTCATGGCTGTGATGTTGTGCTTCTCATGGCATTGATGGTGTGTTTCTCATGGCTGTGATGTTGTGTTTCTCATGGCTGTGATGTTGTGTTTCTGATGGCTGTGATGTTGTGCTTCTCATGGCTGTGATGGTGTGCTTCTCATGGCTGTGATGTTGTGTTTCTGATGGCTGTGATGTTGTGTTTCTGATGGCTGTGATGTTGTGCTTCTCATGGCTGTGATGTTGTGTTTCTCATGGCTGTGATGTTGTGCTTCTCATGGCTGTGATGGTGTGTTTCTCATGGCTGTGATGTTGTGTTTCTCATGGCCGTGATGTTGTGTTTCTCATGGCTGTGATGTTGTGTTTCTCATGGCTGTGTTGTATGCTACAGGGACGTGATGGTGTCCCGGGTGTTTGATCGCGGGAGCCACATCCGCTGTTGTACATATGACCCTAGTGGTGGACTGCTAGGTGAGTAAAACAGATGTAGGCGTTCTCCAATTATACATCTAGGATTTGATAAGACTTAGTTTAACTAGTTTTTCAGTATTATTTTAAGGTGAATTGAACAGCAATCCTGAACTGTTTTTTTCACAGATAATGTATTTTCAGTCTGTGACTAAAGTCACTAATCCATAGCCCATGTCTAGTAAAATTCTGTTTGGTCTAGAGAGTTCAGTTAATAATAATCCACACATCTTGCTGTCACTAATCTCGTTAAAATCAGTTCTTAGTTCTGATTTCTGATTTGCTAATGTTGACTTCTTGTTAGTCATTTCATTGGTTGGTCAAAGTTCACAAAAGGTCATTCTGATGTGACCTGTAATGGAACATCCTGAGATCGTTGTTTTCCGGTAGCGAAAACTAAGATCTGATTTTAATGAGATTGTGCTGTCACTGATGATGTTATAGTAGTAGACAGTTGTTTCATAACAATCAATCTCCTACTTTTCATATTAAAACACTTGCCTGTGGTGTTTCAGCTGTGGGTTTCACCAACGGGTGCGTGCGTGTTCTGGATGCCATCACTCTCCAGGAGGAGATGGAGGAGCCGTTCCGCTATGCCCGAGATGCTGTCACCCACATAGCGTTCTCGCACGACTCGCAGTACCTGGCCACAGCTGTAAGTATATCATCACAGCATGCCCACAGTAACATGTATAATTCCTGTGTAACAATCTCAGTCTCTGTTTGTAGGATGCGGAGTACACGGTGACAGTATATGATTCCTGTGTAACAATCTCAGTCTCTATTTGTAGGATGCGGAGTACACAGTAACAGTATATAATTCCTGTGTAACAACCTCATTCTCTGTTTGTAGGATGCGGAGAACACAGTGACAGTATATAATTCCTGTGTAACAATCTCAGTCTCTGTTTGTAGGATGCGGAGTACACAGTGACAGTATACAAGAAGGAGAGCATGGACACCAGCACCCCCTACACCTACATGGGGCGACACCGCGCACACTATAAGCCCATCAGGGATATCATGTTCGGGGTGCAGCTCGACTCCACCGCCCCCAGACTGCTCTCCCTTGGGGAGGACCGGGTCATGGTGGGTCATACCCTGGAATAGACTAGTTAATACTCCATCCCCTGGACAACGGCTGGCTCCACGAGCTGTCATTATGCCCAACAGAAAGCTAGCAATACACCTTTGATGTGCAAAGCTATATTGCCACGAACGTCACTGTCACAGTAGTAGTAGTATATATACAAAATTAGGCAAAACAGCATGTAAAGTGAACAGACAGGTTTGGATTAGGCCCATCTGTTCTTATTTCAGAATAAGTGCATTTGTTTACATTCAAGAGAAAGTCGGATCACGTGATGCGTTTGCCATCACCCACGGTAGTGTCGCTGGAGCAGGAACTCCTTTCGCAGTAAAAAGACGAGAAGAGCGGAGTAAATTTGGGGGTTATTAGCTTATGTTTACAAACAAAGCTTCAGAACGGTCAGCTTGCTGTCCCTTACAAGATCACAGAAAACTAATTCTTGCACCATTGTGCATAAAAACACAATTCCATGAACAAGATAGAATTCCACATTTTTCTTCCTGTTCTGATGATATGGTTTCTTTCAGTGCATACTCATCTTTTGTAGAACATTGCTAGATTTATTTATGTGCTTGAAAAATATTACACCATCCCTGCTGTTTTTATACAGAAATAATTTTTTATTTCTTGTGTAACAATCTCAGTCTCTTCAATTGGTATTTGTTTTTCTTCCAGGTTGAGTATGACCTTGAGAACAGTAGCCGTGACAACATAAGGCTGTCCAGCACAGACAGGATTGAGCAGAGTGCTGTCCCCTTGTGTATGGCCTGGTATCCACCAATCACAAAAGAGCATTTCATTGTTACAGCTGATGATCAGGTGTGTCTGCTGCAGCTGGTAACACGCCTCTTTTTGAACTGTATTTGGATATTCAGGACTTTTTCACACATTTGTATCTTGTCGTATTAAATCTTTCACTGAGAAGAGTCTATGCCGTTGATAGATCTGGAAGTAATGAAATTATGGAAACATGTGTTTTTATATAGTATAGCAATGTTCTTTTGAGTAAAAAATTTGCATTCATCCTATAGTCCTTGCCAATAGTTAAGGTATCATAAGGACTAGTAGAAATTGCCATTTTTAAGGTTTTTGCTATATGTTATCATTATAAGAACTGGTAGACTAAAAATGTTAGTTTCTATCGCTGGTGTGATTTAGGCTGATATCAGATATGTATAGCTGTATCAGCAGGCCAGGGAGTATATAGCCATGTAGGAACCTGGAGTAGGAACCTGGAGTAGGAACCTGGAGTAGGAACCTAGAGTAGGAACCTGGAGTAGGAACCTAGAGTAGGAACCTGAGGTTACTGTATGGGGAAGAACATGAAAAACCATGCAACAGTCAACAATACAATCCCTTGGTTTCAGTACAAGTTCAAGTTGTACAATACCACCACGAAGATGTGCAGGAAGACTCTTCTAGGGCCAACATATGGCACTCCTGTCACCAAGTAAGACTTCAACTTTGACCTTTGAACTTTGACCTATCCTTGAACTTTGACCTAAAATTGAACTTTCACTTGAATTGTTTCAACTGATTTTAAGTGAACGATTGTTTTGCTTTTATATCTAGTTAGTCAAAATAGCAGGCAAAAGATAAAAACAAAAAACATAAAAATGTATGAAGAAGTATGACGCTATTGACACAATGTTTCAGGATTACAGTGATTCCAACAAAAGATGAAGTCAAAGACAAACGGTACCTGGCATACACAACAGAGGACAAAGTTGGCATGAGTATTCTCCCTTTGACCGGCAACCCACACAACAGCATGGCGCTGGTCGCTCATCCCAGTGGGGTAAGCTGTGTTAGATGTCCTGACACATTACATGTATTTTTTTAACTGCGGCATGGTATCTCAGTGTGCTAGCACTATAAAGTCAGCATTAGTCAGGCCTAGTACAAGCAGCCTCACACACACATACGTGCATCCACGTCGCTATATAAGTGCATAATCTTGGACGCAATGTTAAACCCCATTTCAACTCACCTCACCTTCAGTAAAACATATCATTCGCAGGGATATGAGTAGTTTGTTTGTTCTTTCTACTGTAACACAGCTGGTTACAGTGTGCTGGTTACGTTGTTACAGGTAGCCAACCTGACATGCAGTGGTGATGGCCGCTACTTGTTCACTGCCGGCGGAGCGGACGCAGCCGTTCACATGTGGGAGGTGAACATCAAGTAAGTCAGTCACCAACACATCATCCGCTGAGGCTTGCAGTGACCTTTGACTCTTAGGATCAGTTAGATACTGAAGCTTCATCACAGCCTCGTCATTGACATCAACACTTAAAGGTGGACTCACCCCCTTAAAGAAGCTGGGACTGTCTTATTGACTTAACCAACAATCCTTTCAGTATATTACAGAGCTTCATTTGTCATGGGGTGGCAGACTAAGTTGTCAACCGATCGTGAGGGGTATGTGGTGTGATATACCCTGTGTGTGAGCCTACGTACCCTGAGCCATGAGGCTCACAGACAGGGTACATCACACCACATACCCCTCAAGATCGGTTTATACTCCCTGCAGTGTTTTATTGTACGATCAACAACGATCGCGAGTTGTTTATTTCTTATATGAGATAGCAACACTATGTACAGCCTCTAAACATGTTCATAAAATATACAAGTTTTAAAAATATTTACCCAAATTTTAATAATTAATAGAATAGAATCCGACCTCGGAAATGTCGGACAAGTCCATTTTACGAACAGGTGGGTTAAGTTGGGTATTTCCTGCATATTCTCACAATCACAATGTATATTATCTGTACCTTTCCTCCTAATACCGATTGTCTTACTTCCCTCACAAAAATAATGTCATCCAATATATGGTGTCATCAAGCATATACAAATCTCCAGAAATGGCGTCATGCTAGAACAATGTTTTATCGTGAAATAGACCACACTTCATTCTTCATTGTTCTTTGGGATTTATTGCATAGCTCTCTTATAAAGAGTATTACTGAGTGTTACAATGTTCTGCAGTGCTTTAGAAGCCCAGGCTCAGCTGGGAGGTGAGGAGTTGATCCCGTTCTACGGTTTACTGGATGGTGGCAGAGACGGCGACCTGTTTGCAGAGTTAGAGGACTACTTCTACTACGCACAGATCAGGAGGTAAGTGTTACACATTTCGGTCTTAGATTTCCGGTCACCTTTATGAGCTCAACTGGGTTGAAGATCTGTTTGTGCTGATAGCATCATGCATCGTTAGGAGGCTTGAAATGACTTGACTGTTGATGTTACGGTGTCAGGATGAGCTGCATAGATCAATGTCTGTCCCCTACAAGACAAAATGGATGTCAATGTAGATATCATGAATATGTTTATCTTGTTCGTGTTGTTGTGCCCATAAATCATCTTCCAATATACTGGGTATAAAATCTCCATTCTCTAACAATAAATACCCTGGACCCATTTGACACCTTGAGAAACATACCTCCATTGCTCCATCTCTGCCTTAGCACAGAATCGGCTGATCCGATGGTGGCTTTTAGTATCATGCTATTTAAATCTTGCTCACAGTAGAGTTTTGAGAGTGAAGGGGGAATTACACAGTAGAGTTATGAGAGTGGAGGTGTTGTTAGAATGGAGATATAATACCCTTGAAGATTGAGAACGACAATGTATTGACCCAGGGTTGTCATAGAGAAGGGGTGACAGGTTGATGGCAAAGGACTGGCCATTTCACATTCTGAGGGGTCAGGTATTGTTTTTTAAAAAGGTATAATTTATTCCAGGAAATACTGGATATAAATAATGTTGCCCCAGGTCTTGGACATGTTTGAAGTCCCTAACTTGTGGATTACTTTCCCTTCAGTCAAAGTGTGAACACCATGGAAACAAGACAAGTGTCCATCAGGATCCCGCTGTCAGAGGTGCCCTTTGTGATGAGAGCCATGGGCTTCTACCCCTCAGAACAGGAGGTCAGTATATATGACAGTGTCATGGGGTCACAGGTCAGTATACAGCGGCAGGGTCATGGGGTCACAGGTCAGTATACAGCGACAGGGGTCATGGGCTTGCAGGAGGTCAGTAAATATTACAGTGTCATGGGGTCAAAGGTCAGTATACAGTGGCAGGGGTCATGGGGTCACAGGAGGTCAGTAAACAGTGGCAGGGGTTATGGGGTCACGGGGGTCAATAGTTTACATTTATCAAATTAGAAAAAATAGAAAACATATTCTTCTAAGTGATCTACAGACCAAGTTATTGGTCAAGTGAAATAAAAAAGAAATAAAATTGCAGGTTTTTGTTTTAATGTTCCCCTTCCTGTATTGAACCTGCTTAAAAGTCTTGGCTGGGAAATTAGACTTCTAGATTTGTTTATGTTATTAGGCATTAATAAATTGTGTAAATTTTGGGTTGACAGTTTGAATAACATGCTAAACAATTGAACAGTGTTGATAAGTTTGAAAATGAACTATTGATGGTTATGAAATATTGATTCTCTGACCTGACACACATGGACGGTTACCAGTTCTTGAAATCATATACTGACTGTTTCTTAACGTGTTGCCAGATTGAGGACATGCTGAATGAGGTGAAGTTCAGCAAGTATGTGGAGACTGGGCAGTATGTGAGCGACATCGACCTCGGAGACTTCATCAAGTGTGAGTACAAGCAGTACAGACAAACCTGTGTCCAGTTACATGTGATTAGTTGACCACTAATTAGTTGATTAGTTGACTGCTGTTCAATCCCAAACGCAATCAACGGGAGACAATTACATGTAATTATCTCCATTTAATAGCCACTATAAAACTTTACGAAGGTTGTTGTGTGATTGGAGGTTTTGTTTTCAGTGTATGTGAATCATCGGCCAGCATTTGGCCTGTCCCCGGAGAAGATCTTGTGGGCGTTCGACACCCTTGGGATACCCACTGACCAGGGTCCTGCTGTAGAGAGGGGGGAACTGCTGGAAATACTGCAGAGCAAAGGTATGGACTGACCACCACTGACTCTGTATATGTTGTACCTGGGTATACCACTGACCAGTACTTGGTACCTGGGTGCACCACTGACCAGTACTTGACACCCTGATGTACCCACTGACCAGTACTTGACACCCTGATGTACCAACTGACCAGTACTTGACACCCTGATGTACCCACCGACCAGTACTTGACACCCTGATGTACCCACTGACCAGTGCTTGGTACCTGGGTGCACCACTGACCAGTACTTGACACCCTGATGTACCCACTGACCAGTACTTGACACCCTGATGTACCAACTGACCAGTACTTGACCCCCTGATGTACCCACCGACCAGTACTTGACACCCTGATGTACCCACTGACCAGTGCTTGGTACCTGGGTGCACCCACTGACCAGTACTTGACACCCTGATGTACCCACTGACCAGTACTTGACACCCTGATGTACCAACTGACCAGTACTTGACACCCTGATGTACCCACTGACCAGTACTTGGTACCTGGGTGTACCACTGGCCAGTACATGGTACCTGGGTGTACCACTGACCAGTACTTGGTACCTGGGTGTACCACTGACCAGTACTTGGTACCTGGGTGTACTTACTGTGCATACAGTTCTGTTTTGATGAGTGGCCTCTCTGTTGCAGGTGAACACATGACGGAGTACGAGCTGGCCGAGTACCTCACCACTCTGATGGGCTTCAACCCCGAGGGGGGCAAGTGTGAGCTGCAGAACTTTGACGCCACGGCAGCGGGGGACCTCATCGACCAGAACCTCCCCTACACAGTCACAGGGGAGATGTTCTCCAAGGAGATTCTAGGCTTCTCCATGTACGATGGCAACTCCACCCAGCCCTCGTAGACGGCGCTGTACATGCCCTGGGTCTTGTTGTATACAGTTGAACAAGTGTAGGAGTGTGTTTATGCTGGAACTATGGGCCTCTTCTTACAAATGACCCGTGGTTTGGTATTGCAGTCAGATTTGGTCACCCTCGTCAGTGTCTGGACCAGGTGAACACACGCTGGAGGTTATTAGCTCAGTGGACAATGATGTTAAATGACGTGAATGCTATTGGAGTTATGTAATGTGAATACTGCAACAATTTGTGTTAATACAACTGAGACTCATATCATGTTTTACGTTATATTTAAGATGCCACACATTTTGAATAATAATTACTTTTTTGGAAGGTTGTCAATACATAAGGAGGAGAATTGATGGATGTCAACTTCTCAAGAAGTTCCATTCTCTTCCTTATGTGTGTTAATTCTGATTGTCATTCAAAGACTTGATTGTCAATACAGTTAACATCAGATAATTTTATCTGTTAAAGCAAATCAGTCTGAACTTCAGAAAGGCAACTCTGGTTTAAGTTATGTTACAACTTTTTCTTTTTATGATTTGATAACATTCCCAAACTCTTGGTACTCAGTTGTGTCCAAACTGTTGTTATTCCATTGTGTCCAAACTGTTGTTATTCCATTGTGTTCCAAATTGTTGTTACTTGATTGTGTTCCAAACTGTTGTTACGTCATTGTGTCCAGAACTGGTGACACCATTCAAGTTACACCCACTGGGTTTGTATGTACAAATGAAACAGTGGCAGACATTGTTTATTTTCAAGTTGTGAATAGTAGCCTGTTGTAGATATGTCAACATGTAACAAAAGCTGTGATATGTATATTGGTCAATAAAATAATTATTTGCTATTATGACATGCTGATAGTGTACAGTGACACCCGTTTGTCAGGAAACCTGATTTCTAGGTGATTGTTGGTGAGAAAGACACTTTTCTTTGTTACAAACCTGCTTCAAAACAGAATCTTGAGATGGGAACAAACAATCTAAAATATCATTTTGTACGTTAACCCAAGCAACAGGCAGCCATTTTGTCATGATACCAGATGATGAATTAAAGGGCTCACCGATTACCATATTGTTAAACATGACTGAAACAGAGATGTATATTTCCATAACGCTGCAGCTGATACCCCTTTTCCTCAATCGGATTCACATCTTCAAAGTCTTCAGCAACTCATGCTTGCCGTAAAAGGTGACTAACGGGATCGGGTGGTCAGGCTCGCTGACTTGGTTGATGCATGTCATCGATCTCAATTGCATGGATCAATGCTCATGATATCAATCACTGGATTGTCTGGTCCAGACTCGATTATTTACAGACCGTCGTCATATAGCTGGAATATTGCTGAGTGCGGCGTTTAACAACAAACCAACCAACCAAACATCTTCACAGTAGTCATAAATTCATCAGCTCATCATCGAGCCTTTTCTATTCGTCCTTCATTAGGGCAAGGCAACCATGCAGTAGTTGTGCCGCCCTTTTGAAAGAATCCTGCAGGAATAATTTATTATTTTACATCGGCTGGCATCTAAAATATACAGTTGAGTGTGTTCAATCATACTGTATAATACTGTATGTCCAGATGTGTTTTCAATAGCATCTAGAATATATATGATATATGGGGGAAATATACGTGAATCATTAGGCAACGATTTGAAAATTCTTTGAGCTATGCCCAATTGTGCTGTGGCGGATCAGTTTCTAAGTTTGTCAGCACCATACCCGTGCTCGTGGGTTTCACCAAAGTGGTAAACGTCTGAGACCTGTATCACTTTGGGCTTTCCTCCCACATTAAGTTGACACGCCGCGATATAACTGGAATAAAAGCAACGTTAAACCCACCTCACTCACTCACTTGACAGAACTTGACCTATACTCTCCCAAAAAAGAAACACCTAAATCGGTCAACTTGGGTCACGCAATTTTGGGGGAATGTTAATTTGGAAGTCTGTAGACATATAGTCTTCAGTCAAAGAGACGTGATTCATCAGAAAGCCAAGCGTTGCCGGTCTTCAGCAACCCATGCTTGCCGTGAGGGGTGACTATTCTTGTCGAAAGACTAACATGATCGGGTGTTTGGTTGATGTATGTCATCGTATCCCAATTGCATAGATCGATGCGGATGATGTTAGTCACTGTATTGTCTGGTCCAGACTCGATTATTTACAGACCGCCATCACATTGCTGTAATACTGCTGAGTGTAAAACAACAAACAAGCAAGCCAAACGTGTTGCCAGTGTTGCTTCAGTGGTGGTCCAAGATCTGCCACTTCGGGGCCAATCTTGTGTGGAATTGTATTGCTGATCTCCTTCCCAAAGATGATAAATGGTGCTCTGGTGAGCGTTGAAAGTCAGGTGCAACTGCTGACTTGAACTCCCCTGCCTCAAAGCTCCGATGGCGATGTTTCTATTTCCAGTGTGTTTGATCCATGGATCAAACAGTGGTTAGTAAATGTTTGAATGCAATGTGGTTTTAAATAGGCAGTATCCCTGCTCACGATTCCACAGGTGGGTATTGCATATAGTACATGACATTTTCAAACAAATTCACACTACCTCACACAGAAATGCATGACAGTTTAAAATTGAGCATGTTGACTCACTGTTGGCAAAAATGTTACAATATCACACAATTTCAGAAAAATAATTGAAATTGACTCTTTTTCCATACCACCTATGTTTTGGGGAGGGCATATTATCTGACTATCTGTGTAAGTCAAATTGAAGAATAAAATATGCAATAATGTCCAAATAATGTCACAGGATCCTGTCACGTTCAGGGGATGCAACCATGTATATCAAAATACAACAAGACAACATTGACGGTACACACCGTTTTTAACGAACTACACGCAGTAGTAGATGGTACTTGTCCTAGTCGGCACGAAGGAGGTACCCTGAAAAGAAACTGAACACTCCACCTCGTAGTGTAGGGCTGCCGTTCGACACTGCACAATCGACACTCACATCGTCCCCGACATTGACGTGGAATATAGAGGTATCCGTACCTTTAACATAAGTTTCAGCGATAGACAGATAGTTCATCTCTTGGCCTTGCTTCATGATTCGATAGTCTGCAATACCAGCACTCTCCGACTCCAGGGCAAGTGTAAACATGTACATTCCTGAAAGATTAGTACCACAATTGCAGCAAGAAAGTAGTTCTGGAAGTTTTGAGGATACGTAAAGGACTGACATGGGTTTCAAACCAATGTTTCAATGCGACCTATCGGTACAGATACATACTGTAGGTCAAAATGAAAACAAAACATCCATTCGTTGCCATACTTCAGCAACGCTTGTTTACAGGACTGCTTGTTTACCTGATACAGGAATGCTTGTTTACCCGAAACAGGAATGCTTGTTTACCCGATACAGGAATGCTTGTTTACCCGATTGAGGAATGCTTTTTTACCTGATACAGGACTGCTTGTTTACCTGATACAGGAATGCTTGTTTACCTGATACAGGAACATTTGTGCTTGTTGACCTGATACAGGAATGCTTGTTTACCCAGTAAAGGAATGCTTGTTTACCTGATACAAGAATGCTTGTTTACCTGAAACAGGACCGCTTGTTTACCTGATACAGGACCACTTGTTTACCTGATACAGGAATGCTTGTTTACCCGATAAAGGAACGCTTGTTTACCCGATACATGAACGCTTGTTTACCCGAAACAGGACCGCTTGTTTACCTGATACAGGACTGCTTGTTTACCTGATACAGGAAGGCTTGTTTACCCAATACAGGAACGCTTGTTTACATGATACAGGAACACTTGTTTACCTGATACAGGAATGCTTGTTTACCCAGTAAAGGACCGCTTGTTTACCCGATACAGGATCGCTTGTTTACCCGATACAGGAACACTTGTTTACCTTATACAGGAGCACGGAATACCTTATACAGGAACGCTTCTTTACCTGATACAGGAGCACGGAATACGCCGGAGCATTGATTGTATCCTCCTCCAATGTTGTTCTTCACGTCGTCAAATTTGATGGGGCTCTTCGGAGGATATTTCCTTGGCGTTCTCAAGAATGCAGTGAAGGAGATCGCCGTGTCTGCAATGATTTACTTGCAGCTTTGAAATATGAATAGAAGGATGTGTGTTCTAAGTGGCAATGACATGATGTAGAAATGTCCCCCCCTTACATCCACTGTTAATGTACAATTTGATTTGTTTGATTGTTTGTTGTTTAACGCCGCACTCAGCAATATTCCAGACATGACGGTGGTTTGCAAATAATCGAGTCTGGACCAGAAAATCCAGTGATTGACATCATGAGCATCGATCCACGCAATTTGGATACGATGACATGCATCAACCAAGTCAGCGGGCCTGACCACCCGATCCGGTTAGTCGCTTCTTACGACAAGCACAGTCACCTTTTACAGCAAGCATGGGTTGCTAAAGACCTATTCTACCCCGGACCTTCAAGGGTCAGAGCGGAGCCTTGAAAGCCATATGAAAGCACTGAGCTCCAGACAGTGGATCTACGATTACAACGTATTGGGTCCTGTCACAAAGATCGGAGACACAGCTCATCAGGAACTGGGCCATCCAAGCCATGGTCCTGCTCCAGACGTTGGATCAAAACCTCGCAAAGAGATGAAGAAGCATACCAGCATTGCAAGGTTATTTTCATCAACAGAACACATGGATCTGCTGTCTTCGTAGCAAATAGTTTTGTTTATGTTTATGCAGAGACCCTATACCGGCATGGTTTATATTTTGTAAATTGTTTTGTGCACTGTAAGCTCAACGTCATTCCTGTTTTGTTGTTTAACGCCGCACTCAGCAATATTACAGCTATATGACGGTGGTCTGTAAAATAATCGAGTCTGGACCAGACAAGCCAGTGATTGACATTATGAACATCGATTCATGCAATTGGGATCGATGACATGCATCAACCAAGTCACCGAGCCTGACCACCCGATCCCGTTATTCGCCTTTTACCGCAAATATGGGTTGCTGAAGACCTATTCTTCACGGGTCCAACGTCATTCCTGGGGAAATCCGATCTTTCACTTTAACATAATCACAAACCTACCTGTGTGTTTGGTAAGAAGAGCTAACTGGTTGGTGATGTTCAATATCTGTGTGGTCTGTTTCTGCACAACAGCCTCTAGATCCCCGACACGCTTGGCCAGGCCCTCAAAAGTCTCCTCGTTGTGCTGTGAGGCCAAGGGAGCAATTAGCGGCCTCACGGAGATCACCTCCACCAACACAAGGAACACTATACCAAGGGCCATGTCGCTTCTGTGTTACAATACTTCTGTCAGTATTGCTCGCACTGTGTGAGATTGTGCAAATTGCATATATTATGTTGGTGTGAATGGACACCTGTCCCGAGATGTACCTTTATCTAGGTAGATTATCCAATCTGGTGAGGGAGTGGTCAGTTATGTCATATTTAGTAGATTCCTCTGAATGTCTTAACCAGACCTTTGGGACTGTAGTGAGTGAGTGAGTGAGTTTGGTTTAACGCCGCTTTTAACATTATTCCAGTTATATCACGGCGTGTCAGCTTAATGTGGGAGGAAAGCCCGAAGTGATGCAGGTCTCGGACGTTTACCACTTCGGTGAAACCCACGAGCACGGGTATGGTGCTGACAAACCTAGAAACATAATCGGGGCGAACCGGGATTAGAACCCACGATCATAGGTTTCTAGCGTGCCCAAGGGACGCAACTCTGCATAGCGAATCGCGGCGCCTTAGACGACTGGGCCACCCGTGCCCCCCTTTGGGACTGTAAGCTTGATTTAACAAGAGTGCTCTGAGAGCACAACATCCCCTGCATGAGTTTTTTTAACGAGTCAAATGAAGCTCCTTAAAACAGGGGCAGTAACTCTGTCAAAATTAGTCGAAACAAAACGGGACTGCGATATGCGTATCATCAACATGTCGACATCTTGTGCGTAGAGTGTCAGGGATATTCTCTGGAAACTGGAGGAGGAGTTGATTTCACAAGCTTAGTACCCTCTCTCACAATAAGGCAAAGGAAGCTCCGTTAAACATTCTGGCCGGTGGGGGATAAAAACTTAACTGTAAGCTAAATGTGTCAAGTTAGTTGTCACTGTCAAACGGTTCCTTGACACCCGTATCTGTGTTGGTTGGCATTCTCCATATGCAGCAACATTTTCACTTTAAACTCAAATTTCACTGGGTACTGCAGCATGTGCATTATTTGTGTTGCATTCAGGCGATTGATTCTCAACCATGTAGTACCGCTATTTGGGGTTTTGACCCAACCTTCAGTTTGGTAACGTTTCTTTTCTCGTCGGTTTAGCATGGCAAAGCATCACGCAGCCTAGCAACGCATCATGCATAGTTCCTCTAAATGGCTACCATGAACAAACTACTGGATCGTAACATCCTACATACATTGTCATCAAGACATACACAAAAAAAGTCTTTTCTCATATACTCCTTGATGAAAATCTAAATAACTTTACGAACCTACATACCCACTGTGTCAGGCCATGTGGTGAAACCCACAGCAAGAGTATGGTGCTGACAAACCTAGAAACTTTATCAGGGTCAAACAAATATCTGATAAAATGACGGCACTAAATACAAAGTGCTACTATGACTACAACAACTTACCATTGATATGTAGATAAAATGAATCTTATTCATCACAAAATTACGGTCGTACTTTTCTCTAGTTCAGGTGATGTATCTGGTCCACACCTTACATTTATTTTGTTTTTCTTAACACTTGAATAATTTGAAAGAGTTACTAAAATACATTGAGTGAAACACTTAAATAAATTAAGTGTGGCCTTAAACAACAAAAAACAAACCAACAATTCATTATAACATTTATTTACATTGTAATCACAGTGTCATTCCAGCAGCCAATGCATCTTCAGCCTATCACTCTTGTTGCCGAAAAGTCCCTTGGGAGGTGCAAATGTCACCGATGTCGTCTTCATCGTCTTCCGACAACGCTTGATCTCCCTCTGTATCAACTGCAACAACACATCGTGACAGTAACATGAAAGAGGGGTAGGGAAGTGTTATATATCACAATACAAAGAGAAGCAATGTGATACATATTGCAATACGTACTGGGACCCAAATTAATATTCTTGTACTGTTCAGATGATACTTCTTCTTTCAATAATCCAGACTTCCGATTGCGAGATGGGTAGTATAAATAAAGGTGAGTGAGTGAGTATGGTTTGACGCCACTTTTAGCAATATTCCAGCAATATCACGGCGGGGGACACCAGAAATGGGTTTCACACATTGTACCCATGTCGGGAATTGAACCCGGGTGACGAGCGAACGCTTTAACCACTAGGCTACTCGACCGCCCCTATAAATAAAGGTGACTACCTGTTATGTCATCAATATGGAATGTTAACGTAAACAGCATGAAGCGTGTGCTGTTAACATGGTTCAGAAAGGAACCCAGTCCATCCAAATGCTTCAAGATTTATAATTTAGCGTTATCTATAATTATAGATTTATTGTTCGGTGATTGTATTGGAAAATATCAATACGCAAAGGCTGTATTGCAATGTGTATTGCTGATGGATGTATTGCGATATACTGGTATGCCAGTTACATATCACACCCCTATAGTTGAATATCAGATATGTCACAGCACTTTGCAGGCCTTAGATGTTTACCACTTTGGTAAAACCAACAAGCATAAGTATGGTGCTGTGCTGACAAACCTAATCATAATCATGCTGACAAAACATAATCTGGGTGAGCCGGGATTCAACCCATTGATCATAGGAGTCTGGCACAACTAAGGGAAGCAACTCTACACAGCGACATGTGGTGCCTTAGATGACTAGGCCACTTGCGCACCCTCCAAGTCTTTGAGAGTGATTTGGGCACAACTTTGAATAGTAGGTATTTTAGCAGAATAACATTTTGTCTATCACATCTTATAATACACAATACCTTTCTCGACTCCAAATTTAAACAAATAATTTTCCTGATTCTGATTTCATAGACTGTGGAATAGACCTAGCTAGAGTTGGCTAGACTTGATATTGTATACATATCTAGATTGTTTTTTTCCCCATAAAATACCGTATACGACGTAATAAGCGTCCAGGGCGCTCTCAAAATTAGAAATAGGGGGCTCTTATTAGAATATAATTTTGGTGAGAAAAAAACAGAGTTGAAAGATCGTAAATTTCGTGGTTAATGATGACAGCCTGAAAATGATACAAAAGAAAAGTCTGTGCATATAATACATGACCGAAATATTTTCCAGAGTTTATTTGCCCATACTTAAGGGTGCGTATAACACATGAGTGCGGATTATACACAAAGAGATAAGCGTACATTGGTCAATCGGAAGGGGTGCTAATTGGGATTGTTCACTAGCCAATATATTAGCAAATATCGTGGGCGCTTATTACGTCGTATACGGTAAATATATGCCACAGTCATGCTGCAGAACTAGTATTTAAGCTGTCATGAGAGACCCTTGGAGGAAGTAAAAGGTAAAAGTTGCAGATTATAATAATTTTGGTGAATCACAGGAGTATGGTGCAGAAAAAGTATAACAAAATACACCCCATAAATCTCGCACTCGGACCCGAACCAGCAAATCCTGGAACATATAAGGAACATAACTCTGCAGTGCTAGCTGCTGCTTGGGAATTCTCACAAAAGACCATTGACTAAAGTGTACCTCGTCTTCTGTGACCTCGAGGAAGTCGGACAGCATGTCCTCCGTGTGGTGGAGGGGCAGGTTGATTCTTGTCGCTAGCTTCACCACCTCGGGGCAGTAGTGGTTCTGAAGGCTCTGAAAACACAACCATGTTTGTAGATCATAGCCTTGTGTAGGCCACAACAATGTGTGTACGTTACAGATTTGTGCATCTGTCATAGCCTTGTGTAGGCCACAAAAATGTGTGTGCCCGGGGTACGTTACAGATTGGTGCATCTGTCATAGTCTTGTGTAGGCCACAACAATGTGTGTACGTTATAGACTTGTGCATCTGTCATAGCCTTGTGTAGGCCACAAAAATGTGTGTACGTTATAGATTTGTGCATCTGTCATAGCCTTGTGTAGGCCACAAAAATGTGTGTACGTTATAGATTTGTGCATCTGTCATAGCCTTGTGTAGGCCACAACATTGTGTGTACGTTACAGATTTGTGCATCTGTCATAGCCTTGTGTAGGTCACAACAATGTGTGTACGTTATAGATTTGTGCATCTGTCATAGCCTTGTGTAGGCCACAACAATGTGTGTACGTTACAGATTTGTGCATCTGTCATAGCCTTGTGTAGGCCACAACAATGTGTGTACGTTATAGATTTGTGTATCTGTCATAGCCTTGTGTAGGTCACAACAATGTGTGTACGTTACAGATTTGTACATCTGTCATAGCCTTGTGTAGGCCACAACAATGTGTGTACGTTACAGATTTGTGCATCTGTCATAGCCTTGTGTAGGCCACAAAAATGTGTGTACGTTATAGATTTGTGCATCTGTCATAGCCTTGTGTAGGCCACAACATTGTGTGTACGTTATAGATTTGTGCATCTGTCATAGCCTTGTGTAGGTCACAACAATGTGTGTACGTTATAGATTTGTGCATCTGTCATAACCTTGTGTAGGCCACAACAATGTGTGTACGTTACAGATTTGTGCATCTGTCATAGCCTTGTGTAGGCCACAACAATGTGTGTACATTACAGATTTGTGCATCTGTCATAGCCTTGTGTAGGCCACAAAAATGTGTGTACGTTACAGATTTGTGCATCTGTCATAGCCTTGTGTAGGCCACAAAAATGTGTGTACGTTATAGATTTGTGCATCTGTCATAGCCTTGTGTAGGCCACAACATTGTGTGTACGTTACAGATTTGTGCATCTGTCATAGCCTTGTGTAGGCCACAACATTGTGTGTACGTTACAGTTTTGTGCATCTGCCATAGTCTTGTGTAGGCCACAACATTGTGTGTACGTTACAGATTTGTGCATCTGTCATAGCCTTGTGTAGGCCACAACATTGTGTGTACGTTATAGATTTGTGTATCTGTCATAGCCTTGTGTAGGTCCCAACAATGTGTGTACGTTACAGATTTGTGTATCTGTCATAGCCTTGTGTGTAGGTCTCAATCTAGCGTCGAAGTTTATGTCGAAATAAATTTTTTAGTAGGGTTGCATTTACAGCAAGTGCATCTTCAAAACATTCCAAACAAAAACTACTGAGTTTCTGAAACACACACAACAGATGCACCATCCATCTCAACTGTATTTCAAATATCCTATAATATTTTTCGTCATGTTATTTCCCAAATAATTATTTGACACGGTACAGCTGTCATTGAGGCTGAAAAAACAAAGCCGAACTGACAGCTAGTAGGCCAATGGGATGGGTTTGTTTTCTTCACAGTATGCTACTCATGCATTCTCTATCCTTAGGGGCGGTGGGGTAGCCTAGTGGTTAAAGTGTTCACTTGTCACGCTGAAGACCCAGGTTCAATTCCCCACATGGGTACAATGTGTGAAGCTCAGAATATTGCTAAAAGCAGCATAAACAGTACTTACTCTATCCTGAGAAGAAGCAAACCACAAATTTTTACTCATAAATAATCTGAAAGAAAAACAACCAAACCACTCTTGATAATTTTGCCAATATTGGCCATGGCCTGGAGTACCAGACACCCTGACGGGCCGTACCTTGATCTCCCATAGAGAGCTCTTGAGGGCCTCACACTTGGCTGGGTCGGGTTCATCGTACAGGAAGGGATCCGCATCCAGATCTGGGGGAACACAGAACAGCTTGACACGAAAGCACTTACCACCAAAAACAGTTATTATTCATTTTACAATTATTTTTCAATTTGTTTATCATGATCACAAATTCCAAACATCGTTATTTCATCACTCATCAGTCAATTTGTAAAATGACTGAAATATTTTGGCGTATTGTAACTTGCCTACAGGAAAATTTTAACTGATTAACTGATATGATGATCTATGATATGATGAGACTCGTACGTGGTACGAGTTGAAAGCGCTAGTCTATTAAAACTGTGTTCAATCTTACTCCACTTATTTAATTATAACTATATACTATTATACTATATATATATATATATATCCGTCAGTTTGTTATATCCGTCAGTTTGTTATATCCATCAGTTCGCTATAAGCATGTTCGTCATAAACGTAGTTTACTGTATATGTGTCCACGGGTGATGGGTGAGCGTACAAACCCATGGAAGTACTGGTTGACACAAGGAAAGAGGATTAAATCATTGGTTACTACCAAGTTATATATTTGTTTGTTTGTATGATGTTTGACATCGCACTCAGCAATATTCCACCTATATGACTGATGGCAGTCTGGAAATAATGAAGTCTGGACCAGACAATTTAGTGATTGACATCATGAGCATCGATCCACACAATTGGGATACGATAACATGCATCAACGAAGTCCGCAACTCTGACCACCGGATCTTGTTAGTTGACAAGCAAAATCGCCTTTTCTCAACTGAGTTATATTATCCACCTGTTACAACACTCATTGTAATGACATATCTAGGTTCTTGATTCGATAGACACGCACAAACACACACACCATATATTATGTGTGATAATTTACCCTTTTCATTGAAGATCGTGTTACCATGGTCTTACATGTATTGTCTCAATGACCACCACTAACCCTTAAAAAAAAGCACTGTACTTATTTCAAAAGCACTGTAAATTGAGACATAAGCCTTGAATGTATGTACGGGTATCACACTACAATACGAGTTGAAAGATATGTCACATCAAGAACATTACGGCTGTATAGTGAACAGACCAATAATTGGAATCTCTCTCGACACCCTTGCAAAACGACCAGGATCATTGTTCTGGAGAACTGTGCTTATGAACTAGAACATTTGTGAATGTTTGTGTTTCTGAAATAAGAACATTCGCACAAACGCTATTTGCTACTCGGATATTCAACATCGTGAAAATCGTAACACGTGGAATAGACCATGCGAGAGGTGTTGTCAACAGCAGCCTGTCATTACCACTGAACAGGCGAGTGGTCATATATTCGATGGCCTATCGTCATATTTGTATGAGAACATAGCAGGCGAGTGGTCATATATTCGATGGCCTATCGTCATATTTGTATTAGAACATAGCAGGCGAGTGGTCATATATTCGATGGCCTATCGTCATATTTGTATGAGAACATAGCAGGCGAGTGGTCATATATTCGATGGCCTATCGTCATATTTGTATTAGAACATAGCAGGCGAGTGGTCATATATTCGATGGCCTATCGTCATATTTGTATGAGAACATAGCAGGCGAGTAGTCATATATTCGATGGCCTATCGTCATATTTGTATGAGAACATAGCAGGCGAGTAGTTATATATTCGATGGCCTATCGTCATATTTGTATTAGAACACAGCAGGCGAGTAGTCGTATATTCGACAGTCTATCGTTATATTTGTATTAGAACATAGCAGGCGAGTAGCCGTATATTCGACAGCCTATCGTTATATTCGGATTAGAACTTTGCAGGCGAGTGGTCGTATATTCGACAGCCTATCGTTATATTCATATTACCCTGAGCAGGCGAGTAATCATAGGTCATATATTCTTTCATTTCAGTCATAATAGGACTGTATCATTGTCTGCAGTTGTGCAAAAAGAAACATAGAACTAAATTTTTAAAATGAATCAAAATATCAGTGAAAATGTTTTGTGTTTATAAAGATAACACTGCGTAACATTCATAATGCATGATGTCATCGCATGTCTGTCACAACATACTTCTGCGAACTGAAACTGACTTAAAAAGTCAAGTTTAGGTCAAGTTACATTAGTTTAAGCTCAATCTATATCGAAACATCAGCCCCTACCTCCATCCCAACCAGTGGTTGAAGTAATTCTATAACCCAACAAGACAGTCGGGCAGGTGACCAATAAATGTTGCTTTCCCATCTTTAAAGTTACCTGCCTGCATTCAACATTATAAATATTGAAAAATATTGAAATATCACCCAAAATAAAAGACAAATCGCGTGTCTTGATTCGCTTGAAATAATGCAAACAATGACATGAAAATCTAAGAGAACCGAATATGTGAGTAGTCTTAAAATTATCTGCCAGACAGGTTGAGCAAAATTTCAGTCAGACAGACAGACAGACAGACAGACATACAGACAGAAAAGTTACCAGCCACGGGAAGGTGGGCAGCCAGTTTTTTCTAACACTGATCCCAACCCCAAGCCACCTTTGATCAGGTGGTCAGACTCAGTGACTTGGTTGAGTGATGCAGGTCTCAAACATTTACCACTTCTGTGAAACCCACGAGCACGGGTATGGTGCTGACAAACCTAGAAAAATAATCGGAGCAAACCAGGATTCGAACCCACAATCATAGGTTTCTGGCGTGCCCAAGAGACAGCAAATCGCAGTGCTACGACTGGGCCATCCGTGCCCCCTAGACAACCAACAAACACCAGCAGTCGATGTGTGTACCTACCTGTGGGTGCGTCCGGTCGATTGATGAGCACCTTGCAGGTGGGATGGCGCTTCAGCAGGTTGCACACAAAGATGATGGCCGCCTTGAGCACTGGAGCTGGAGCTGTGAGGGAGATCCGAGACATCTTCTTGGCAAACGCCGCGACCAGATAGGATGGGAGATGCCTGAAAACAAGTGGTGAGTGAGTGAGTGAGTGAGTGAGTGAGTAGTGAGTGAGTGAGTAGTGAGTGGGTGAGTGAGTGAGTGAGTGAGTGAGTGAGTGAGTGAGTGAGTGAGTGAGTGAGTGAGTGAGTGAGTGAGTAGTGAGTGGGTGGGTGGGTGGGTGAGTGAGTGAGTGAGTGAACGAGTGAGTGAGTGAGTGAGTGAGTGGGTGAGTGAGTGAGTGGGTGAGTGGGTGAGTGAGTGGGTGAGTGGGTGAGTGGGTGAGTGAGTGAGTGAGTGAGTGGGTGAGTGTGTGTGTGAGTGAGTGGGTGAGTGGGTGAGTGTGTGTGTGAGTGAGTGGGTGAGTGGGTGAGTGAGTGAGTGAGTGAGTGAGTGAGTTGGTGAGTGAGTGAGTGAGTGAGTGAGTGAGTGAGTGAGTGAGTGAGTGAGTGAGTGAGTGAGTGAGTGAGTTGGTGAGTGAGTGAGTGAGTGAGTGAGTGAGTGAGTGAGTGAGTGGGTGAGTGAGTGAGTGAGTGAGTGAGTGGGTGAGTGAGTGAGTGAGTGAGTGAGTGAGTCAGGTTTGCTGCCTTAATATTTGATTCAAGGGAACAAGTCAATCCTCCTCTTAAATTGTTAACATTAGGGTTAAGACAAGGACCCTTGTCTTACATTCCAAATTTTAGAAATCACTGATAAGCATTACAGCCATTTTTTTAAAGGGGGTTTTGTTAATCATCTGAAATGGGAAACATATTTTATTCCACTTTGGGAATATTCTTGTCGTTTGTCATGAACCTGGGGATTATTGAGGGGCTTGGTGCTGACAGATTCCTCTCAGGAGTAGTATCTAAGACCCTGGGTCGTAGAGGATGATCCAGGTGTTTCACTTACGTGGATGTGAGGAAGAGATCTGTGAGATGGAAGAACCGAGCGCGGTACTTGACGTGAAACACGGCCGGCTCCAGCAGGGCGTACAACTTCTCATAGAAGTCGGGGTACTCGCTGGAAGCACAAGGAGCAAAAGGACCATTCAGTAATCTGTAGTAACTCTTCATTTCTAATCAAAGAATTTATATATTGAACCAATCAACACGTTCTGACATTCTGATGAGGGAACATCACATTTTATCAAGCATATGTCAGAACATTCAACCAATCAAAATGTCCTACTACATGTGGTAGTTTCAGCTAATCAACATTATCATTATTAACACTTGTTCACAATCAAATGTGATCATGAATCAACCAATCAACATTATCCCAATCAAAAGTGAGCGAGTGAATATGGTTTTACGCCGCTTTTAGCAATATCACGACGGGGGACACCAGAAATGGGCTTAACATATTGTACCCATGTGGGGAATCGAACCGGGTCTTCAGCGTGACGAGCAAATGCTTTTACCACTAGGCTACCCCACCACCCCCAAAATCAAAAGTGATCACGAACAAATAAATCAACATTATCACAGCCAAACAATCAATATTATCACAATGAAACAATCAATATTATCACAATCAAAAGTGATCAGAATCAACAAGAACGAAATCAATCAATCAATCAGTTATGATCACAATCAAACATATTCAGCCAATCGCTCGACCAGCAACTATATGTGATCGTATTGAACCAGTGAATAACACCATATCCTACTCACAGGTTGTGTTTGTTGATGAGAAGGAAGAGACCATCCAGGGCCAAAAGACTGATCACACCACCTGAAAAAAAAAGTGTTTTTACTCAATACCATGAACTAATAAATAAAAAACCTCACCCAAGTATCTGTTGAAATGAAATTCATCATCAAAAACTGGCTCCCACAGGAGATATCGCTTGGATAAGATCAAGCGATATCTACACTGTAGATATCGCTGCAATGAAATTACATCACAATGCTTTGCAGACCATTGTGACATCACTGGTTACCATGACGTCACAATCAAATGACATCACTAATAGCTCTGCTACTGAAGCTGTTAGCAGTACTTTTTACACTGAAGACACTGCTAATTACTGTCTACAAACTGAAAAAAGTTGGAAGAATGATGTTGGATGATAAATAAAATCTCACCCTCGTGTCTTTTGACATCAAATATATCAACACTCGTTGATAAAAGTGGCAAAAATCCTCGGCAAGCCTCGGAATTTTTCCACTTTTATCAACTCATTTTATATTTGATATCAAATGACACTCGATTGAGATTCTCTATATATCAACACAAGTGGAAAAATCTTAAAAGGTTAAATTTGTATCCCAAAGGGTTGATTTATTTGATATCAAAATACATTTGTGTGAGATACTATTCAATTATCATCCCAAATCATTATTCCACCATTTTCAGTAAGTAAACAGTAACAACCACTGCCTTGAGTGTAAAAAGTACAGCTAATCTGCTTCAGTGGCAGGGACATTAGTGATGTCATTAGATTGTGACATCATGGTAACCTATGATGTCACAATGGTCTGCAAAGCATTGTGATGCAATTTCATTGAAGCTGTATCTCCTAGGAGATATGTATCAAACATTTCATAACTAATGAGTTCAATAAACCAAAATGGTTCATTAAATTCTTAACGTTTCATTCTATAATTGCAACATTGAAATGGGTTGTACAATCAAACTGTCATTAACTAATGCTGCTGTAAGTGTAACATTTCCATTGAATTAGGGTATTCCCACAATTCTGTTTCAGCAAACAAACACTTTCTCCTTCCTTGCATCTGCATAAGTGACTTCTGTAGTAGCCATTCTCTGGACTCAAAAGTTTGGTAAGGAATTACTGGTTATTCAAAAGTACCTACCCACAGCATATGACCTCGTAAGAAAGTAACAGAGTAACTGGTTATTTAATAGTACTTACCCACAGTATAGGACTCCATAAGAAAGTCACAGAGTTACTGGTTATTTAACAGTACTTACCCACAGTATTGGACTCCATAAGAAAGTCACAGAGTTACTGGTTATTTAATAGTACTTACCCACAGTATTGGACTCCAAAAGAAAGTCACAGAGTTAGTGGTTATTTAACAGTACTTACCCACAGTATAGGGCTCCGTAAGAAATTCACAGAGTTACTGGTTATTTAATAGTACTTACCCACAGTATTGGACTCCAAAAGAAAGTCACAGAGTTAGTGGTTATTTAACAGTACTTACCCACAGTAGAGGGCTCCGTAAGAAAGTCACAGAGGTACTGGTTATTTAATAGTACTTACCCACAGTATAGGACTCCGTAAGAAAGTCACTGAGCACCAAGGGATTTGACAGACGTGGCATGACCTTGTCTTTGGCAATGATGAGCACCTTCTTGTACAGCGATGCAGTTAACTGTAATCAGACACGGATGCCATACCATGAGGTGACAGACATGAAATCAATACTTATTTAGTTGGGGGATACACCAGCAAAACTAACGTACCTCAACATAAAATGTACATCTGTACAATGTACGATGCTTTTGTTATGAAGGTAACATCAATATTATCATCTGTATTTGTTGGAATTTACTACTCTTTATCACTCAGATAAATAGGGCTGTGTATTTTCACACAGGTATCTGAATTGTGATACATATTGCGGTGTATTGGGAACTAAGCTGTTTGACAGTGATTGACACTGATTGTACATGCAGATCCTTTTTTCAACATACTGAAGCGAATATTACTCTGCATGGTCAGTTGCCACCATTTTGTAGTCATGGATACAGGGGAGATAACAATGTGGGAGAAAAATCACTCCTGCATTCCAGTCGGCTGATTTGTCAATCAATTTCGAGGGGAAACTTGTTATATACTTTTTATGAAAGGCATATTGCAGTACGACAGTAAAACCATGCAGTCCTACAAATATATGTTGTGCTGCAAACTTACGGTTGCATCATGGTGACTTGTGAACAATCACAACTGCACCAATACAAAACATGTGGTTCACTGTTGGGGACGACATCACATTATTACTTAACACGTCATTTGTTGTCCTGTCTGACAAGAACTGGGTCTGAGGATCAATTCTGTCACGGATCTCCATGGATCAAGCATGAGTAACGAGGGTTCTATTATGCCCTGACATACTAAAGGGAGACAAGCATGAGGTACTGGGCTTCTATTCTGCCCTGGAATCCTAAAGGGAGACAAGCATGAGGTACTGGGGTTCTATTCTGCCCTGACATACTAAAGGGAGACAAGCATGAGGTACTGGGGACTATTCTGCCCTGACATCCAAAAGGGAGACAAGCATGAGGTACTGGGGACCTATTCTGCCCTGACATCCAAAAGGGAGACAAGCATGAGGTACTGGGGACCTATTCTGCCCTGACATACTAAAGGGAGACAAGCATGAGGTACTGGGGACCTATTCTGCCCTGACATACTAAAGGGAGACAAGCATGAGGTACTGGGGACTATTCTGCCCTGACATCCTAAAGGGAGACAAGCATGAGGTACTGGGGACCTATTCTGCCCTGACATCCAAAAGGGAGACAAGCATGAGGTACTGGGCTTCTATTCTGCCCTGACATCCTAAAGGGAGACAAGTATGGGGAACTGGGCTTCTATTCTGCCCTGGCATCCTAAAGGGAGACAAGCATGAGGTACTGGGCTTCTATTCTGCCCTAACATCCTAAAGGGAGACAAGTATGGGGAACTGGGCTTCTATTCTGCCCTGGCATCCTAAAGGGAGACAAGCATGAGGTACTGGGGACCTTTTCTGCCCTGGAATCCTAAAGGGAGACAAGCATGAGGTACTGGGGACCTATTCTGCCCTGGAATCCTAAAGGGAGACAAGCATGAGGTACTGGGCTTCTATTCTGCCCTGACATCCTAAAGGGAGACAAGCATGAGGTACTGGGGACCTATTCTGCCCTGACATCCAAAAGGGAGACAAGCATGAGGTACTGGGCTTCTATTCTGCCCTGACATCCTAAAGGGAGACAAGTATGGGGAACTGGGCTTCTATTCTGCCCTGGCATCCTAAAGGGAGACAAGCATGAGGTACTGGGGACCTTTTCTGCCCTGGAATCCTAAAGGGAGACAAGCATGAGGTACTGGGGATCTATTCTGCCCTGGAATCCTAAAGGGAGACAAGCATGAGGTACTGGGCTTCTATTCTGCCCTGACATCCTAAAGGGAGACAAGCATGAGGTACTGGGGACTATTCTGCCCTGGCATCCTAAAGGGAGACAAGCATGAGGTACTAGGGACCTACTCTATCCCAGAACGTTTATGGGACAATCTGAAGACACTTCCTACCTTGCATGAGAGAAACTTGAGCCATGTGCTGGTGAACAACTTGGTGTGTTCTTTGGAGGACCCCATCTTGCCTGCCGTGTCTACAGCTGAAACACACGAGTACATGGTCTTCACATAACCGGGAATATAAGAATTCATAAAAACATAAAAAGTATAGTTGACAAGAACAAACCCTGACCAGTGTTGATAACAAGGCTGATCTGTCCAATCAGAAACACTTGCATCAGCCAATCAAATACAAGCAGAAGTGATAATACCCATGTATCTATTCCCACTTGTGCAACAAACTCACCAAAAAAACGAAGACTTTTCGTTTTGCACTTAAGACTCGAGCATTTGTCGAGGAGTCCGAACACATTTGTCATGTAGATGTCCGTCAGGGCCTGAAACACGAACAATGATAGTAAGTATTGTTTACCTTGTGGTGATACCAGGTTTGAATAAGTCCCCAGCAACCTATGCTATATCCCAAGAGTCTGTAACTTATCACACGTTGGAAAACTAGAATGTGTCTCCTGACGCCCCTTTTTTGATACATTAGTTCAAGTTGTTACCGTAAATGTGTTTGCAAATCTGAAAAAACAGTTATAGCAAATTATAGCCTGGAAAGATAATGGTTTCATGCAGAAATATTCATTAGCTGTAGAGATTTGTCAGGAAATAAATGCTACTTGTTGAGACTGTAAATTGTTTCCATGGAAACATGAGAAATTAAAATAAAATGAATATTGACAAATATGAAAAGGCAATAGTTGAGCATGCGGTCCTTGCACATGAAGTGTTTGAGAGTTATAGCTCGGAAACAAAGCCTAGTGTCGTTTGAGACTAAGTCCAAATTGATTCCATGAGACATAAAAACAATAAAATTGTGAAAAACTATTAAATATCAAAAGGCACCAGTTAAGCTGATCAGTATTGTATATGTGAAGTTATTTTAAAAAAACACTGAACATTTTTCACGTTTTGGCTCAAAATAGGATGGAAACACCAACCCCAACAGGAACCAAGCCATAAAAACATGTCTCCCCTCCCTTGAAAATACAAACATGACACGCAATCAACCTGGCCAGCAAATTCATTTTAGAAGATATTGAGACCAATTCTCCCCACAGAAACAATACAGGGAATATAAACATATTAGCTCAATGAGAAGAGATTGAACAAGCGTTAGGGACCAACCATACAATATTCAGAAAGGGAGTGAGTGAGCTTTTACGCCGCTTTTAGCAATATTCCAGCAATATCACGGCGGGGCACACCAGAAATGGGCTTCACACATTGTACCCATATCGGGAATCGAACCCGGGTCTTCAGCGTGACGAGCGAACGCTTTAACCACTAGGCTACCCGACCGCCCCTTCAGAAAGGGAGTTTCAAAACTTATGATTTGGGAAGAGCAACTCCAATACAGATTTACTTCAAGGATGAGCAGCTGCCTACACACAGGCTAACCAACTGTTTCAGTTCGTGCAATACTTTTCTTTTTTTAAACAATTGAATCTGTGGTCAAAATAATTTCCTCGTCTTGTTATATTTTTTTTCTTGCCACACTCACTAATATTTCAGCTAAATGACGGCAGTCGCCAAGTTGCTGTTGCTGAGTGTAGTGTTAAACAGTAAACAAACAAATAATGTAATATGTCTTATTCATTTTGCTCCTACAAAATGTAAAAGAATAATTGTCTTTTTCATAAATGATTACTGAGTGAAACGATTACCTATTCCCTTCGCTTAAAAACCACAGTGGCATTCCATTGTCATATGTGGACTCCTAAACTGGGATAGAGAAAACAGTCTGTTTAAAACTCGTATGCTGTGATAATCCCTGCATATGATTCCTGTCACAGACAATATAAATTATAACATGATTACTTGGCGACTGGTGTTGTCCTCATCCACAGCTGCCTGTGACCTTATTAAGAGCAAACTCAACAAGACATAGTACATTATTTGTTTGTTCACTGTTTAACACTACACTCAGCAACATTCCGGCTATATAACCTCAGGGATTTATTTAGAATTGACTTGGAAAAAGTCATCATGTTTTTTCAAAACTGGAATCTTGTTAAAGTTGTTATTTTCTCAAATCAGGAGGTATATGCATTCAATGTAACTGTGTAAAAATTGAGCACTAAAGTTTTTCAGTCCTCTTTATTGGTCCTGTTGAGAGTGAAGTCATCTCTACAGAGGGCCATTGGTTAGCATTGGTTGTAACGATAATACAGGAAATGGGACTCGTGAAGATCCGGGGTAGAATAGATCTTCGGCAACTCATGCTTGCCGTAGAAAGCGACTATGCTTGTCGTAAGAGGCGACTATGCTTGTCGTAAGAGGCGACTATGCTTGTCGTAAGAGGCGACTATGCTTGTCGTAAGAGGCGACTATGCTTGTCATAAGAGGTGACTATGCTTGTCGTAAGAGGCGACTATGCTTGTCATAAGAGGTGACTATGCTTGTCGTAAGAGGCGACTATGCTTGCCATAGAAGGCGACTATGCTTGTCGTAAGAGACAACTATGCTTGTCATAAGAGACAACTATGCTTGCCGTAGAGGGCAACTATGCTTGTCGTAAGAGGCGACTATGCTTGTCGTAAGAGGCGACTATGCTTGTCGTAAGAGGCGACCTAGCTTGTCTTAAGAGGCGACTATGCTTGTTGTAAGAGGCGACTAACTCATTGGGTGGTTTGGATTCAGGCATGTTAGCACAGAAAATATCAAAATAAAGAAAGCAGATTGGTCTTGATCTATTATAATCAATATGTTTTTGTGGGTCTTTCCCGACCAAAAGTCATTAACATTTCAAATTAACATGTTTAAATTAATAAATCACCTTTGATGAATTCTTTTGCAGATGTTTGTGAATACACTGGAGAGTCTGGTAACGGACATCATCGTACTGGAGAAAGTCCTGGAAGGATTCCAACAGAAGTATGGCACTCTCATCACTAGACAGGAAGTGGGTCATTATTTCCTGCAAGCAGAAAAAGGTTGTGGCCATTTTCAAGAGTATCCTATAGGGTTCACACGTATAATGACCGGTAGCCTACAAGGTCAAAGCCAAAGATGTATCACTGATCCCACAGAGTATTTGTTCGACAAATGTGTATAGTCTGGTTGACAAAGTGTCAGTTTAAAACATTTTCAAGACATAAAATTTATATCTTGAAGATTTTTTATGCATATGAGTGAGTGATCATAGTTTTCTGGAATGCCTAAGGGACACAACTCTGCATATGAAATTGCATCTTTTAAAAGTTATGCAATTGTTAGAGTGAGTGAGTGAGTGAGTGAGTGAGTGAGTGAGTGAGTGAGTTTGGTTTAACGCCGCTTTTAACAGTATTCCAGTTATATCACGGTGTTCAGCTTAAAGTGGGAGGAAAGCCCGAACTGATGCAGGTCTCAGACATTTACCACTTCGGTGAAACCCACGAGCACGGGTATGGTGCTGACAAACCTAGAAACATAATCAGGGCGAACCGGGATTCGAACCCACAATCATAGGTTTCTGGCATGCCCAAGGGATGCAACTCTGCACAGCGCAACGCAGCGCCTTAGACAACTGGGCCACCTGTGCCCCCTGTTAGATGAGATCTTGTGTGCATCACAAAAATAAAACTTACCGCAAACAAAGACTCCGGGAAGAGTTGTGCATGTGATGAAGACTTGGTTGTGATTGGGTGACGACCCTCCGCAGCCACAAACATCATCAGTACACGCATCGACAGTTTCTGAGACATAACGAAAACATAGGCATTGGATACACAATACTATTGTTTGTTTGCCATTAAAGCAAAAATGGATAGAATTATCAGTAAACCGCCTGCATGTTATCAAGAATCAGCGGGCCACTGTAACTTGATAATGCCCTCATATTGCTTGCTGACGGGCCATTATCACGCCCGTTGTTAGGTGACGTCATAGGATAGGGATAGGTGACGTCACGTTCAATAGTGACATCATCTGGTTTGTTCTTTGACGTTTCCATATTTGTAAAAATTAGTCAGTGACATTCGTGTTGAATGCAGTAAATGTTCCAAAACCGATATTGTTGTTTCATTTTATTTGATAACAAATTCCATCAATTTTAGCTATAATAACGGTAATGCTATTTTTCAGGGCATTATCATTTGCAGAAGCCCTCGGTCTTTTCAACTAATTGAAGACCTCGGGCTTCTGCAAATGATAATGCCCTGAAAAATAGCGTTACCCTTATATCATTAAATGCCTCATTGAACAATAGCCGTATGACAGCAGCCTGTAAATAATCTAGTCTGGACCAGAGAGTCAAGTGATTGATGTGAGCAACAATCGACGTCGTCGGCGTACGATGACACACTACAACCAAGTCACGGAGTCAGGCCTGCCGATCCGGAAAGTCCCCATTTAGGCCAGCATAGATTGCCGGGGTCCGATTCTAACCCAGAATCCTCACGGTACTAGCCAGGATGAGCGGAATGTGAGGAAATATCAAAATCATGACAGCGTCCACAGTATTTAACTTTCTCACCAAACGCAACAGGCTAACGATAGGTTATGGTAAACAGTAGTGAGTTTATCGAGTTGCAGTGGTGTACAGTTGGTGTATTTACCTGTATATGTCTGTCTGTACAGGTGAGTTTGTCCAGGAGGGAGGCCCCAGTGGCAGTGGTGTACAGTTGGTGTATTTACCTGTATATGTCTGTCTGTACAGGTGAGTTTGTCCAGGAGGGAGGCCACAGTGGCAGTGGTGTACAGTTGGTGTATTTACCTGAATATGTCTGTCTGTACAGGTGAGTTTGTCCAGGAGGGAGGCCACAGTGGCAGTGGTGTACAGTTGGTGTATTTACCTGTATATGTCTGTCTGTACAGGTGAGTTTGTACAGGTGAGTTTGTCCAGGAGGGAGGCCACAGTGGCAGTGGTGTACAGTTGGTGTATTTACCTGAATATGTCTGTCTGTACAGGTGAGTTTGTCCAGGAGGCAGGCCACAGTGGCAGTGGTGTACAGTTGGTGTATTTACCTGAATATGTCTGTCTGTACAGGTGAGTTTGTCCAGGAGGGAGGCCAGTGGCAGTGGTGTACAGTTGGTGTATTTACCTGAATATGTCTGTCTGTACAGGTGAGTTTGTCCAGGAGGGAGGCCACAGTGGCAGTGGTGTACAGTTGGTGTATTTACCTGAACATGTCTGTCTGTACAGGTGAGTTTGTCCAGGAGGGAGGCCAGTGGCAGTGGTGTACAGTTGGTGTATTTACCTGAATATGTCTGTCTGTACAGGTGAGTTTGTCCAGGAGGGAGGCCACAGTGGCAGTGGTGTACAGTTGGTGTATTTACCTGAACATGTCTGTCTGTACAGGTGAGTTTGTCAAGGAGGGAGGCCACAGTGGCAGTTGTGTACAGTTGGTGTATTTACCTGAACATGTCTGTCTGTACAGGTGAGTTTGTCCAGGAGGGAGGCCACAGTGGCAGTGGTGTACAGTTGGTGTATTTACCTGAACATGTCTGTCTGTACAGGTGAGTTTGTCAAGGAGGGAGGCCACAGTGGCAATGGTGTACAGTTGGTGTATTTACCTGAATATGTCTGTCTGTACAGGTGAGTTTGTCCAGGAGGGAGGCCACAGTGGCAGTGGTGTACAGTTGGTGTATTTACCTGAACATGTCTGTCTGTACAGTTGAGTTTGTCCAGGAGGGAGGCCACAGTGGCAGTGGTGTACAGTTGGTGTATTTACCTGAACATGTCTGTCTGTACAGGTGAGTTTGTCCAGGAGGGAGGCCACAGTGGCAGTGGTGTACAGTTGGTGTATTTACCTGAACATGTCTGTCTGTACAGGTGAGTTTGTCCAGGAGGGAGGCCCCAGTGGCAGTGGTGTACAGTTGGTGTATTTACCTGTATATGTCTGTCTGTACAGGTGAGTTTGTCCAGGAGGCAGGCCACAGTGGCAGTGGTGTACAGTTGGTGTATTTACCTGAATATGTCTGTCTGTACAGGTGAGTTTGTCCAGGAGGGAGGCCACAGTGGCAGTGGTGTACAGTTGGTGTATTTACCTGAATATGTCTGTCTGTACAGGTGAGTTTGTCCAGGAGGCAGGCCACAGTGGCAGTGTACTGTTGCCTCAGCCATTCCCGATACTCGGCTTCCTTATCTGCAACTTCAACATGATAAGCAAGATGTGATTTCTTCCAGTTTTAGTTAATCTCACTAAAATCTGACTTTCTACTCTGATTTTCTACTCTGATACAGTACCTCTCTGCTTGAACATCTGGCAACGCCTCTGTGTGTGTGTTTGTGTGTGCGTGCTTTAACCACTAAGCTACCCCACCACCCTTATATAATAGCAACTGGAAGTGTGAAAAACAAAAATGCAACAAAATTATATTAAAAATCGACTGCAGGAATGCCAGCCTTTAGGATGAACAATCTATGAATGATTTTACACACAGACAATTCTAAACTGTTAAATATCTGACTAAATACAACCTTCAGGCGTGTATTTATCTGTGAGGTGAAGCAATACATAATGACAGGGCAGCCATCTTTAAGATTGGAATTCTGGGCAGCAGTTCATTACAGATTTCTTTGTTGGGACTAGTCTGCAGCTCATTTTGGACTTATGCTTATGAGAAATAAATACATTTTTTGATAAAACAACTTGTCTTACTAGATTGTTACTAGTCTCGGACTAACAGACTAGTGGCTGTGTGTACCTCTGGATCATGCATACAATGTTTCAACATCCTCAACAGGTGAGGTGAAGTGAAATTGGGTTTAACGTCGCGTCCAAGATTATTGCAGTTATACAGCGACGTGCATGCACGTGTATGTATGTGTGTGGCTGCTTGTTCTAGTCCGGACTGATGCCGATTTATAGTGCTGGCTCACTGAGACACCATGCCGCAGTTTAACATGAATACCCCACTCAGACACAGTATACTAACTCCGAGCTGACCAGCCCTTGTTTTAGCCCCTTAATGCCGACCATCTTTTAACGTCTTTTAGTATGACGAGGTCGGGGATCGAACCCCGGACCTTCCGCTCTCCGGGTGGGCGCTCTACCATTAGACCACGGAGGCGGTTTCAACATCCTCAACAAACCTCATGGTTTAACTGAACATTTTGAAAGGGCATATGAATGGACAGGTGATAAAGCATCCCATTACGAAATCCACATGATATGAAGCTTCATTTCAGTTGAGCTGAAAACTGAAACCATAATTAAAACAGTTGCTGTGGTACCATATTGATAACCAACCCTAAATAAGAGTTACACCACTTTATGAAGATGAATTCAGTTTTAGCAATGTGCAACAAACCTTTCGACTTTTCATCACTTGAACTGCCACACATTTCTTCTGTAGAGATAAACTTTTCAAATATTCTTTGCAGTGCATTGATGCAGGCTGTTAGGACGTCCCTCTTCTCAGACTGAAAAATAAAAAAAAAGTTAAGACAGTGTCTCTGCCCGGAGGACTGAAAAATAAAATAAAAAGTTAAGAAAGTGTCTCTGCCTGGAGGATTACATTGTACACACCACTGTGAAGACACATGGCTGCTTACACATGCAGTCTCTATTTTTAAATACAAAACGCCAGAGAATAACCAGTCTTGATTATCCGCCAAAGCAGAGTCCAATGGGCGTAAAAGGTAGGGCTGGACGATACACCAACTGTGTGATCACAATACCTTGCTCAAGATCCGATACGTATCACGATACTTGCATGTGCTCTTATCTGTGGTGTGTAAGCCAACTTTTTCATCATTTTCAAATACCTGGCACACAAATGATTTACAGTTGGCAGTGTCAAGTATGGCGCAATGGAAATATTTTTGTTTTCACTACTCATTTTCACTAGAAATTATGTGTATAAAGAAGTAAAAACTTGTGTCCCACAGATGCATCGGAGTATTGTCCCACTACAAGTAAAAGGCAAAATTGCTGTGAAAATCATACGACTGTGTCTCTGAAAATCAGTCATGACACCAGGTGTCAGCGAACAGGTTAACCATGTCCTGCCCTACCAGTAGCACCCGCCTCTCACACAATTTGCATAAGAAAGTGTGAGTTTGTTTCTTGCCCAATCTCATTAAAATCAGACCTCAGTTCTCGCTACCGCCAAACAAAGGTCTGAGGACATCCCATTAGGGGTCACGTCAGAACGACCTTTCATCCGACCAATCAGAGCATCGCTTACCAGATTATGAAAGGGACAGTCGGAATGTGATTTCTAATCATGCAATCTCGAAAACTTTAACTCCGAACAATAGTTACAGGTTTAACAACTGAATCCATACAAGCTAGACCATCTATTAGCCATTCAAGAATGATTTTTGTTCAGGTTTCAAATCTGTAATCGAGAATTTGTCAAAATGTTTTGAAGCGTAGTCGCCATTTTGAAATTAGTGCCGTAAAGCACGAGAAAGCTGCCTTTTGATTTGTCATTCCATTGGTCGGTCAAAGTTTGCGCAAGGTCTGACGTGACCTGTAATGGGATGTCCTCAGATCTTTGTTTAGTGGTAGCGAGAACTAAGATCTGATTTTAATGAGATTGTTTCATGCCTGACGCCATATATGCAACGCAGCCTGTAAACATGACCACCAAGTGATGGACCAGAAAATCAGTGAATCAAGCGATGGTCTGGTTCCTTTCAGGTGGAAACCAACGAGTGGTCGGACCAATGAGAGTTAAGCTTACATCACACGCCACTCTACACATGGCTTCACTAGCAGTCCAATGGAGGGTCTGCACGAAGAAGGGTCCATTGGGCTTCAGCAAGTTATACACGGCCAGTCATCAACATCATCAACTGCATGGTGGCCATATGTATTCAGATTTGTTTGTTTGTTGTTTAACGTTGTACTCAGTAATATTCCAGCTATATGACGGTCTGTCAATAATCGAGCCTGAACCAGACAATCCAGTGATTGATATCATGAAAGGCAAGGAGATGAAACGAAGATGGCGGTCAGAATTTCTGTACTTCCTAAATTCAAAATGTTTGGCTCTCTATTCTGATGGTTTCTAAGGAGACAATAGGCTATAAAAAAACATTTTCACAATCTGAATGTTTATCTACAATTTCTAAACGATGTTTTGCAGCATTTTACACGACGCAGAAATGTGATCCAGTATGCACAAATGAATAGAATGGATGCAGACAAAAGAAACCTTTTGTCCTAATGGACACACAATTATATTCATTGCACCAAATTCTAGATAAGACATATAAAGGTTCTTCAAAACAACAAGGTGTTGTCTACCACATAAGTTGTGACAGCAGCAACACCTATGTAGGGGAAACTTCCTGACCCATAAACGTCATCAAAAAACACAAAACATCTACCACCAAGTCAGACCTATCTTCCCGAGGCAAGAGAGTTAACTGACTATCAAAGTCCAGTTTCCACCCTTGCCGAACTAGGCTGGTATTATGGAGTTACAGTTTGGCTGGACTAACGAGTCTATGCATAGTCCAATCAAAATCGCGCAACGAAATCAAAATCCGGTTTGTAAACTGTCGTGCAGATTTCGGTCGATTGCAGGATTTGCAGAGCGTATGTACCGCCAACTCGTTGTCAACAGATATTTTTCAAATCTTTTAAATCAAGGTGCTCTTGTGATTTGATGCACTTCGCGATGTAAACACCCATTTTATCACAATATAGATCTTGAGTTTTGATCAGAACGTCTTGACTGGGCGCCGCCATTTTGTTTGAAGCAAATGCAAGTGGTGGAATTACGAGAGGTGGAATTTGAATGGTCCATAGGAGAGGCTTAGAAGGGACATAACTCGTAATAACCACTGGTGGCGCTACAATCGAGCCCAGGAATTCCAGCCTAGTTCGGCAAGGGTGGGAACTGAACTTTTAAAGTCAGTTAACTCCCTTGCCTCGGGAAGATGAGTCAGACCGAAAATCAGCCATTTCTGACCACATTACCAACTTCCCTAATCAAATTACAGTAAACTATGTTTATAATGAACATGCTTACAAAGAAATGACGGATATAACAAACTATTTCTTGGTCCCATTCATTTGCTGTATATATGGAGTACATATGCTCATAACGAACTATGGTTTAAACGAATTCAAATTTGTGGTCCCTTTGAGTTCGTTATAACTGTAGTTTACTGTATTATGTGGGACAATGTACAAATCCTATCAAACAATCTCCATGACTTCACCAAACCAAAACGAAAACTAGCAGAAGCAGTTCAAATCCACTGACACAACACATCAATCAACGGAGATCAAGTACACCTCATCCCATCTGCCTACAATGAATTGAGAAAACAATAGAACTACCATCTCTAATTAATCCTATCAGTTGCATATTTGTACCCAGTCTTGTACAGTTGGCTTGTTTGTGTTACTATAGCAACCATTATCCTTTGTTGTTTTTGTTAAACCCTTTCAAGCATACCCTTATGTTGTTTTGGTTAATCCTTATCAGATGTATATTTAAGAAATAAAAGACAAGAGGGAACTGTTTCTCGTACAATAAAACACTGCAGGGAGAATAAACCATCAGTGACACACAATAAACAACTTCCACTCGTTATTTACTCCTGTAGCCTTTTTAAGCATGTCAATAAATTGCACAAGCATTGAAAACATTTACCCGCATAAAATGACGATGACTCCCTGATTATAATCCAACCTCGGCGATGCCAGACAACTCCATTTTATGTACAGGGGGTTTAAGTTTGGTATTCTCACAATTTTTACGTCAATTTTCAGCACCTGTTCTTCCTATACCGATTGTCATATCTCTCCCACTTTTGGGTGCGATTGTCCGGCCATTGTGTTCATCTGCGCTGTGAGGAACAACTCAATAGATACTTCCCTCTCAAAACTAACGTTGCGCTATTTACGACGTCATCAAGTTGCGAGCGCATGTTCGAATCTCCAGAAATGACGTCATAATAGAACAATGTTTTATCATCAAATAAACCATGCTACGTTCTTCATTGTTCTTTGCGACTTACCGCGTACCTATATTAGATAAGCCTGTACTGTCCTGTCTTACTTCCCTCTTGCATGACAATGGAATAAAGATCATCATGCATCATGATTTCATACTTCTCCATACAAGTATCCATCGCAATCACACACTAAGTAAAAAGTTTCGATTCTTACCCTAAATGTTTTCTTTGATATAAGTTACACCAAACACTAATTACTAGTGAAAATGAGTAGTGAAAACATAAATATTTTCATCCATTGTGCTTTACTCGACACTGCATACTGTAAATCGTTAGTGTGCCAGGAATTTGGCCATCCTGTTCATGAAAAAGATGGCTTACACACCACAGATAGGAGCAGATGCAAGTATCGTGATATGTATCGGATCGTGAGCAAGGTATCATTTTATGTATCGGATCGCACAGTTGGTGTATCATCCCTGCCCTATAAAATATCTTTTGTTTACTGTTACTACTAACTTCTGATAATGCCAATGCAACAGGTAAGCTCAGTCATGTGTGCCTATGACGCAAGTGGCCCGTTTACCTTAACACTTCGTACTCCCATTCGGTTAGGGTACTCATATTTCGGCTACATGATGTATACATAGAGGATTCATCACGAGTGTTTTTTAATATGGGAAATATCAACCGAGTCTTAGTAAATCGGTATTTGCCGAGCCTTTGGCGAGGCAAATACCGATTAACGGAACGAGGTTGATATTTCCCATATTAAAAAACACTCGTGATGAATTCTATTTATGATTTTCACATTTTTGCTTCCCAATTAAGGAATAATTGCATTAAACATTATCATCAGCAACTTGTCAAAATCTTACGTATAGATCGTGAGTAGTGATACATGTTTTCCATAGCTGTGTAAACCAAAATAAACAACCTCTTAACTCCTTTATGGCATATTCCTTCGCTGAGAAAAAAAGTTCCTCGGATTATTTTAAACAAAATACTTGAACAGACTTTTGCAGAATAATTGATATAATGTCTCCAACATCAAAGGTATCCATGTTGATGGTAAACACCTACTCACGTGCACCGGCCAAAAAAGTCCCACTTCCGGTTATCTAATTTGCATATCTAATTTGCATACTTATGTCATTGGGGTATGACATACATGTTTTTATGTCATAAGCTTATGTCATGGATAAATGCTTTAGTTAAATGATCAAGGTATTTACCTGGGCTTCATTTATGTAGTACATATGCTGACAATGATCCAAACAGCCCCATTTATCTTTGCTATCCTTGTAACAGCATATTATTATTTTGTGACACGTTTTCATATCTGATGACGTAAGTGATAGCTATTGTTGGTGATAAATTACGGAATTCTGAAATACTTTCCTTATTTAATATTTTTTGGTAGAACATTCTTCTATATCATTACCAATCCTTAACCCAGTCCTACAGGGCTGGAACGTGTCCAAATTTACTACCCGGGTACCCAACCTTAAATTTAAATTTGACGGATGGCTTGTTTCAGGACTTTTGACTGATAGAAACACTAAACAAGGTGTCACTAGTTTCATAAATTAAAAAGCAAATATTAAGGATTATTCCCACTTACATTATCAATTCCATAATTCAATGCACAGCCATAAAAAATCGTAATTGAAATGTCTTGGTGTCTTTGCATCATACTTTCTGTATCGTAGGGAAATGCTGCCAGGAGCTATAGTGACTTAGTCAAGCACTTTACTTATTGCAAGATCATTGGCCAGATCATATTTATTAATTGAATCAGAAAGGGTATGTCATTGATTTGTTGTTCTGGTTTTTCCGCCATTTAAGTTGATTTGTAAGCACATGGCAAAAGCAATTTTTGTGTCTTTTTGTATTCAACTTATTGAATTTTGCCATCGACTAATTACATCTCTTGGGTCCAAGTCATTGACCTATATAAAAGCTTTTTGAGTCAACATCACTGGTACCGAGTTATCCGTCCTTTTTAGCAGCATATTAGATAACGTGCGGTAATTACATTTTCTGTCTGAATACACCCTCCCCATTGGAGTCATGATATGAAATTACATTATTCGGAAATATTAGTCAGTGGTGATTCTGTCACAATAATCTTTAAGTTTGAGCTGTCAAAAACGCTTAAAGAATGTGAATAGAATTGCTGACGAGTTTTCTGGGGAAATACGGTACTCGATAAACACTGCTTCCTCGAGATCGCTGGCAGCGATTTAACACTTGGGCCACTTTTCTGGTGTTCATATTCCAAAAAATAAAACACAACGAAAACTGTTCATTCTTACATCCATGTGTGAAATGATATCGACGACATTGTTGATCTGTTTTCTACTTTCGAGGCATAAAGTCGCTTTCTCCTTTATCACATTCACGATATTACCCTCCATGGGAGCAGCCATGTTTTACCACGTGCAATTCAACCAATGAGATCGCCGCTCCTAAACCGTACGGGAAAACGAAGCGTTATACATTTCCGCGCATGTGCAGAACGAAATTAACAGCCTCCATAGTTGATTAGGACGGTGGTGCGTGTTTCAGCGATTTTCACAAAGGACTCGTGCAGAATTTATATAGAACAAATGCATTCTGCGAAAATGTTGAGCTAAGTTGCCCAGAAGGTTGGAATTGGGGTTAATGGCCAAGGATGGATGGTAAAACCTCCATAAACCTCTAAATTTCCGTCAGGTAAGCACAGCGATTTCACAATCAAAATGGCGCCCGCTCATCATAATGCCGCAGTGCATAAGCATGCCGCTTCCCGCCATGGTACTTACCATGTGTTATCTGAATTAGTGAAGAATTTAACTGTTAGTATCAAGAAAAAATACACAGTAATAGACGATTTTGGTGCTTTAATTTTTTTACACTGACAACATCTATATTTTGCAAAAATCGCATTATTGTGTAAGTGTATCTAAACATCTAGGCCCTAACATCAATATATGCAAAGAATTATTTGCGCAACAGTTTGAAGAAATCAGTGCGTTAACTCAACCAATACATTTTATTTCCAGAACATGTAGGTAGGCCTAGACTTAATTTCCCACGGATATTCTTGGATGCAGCTTTAGACAAATGTAGCCCAATAACACACACAAAATGGTGAATGAAATTGTTTTGAACAATAACTTTATGAATATTCCTCCAAAACTAAAATGCCTAAACACTCAAGCAATATATTTGCACAAAGTTAACACTAACAAAAGATGTAATGGTGCCTGTTCATGGTGTCATGTAAAACTGGGCCATACAATCTTGAGTGAAGATGCATCTTTGTTTTAGGCCTAGTGGCATTTTCTAGGTTTTACATGATTTTGTAGCTCAGAGAAACATATCTTATTGATTGCATAGGTGTTCCGTTCACCTGAACTGATGAATTGATCCGACTGCACATCCCATGGATAATTTCCAACATAATGAATCTTAAAGTTTTATGGCAGGGCAATTTCATGATCTTGAAAAGTTAATCCAAATTGATTACTTTTCAACCATTGGCAGTTAAAATGAGGATTTTAGCATTCTGTTACAAAAGTATAATATTGATTCTCATATTCACCAATCACATATTCATATTCATTGAACTTGTTCAAAACAATTCAATTTCTAGGTTGAGACATTAATTGTTGTCCACAGCAAAGTTGACTTGGCTATATCTTCAGACTGGTAGCTTTAGTCGTAGGCTACACATATTTTGCCCCGAGGGTTGTTTCTCTCATAATATAAAAGTAGCTTTGGTTAAATCATTGTGGGTCTACTTACACTACAAAACCTGCCTCAACAAGGCATTTCCAGTAGAATTTTGTCTCAACATGCTAATCTTTCTGATTAGTTTAAAGCAAACTCAGTTAAGAAATTCATCGGGGTTTTGATTATTTTTTGCATCTAGGTACCCCCAAATGTTGTAACATTAGCATTATTACAAGGACACTCGCGTCACTGTATACCAAGGCTGGTGACGCAACCTAGTGGTTGAAGATTTCACTTGTCACGCCCAAACCCACGTTTGATTCCCCATGTGTACAAAGTGTGAAGCCCATTTTTGGTGTCCCTCGCTTGATATTTTGAGCCTCATTCAGTTAATGAGTTAATACTGGAAAATATCAGTTTGTCATTTGGCCCAAGCTGACTCATGGTACAGTGGGGTTGATATTTTTGGGAGGTGCTAACAAAACACACAATTTTGTGATAAAAGTGGAAATAGACGACCCATTCTCTCTCTCTTGTCCACCTGCATGCACATGTGACGGGTAGCAGGACAGGGTGTGTGTCAAAGGACTTTATTCAGGTTCCTTGGAACTCAAGTCGAAACTGTCCAATAAGGGAACAACAGTGTTTCATCTCTATTTGCATCACATGGACTTCTGCATTTTATATAGTGCTAATGCTGTTATCTGCACAAATGATGTGTATGTACGACAAAACCCTGCAGTTACTCCATATCAGCTCAATTGGGTTTAACTCGATGTTGGACAGGAGTGTGTACAACAATGTGACCATGAAGTGTGGCAAGGTTTTCGGTCTTTTACTGTATTTTTATTTACTCTGATTTTCTCCATTAGTTGCAGCTTTGTCTAAGACAGTTTGAATTGAACATTGTGGGTTGTAAGGTATTTCAGCTTTCCAACTGCTTGTAGTTGGGGTTATAGTTCTGGGTTAGCAGATGTTATGGTAATTCATTATCCATCACTGTACAGCCATTGAAGGTCATGTTGTTTTGTTTTACATTACCTTCCATGTGGTGAAGTGCATACATACAACAACCTTTATCAGAGCACCTTGCCTGAAGTTTGTTGTTTAACGCCGCACTCAGCAATATTCCAGCTATATGCCAGCGGTCTGTCAATCAGACCAGACAATCCAGTGATTGATATCAAGCATTGGGATACAATGTCATGTATCAATGAAGTCAGCGTGTCTGAAAACCCGATCTCCTGTTTGTTTACCAAGATCTTCAACGCCCATGGAGGGTCCTGTTCAAATCATTGAAGAAATATCTTTCCTTTCATTTCTATGTGGTAATCACCCTCTCATTTCTTGGCCTCGAAGACTAGTTCACAACCGTCTATGGCACCTTTAGCACAGGTGCCAGCATTTAGGAAGATGACACACTACCCTATGGCAGTATGGAGGAGTGCGAGTGTTGGCCCTCAAATGATAACCGAGTACAATCTGTGGCGTGATTTATGTGTACCCACATTTGATCAAGATACAATAATTGAAAACCTAAGTTTCTAAATTCTTGGGCTGTATGGGAATAGATTGATCGCGTAGTGAGTATGGAATACTTTGCCTGATCATCACAAGCTTACCGCTTAGTGTATTTAAACCCCAATTCCATTAAGGCAAGTTCTGGAGATGTTATTTGAACCTTTACTTTCATCCTGAATCGTTTTACTAGTTTGGGAAATTTAACATCTGTACATACTATATACTACCCTTCTTTGGAGCCCTTTTAACCCTTTTTCAAAACTATCTAGTAATACTTTCCCCCTGCTCATATGCTTTGTTACAGTCTCAACATTTTTCCTTTATTGACAATGTAATGTCATACACCTGTTTGTGGCAAACAAAGTTCCTTGCAAGTTCTCGGATATAATGTCATAACTTAATGGGATCCTTTGTCCCCAGCTATTTACTCATAATAAAGAAGTTGACATCCATATGTGTATCACTTTTAAATGCCTTTCAAAGACTTATTTTATTTTTTATTTTCCCCATTTAGATCAACCAGCCCAAACTCTGTAACTAAGTTTCCTTGAACAAAATAAAGAAGTTGACATCCGTAAATTTCTCTTCTATCTATTGATGCTTTGGTTAGAAAAATAAGATGTAGAAAATATCCGGTAAGATGTAATGTGTTGATGTCATGCTTCATGGCTCAGCAACTTCTATGAATTCAAATTTTTGTGGCTTGTTGAAAGTCATTTTGACATGTATTTAAAGTGCAGTCTTTGAATCAGCCTCCTTTTACAAGTGGCTGAAAATGCACCAATCAGTCTAGATCGCAAAAAAAAGATTTCAGAAAAAATTAACTTTTTGCAGAAAAGTCGTGGAATTTGCCCTTTTATCTATCACAGGGTTAGAAACTAACAGTTTTTGGCCACTAGTCCTTATAATGATAACATATAGCAAAACCCTTAAAAAAGGGCAAATTTCTACTAGTCCTTATGATACCTTTACCATTGGGCAGTTTGGCAAGGACGATAGGACTAGTGCCAATTTCTAACGCTGTATCAATACTTATTTTCATTATTGACAAGCCTTTCTATCCAATTTTAAACTCCAAAGATGCCCAAACATTTAAGAAGGGGTTCAGACAAAGAAAATGTGAATCATACAATAAAACCAAATTTGATATACTGAACAATAAAGAATTAATGTTTATTTTGGAATGCAGAAAGTGTACACCGATTTTCTAGAATTTAAGTTCAGTGCTTTTCTATTGGAGTGAAAAGATTTGATCACTTCAGCAAAATATCTGACCTATATTTATTGCTTTAGTTGTAATGTAGCATTTATTCTGTTTGGGATATTTATCAGCCATCTGAATATGAGGGCATACTTCTTCATTGGTGGCTAAATTTGTCTCCCAAGTGAGAGTTGTACAAACTCACAACTGGGACCTTTTAATTAATGTCAAAGACTCGTATTACCCCCTGTATCAGTTAGATACCACTTGTAATATCCAGCTGGTTTACTGATCATTTCGGACCAGTGATATGTATATAAAAAGTAACAAAATGTAAGAATAAAACAAATCCCCTCGATTTCCCATGTCTATCCCAGTGTATTAGTTTTGTTTTTATTCTCAGGAAGAGGGAAAGCATGCAGAGAGGTGATGTAAATGAGGCCCTAAGACAGCAACATGCAGCAAGTGGAGGTGGAGAAGCAGCAGCAGCAGCAGCAACAACTGCTACACCAGCAGCCCAGCAAAATGTGGGGGTTTCACCAGGGACTTTGCCCCAAACTCAGTATGCTCTCGCTACTCAGCTCCAGGCCCTGGCTGGCCAATCATCACCTGCCACTATCGGTGAGTATGCAGTCCTAACTGGGCTTGAACACATCGTGGGGGATACTGAGACTGAAAACTTATAAGTGAAGGCAGGGATAAATGTGGGTAAAGATGTATATTGTGCTGTTAGGTTGGTCATTGGCCAACTGTCTTTAGGACTCAGCATATGACTCACGAAACTGTTTTTGTCGTGTTGTAATTAAAAAAAATTCAGAGATGTTAGAATAGTGTGCAGGCTGATATTCGGCAGCAATATCAGTAAAAAAAGTCTCATATTGGTATTATACATTTAAACTAATGTTATGGCTTTATAGAGGTGAGTTGTATTTCACTGATAACAGGATCAATATAGGGGAAAAGACTTTATGCTTTGTTTAACACTATTGTATTTAATGCTATGTTAAAGTTCAATGTTTAAAAATACCTCAAAATTGGTAACGTTTTAAAACCCAATTGGAACAAAATAGCAATTTTTTGTTGTTTTTTTCTTCCCAAACCATGATCACTGTTTGTTTCTCCTTTCTAGGCCTTGTCCATAGTGTGCGAGGCCCTGTCACAGCGGCCTTCACCTTGACAGCTCAAGCTGCACCCTCGACCGGAGCACACCCTCAAACTGTCACTGTATCACAGGCAGCACAGAGACTCCTAAGCCCTGTACAGAGCCTGGTCTCTGCTGCCACTCCCACCTACCAAGCAAGGACGATCAACGTTCTGCAGAGGCAGCTCAGCGGACAAAGTATGTGCCACTAGTTGTCATCTGTGTTGTACTGGGAGGATAATGATAATGTATATTTAAAAGTATGGAAGTCTATGTTGTGATGAGACAAATGGCATTGAGACATTTTCATGATTATCACCTTTGTAACAGGACACCCTTATTTTGGAAGACAGATATTGTCCCAGAAAATGAACTGATCAGAAAGCCTATAATTTCATAGACAGAATTGGAGCAGAAATGTGAAGAAATTGTTCATTTAGTGTGATGTCATGAGATAGACTATCCCAAGAAAAGATTTAAAAAAAGTGGAATCCTTGAGTGTTGCTGCTATTGTATTTGACCCTTGGGTCCACCAACATCTTTCTCTTCCAACATTAGGGCAATGCCAATGACAGCTTACCTTTATAATTTCAACCACTGCAATAAAGCAAATTGTCTCAAGGAACGTCTCAATTTCATCCAGTGGTGGCCTGCTATTGCCCTAATGCTTTTTGGTGCTTATTATTCTTGCATAAAAACTTAATGCTTTTTTCACACTTCCTCCATACAGTACTATATATTTATGGGCGAGTGACAGCTGTCACTCGCCCATTCTGTCAGTAAGTTTAATGTCATTGTCAACCATATTGACCAACAATATTACTCTAAGATAGTGTTTCTTTTGAACAAAGGTTGAATTTAGAACCTGGGGAATAACGAGTGGTTTCATTGAAAATGCAAGTTAAGTCTAATGTTAAAGTGGATATGTGAGATATTCAGGCATAGCTTCAGAGTGAATAGGTGGGGGTCAAATGACCCTTCAATTGTGAGCAGTTTGGGTGATTTTGTCCTGAATTTCTGAAATTTGCTTCTCGTGTATTTTCAGATATAATAGGTCACTTGATCTGTAAGACCTGACATGTCTGTAGTACTGTTGAAAAATATTGTCGATTTGTGTTGTGAAAATAATGTTATTTTGTCAATTGGTCATGTGAACATACCTGTATTTTCAGGTATTGTTGGTCTCTCAGCAGTACCTGCTCAGGGCTTGCCTCAGAACCTGACTGCCTCCCTAACCCAACCCGGCATTGCCGTGGTGACCACCACCCAATCTTCCGATCCTCGGCAAGTCCAGCGCTCTGTGTCTTTCACTCCTGTTAGCACTGTCAGTGCATCCGGTGGCACCATCCACCACCATGGTCAGAGCCCTACACGGGGTGCCCCTCTTGTCTCCAACCTCCCTCACAACATAATCAGTATGAACGTCAACCAAGCTGCACAAATTGTGCAGAGAAGAAGCAGCCAGGGAGCTGCTTCCAGTAACCCAGGGACTCCAGTCACAGGGCGGGTAGTGCTTGACACCCGGCAGATTTTGTCCCACCCTCTGAGCCATATTACATCGACTGTGACGAGACACGTGCAGAGCACAGGGCAGCCACCAAAGAAAAAGGCAAAATTGGAGGAACGACCGCCAGCTACCCCCGAAATAGCTCAGCAAAGGAAGATGATACTTGATGCAAAGTATAAAGAAATGATGGAAATAAAAGAAAACTATGTTGAACATTTGACAGAACTATTTTTCCTTCAGCATGGAAGGAATTTGATGGATTACTTAGCTTGGAAGAAAAGGCCAACACCTCAACTTGTTGCATTCTTAAAAGCTGGGGCTTTAGACAGTGATGAGGAAGAGGAACACTTGCAAGAAAAACGAATCAATGATGAGGTGATTTATTCACTCTCTAAATTTATCAAATTATTTATTGCTAGGCTAAATATATACGAAAGTTGGGATCTTTCGATTCTTGTCACGATTGACTTTGGAATTTATTTTAATTTTTTTGCAGAAAGAGATTTGTCCTGAAGGATATTTTCATACTGCTTCATTCGAAATGGCACATTTCATAAAGAAAATACTCAATTTTAAAGGAATTGCCCATGTAAAAAGTCATTGAAGTCAAATCAAATCATTGAGATCAAGGGTTATGTTCTGATAGAGTGATGTGGTTTCAGGTGAAAGTATTGACAAGTGCTGGGAGCAATGTTCCTCTTGCAACACCTGTTGCAATCTCAACAACACTTCCGCCCTCTGTGTCAGCGTTGAGTCAACAAGGTATTAAAGTCTTTGCAGACCCTTCCTCCCAGAACACTAACATGAACCCCGGTAGTTTGGACACCTTCAACATTCAGGATTTCCTCAGACAGCTAACTGCATATGCAAAGGGTATTCGGGAATTTTTTCCTTCAAACATGATTTGCATGATGAGCTAAATATAGTGTCTATGTCCTGGTGTTAGCTGTGAAAGTAATAAAGTCTGTGCTTAAAATAATGCACTGAAATGTCACTTGTGGAAACTCGACTAGTAATTGTTGCATGTCCCACTGACCCGACCGTCACCGCAGTCTTAGTTGATTATTGCTGGGTTATGGGGACATTGCACAGCTCATGAACTTTCGTTTAAGTTTCTCTTTCCTGGCTTTGCGTTATCTTCACTGCTTTCCTTGAAATGTAAATAAGGTTTCAAACAAACACCGCTTCAAAAATGCTTCAGTTGTTAAAAGCATGTCGTCCTAAGTTGCAGATGTTCAAACTAAGGGGCACCAATGTTTTACACAATGCTAACAAACTGTTTGATGTGCTTTTCTGTCTTTAGCAAGCGCCAGTGTATGCTTTCTACTATCTATTTCAAGCCCTTTTCCCCTCTGAATTCTACTCTCTGCCTGTCCTCCTAAGTGTTCATTACTGACATAGATCCAAGAGTATTGTAAGTAGTTGTGGGTAGTCGTGGTGGCATGGTACGTAGAAGTAAGACATGGCTTTGCAACAGCACAAGGCTTTTGTGGGCCATCTGTATCTTTGGGTGCTTTGTTTGTATTTTAGTGATCAATGTAAGTTACTGTCATCTTGCAAGTTTGACAGTGTCGGAGGTGTTAACAGTAGTGAAACAAGTATGTTTCCATAATTTATTAAATAACTGCTTTTGAATGGCTTGATTAATCATGGCTTTCTGTGTGTCAAATGTTAGATGTCGACTTTTGAAATGTTTTTGTTGATATTCGTAAAATTTCTTGCAAATCTTCAATGATCATATTCTGATTTGTGCATTTCGTTTATTAAATCTTAATGTCTTAGTTGAAATAAAATAGGAGATAACATTCAAAGTCTCAATTTATTTGATATTTTACGATAAGTGCCCAATCCCACGAAATGTTTTGTAGCAAAACATACTGTCCTAGACTTCCTTTTTCTCCTGGCTTTCCAAGCACAGCTTGCACATGCCCTTTTGCTCTGCAGGGTCAGAGAGCAAGTTGGGTCAAGGGAGACAACCTAGTACTCTCCTTCCCCGCACCCAGTGTGCTGCACAACCTTCCTTGGCAGGTAAACTCATTCTCTACATGTCATTGTTAAATTAGTCTGTCAACATGCAGTGTTTCCGTTACCTTTTGAAACTACCTATCCAACAGACTGGCACTCATTTAAAATATCGGTCCTGGCTATTTTTGACCAGTCACATAATAAATATATTCAACGACATGGTAAACTGTAACAGACGTAGCACGTACACACTATTACCGATTTTGTTTAGATTTCTGAACAACGTTGTACTGCTCTGTTGAAGTTGTAGGGCTCGTTTTCTGCGTGCATGTTTAGGACCATCAAATTATTCAAACGCCGCTCACATAACCTGTTTCTGCTTCCTATGAATATGCAATTTTGGATGCTGAATCCACGTTAGCTGTTACACTATTGACTGGCAGGGCCAAAGCAATCTGTGACAAGCTTGCAAAGTCTGGAAATACCCCTAAAAAGTCATGTATATATAATGAGTTGACAAGTTTTGTCAAATGTACTTGTTCCAGTCACTGCACTCACACTCTTGAATTAGGAAAGTCGCTGAATGCATGTTCTGTCAACAATAGGCATGACATCATCAGGCTCTCAGGGATGAAGTGATGTAGCACAACATTGATAGATTCCTTGCCCAAAACCGAGTTCACCACCTCTTGTGTAGTGAACTCAAGAACTCTCAAGACATCTCAAATCACCAGTCCTATTTTACTCATCAAAAACAAGCAATTCCCAGAAAACGGAAACACTGACGTGCCAAAAAAAACACTTCTAGCTAGCTGTGATTAAAAAAATAGGGCTGTCGTTGAATAGTAATGTAACCAATCCCCCGATATTGCGTAGTTGCAACTTCAAAAAGTCAATGAAAACAAAACATGAATATGTTTTCGAACTGGGACAAATTGGCTACATACATTGACATGATGAAAGTTTTAAGCAGCTCATTTGCAAGCCAAACATTAATGCATTTCTGTAACGCAAAATATATATAAAAAATTATGACTATCTACATGGCACTCCAGTTTCTGAATTAAATTGGCCAATATTGTTAAACTTCAAAAATAGTATTTGATTTTTGAAAGTGTCGATAGACAATTGGAGCTTTTCATAATTTTATCAACTTTTGATAGGACAATCTTCTGTATCTTTTGCAAATCAGAAAAAAATAATCAATCTTTATAAAGTTATGGATGACGTTCAGTCAATGCCCTAGAAAATGAATTGATCTAAATTCCTAGATTAATCTAGAAAAAGATTCTGTACCCATTAGGAAGGATGAAAGATAATCAGTTGAATGGTGAATAGCTGCAAATTTTGCAATGTCCATCATACACTTGGTTAGTTGTAAGGTTAAGCATATACTAGTTCAGGGCCCCGCTCCACAAAGCGATGCTAGTGCAACGACTATCTTAAGCCTATATTAAGATATGGGAGTTACGATAACCTTAGCACTAAGATCACTCTGTGGCGCATCGCCCAGGGTTATGTATCAGGATGGCTTGGATTTTAGACAGTATTTGCACTGGCACAACACGTCTTTTCTAATCAATAGTTACTTTCTTCTCTTGCTTTCTGTTACTAAATCATGTTACCTGTCATCTGTGTTCCAGTGTTCATAACAGTAACTTATTCTTCCAGTTTTCTTGAAAGATCCATGGTGCTTATTTGGACACATAATATAACATGATTCGGCCCAAATGTAACCTTGTACGTTTTTATTAAACATGTCGGATGTCTCAGATTGCACAACAAAATTCACAAGTTTATGAACATATTACATTTTAAATCATGTGCAATTGTTCAATGATAGTTCTGAAATGTTACCCGTTTGATGAAGTTATCATTGTCTGTCAGTAAATCATTGTCCAAGTCCAATTTCAGCTACACCTGGATCTGCTATACTGGGTTCCTTGAGTGGTCACACAGCTGTGACAACAGTGACACCTCACAGCGGCACAAGCACCATCCCCGTACTGTCGTCCACGTGTGTAGCCTCTTCCCAGCTCCAGATGCAGCTTACAAAGAGCATACCCGAGAAGCAGCTTCATATACAAACCACTCAAGCTATAAAAACTCCAATCACATCAGCGTATGTTACTGATTTCGTGAATTGTTTGATAAGCATTTCAGTCTTGCTTGACATTGGTATAAGGCTCTATACCGAAGCTTCACTATTTCGGTATAATAAGGGACTTGTAATTTATTTCAAGCGTGGGTGGGATTGGTCATGGGACTGTATCGAATGTTGCTAAGACCACCACCAAACCCAATTAACTCTATGTAACTTCTTTTTTTTCATTCCCCTTTAATTGATGAATGACATTTCCATAAATTGTGTCAACTGTTGTCTCTATGTTTTCAAACAATATATGACGGAATTCTTTTTATCTATTTCCAAATCTTCACTATTTCAGTGTTTAACATTGAGCAACCACCTTTCCCTTATCAAAAAAAACTTGTCAGAAAACTAGTTCACAGAAAATCTGCTGAGTCTTATTTTGTACAAAGGGAAGAAAGGTTCTTAAACATTACCATCACAGAGAGCTCGTGAAAGGATTTTAATTATCAAAACCAGAAATTCTTTTAAAGGCACTACAGATCTAATATTGCACTTTTAGGTTGTACAGTGTGAAATTTTGTTTTGAATTCGAGACCTTAAAAGGATTCACTTGTCTGACAATCTTGTAAGACAAGTTGCTACTGATCTCGAAGAGTAAAGCCATCAGATACCTATGCCCTGATCACACGATATGAGTGGTTGGACACCTTGTCTGAAACACTGATGTTGTCCAAGTGATGTCCTACAAGGTCTGTCATTGATTGATATTGACGACACATACCTGTCAATTTCCAGGGGTAATACTGTTGCTGCACCTGCTAGACTTCCAAAGTCCCCGACCTCCCCACGACTGCAGACCCGACAGCAATCCATATCAGCTGTGTATGACAGCACAATAGGCTCTCAGGAGGCTATTGTGGAAAGAGCCAAACAGGTAACTGACAAGCTAAAAATATCTACAAGATTTTACCTTGACTTATAGTCTGGAAGGTAATTTAAGGTACCGACGTTTACTACAATATCTGTCCAGTCAGGTCCGATAGTTTTTCAGATTTTGTAGTAAATGTCGGTACCTTAAATTACCTTCCAGACTATACAAATAATTAATTTTAAGGGTCACTGCAGGCAATATGAGGGTCCTGTAAGGTAATGAAATTGTTTAGATTACTGTATGTTTTGATACCTACTTTAGAACCTGGAATGAATCAATGTGGACAATGGTCGTGATTGATGGATAAATGAATTGACAGATATCATAACTGTACTTGATGCTCTGCAGGTAACAAATATTATTGTCTGTCCTTCAGGGCACACAATTCTTTTTCTGCATCTGTGATCAACATTTGTGCTTCACGTAAATCCCTGTCACTATGATCCTAATGTAATAATAATAGTGGAATATGAACAGGGAAGAATCTGAAGATGAAGCAGTTACTTTGGTGGGGATTTTCAGATGTATGTTAACTTGAAAGTTAGCATCTGTTTGTTGAAGGAGCAGCTCAGTAGTTATTTCCATAAATATATTAATCAAGTTAAAGAATACCCATTTTTGTCATACGACTGGTTAATCTGTCAAGTCATGACCGACTATTCCACTTCTCATTCTGTAAGTAGACAATATGTTTACTTTCAATTAAAAGGTGGTAAACTGATGCATCTGTACAGCGTCTTTGGTTTCTTTATTGGGCCCGGGACAATAACTAATGCTACATGACATGGAAAGGGGATAACTTCTGTTATGCCCGGTGATTCTGAGATTATAAAGCGATCGTGTTTCACTTGCAGGAAGCACAAGTGGTTCAACGGGTGACTGAACTGCGGAAAGATGGCATGTGGACGGCGCGGCGTCTCCCCAAAGTTCAGGAACCACAGCGGAACAAAGCGCATTGGGATTATCTCCTGGAAGAAATGACATGGTTAGCTGCAGACTTCATTCAAGAACGCAAGTGGAAGAAAGCTGCTGCTAGAAAAGTATGTAAACATTGTTGTAGAAGCTGTTTTTATGAAGCGCCTTTAGGATTTGCTGACTTGGTAGGCTTAGCATAAACTTCAGCAAAGCAGTTTTGGAAATTAAGCGTGAAAGCCAAGAGGTCCCTGTCATAACCCTGATGTTAAAAGTTGAAGATTCAGTCCATAGATTCAAATAGTACACCAGAAGACATCACGGACCCAAGGATCCATTTTAATTTTAGAACACTTCTCAGTGATTGGATTGCATGTATACTACTAAAGAAGTTCAAGAACACCATTTTTTTCAAAACAGTAGTTCACCTGTGATGACATTACAGATAAACAATACTTGAAAAGTCAGGTGTTCTTTAACTTCTTTTGAGTAGTATATGACAATGACCTTGATAGTCAATGCACCACATCTGAACAGATCAAGCAAGCAAATTGTTTGAGACCTATTTCAACGTATATGTGTGGACATCTAATGAAAATGGTCTACATCATGGAAATGTTTCTTGTTGCGGCAGATTGCCCGCATGGTTCAGAAGTACCACCAGGACCAGGAACAGAAGGAAATAAAGGCTGAGAAGGAAGAAGCGCTGAAACTAAAGAAAATTGCTGGTCAAATGGCAAAGAATGTCAAGGAATTTTGGTCGAACATTGAAAAGGTATGGAAGTCCTTTTGAATGATTTTATTTCCTTTCTGATTAAGCGGCTGCAGTATCAGTTTTTTGGTTTTTTTAAACCTTGAAACTCTTGAAAGAAGTCATCTGAAGCCTAGCTTGAGATGTGTTAAGGGTGCAAGGGTGTCCCAGTCGTGTAAGATGCTGCAATTGTCTGTGTAGAGTTGTCCTTTGGGCATGCCAGAAACCTATAAACATTTTCTGGCAGGGGATAGGCAGTGGGGGGGTTGAATCACTTCTACCAAGATTGCAAACTCTTTGTAATGCATTGTGCTATGAAAAAATGTTTTGTTCAGTTTCACGAGATTGTCAAATATGGCCAATACCAAAGACAGTTGCAACAATTGTACCTGATCTGTAGCCCTGGCCAAAAATAGACTTAAGCATGTCAAGAGAACATACTTTTGTGTTTTCAAATGTCAAATGTTTAAACATTCAACAAGCCAACGAGAGGCTTCTTGGTGTGTCCCTGTACATGGGGCTGGAGGAATTCCTATTACAAGACTCATGCAAAATACATCTATAAGACATGAATAATTGATGATCTTGACATACCAACTTCAGATAAGGCCTAGCAATTTGAATCCCAGTTTTGGGCCCCCCCCCCCTCTCTCTCTTTGTCTTCGCTGTGCAGAGTTCCATCTGTTAGGCACGCGAGAGACATATGATCATTGGTTAGGATCTGTGATTGTGTGTCTAGGTTTGTCAGCATCATACCCATGCTCAAGGGCTTCACCAAGTGGTAAACATCCGAGACCTGAATCACTAGTGTTAGAAATTGGCACTAGTCCTATAGTCCTTGCCAAACTGCCCAATAGTCCTATAGTCCTTGCCAAACTGCCCAATAGTTAGATATCATAAAGACTAGTAGAAATTTACCATTATTAAGGGTTTGTGATGTTCATAAGAACTGAAACAGTTAGTTTGTTATTTTATGCCGCACTCATCAATATTCCAGCTATGTGACGGGGGTCTGTAAATAATCAAGTCTGGACCAGACAGTCCAGTTATTGACATCATGAGCATCCTCCTACATCTGTACATTAAGCTGACACACAGTGACATAATTTATGTTATGTTATACATATTTTTTTAAAATTATCTTTCCTGAATTTACAGGTAGTGCAATATAAACAACAAAGTCGACTTGAAGAAAAAAGGAGAAAAGCATTAGACATGCACTTGAACTTCATCGTGGATCAGACGGAGAAGTACTCCACATGGCTTACAGAGGGACTGCACACAGCAAGCAGTGCAGCAGGGTCATCTGTAGCCACTTCACCTGAACATTCCAGTGAAGGAGGAGATGGTAAGGGCTTTGTCCATCTGCTTCGCAATCTTTAAAGTCTAAATATCAAGGTACTACAAGGGAAGTACCCTTCAAAATGATCCTTGAACAAACCTGGCTTATGAGAAGAAAGTCTCTGATTTTAGGTAACCCAGTCTGTGCTGAAAACTTTTGAGTCTACTCGCCCCAACATGGTTCTTAACATTATTTTCTGTAGATTTTAGTGATATTACATAATAAGCGCCCGGGGCGCTCACAAAATCTGAAATAGGGGGCTCTTATTAGAATATTATTTTGGTGAAAAACAACAGAGTTGAAAGATCGTAAATTTCGTGGTTTATGCTGACAGCCTGAAACGTTTATATACGGCAGATATTATTTTTCCAGAAATTTATTGCCCATAATTAAGGGTGCATATAACAAACGTATTATGCAGGAATGAATAGTCTTGTGTACATTTATCAATCGGAAGGGTCTATTAGCAAATATCGCCTTGGGCGATTATTAGAGCGGGGCGCTTATTACGTCGAATACGGTATATGGACTATTACTATTCGCTAAGCTTACAAGACCAAACAGTTTTTACCTGACTCAGGCTTTGGACAAGTGACAGAAGTCACTGACTGGTTACCTTTGTTTCAAAATGTGTGTTGCCCAAGACAGTTAGAATACTTGTCTCATTCTCATCCCCATTGTGATTCCACAGCAGAAAATGCTTGTTACCAATTGTTTTGAACTAAGAACTCTGAGATAATGCAGCCATGGTTTGCTTCTATGAAATTGTTATAAAAGGACTGGACACTAGAATTACAGGTGATTGAAGTTTGAGACTGACATGACTATTCTGTCCACATGGCAGCAGTAGCACTAGTTGTCTCAGAAATGAGTTTCAGATTTCGATGTCGGTCACTGTCATAGTGATTAGATAAGTAGTGGTCTGAAACACATGCTTCTTAGTTACTTGTAGAGGGATATGAAGGGGTCAGTGTTTGAATAGGTGAGATCGTAGGTTAATATATACGACTATAGCACTGAGTGTCCAGGATAGGTGAGATCTTAGGTTAATATATGCAACTAGACCACTGAGTGTCCAGGATAGGTGAGATCTTAGGTTAATATATACGACTAGACCACCGAGTGTCCAGGATAGGTGAGATCTTAGGTTATTATATTATATACAACTAGAGCATTCATTGACCAGGATAGGATTCATTTACAACTCGGTGGTAGAAACTAATATTTATAGTCCACTCGTCCTTATAATGATAACATATGGCTAAATCCTTAAAAATGGCAAATTTCCCAGTCCTTATGATGCATCAACTATTGGGCAGTTTGACAAGTACTACAGGACAAGTATTAGTTTCAATGATGCAACTATTCCATGCATTGAAAGCACTAATTTCTGTTGATCAAAAGTGTCAAACAACTTCAACATCCAGCAATTGTCTGCTACTTAGCGACTGTTCCAGTAAAATGTCATGCATGTGATGTTAAACCCAGATGTTAACACTAACATCTTCAGAAACTAATGCCAACATACAACTTCTGGTTAGATTATTCACTCAGAAGTTAGGTGCATTGACTGGCTAACAAAAGATATTTTTGATACAAGTTATATTAGATTAATTTTTAAAAAAGATTTGTTCAACTATGACATGCTTGTTGTGCATGATCAGTCATGTTGTGCATGATCCACAGTTTGAAGCTATCAGAAATATTCAGCCATGTGTGAATGCTTTACCTATCGAGACTGAAGTCACTATTTTGTCTACAATGACACATGTAGTGCTAAAGATCTCGAACATAGACTCAGACGTTGATGTTTCTTGCCACTGTCAATGGTGATTAGAACAGTAGTCGTCTGATACAACGATAAGAGTTCATAGAATCTGAAACTTTACAATAGCATAGATTCCTGTCAACTTACTTTCTACCTGTTATTTCCAGCACTAAAACTGTATTATGTTTAGTTTATGACTGGTTGTTATGGAGATAATTGAAGTGGTCACGCACACACATGTATGTGCAACCTTTGTTCTATCAGTTTAAATAAAGCGCTTAATATTTTTTTTAACAACTTCCCACAAGTGATACTTTTACAAGGGAGGAAATAGTGTTAGTGTGCCCAACTTTTACAAGGGAGGAAATAGTGTTAGTGTGCCCAACTTTTACAAGGGAGGAAATATTGTTAGTGTGCCCAATGTTCGAAATAAGCGCTTGCCCTTTGGCCCCTGGCAGATAGGTTGAGTGCGGAGCGCAGATATTCATTTATTATTATTTATTGGGTACATCAGATGTGTGAATGCTTGTCAACGAGACTGAAGTCACTATTTTGTCTACAATGTCACATGTAGTGCTAAAGATCTCGAACATAGACTCAGACGTTGATGTTTCTTGCCACTGTCAATGGTGATTAGAACAGTAGTCGTCTGATACAACGATAAGAGTTCATAGAATCTGAAACTTTACAATAGCATAGATTCCTGTCAACTTACTTTCTACCTGTTATTTCCAGCACTAAAACTGTATTATGTTTAGTTTATGACTGGTTGTTATGGAGATAATTGAAGTGGTCACGCACACACATGTATGTGCAACCTTTGTTCTATCAGTTTAAATAAAGCGCTTAATATTTTTTTTAACAACTTCCCACAAGTGATACTTTTACAAGGGAGGAAATAGTGTTAGTGTGCCCAACTTTTACAAGGGAGGAAATAGTGTTAGTGTGCCCAACTTTTACAAGGGAGGAAATATTGTTAGTGTGCCCAATGTTCGAAATAAGCGCTTGCCCTTTGGCCCCTGGCAGATAGGTTGAGTGCGGAGCGCAGATATTCATTTATTATTATTTATTGGGTACATCAGATGTGTGAATGCTTGTCAACGAGACTGAAGTCACTATTTTGTCTACAATGTCACATGTAGTGCTAAAGATCTCGAACATAGACTCAGATGTTGATGTTTCTTGCCACTGTCAATGGTGATTAGAACAGTAGTCGTCTGATACAACGATAAGAGTTCATAGAATCTGAAACTTTACAATAGCATAGATTACTGTCAACTTACTTTCTACCTGTTATTTCCAGCACTAAAACTGTATTATGTTTAGTTTATGACTGGTTGTTATGGAGATAATTGAAGTGGTCCTGCACACATATGTATGTGCAACCTTTGTTCTATCAGTTTAAATAAAGCACGTATTTTTTTTTTAACAACTTCCCACAAGTGATACTTTTACAAGGGAGGGAATAGTGTTAGTGTGCCCAATGTTCGAAATAAGCGCTTGCCCTTTGGCCCCTGACAAGTAGGTGGAGTGTCGGGCCTATAGTTTCAGATTTGTATTAGTCCTTTTAACAGTCTTTGAATTTATGTGCCGATTTGTTTGTGACAATAAGCTGCATTGTTTTTAAGGAGGGCCTGAGGCATTTAGTAAGGCCAGCAGCTTGTCAATTCTCGGGGTCCTGATGGCGGCCTGCCAATTTGTTACATTTTAAATACTGTGTGTGCCTGCTCTGTAAGCAAAGACAGCTGATTGTTGAAACTGTTCATTATCTTTTTTGTCGTCACGCTGAAGACCCGGGTTCGATTCCTGACATTGGTACAATGTGTGAAGCCCATGTCTGGTGTCCCTCATTGTGATATTGCTGGAATATTGCTAAAAGCAGCGTAAAACCATACTCACTCACTTACAACATTTTGTCATGTGCTAAATTGGAACAGTCCCAAATAAGGAATTGCTTTCACTATCTTCACATACCAGTTTTTCCAGTTTATGGTTAAGGACATTTTAGCCCTGGTTGAATGACTTAGTCAACGAGACTGAAGTCACTATTTTGTCTACAATGACACATGTAGTGCTAAAGATCTCGAACATAGACTCAGATGTTGATGTTTCTTGCCACTGTCAATGGTGATTAGAACAGTAGTCGTCTGACACAACGATAAGAGTTCATAGAATCTGAAACTTTACAATAGCATAGATTCCTGTCAACTTACTTTCTACCTGTTATTTCCAGCACTAAAACTGTATTATGTTTAGTTTATGACTGGTTGTTATGGAGATAATTGAAGTGGTCACGCACGCACATGTATGTGCAACCTTTGTTCTATCAGTTTAAATAAAGAGCTTAATATATTTTTTTAACAACTTCTCACAAGTGATACTTTTACAAGGGAGGGAATAGTGTTAGTGTGCCCAATGTTCGAAATAAGCGCTTGCCCTTTGGCCCCTGACAAGTAGGTGGAGTGTCGGGCCTATAGTTTCAGATTTGTATTAGTCCTTTTAACAGTCATTAAATTTATGTGCGGATTTGTTTGTGACAATAAGCTGCATTGTTTTTAAGGAGGGCCTGAGGCGTTTAGTAAGGCCAGCAGCTTGTCAATTCTCGGGGTCCTGATGGCGGCCTGCCAATTTGTTACATTTTAAATACTGTGTGTGCCTGCTCTGTAAGCTGATTGTTGAAACTGTTCATAATCTTTTTTTGTTGTCACGCTGAAGATCCGGGTTTCGATTCCTGACATTGGTACAATGTGTGAAGCCCATTTCTGGTGTCCCCCATCGTGATATTGCTGGAATATTGCTTAAAGCAGCGTAAAACCATACTCACTCACTTACAATGTTTTTGTCATGTGCTAAATTGGAACAGTCCCAAAAAAGGAATTGCTTTCACTATCTTCACATACCAGTTTTTCCAGTTTATGGTTAAGGACATTTTAGCCCTGGTTGAATGACTTAGTTAACGAGACTGAAGTCACTATTTTGTCTACAATGACACATGTAGTGCTAAAGATCTCGAACATAGACTTAGATGTTGATGTTTCTTGTCACTGTCAATGGTGGTCAGATAAGTAGTCATCGGAAACACTTATCACTGGAGTTGATAAGATCTGAAACTATAAATTGCAAGTGCTATATGTATTTTCAAAACATGACTGGCCTGGGTTATCATTGTCACAGAATAATGGTGTCTTTACTTCCTTTCATTTTCCTGCATTATCATTATCAATTTATAGACAGCGCTGAATTTGTTCAACATCTTCTTACATGTTACACTTTTGTTTTGGATATGTGACTTGTTACTTGGACCTTGTGGACCCTCGATCCATCCACATACCCGCAAGTTCCAAGGGATCAAATTTTATTTAGTTTTACTGTTTACCTACTAGCACCTCATAGGCGGTTTGGGTTGTAATACAAAGAGAGCTGAGAAATATAATCAATTGCATACTGCTTCATTGAATGTGGTTATAATGGTGTAAGTGCTTCAATATGCATGTGTCAACACATTGCTCTAAAGCGGAGCGCAGATATTCATTTATTATTATTTATTATTATTTATTGGGTACATCAGATGTGTGAATGCTTGTCAACGAGACTGAAGTCACTATTATGTCTACAATGACACATGTAGTGCTAAAGATCTCGAACATAGACTCAGATGTTGATGTTTCTTGTCACTGTCGATGGTGATTAGAACAGTAGTCGTCTGACACAACTATTTCTCCTGTTGATAAAACTGAAAGAATTCAGTTGCTGTGTACATTTTGAAAAGAGAATGGAGTACCTACAACTGTCATCCCTTATTGTTTTTATTCTTCCTGCAATGCAGCTTCCAGTTCTGTTTTAAGTTTTTGTCTCAGTAGTCATCTGATACAGTTGTGCGTCTATCTTTGTTGCAAAATTAAGCTGTTAGTACAAAAGTATCTCTGAAACTTAGCTCTTTAAGTATGCAAACCTACACCAACTAGGGAGTATCGTTAACATATATACTTTTTTATGCACTTCAGTCATACAAAGGGGAAATAGACTCTTTGTGTTGAAGAGACAGTCATGGATTATATTTCATATATCATGCAAAAAACCTTAGAAGGTCCGGGTTAGAATACATCTTCAGCAACCCATGCTTGTCATAAGAGACCACTAACGGGATCGCGTGATCGGACTTGCTTGATGCATGTCATTGTATCCCAATTGCGTGGATCGATGCTCATGATGGCAATCAATGGATTGTCTGGTCCAGACTCGATTATTTACAGACTGCTGTCATATAGCTGGAATATTGCCGAGTTCTGCGCTAAACAAAATATCATGTAAAATGTGTGAAATTCTCATATCCTGTTTGCACAACCAATCAAGGATTACTGTGTCCCTGGTGTTTTGTATAAGACCGAGACTGAAGTCACTATTTTGTCTACAATGACACATGTAGTGCTAAAGATCTCGAACATAGACTCAGATGTTGATGTTTCTTGTCACTGTCGATGGTGATTAGATAAGTAGTCGTCTGATACAGTATTTGTTTGCCAAGTCACTATTACAGGGTATATTAGTATTACAAGGTATATGTTAACGGACCTCTATCCATGAGGAAATTAATTTTTATATTATTCTGTATGTTTTTGTTTTTGAGATTCACACCAAAGTTCAGAAAAATCACAAATTTCCTGCTTCCAAAATATTGGGGTATACTCCCTATTCATCAAGAGCTAGATTTTTCTACCACTAGACCATGGCTCCGATACACATTTGAACATGTCTGTACAGCGGTAGAAACTAACCTTTTTAGTCCACTAGTCCTTAAAATGATAACATATAGCAAAACCCTTAAAAATGGCAAATTTCTACTAGTCCTTATGATACCTTAACTATTGCGCAGTTTGTCAAGGACAGTGGGACTAGTGCCAATTTCTATTGCTGTCCAGAATCCCAAACTAAGAGCGGGGAAATCACTATTGTGCTTCAATTAGTGAAATATAACATTAGTTGTACATAACAGTAGTTATGATATATAACATGATTTGGGAAATTAGTGATTCCCATTTGGGAATTTTACTGATACTTGCTGCAGATTCTGAGCAAAGTATAGTCTGCTGAGCAAGTGTAGATGAATCCCAGTAGCATGCTATTGTTGAGTAAATGACGAGACATAAAGAGGATTCAATTGTCTATTAACAATAATGGCAGACATGTTGCTACTGATCTCGAAGAGTACAAAAATCAGATTGTATGCCCTGATCACATGGTATGAGTGGTTGAACACATGGTTGAACAATGAACCTGATCAATGAAATTATACACAGTAAAAACCTGTTTTTCTGGCCAGTACTGTTATCAGTGAAATCCTCTGGATTACCAAATATCTGTATGAATGGATCGTTTAAAGGTGTTATTGGTCATACTCTAAATTATTATTAATTATTTTCTTAACTTTGTGTTTATACTTCATACCTGCTGTCCTGTATGTCCCAGGGGAATTTCTTTTGAACATGATTGGATTATGTTGGACATATTAAAGGTCAAGGTCACTCAGGAATTAGACACCCCAAAAGCTTGTGTATGCACTATATCATGAGCATTTTGATTGGAATTTGATGAAACTTTATGTTCATGAACTCTAGGCACTTCATGGCTGAGATTGACATTCATTAAACAGGAAGTGCTTTTGACATAATTATACAGGTAGCTAGAGGAATGGGACCTTCTGTTCTTAAATGTTATTGCATTGCGCTTATTTGAGATCAATTGTCACCAAATGTGGTCAAGTCAAAATAGTTCATGATACATGTTTCTGATGGGAAGTTATATCATCCTAGCACCTTTCTTGTTTACCTTGTTCTTGTCAGTAAGCCTCCACAAAGTAGTTCCCCAGGATCAGCAGGTTTTGTTCTGGTAGGGTGTCGCTGTAGACAGATAACAAGCATACAATAAATATCCTTATTCTTTTCCAGTGGAGTTCGAACCGCAGGGAACGGCAAGTGATGATGAAGAAACAATTGAGAAAGAAGAAAATGAAGCAGGGATTGATGAGGTTTGTTCACATTTCCTTGATCATGATTTGAATAACTCTTCAAAGGCTAATACGGGGCACGATTGGCCCAGTCGTTTAAGGCGCCGCGATTAGCTGTGCAGAGTTGCGTCCCTTGGGCACGCCAGAAACCTATGATTGTGGGTTCGAATCCCGGTTCACCCCGATTATGTTTCTAGGTTTGTCAGCACCATACCCGTGCTCGTGGGTTTCACCGAAGTGGTAAACCTGCATCACTTCGGGCTTTCCTCCCACATTAAGCTGACGCGTCGTGATATAGCTGGAATACTGTTAAAAAAGGCATAAAACCCAACTCACTCACTCACTCTTAGGCTTATATGCCTTTAAGAATAATCAGGCATCAATCGATACTAATTTAATTGTCCTTCTTCATTCCAGGAAGCAGAAATGAAAGAATTAGAAGAATTGCAGAAGGAAAGTGAACTTCCTTTAGAAGAACTTATTAAATCATTACCTCAGGAGGTATTGGAAAAGCCAGCAAGCATACAAGATGAACCAGAAAATGAAACTCCCCAAAAGTCCAAAGAATCAAAGGTAAATTGACAATATTTACAAACACTCCTTGATCAGTTCACGTTAAGGGTTGATTAAACCATACACGGTTAGAGTACTACCTCAGGTGGGTGAGAAGATAAAGTTCTGACTTTTTTTTTGCCATGCCACAATGAGTAGTTTGTCTAAATATGTGGACGTATGGTCAGTTACCGAGGTCTCTCTGTACAGACTGTGCCTTTAAAACCTGACCAAAGAAAAACATCAACATTGTTCTATTGTTATTCAATCTGAATTATCTGGAGTGATTTTGAAACATGTGCAAAGTCAACTGACAGTAACGAAGGCAACAAACACAGTCCTACTATGCCTTCTGCCTTGATCAGCCCCCTAGAAAAGTACATTTTACCTGCTCATTGACAAAGTGTCAAGGCTGGTTTTGTTCAGTTATTCCATGTTGTTATTTGTGATCCACCACACATGGTAGTGAGTACTTGCAACTTAAACCAGCCGCTGACCCGTGAAGATTCTGGGGTAGAATAGGTCTTCAGCAACCCATTCTTGCCGTAAAAGGCGACTAACGGGATCGGGTGGTCAGGCTCGCTGACTTGGTTGATGCATGTCATCGATCCCAACTACGTGGATCGATGTTCATGATGTCAATCACTGGATTGTCTGGTCCAGACTCGATTATTTACAGACCGCCATCTTATTGCTGAAATAGTGCTGAGTGCGGCGTAAAACAACAAACCAACCAACAAAACTTAAACCAGCTGCCACTCCAGTATACCAGGGACTGATACAATCGTTAACACAGATAAAACAGACCTGGTCCTGGGAGGGCGCACACTTTGATGTTGGCTGTGATGGTGCATGTTATATGAAGCCAATGATAAATGTTCCCTCCCTGAAGTTATCTGTAAATACATTAAGGTGATTAAATGTAATGTGTATATACAGACATGCTAAGTGTACGATTACAGTACAATTACAGCAGTAAGCGTGGGTTTCACAAATTAAATGATGTTGTTAATGAAAACGAAGGCTGCAAACTTCTACATTACAGCTGCTTCTTATCTAGCTCATGGTGAAAGGACCTTTAGAAAATAAAACACCCCAAAAGTCCAAGGTGCCAATGTTTACAAACACATCTTTGATCAGTTCACGTTAAGGGTTGATTAAACCATACACGGTTAGAGTACTACCTCAGGTGGGTGAGAAGATAAAGTTCTGACAGTTCTTTTGCCACTCCGCAATGAGTAGTTTGTCTAAATATGTGGACGTATGGTCAGTTACCGAGGTCTCTCTGTACAGACTGTGCCTTTAAAACCTGACCAAAGAGAAACATCAACATTGTTCTATTGTAATTCAATCTGAATTATCTGGAGTGATTTTGAAACATGTGCAAAGTCAACTGACAGTTTCGTGAAGGTAATCAAGGTACAAAGGCAACAAACACAGTCCTACTATGCCTTCTGCCTTGATCAGCCCCCTAGAAAAGTACATTTTACCTGCTCATTGAAACAGTGTCAAGGCTGGTTTTGTTCACTTATTCCATGTTGTTATTTGTGATCCACCACACACGGTAGTGAGTACTTGCCACTTAAACCAGCAGCTGACCCGTGAAGATTCCGGGGTAGAATAGGTCTTCAGCAACCCATGCTTGCTGTAAAAGGCGACTATGCTTGTCGTTAAAGGCGACTATGCTTGTCGCAAAAGGCGACTAACGGGATCGGGTGGTCAGGCTCGCTGACTTGGTTGATGCATGTCATCGATCCCAACTGCGTGGATCGATGTTCATGATGTCAATCACTGGATTGTCTGGTCCAGACTCGATTATTTACAGACTGCCGTCATATTGCTGAAATAGTGCTGAGTGCGGCGTAAAACAACAAACCAACCAACCAACCAAAACTTAAACCAGCTGCCACTCCGGTATACCAGGGACTGATACAATCATATACACAGATAAAATGGACCTGGTCCTGGGAGGGCGCACACTTTGATGCTGGCTGTGATAGTGCATGTTATATGAAGCCAATGATAAATGTTCCTTCCCTGAAGTTATCTGTAAATACATTAAGGTGATTAAATGTAATGTGTATATACAGATATGCTAAGTGTACGATTACAGTACAATTACAGCAGTAAGCCTGGGGTTCACAAATTAAATGGTGTTGTTAATGAAAAAGAAGGCTGCAAACTTCTACATTACAACTGCTTCTTATCTAGCTCATGGTGCAAGGACCCCAAAAGTCCAAGGTGACAGTGTTTTCAAACACATCTTTGATCAGTTCACGTTAAGGGAGGTGGGTGAGAAGATAAAGTTCTTACATTTTTTTTTGCCATGCCACAATGAGTAGTTTGTCTACATATGTGGACGTATGGTCAGTTACCGAGGTCTCTCTGTACAGACTGTGCCTTTAAAACCTGACCAAAGAGAAACATCAACATTGTTCTATTGTAATTCAATCTGAATTATCTGGAGTGATTTTGAACACATTTCCATTTTCAACTGACAGTTCATGTGTGACCACAATTAAGTGATCAAGGTAACGACTACATGACAACAAACACAGGCTCACTAACCCTTCTGCCTCGTTCAGCCCGATAGAAAAATGTACTTGATCTGTTCAGTGTCAGAAAGTTAAGTTTTATTTTGTTCAGTTATTCCATGCTGTTTGTGCAACATGGGTACAATATGTGAAGATCATTTTTGGTGTCCTCTGCCGTGATGTTACTGAAATATATGCTAAAAGTGGCGCAAAACCATACTCACTTTATTTGTGATTCACCAGCTGCCACTCCGGAATATCAGGGAACAGAGCTTGAAACTCCTTGTATAATTGGAGGGTTTCATGATCATATCTGACATTGAATGAAACATGATGAAAGCCAAAATTGATTTCTTGGACAGTAACATTGAAACTTGTGACTAAATACGAACCTAACGCCATGAACTGATGTGTTTAGTTCATTATTGTAATGTACTGTACCATTTATGAGACAGCGGCTAATATGTGATATATATTTTTGGTATTTGTTTTCAGGGAAGTGATGAAGAGTTCACAGCAAGTGAAGATGAAGGGGATTTAGAAGAAACAATAGAAGAACAGGAAAAACATGAAAAGAAGAAAGATTACAAGCGGGAACTTGATGATTTAGAAGCTGAAGGTGATTATTATTTTAAATGTATTGCTGAAGACTAATTCCTCGACCAACCTTCCCTTAGCCCACAACCATGATGATAGCAGTTGTCATGAGTGGAACAATATTCCAGGGATAGAGTGATGTCTGTTTTAAAACTCTTCTATATATACTGTCTATGCATTGGACTCGTGTGACAAACTACATCAGACTCGAGGTCTTAGTTGAATGCCATCTTATTTATTCTGATCCTGTGGGGCTTTCTAGTTAGAATAGTCCCCAGCAACCTAGGCTTGTTGTAGGAGGCGAACAAACGGATTGAGCGTAGCATAACATTCACCATATATCAGTTTTCAAAATATTCAACATTTGAATAAATGTTGTTTCAGGTGAGATGTCCATGGAAGAGCTGGTGAATAAATATGCAGGTGCATATGATAGTGACTTTGATGTGCCAGAAGAAAGTTCAGAAGGAGAGACGTCTGAAGATGATTCAGATGATGGTATGTTGATATTACCTGTAACTTGTAAGCCAAACTGAAGTCATTTGCTTTTTCAGCTCAGTCTACCACAAACCAATAAATATACAGTAATAAATATAATTACTGTATTCGACGTAATAAACGCCCAAATTTATAATAGGGGGCTCTTATTAGAATATAATTTTGCTGAAAGAGTTGAAAGATCGTAAATTTTGTGGTTTTTGCTTACAGCCTGAAATGATACAAAAGAAAAGTCTGTGCGTATTATACACGACATATATTTTTTCCAGAATCTAATTGCCCGCCATTAAGTGTGCATATAACACACAAGTGCGTATTATACACGAATAAAAAAGTCTTGTGTACATTAATCAATCGGAAGGGTGCTAATTGGGATTGTTTATTAGCTAATATATCAGCAAATATCGCTGTGGTCGCTTATTACGTCGAATACAGTACCTCTCTTTTCGAGGATTGCTGCGCAAACGTGATTACTGTTCATTTCTTCAACAGCAGTTGGCCAGTATGCTGTATATTTATGATAATAGACGACATGTATTTCGTTATCATTACTGAGAATGTACGAGATAAGTTAACATATTTTAGGTTCGAAACTATCCTGCATATTTTGATGAAAACGATTAGAGATGAATTAACAGGACTGAAATATGTACTTACCTGGTAGGACAAGTGTTTGTTCACCTCGTTCTCACCCTGCAAATACTGCTACTCGTCAATACGAGAGGACAAGTGGATTTTACGAACCCTGATGTATGGTCAGTTACCGAGGTCTTTCTGTACAGATTGTGCCTTTAAAACCTGACCAAAGAGAAAGATCAACATTGCTCTTCTGTAATTCTCTTTGGATTATGTTGAGTAGTTTTGAGACAGCATGTTTACCTTGCCAAGTACAATGACTTTAGTCATGTATGAATACATTGCTCATCGGCTTGACATTCCTGTGACATCTTCAGATATCGAAGCACAGAGTGACGAAGATGAAACAACGGAGGAAGAAGAGGAGAGTGAAGAAGAAGAAGAATCCAAACAGCCACAGGAAGATACGGGTCTGGAGTTCCTACTCAAACCTCAGGGAGAGGCCGAGAAGCCTCCTGTCAAGGTAAGGACACGACGAGGGCTTATGAAAGGTGGTGGCACGTGGTCCTGTGCACAGCACACAGGTCGCAAATCAGGTGAAGTTGAGCAACGTCGGTCTCGGAGAGTAGTTGGATAGGTGACTGCATTCATCAGCATAACCCCTGAGAGATTAAGGGCTTCAGTCCTACCCCCCACTCAAGCACATGTAGCACATGTGGTATCTCCTTGGGCAAGTGACTGTTCGAAATGTGACTGTTTACTTTCTAGAGCCAGTAAAGGCAGTTTGGGTTGTATGATCGAAAGGGAGCTGACAATGAAAATCGAGTACACGCTAATCCAAAGACCGGTATGATAATGACTTTGAGCATGCACCGCGTGTATGGAGGTTGCGCAATATGAGTATCCGCATTATGATTATTAGATAGAATAGTGGGTCCTTGTCATGGCCATAATGTTACAGATTAATGAATTCACAAGGTTCTAGTACTATGAGATCAAACCTCAAGTACCCTCCTTCATTTTGAACCCTGCCCTGTAATGTTGCCTTTAGGTCACAAGTCCAATATTGTAACATGCAAAGCTTCAATTGTGTTCTTGAAAGTGAGATGTGATCTTATTTTACTGATGAAATGGACTTTTATTGAGTGATGATTTGTTGTAACATACAGTATGTTTCATTCAGTTTCTCTTCATAACTTAAAAATATTAGAAAATTGACTCTTGGATAAATGATTACCTATTCCCTATGCTCACAAACCACTGTGACATTCTCTTGTCATATGTGGACTTCTAAACTGGGATAGAGAAAACAGTCTGTTTAAAACTCGTATGCTGTGATAATCCCTGCATATGATTCCTGTCACAGACAACATTAAAGTAACATTGCAACCTACCCGGGCTGCAAAATGAAACATAAAAATCTCGGACTTTCAGTTTTCAGACTTTCCATTTTTGTGAAAGCCTTAAGGGCTGAGTGGGGTAGGTCGCCACTTTCTAATGGGTATTCTGGTGTCCCTTGCCGTGATATTTCTGGAATATGGTTAAAAGCATCGTAAAAACAATGCCAACTCATATTTCAACGTTGTGATGCTTGCAGCAAACAGATGGGGAAACTGGCCCGGGGAAGGAAATAACAGACATAGCTGCCGAAGCCCAGAGTCTGCAACCTAAAGGCTACACTCTCGAGACAACAGAGGTAAGTATTGGGCCGAGGATAAAGTACTTAGCATACATTGTCCTTAAGATTGTCCTTGATGTGAAATTTTATCGAGACCTTAAAAGGATTCACTTGTCTGACAATCTTGTAAGACAAGTTGCTACTGATCTCGAAGAGTAAAGCCATCAGATACCTATGCCCTGATCACACGATATGAGTGGTTGGACACCTTGTCTGAAACAGGGAATAGATTTGCAGATAAGACTATAATCTCTCACTCGCCATCCTCAATTTTCCAGTGTATTATATCTCCATTTTATTATGGACCCGTGAAGATTCCGGGGTAGAATAGGTCTTCAGCAACCCATGCTTGCCGTAAAGGGTGACTATGCTTGTCGTAAAAGGCGACTAACAGGATCGGGTGGTCAGGCTCGCTGACTTGGTTGATGCATGTCATCGATCCCAATTGCGTGGATCGATGCTCATGATATTAATCACTGGATTGTCTGGGCCAGACTTGATTATTTACAGACCGCCGTCATATAGCTGGAATATTGCTGAGTGCGGCGTTAAACAACAAACCAACCAACCAACCAACCAACCATTTTATTATGAGTGAGTGAGTTAAAATTTAACGTCCCATAGGCATTATCTCAGCCATATAGCAACCCATTCTATTATGATAAAAACCTGGACCCACTCACTCACCACCATAGGTTTGGTTGAGAAGTGGCCTCTCCACCTGTCACTCCAGTCTCATAATAGAGCCCAGAATTTCTCTCACTCGGGAGAGTAATTTTATTGAACAGTATCGTGCCATATGAAATGGACTCCAAACAAAGTAATGATTTGATTGAGGGGATTTATCTATATGGAATTGAGATATGATATGACTGTCGAAGATGCTTACACAGGAAATCCACCACCTCCTTTCCAGGTTCGGACGCCTGTCCCCTTCCTCCTGAAACACACGTTGAGAGAGTATCAACACGTGGGCCTGGACTGGCTGGCTACCATGCATGAGAAGAAACTTAATGGCATTCTTGCTGATGAAATGGGACTTGGCAAAACCATTCAGACCATAGCGGTGCTGGCCCATCTTGCCTGTGAAAAAGGTAGATATTCCTTGAACTGTTTTGGGGCAAGACTGCACAGTATTATTGTTACACTCTGATACAAACTATCAACAAACGCGTATTGTGACATGATCCAGATATGTGGAAGTTTTATTTTCTTTGGGCTTTGTATGAAGACGTGATACATATCAGATTGTGAACAAGGTATCAAGATACATTTTAGATCGCACAGTTGGTGTTTCGTCCGAGCCCTAATCTTACCATGTGTTTAGAAGGGATAGTGATGTCTGTGTGTCCTTCCTTGTAGGTGTCTGGGGCCCTCACCTTATTGTCGTCCCAACAAGTGTGATGCTGAACTGGGAAATGGAGTTTAAAAAATGGTGTCCTGCTTTCAAAATACTCACATATTATGGGAGTCAGAAGGAGAGGAAGCAGAAGAGAACGGTAAGAGGAACTATGAATTCTTTAGGGTGTTGCTTGAAGGCATTTCAGTTATTGTAGTAGTAGTGATTGTGTATTGCTGTATCTGGGACACATAGGGCATTGTAGGTCAGGCTTGATCCCCAGCAGTCTGCTGGTTGTGAGAGCAACTTCATGGAGTCGGGTTGATGGCACATCATTGTACGTGATGCTGTAGATTGTCAGGACCAGGCTTGATTATTTGCAGGCCACCATCATATGAGTGGAATATCGCCGAGTGTGGCCTCAAACAAACAGATCTTTGCTTTTGGCTAATGGGGAAGAATCTGAATAGGAAATGATTTATTTGGTGGGGATTTTCTAATGTATGGTGATGTGAAAGTGAACTTCTGTTTGTTGAAGGAGCATCTAGGTATTTAAGGGCTACCCGATTCTTTCCCGTCACTGTTGTTAATCCTCAAGGTAGTCCTCGACTTCTGTTTAGTAATATAGTTGTTTCTATGAATATAAATTATACTTTATACTGATCCACTTCTCATTCTGTAGGTAGACAATGTGTTTACTTTCAATTAAAAGGTGGTAAACCGATGCATTTGTACAGCGTCCCTGTTTCTTTATTGGGCCAGGGACAATAACTAATGCTACATGCCATGGAAAGGGGATGACTTCTCTGTACATTTAAAACAGTTGCAGAACAAACTCGCTTGCCTGGTTGATGTCTGTGACCATCTGTTGTGAAATTGCTATAAAATTTTGTCAAATAGTTGTCTTTGTTGCATCGCCTAATGACAATGATACATGTTACATGTTACAGTAGTTGTTCACCTGACTCCAGTGAGCTTATGTCCTTGATGTGTTTTTCGTCAGTCCATCCATTGTTAAACTTTTGCATTTCCAACATCTGCTCTGAAACTGCAAGGCACATGGAATTGAGACTTTATATGAATGATACCAGCTATGATGTCTTTGAAAAGTGCTTCAGAATTCCAATTTGATTTTAAGCATTCCCACTATGGCGTCCATATTGAAAATTTCTTCTTTTTTTGCGTATTTGGTAAAAATAAATTTCTTCACTGATCAGGTGAACTTGAAAGCCTTGCAGCTCTGTTTTTGACCAGATCAAGTCTGATTACCACTGATTACAATGTTGACGTTGTTTTAGGGATGGACCAAAACCAATGCCTTTCACGTGTGTATCACGTCCTACAAGCTGGTGGTGCAGGATCACTCTGCCTTCAGAAGGAAGAAGTGGAAGTACTTCATCCTGGATGAGGTAAGACGTGACAATCATCTGAAGCACTTCGATTTTCTAGGTTTGGGATCTTGTTTGATTGGGGGCGGTCGGGTAGCCTAGTGGTTAAAGCGTTCACTCGTCACGCCGAAGACCCGGGTTCGATTTCCGACATGGGTACAATGTGTGAAGCCCATTTCTGGTGTCCCCCGCCGTGATATTGGTGGAATATTGCTAAAAGCAGCGTAAAACCATACTCACTCACTCACTCACTCTTGTTTGATTGAAAAAAAGTTTCTGAAGTTTTCATTGACTGTGTTCTGTATGAATTTGGACCATGAAAGACTAATAATTGCTAGCATATTGATAATTGGTCATGTCATCAAAACATAAGAATTCAACATAAAAAATTAAGTGGAGTCCTTGTGGTTTGCATTCCTTCAGTATTGTCTGTACCTGTTAACATCACAGTTGTGACAAGTACCCCTGGACTTTCACTCATAATTTCTAACCAACAAAATTGCTTTTGTGAAAATTAGTTCATTTAATGAGATCCTCATATCAATATGGCCAATACCAAAGACAGTTGCAAGGATTGTACCTGATCTGTAGCCCTGGCCAGAAATAAATGTGAACAAGTCAAGAGAACATATTGTTGTGTTTTCAAATGTCAAATGTTTTAACATTCAATAAGCCAAAAAGTTGGGTATCCCTGTAGGGATGTTGGGGCAAGCCTCGGCAAGGCTTGTGTCAGAAACTCATTTAGAAACGGATTCAAGATATGTGTGTCATACATGACTGAGTATTATGTACAAAATCTCCCATGTCTTACCTAAGAGGCGACTAGCAGGATCGGTTGGTCAGGCTCACTGACTTGGTTGATGCATGTCATCATATCCCAATTGCATGGATCGATGCTCATGATGTCAATCACTTGATTGTCTGGTCCCGACTGGCTTGTTTACAGACCGCCGTCATATGGCTGGAATATAGCTGAGTGCGGCGTTAAACAACAAACAAACAAACCATGTCTTACCTGAATGGTATGGATTGACCTCTACAGGTTGCCGCGAGGATTTTCTTCTGGTGCCATTATCCAGATGAGATATTGTTGACTTACGAATACAGATGTATTTCTGGGGTAACGCGGATGAAGGTGAACCTGTCATTCGACCATACATAACACTAAATGTTATTTTCAGGCTCAAAACATCAAGAACTTCAAGTCTCAGCGATGGCAGATGCTGTTGAACTTTTCCAGCCAGCGACGTCTGCTGCTGACGGGTACCCCTCTACAGAACAGCTTGATGGAGCTGTGGTCTCTTATGCACTTCCTCATGCCACACGTGTTCCAGTCTCACAAGGAGTTCAAGGAATGGTTCTCTAACCCGCTCACAGGGATGGTGGAGGGCAGCCAGGAGTACAATGAGAGTCTAGTCAAGAGATTACATAAGGTAAGCATGGCAGAGTTACAAAGGAAGTGGCCCGTGAAGATCCGGGGTAGAATAGGTCTTCAGCAACCCATGCTTGCCGTACCAGGCGACTATGCTTGTCGTAAAAGGCGACTAATGGGATCGGGTGGTCAGGCTCTGTGACTTGGTTGATACATGTCATCGGTCCCAATTGCGTGGATCGATGCTCATGATATCAATCACTGGATTGTCTGGTCCAGACTCGATTATAGCTGGAATATTGCTGAGTGCGGCGTTAAACAACAAACCAAACCAAACCAAACCAAAAAAAGTTCACTGTTAGAATAGGTCCCCTGCATCCTGTGGTGGTCGTGAGAGGCAACTTATAGATCGTGTGATCAGGTTCAGTGACTTGGTCATCACAGCCCGATACCCGTAGATTGATGCTCACTATATCAATCACGCGATTGTATGGTCAATTCTTTACAGGCTGCAGTCATATAGCTGGAATGTTGTCCATTGCAGGAATATTGATGAGAGCTACATTAAATATCACAAACACAACACACAACACACAACACACAACACACACACACACACGAATCCCTAAGCTCACAAACCACTGTGGCATGCTATTGTCATATGCGGACTTCAAAACTGGGATAGAGAAAACAGTCTGTTTAAAACTCGTATGCTGTCATAATCCCTGCATATGATTCCTGTCACAGACAATATTTACCCTTATGATGAATGGAAATCTTGTAGTGTTGAGCAACATTGACATTATTACTTTAGATGCTCAGTATTGATGTATTGGTGGCCAGGTGGCCTAAGGGTTAAACTCATACATGAAACACTGTGTAGAGCCCGTTCTTGATGTCCCCAACTGTGGTGTTAGCTTAATGACAAAACCTTGTTTGAAATCAACCCCCTTGTGTGATAAACCTGCGGGAATGAATAACTCAGATGTGCCCTGACATCAATATTGAAACCTGACAAGAATGTGTTCAGTGTGACTTACTGGGTTGTTTGCTCCAAATATTACTCACTGGTTGCTGTGATGCAGAAAGTTTAATGCCCCATACATTTGCTTTCAATCTCGTGGCTTCTAGTGATCATGAGTAAACAAGTAAACATGACTTCAAATGGATACTACTTTGAAGTTCAGTTACAATTATTTCCTGTAGTTATGCTTACGTTCTGTCTCAGCCATAGATTTGAGTAAAATTTCTGCCTGTTTTATTGTAACAGCTAATAATAGTCTATATATTGACACTAAGACCTATAGAAACTGTTCTGAAGTTGCATAATCAATTTTCCCTAAGCTCACAAACCACTGTAGCATACTATTGTCATATGTGGACTTCTAAACTGGGATAGAGGAACGAGTCTGTTTAAAACTCGTATGCAGTGCTAATCCCTGCATGTGATTCCTGTCATAGACAACATAAAAAATTACATTTAATGGCTTCTTGGGCATCTGCCGATCCTCACGCAGACAGCATGTCATTGTGAGAGACTTGAGGATAGGACAATATCTGTCACATACTGGATAGTATTATCAGTGCAATAAGACAATAAACCTGATATGCGATCCAATAAATATGCCAGTGAGATCACCTAGCTATGCTAGATGGAACTACCTTTTAGGTAAGCTCTATACATCAATGTGATGCCGTCTTGCTCAAACACTCTTGCACTACACTCCCAAGCTTAGTTCTAGTTCTGTGACCTGAAAAATCTATTCAGGGTGAACAAATAGTGAATCTTTCCTAGGTATTTGAAACTATTGCACATTCACAACAATTTCCAACTTGCGTTTTTTCTATGTTGGATTAAGCTTGGACACAAGTGGGACAGACACCTGAATAATTTTGACATTTTTGTTTTTGTAAAGTGGTAAATGTACCTTTGTTTTGATTTCGAGACATTAAAAGGATTCACTTGTCTGACAATCTTGTAAGACAAGTCGCTACGGATCTCGAAGAGTAAAGCCATCAGATACCTATGCCCTGATCACACGATATGAGTGGTTGGACACCTTGTCTGAAACACTGAATAAAAAAAAGAACTTGGACAATGGATCAATATGTTTTGCTTTTCTTTAGACTAAGTAAATAATAGCTTTCAGAGTCACATACACATGTTCAATCAGTATGCCTAGAGATCTAGACTTCAGTCTGAATGATCACAATAGTGAAAGTAGGAATGTTTTATGGAGAAGAATATGGCACAGAAAGACCTGAATTACACTGTTACAGCTAAGTTATAAGAGACAATTAACATAAGAGCTGAGAGATTAAGATGGGTTGATAAACTTGTGTGAAGAATGGCTTTGTTTTGCTCTGAAGCAGTAGATCTTAGTCCATTAGTCCTTAAAACGATAACATATAGCAAACCCCTTAAAAATGGCCAATTTCCACAAGTCCTTATGATACCTTAACTATTAAGCAGCTTGGCAAGGACTACAGGACTAGTGCCAATTTCTACCGCTGCCCTGACATCAATATTGAAACCTGACAAGAATGTGTTCAGTGTGACTTACTGGGTTGTTTGCTCTAAATATTACTCACCTGTTGCTGTGATGCAGAAAGTTTAATGCCCAAGACATTGGCTTTCAATCTCGTGGCTTCTAGTGATCATGAGTAAACAGAAGTAAACGTGACTTCAAATGGATACTACTTTGACATTCAGTTACAATTATTTCCTGTAGTTATGCTTACGTTCTGTCTCGGCCATAGATTTGAGTAAAATTTCTGCCTGTTTTATTTTAACAGCCAATAATAGTCTATATATTAACACTAAGACCTATAGAAACTGTTCTGAAGTTACATAATCAATTTTCCATAAGCTCACAAACCACTGTAGCATACTATTGTCATATGTGGACTTCTAAACTGGGATAGAGGAAACAGTCTGTTTAAAACTCGTATGCAGTAATAATCCCTGCATGCGATTCCTGTCATAGACAACATAAAAAAATACATTTAATGGCTTCTTGTGCATCTGCCGATCCTCACGCAGACAGCATGTCATTGTGAGAGACTTGAGGATAGGACAATATCTGTCACATACTGGATAGTATTATCAGTGCAATAAGACAATAAACCTGACATGTGATCTGATAAATATGCCAGTGAGATCACCTAGCTATGCTAGATGGAACTACCTTTGAGGTAAGCTCTATACATCAATGTGATGCCGTCTTGCTCAAACACTCTTGCACTACACTCCCAAGCTTAGTTCTAGTTCTGTGACCTGAAAAATCTATTCAGGGTGAACAAATAGTGAATCTTTCCTAGGTATTTGAAACTACTGCACATTCACAACAATTTCCAACTTGCGTTTTTTCTATGTTGGATTAAGCTTGGACACAAGTGGGACAGACACCTGAATAATTTTGACATTTTTGTTTTTGTAAAGTGGTAAATGTACCTTTGTTTTGATTTCGAGACATTAAAAGGATTCACTTGTCTGACAATCTTGTAAGACAAGTCGCTACTGATCTCGAAGAGTAAGGCCATCAGATACCTATGCCCTGATCACACGATATGAGTGGTTGGACACCTTGTCTGAAACACTGAATAAAAAAAAGAACATGGACAATGGATCAATATGTTTTGCTTTTCTTTAGACTAAGTAAATAATAGCTTTCGGAGTGCCATAAACATGTTCAATCAGTATGCCTAGAGATCTAGACTTCAGTCTGAATGATCACAATAGTGAAAGTAGGAATGTTTTATGGAGAAGAATATGGCACAGAAGCACTTGAATTACACTGTTACAGCTAAGTTATAAGAGACAATTAACAGAAGAGCTGAGAGATTAAGATGGGTTGATAAACTTGTGTGAAGAATGGCTTTGTTTTGCTCTGAAGCAGTAGATTTTAGTCCATTAGTCCTTATAATGATAACATATAGCAAACCCCTTAAAAATGGCCAATTTCCACAAGTCCTTATGATACCTTAACTATTAAGCAGCTTGGCAAGGACTACAGGACTAGTGCCAATTTCTACCGCTGCCCTGACATCAATATTGAAACCTGACAAGAATGTGTTCAGTGTGACTTACTGGGTTGTTTGCTCTAAATATTACTCACCTGTTGCTGTGATGCAGAAAGTTTAATGCCCAAGACATTGGCTTTCAATCTCATGGCTTCTAGTGATCATGAATTTACAGAAGTGAACATGACTTCAAATGGATACTACTTTGACATTGTTACAATTATTTCCTGTAGTTAAGCTTACGTTCTGTCTCGGCCATAGATTTGAGTAAAATGTCTGCCTGTTTTATTGGCTTTCAATCTTGTGGCTACTAGTTTTAGTGATAGAGGTCTCATTATTAAACAGAAGTAAACATGAGATCAAATGAATACTACTTTGACAATCAAATACAATTATTTCCTGTAGTTAAGCTTACAATCTGTCTCTGATTTTAGCCATAGATTTGTGTAAAATTTCTTCTGTTTTATTGTAACAGCTAATAATAGTCGATATATTAACACTAAGACCTACAGAAACCATACAGAATGACTAATGGTGGCTCATTGGCTCAGAAGCTGATGACGCAAACTCTTCAAATTGATGTAAGCACTTTCTTGCTGCATAATCAATTTTCCCTAAGCTCACAAACCACTGTAGCATACTATTGTCATATGTGGACTTCATAACTGGGATAGAGGAAACAGTCTGTTTAAAACTCGTATGCAGTAATAATCCCTGCATGCGATTCCTGTCATAGACAACATTAACAATTACATTTAATAGCTTCTTGTGCATCTGCCAAGTCCTTATGAGACAATTTGTCAGTTTTTGGAAGAGACTTGAGGATAGAACAATTTCTGTCATATAATGGATAGTATTATCAATACGATTAGCCGATAAAGTTGATATCTGATTGACGGAACTACTTTTTGGGTGAGCTCTATGCATCGATGTGATGCCATCTTGCTCAAACAATATTGCACAACATACCCAAAGCTTAGTTCAAGTTTGGTGACATGAAAATCTTTTCAATGTGAACAAATATTGCAACTTTCCTACATATTTGAAACTTTGTGCACATTCAAAACAATGTCCCAACTTGCATTTTTATACCTGATTAAACATGGACACAAAGTGGGACAGACACCTGAATAAATCTTTTAGATTTATTTTTCTTATATATAAGGGCGTTTGTTAGTGCCTTTTGTTGTGATTTCGAGACATTAAAAGGATTCATTTGTCTGACATTCTTGTAAGACAAGTTGCTACTGATCTCGAAGAGTAAAGCCATCAGATACCTATGCCCTGATCACACGATGTGAGTGGTTGGACACCTTGTCTGAAACACTGAACCATGTTCAGTTTACTGATGAAATTGTTTAGGTATTGTAACCAGTGTGGGCATATAAGATTAGAATGACAGTGGTTATTGACATGACAGATTTAAATATCAGTTCTAATTATGACAACCTAATCTTGAGCCTTGCAACTGTAGACAAGTTTCTATCGGATGCACAGTTCTCCCTTCATAAATGGATTGATATTTAATGAGTCATACATTTGTGCAATGGTCACAATTTCCCACTTGTTCAGACCCCAGATACCCAGAAACCTCGACTACAGGTCTATATTTATGTGAAATGAAATAAACACTATATAAGATACCTATTGAATCTGGTAATCTGGTTTCCGGATCCAGACATTGAACTATAACAAATCATTGCCTTCTGTTGTTTTTGTTTAACCTTGTCTGAAACAGGGAATATTTTTTCTATATTTGGGAAAACATTAACTCCACCCCATAAAGTACTAGAAGTTGTAGTTTACTAAGAAAGTACAATCCTAAATATACCATGTTACATTTGAACACTTTCTTAAAGGCATTGTGTATTCATAACATAACATCATCGTCCATGGAAGCCGTGCCAATGGACACTTTGAGGTGTTCACAAAGTATGTGATCTAGACTACCAGTTGTAAGACTTGCATTTTTTTGTTGAAGTCTTGGTGGCTGAGTGGATAAGGTTGCTGACTTTGTGTCCCTCACTCTGAGAATGTGGGTTCAAATCCCCTATGTGACTTCACCCAAAAGAAGTACTTGGATTTGTACTCTGCGGAGAAAGTAATTCCCAAAATAATGTCAACAAATCTTGTTTTCAACATGGCATTATTCTTTCCTAGGTATATGTGCATTCACGACAATGTCCAACATGTACCTTTTTTATGTGTTACTAAGCATGGACACACACATGAATCAACTTTATAAAGTGTCCTGGTCTTTTTGTGTGCCTTTGTCGTGATTTCGAGACATTAAAAGGATTCACTTGTCTGACAATCTTGCAAGACAAGTCGCTACTGATCTCGAAGAGTAAAGCCATCAGATACCTATGCCCTGATCACACGATATGAGTGGTTGGACACCTTGTCTGAAACACTGAATGATAAAATGAACTTGGACAATGGATCATTATGTTTTACTACATAAATAGAAGCTTGCACATACAAATGTTCAGTCTGCATGACTGGAAAAGATCCGGGGTAGAAGGGCCTTCAGCAACCCCTGCTTGTTGAAAAGGCGACAGCTATGCTTGTCATAAGAGGCAATTAACGGGATTGGGTGCTCATGGTGTAAATTACTGCATTGTCTTGTCCAGACTCAATTCTTTACAGACCGCCGTGCTGAAATATTGCTGAGTACACTGTTCAATAACAACAAAAAACAACTGAAAGTCAACAATTCTCCTCGCCATTAATAAAGTACATACTTGGCCAAGTCCTAATATTTTCCCTACACGAGCATTAATAATTGGGATATTTCTTCCTCTCACTTTGTCATCAGATTCTAGTCTTAGCATATGGACAATCATTATGTGATCTAGCCAGTCCAAAATAAGTAATACTAGACTCATGCTCCAGACAAATAGCAGATGTTGCACAATGCAGCAGTCTGATAAAACATGAAAAATTAAGCTCATATTATGATAAATGTATCACTGACAAAAGTTCCATCACCTGAAACTTATTCCATTTCCCTTTTGAGATAAGCCAGTGGCGTACCTGCCTCATTGAGTAGGCCATTTACACCGTCGAGGACACCAATACCGTATGTGTGTTCCTCTGGTGACCTTGTGGTCTTTGGACTACACAAGGTATACTGCTTGGCAGTGAACGTTGCTGTACGTCTCAGCCCCAGGATTTGTCCGCTTGGAGGATTTACCATGTGTAGTCCGAAGACCACAAGGTATACTGCTTGGCAGTGAATGTTGCTGTACGTCTCAGCCCCAGGATTTGTCCGCTTGGAGGATTTACAAGTGTAAACACTGTTAATACGTTTATACTTCATAAACAATATTGTAGTAGGACCGAGCCAGTTAGGTTATAGCTTTGTTGAGACTACTTGTGTAGCGGGGCGTGGAGTCATCCCACAGATGACATAGCTCACCTTGTCAGCTTTCTGATGGGGTTAAAGACCGCCTCCGTGGTCTTGTGGTAGAGCGTCCGCCCGGAGAGCGGAAGGTCCGGGGTTCGATCCCCGACCGCGTCATACCAAAAGACGTTAAAATATGGTACTTGTTGTTACCCTGTCTGGCGCTCGGCATTAAGGGGCTAAAGCAAGGACTGGTCGGCTCGGAGTCAGTATACTGTGTCTGAGTGGGGTATTCATGTTAAACTGCGGCATGGTATCTCAGTGTGCTAGCACTATAAATCGGCATCAGTCCGGACTAGTACAAGCAGACACACAAACACACACACGTACATGCACGTCGCTATATAAGTGCAATAATCTTGGACGCGACGTTAAACCAAATTTCACCTCACCTCACCTCACCTGATGGGGTTAAACCTTTTTGTCATGTGAACAAGGCGTCCGACCTCAGATCAGGTCAGTGGTTTGAATCCCATCACGGGACTCAGACACTTGATGGCCACTACAATTTCCCTTTTAACAGTACAAGTCAAGAGGAAGAGGCTTGAATGCTCAGTTTTGGTTTATAGCGTGGAATATTATGTTACAATATATATGAAGTTAAGAAAATACAGTAAAGATACCATTTATGGACAAAATAACCCCAGAATTCTACATTTGGGTGCGTGAACCATACATTTTCTGATTCAAATATTATTCCATAGACATTAACCTTAGAAGTATGGAACAATCTCTTAAGTGCTGTTGCTTGGCAACGTGCTGAACTATGTTCTTTATGTGCTTGCTTGTGTTTCAGGTGTTGCGACCCTTCCTGCTGAGGAGGTTGAAAGATGACGTTGAAAAGCAGATGCCAAAGAAATATGAACATGTCGTCATGTGTCGGCTGTCAAAGAGACAGAGGTTCCTCTATGATGAGTTTATGTCACAGACAAAGTGAGTTCATTGCACGATATTAAGTACAAACTAGTTTCTTGGTGCAAGTCCCTTCACCAAGTGGCGGTCGCCCGTGGTGTAGTGGATAAGGCATCTGCCTGGAGAGTGGAAGGTCGGTGGTTCGATACCAAAACACATTAAAAGGTGGTACTTGTTACCCAACCTCTCACTTGGCTTTTTAGAGATAAAACAAGGTCTGGTCGGTATATTGTGTGTGGGTTGGGTACCACTATCCTTGTCGTAAAAGGCGACTAACAGGATCGGGTGGTCAGCCTCGCTGACTTGGTTGATACATGTCATCGATCCCGATTGCGCGGATCGATGTTCATGATATTAATCACTGGATTGTCTGGTCCAGACTCGATTATTTACAGACCGCCGTCATTTAGCTGGAATATTGCTGAGTGTGGAGTTAAACAACAAACCAACCAACCAACTATATAGTCAGGACTAGTATACACATACACACACGTCTCTGTATATAAGTGCAATAATCTTGAAATCGCCCATCAACCAGTGCAACCACAAAACCATCATACCGCATGTGTTACCTCTCTCAGATGTAGAATGCTTATAAAGGCATGGGTCTTCCTGTTTGTTTGAACTGTAGTGTACATGTAAACCAGAGTTAATATGATCTGACAAGTACGTGGTTGTATATGGTTGTTGATGTGTCAGTGGGGGTACATCACGTGTGTTGATTGTTTTCTGTCTAAGGAATGGCAACGGGGGCGGCATCACTTTTGCAAGGATTGCAAACACTTTTCTAATGTATCATACTGTGAAAGAGAAATGTGTTGTTTAGGTTGTCAAATGTGGCCAATACCAAAGACAGTTGCAACAATTGTACCTGATCTGTAGCCCTGGCCAAAAATAGACTTAAGCATGTCAAGAGAACATACTTTTGTGTTTTCAAATGTCAAATGTTTAAACATTCAACAAGCCAACAAGAGGCTTCTTGGTGTGTCCCTGTACATGGGGCTGGAGGAATTCCTATTACAAGACTCATGCAAAATACATCTATAAGACATGAATAATTGATGATCTTGACATACCAACTTCAGATAAGGCCCAGCAATATGAATCCCAGTTTCTGCGCCGCCCAATACACAGCTGTAGATAACATTCAGCCTCATTGCATAATGATATTAATGCAAGATACATGTATGTTTTCCAGAACGAAGGAGACACTTTCCCAAGGCCACTTCATGAGTGTGATAAATGTTCTGATGCAGCTGAGGAAAGTGTGCAACCATCCAAACCTCTTTGATCCAAGACCAATTGTTTCACCATTCCAAATGAGAGGAATAACATACACAACATCTTCACTAGTTGCACGGGCCTTGGAATATGATCCATTCAAGGTTCGTCTTATATAGGTCTTTGAAAGGCATTTCGAAGTGATACACATAAGGAAGAGAAATTTCTTCATTTTGAGGAACACAACGTTTCGGAGTATATGCTTACTCCTTCACCAATTAATGCAGGAGTAAGCATATAATCCAAAACATAAATTCTCTTCCTTGTGCGTCTTGTATAGTTCCAGATTACCATCCATCTCTTGCAATCATATTTAAATATTTCTAGTTGAAATCGCCAGCTATGCAGTGGTCGAAATTAAGCATGAAGGTCAAGAGGTGCTTGTCATTACCCATGCGGATTCCAAGTCTAGGTTCCCTGCAAGCTGTGCTTGTCGAAAGAGGCGGTGACTTGGTCATCGTACCCAGATGCCTCTGGATCGATGCTAGTAATATCAATCACTGGAGTGTACAGCCATTTCCTGAATATTGCAGAGTGCAGCATTGAATAACACACAAAAAGAAACGAAGTCAAACAAATAGAAAGGATATACAAATGAATTCCCTAAGCTCACAAACCACTGTAGCATACTATTGTCATATGTGGACTTCTAAACTGGGATAGAGAAAACAGTCTGTTTAAAACTCGTTTGCAGTAATAATCCCTGCATGCGATTCCTGTCATAGACAACATTAACAATTACATTTAATAGCTTCTTGTGCATCTGCCAAATCCTTTACACAGACAGTATGTCATTGTTAGGAAGAAAGGATAGAACAATTTTTATCACATAATGGATAGTATTATCAATGCGATTAGCCGATAAAGTTTATATAGGATCCGATAGATATGCCAATGAGATCACCTAGCTATGCTTGACGGAACTACTTTTGGTGTTAGCTCGATGCATCGATGTGATGCCGTCTTGCTCAAACAATATTGCACAACATACCCAAAGCTTAGTTCAAGTTTGATGACATGAAAATCTTTTCTATGTGAACAAATATTGCATCTTTCCTACATATTTGAAACTTTGTGCTCATTCAAAACAATGTCCAACTTGCATTTTTATACCTGATTAAGCATGGACACAAAGTGGGACAGACACCTGAATAAATCTATATATTAACACTAAGACCTATAGAAACTGTTCTGAAGTTGCATAATCAATTTTCCCTAAGCTCACAAACCACAGTGGCATTCTATTGTCATATGCGGACTTCTAAACTGGGATAGAGAAAACAGTCTGTTTAAAACTCGTATGCTGTGATAATCCCTGCATATGATTCCTGTCACAGACAATATTTACCATTATCATGAATGAAAATCTTGTAGTGTTGAGCTACATTGACATTATTACTTTAGATGCTCAGTATTGATGTATTGGTGGTCAGGTGGCCTAATGGTTAAAATCATCCATGAAACTGTGTGTAGATCCTATTCTTGATGCCTGTGATTTTGACGAAGAACTTAAAATGGGGATTAGTTGTTCACAATGAATAGTAGTTAGAAGAGTGATCTTGGGAAGACTCGCAATATCAATCACTGGATTGTCCAGTCCAGACTTGATTATTTACAGGCCACAGTCATGTAGCTGGAATATTGCTGAGTGATGTGTTAATGAAGCATACACTGACTGCGCCCATCTACAACTGGTGTGTGCATTCCTTGTCCAATTACTTTACACAACCGTGATGGAGCTTGAATGTTTCTGACTGGAGTATGCCACCATTCTACATATTAAATTCAGGAAGAATTGTTCTTACATTACATCAGTTTCAATGCCTTCTATACCCCATTAGGGGCGGTCGGTAGCCTAGTGGTTAAAGCCTTCGCTCGTCATGCCGAAGACCCGGGTTCGAATCCCGACATGGGTACAATGTGTGAAGCCCATTTCTGGTGTCCCCCGCCGTGATATTGCTGGAATATTGCTAAAAGCGGCGTAAAACCAAACTCACACACTCACTCACTATACCCCATTCAGCATGGAACATGAATGTTTAGGTTGTTCTGAGAAATACGATCCCCGGCCACTTCATACCAAAAGACGTTAAAAGATGGTACTTGTTACCCTGTCTGGCACTCGGCATTAACGGCTAAAGCACGGACTGTTTGGCTCGGAGTCAGTATACTGTGTCTGAGTGGGGTATTCATGTTTACTCACTGACTTGGTTGAGTCAAGTGATCCCAATCGCTTGGATCGATGCTCATGGATTGTCTGGTCCAGACTAGATTATATATAGACCGCTGTCATATAGCTGGAATATTGCTCAGTGTGGTGTTAAACAACAAACAAACAAACAAATATTCATGTTTAACTGCGGCATGGTATCTCAGTGGGCTAGCACTATAAATCGGTATCAGTCCAGACTAGCAAGCACACGCACATGCACATATTCACGCCACTATGTAAGTGCAATAATCTTGGACGCGCCGTTGAATCGCATTTCACCTCACCACCTCTGAAATATACTTTCTTCATCAGGATGTGGATCTACGTTCGCTGTACCCGAGTCTGGCGGAGATGGAGCTCGACCTTCCTGCTTTCATTGCCCACAGAGTGAAGAAACTGCAGACACCACGGCGACTTATAGTGGAGGTGGACGACCAACCCGACCCACCACCCAGACTCAAACCTGGGAAACTGAAGCCTCTCACCTTCAGAAGTGTCTCACCAGCAACACCTCAGGTAACAGGCCTCAAAGTTTAATTTTTTGCCAAGTACCCACATGGCTACAAAAACATTTTTTCCCAGGTAGTCCCTGAAAATAAGAATTGGAATTCTAACCCTGGGTTCAACAGAATGTGTTTATACCAGACAGAATAAATATTTTTATCAACCCTTTCAACTCGTCTTTCACTTGTTTTGTTTATACTGTATTGTGTTAACTTCCTTATTGCAGTCTGGCCGTTCATCTCCCTTAGTGCCAATCAATCAGGCCAGATCGGCATCCCCAGTGCAGTTGGTGCGGACAGTAGTGCGCAGTTCCACTCCAAGTCAGATCCTGCACCCTACTCCAGTGCAAACGTCTCAAGGTTTGTGTTTGAATCCGAATAATGTCAAAAAATTTGTATTTCACATAGTTTGTAGTAATTCTGTTTATACTTGATCCAAGTTATCCCTTACATGTTGAGATGAAATTAAAGTACTCACGGAAATGAAACAAAACTGTATTTTCGACCTCAGATCTTAAATAAATGCAGTTAATATACAAAATATGTAAATATTCAAACAACTAAATTAGTACTAATTGGGCCATGGCACAAATACAGCGTATCAAATGTTTTTATGCCTTTTTACACGTAAAAGTGGGTAAAAATGTGAATAAAACAGACTATTGTGAAACAGGGCATAACCAGGTGTAAGTAGATCAAGATGACCTATGACACCTTGATGACAGGTGAGAACAGGTGCATAATGCCTATAGTCTGTTTCTGCTATGTCAATTTGGACTTAGTTTTATTTTTGAATGTTGAAAGTGCCGACAAATTACCTCCTCTAAAGTACATTTTGTATTGTTCATTGACATCAAACTAGCAAATCCAGACTAGTACTTTTCGAGTTGTTTTGTTATTTCGTATTTACAGCTACGTAACACTTTGTGTCGATTTTAAAATTGAGAAAAACAGTTTTTTTTCATTTCCGTGAGTACTTTAGTACTATTGCTGCTACTTCCAGGTGCTGTTCCGATTAGACTTGGCATTGTGAGCCAATCACAGTCACCGGCCACAACCACAGCGGCTGCCCCTGTAGTGTTGCAGTCACTTGTGACCTCCCAGCCCCAGACCCAACCTCATCCTCAGCCTCAGCCTCCTCAGCCCACAAGCCAGCAAGTCACTGTAGTCTCATCAGCAAGTGTAACTTTAGCCACCGCCATGCCCATGCAAGCAACAATACAGGCCAAAGTGGTGCCTCAGCAATTATTGCAAGGTATTCTTTAACAGACGCGCGAAAGTTTTGTTTGTTTCTTGTTTATCGCCACCCTCAGCAATATTCCAGCTATATGACGGCTGTCTTAATAATCAAGTCTGGCCCAGATAATCCAGTGATTGACATCATTAGCATTGATCCACGCTATTGGAATACGATGACATGCTTCAACCAAGTCGCCGAGAGCCTGACCACATGATCTCATTAGTTGCCTGTTACAACAAGCATAGTCGCCTGTTACTGCAACTAATCATTCCTTTTATCTTGGAAGTCCTGTGGGTGGTTTTTTTAGAGCCTCCACTGTGACCTGGTTGATAGTGCTTCTTTGTAGCTTATTGTTCTTATTATCAACCACTGGTGTGCCACACCTCAACAGGCCATTAACTGGCTAATGCGTTTGGGCTCAAATTTTGCTGACTGGCCAAAAAAAGTCAATAACTCTTTTAGAAGCTCATCTTGTGTATCTTTTGTAACAAAGACTAAGTTTTAAGATGTTTGTTGACCTGTTTCCGTGCTTGAGTTGTGTTTCAATGTTTGCAGGTGTGTTCCACTCCAGCTCCTCATCTGTGATACCTTCCCAGCCTATTACTGTACAGATTCAGCAAACAGAACAGGGTACTAGGCTCATGATACCCACCGGCCAGCTGTCGCAGCTGCCAGGTATGTGAACCCCCGTGAACCCGACAAACGTTTGGACACGTCCAATCAGTCTGACAAGTCTGAATTCCTTCAGTAGAAGTTTCTTTTTGATAATTTTCTGAGTAGCAATATTTATAATAATGCAGGATAAGTATACAAATGAAAAAAATTCTAGAACATTGCAAGCTCATTAATAAGATTGTTTACAATTTGAAAAAATAGCTTCATTATTAATCACTTTTAGTGGAAAATTGAGGGATATATTCCACACGTGCGTGGCTGTAGTCCTGCATTACACTAAGACCCTTCTGGGTGTGGGGGTAGTAGAATTGATCTCAAGCAACCGATGCTGGTCATAAGAGGCGAGGAGCGGTCGGTTAACCTTGTGGTTAAAGCGTTCGATCGTCACACCTAAGACCCGGGTTCATTTCCCGACATGGATATATTGTGTGAGGTTCATTTCTGGTGTCCCCGCCATGATATTGATGTAATATTGCTAAAAGAGGCGTAAAACCATACTCACTCATAAGAGGCGAGATACCTGCATCACTTCGGGCTTTCCTCCCACATTAAGCTGACACTCCGTGATATAACTCTAATACTGTTAAAAGCGGCGTTAAACCCAACTCACTCACTCATAAGAGGCGACTTAATGGATTGGTTGCTTCAGACTTGGTGATTTGGTTGCTTCTGTGTCATCGAACCCTAATGAAATAGGTTTTTGCTCACAAAATCGATTACTAAGTTGTCGGGTCCAGACTCAATTATTTATATACTGCCGTCATGTAGCAGGAATATTGCCGGCTGCGGCATTAAAAACAAATAAAGAAAGTTACACTTTGCACTGATAAAAACTAACATGTTTAGTCTTCTAGTCCTTATAATAACATATAGCAAAACCCTTAAGAATGGCAAATTTCTACTAGTCCTTATGATAATTTAACTATTGGGCAGTTTAGCAAGGACAACAAGTGCCAATATCTATCACTTCACCTTCCCATGTTTATGTTTCAGCCGGCCTCATACAAATAGTTCAGACATCATCTGGTCAGCAGTTAATAGCCACGTCCAGCCCAGCTGCCCCCATACAACCTGTGATACCTGTACAAAATGTTGTGTCTACTGCTTCATCTTCATTATCCTCTTCTGGTACGTATGTCCCAGAACAAGCCTCGTACACTGCAGTGATATGTCCCCAGAACAAGCCTCGTACACTGCAGTGATATGTCCCAGAACAAGCCTCGTACACTGCAGTGATATGTCCCAGAACAAGCCTCGTACACTGCAGTGATATGTCCCAGAACAAGCCTCGTACACTGCATAGATATGTCCCAGAACAAGCCTCGTACACTGCAGTGATATGTCCCAGAACAAGCCTCGTACACTGCAGTGATATGTCCCAGAACAAGCCTCGTACACTGCAGTGGTATGTCCCAGAACAAGCCTTGTACACTGCATAGATATGTCCCAGAACAAGCCTCGTACACTGCATAGATGTGTCCCAGAACAAGCCTCCTACACTGCATAGATATGTCCCAGAACAAGCCTTGTACACTGCAGTGATATGTCCCAGAACCAGTCTCATACACTGCAGTGGTATGTCCCAGAACAAGCCTCGTACACTGCATAGATGTGTCCCAGAAGAAGCCTCGTACACTGCACTGATATGTCCCAGAACAAGCCTCGTACACTGCATAGATATGTCCCAGAACAAGCCTCATACACTGCACTGATAAGTCCCAGAACAAGCTTTGTACACTGCACTGATATTTCTCAAGCAAAGGAATAATTTGTTGATTTGTTGCAAAAATGTGATTTATTGGATAGATGTCAGTTTTTATAGATTTCAAAGGTCAATCAGTTACGAACAATATAGGTATGAATAGACGTTTCAGTCGTTATCATCTCAAGAATTTTATGTCGTCAGTTTTCATCTTGTGTTGCAGCGGGCAGAATAGCTCTTCTGTTTAATCATGATTGTCCTTCGAGACCTTAAGATAGTGTGATCGTGTCGTCGAACCTTGACAGGCAAGATTATTGCTTGTGCTGTTGCAAGCAGCTTGCCGGGCCCAGACTATTGATTAAAGTCTGCCTTGTTATAGATGGAATATGCTGACTGATGTGGTACCACAACATTCACTTAGTTTACAACAGAAATGACTGACAAATCTCTCTCCATCTGCAACAACTTTCTTTTCAGTAAATGGCCGGTCCCCAGCATTAAATGTTGCTTCTTCCTTGACAGCCAGCTCCCCTATGTCAGCTAATACGACAGTTACGCCAACCGTTACTCAAGTGAAGAGTGTGCCTGCCGTACAGCTGCCATCTGGTAGCATCCTCTCTGCTCAGAAACCCATCATGCGGGTCCCCCCAATGGGAGTCAGCTCGGAGGGTATGCCCTTCACAATAAGAGCTATCACCCCTGTCACAACCCTCGCTTCCAGCACCACTTCCAGCTCCACTGCAACTACAAAAGGTTTGTGGAGATATGTCCGGTATTAGGGCTGAAATGATCCTATGTAGACACCATCAGATGTGTGCTGGGGTACTTTGTGGATATCTTGTGCATCTTGAACACTTTGTTATGCTCTGACCTGTGTATGGATTAGTGTTTTGTTTCTGCATTGAAAGTTTTACAACAACCTTCCCTAAAAACTGCAAACTAATTCATGGGGCTGGTATTACAGTATTCGACGTAATAAGCGCCCACGGCGATATTTGCTAATATATTGGCCAGTGAACAATCCCAATTAGCACCCCTTCCGATCAATCAATGTACACAAGACTTATTTCTTCGCGTATAATACGCACTCGTGTGCTATATGCACCCTTAATTATGGGAAATTAAATTCTGGAAAAATATATATCTGTCGTAGATAAACTATAAACCACGGAATTTATCTTTCAATTCTTTTCTTTTTTCACCAAAATAGTATTCTAATAAGAGCCCCCTATTTCTAATTTTGAGAGCGCTCTGGGCGCTTATTACGCCGAATACGGTATTACCCTTTTCGCTTGATTTATCACAAGTTTCTGTGGATTTCACTGCAGCCTTGATTTTTGCTGGTTGAGAAATTGTGTAGTTTATTATTATTACAGACAAGATCAGTGACGTGGCCAATACCAAAGACAGTTGCAACGATTGTACCTGATCTGTAGCCCTGGCCAGAGATAATTTTGAACGAGTCAAGAGAACATATTGTTGTGTTTTCGAATGTCAAATGTTTGAACATTGAGATAAGACTATTGCGTTCACTGAAATTATCTCGTGACTCAAGAACACAAAGTTTGTAAATATTGACTCTTATCCCCATGCTCTCTTCTTCCAGTTGTACCCAGCACCAATGTACGGCCTTCAGCCACTGTGGCTCAGGTCAGTGTCGTCTCAAGTAAACCTACCGATTCCATAGCCCCGGTTGTTATGGCAACTAGAAGTGTTCCAGCTGATGACCGAAGGGAGCGGAGGCTGAAAGCAGAAAAAGAAGAGGAAAAATCTGAATTGTTTTTGGTATGTAGAAGCTACAAGGATCAAAGTGATGTTTGCAAGTGAGAGTATAGTTTGCATTCAATCAATCTCATTCGTTTTAGGATCCTTGGGCGTCATGATCCTCTGAAATTCTTCCAAAGCACTATTACATCAGGGATAGCCCCGGCCACTAATCCATTAATCCGTGACTGTTGAAAATTGAGACACTATCTGATTTCTCCCATAATACATAAACCACTACCCGTGGTAATCCGGGATAGAACGTGTCCCCAGCATGTTGTAAGAGGTGACAGAATTGAGCTACCTGTGAAGATCCAGGTTAAAATTGATCTTCATCAGCCTATGCTTGTCATAAGAGGCGACAAACAGGAACTGGTGGTCAGGCTCGTTGAATTGGTTGATGCATGTCATCGTATGCCAATTACGTAGATCGATGCTTGTGATATCAGTCTTTCGATTGCCTGAGTATGACTTGATCGTTTACAGACTGCTGTCTACATACTTGAATATTGCTTAGTGCAGCATCAAACAAACATAAGCCACTAGTCCAAAAGAAGCTGCAAACTAGTTGGGTTTCACCAACGGTATCTACCCCTGTACATATTTCAGAAACCAAATTATTTCAGTACATCCTGCAATAATGAAGTGTGGCAATGTACATACAGATTCTATGATCTATCAATCAAGTTTTGTTATGTGTATTGTTTATCGTCAAACTAGGTGCGGTCGGGTAGCCTAGTGTTTAAAGTGTTCGCTCGTCACGCCGAAGACCCGGGTTCGATTCCCGACATGGGTACAATGTGTGAAGCCCATTTCTGGTGTCCCAACCCCCCCTCGTGATATTTCTGGAATATTGCTAAAAGAGGCGTAAAACCATACTCAGGTGACTTAATGGATTGGTTGCTATAGACTTGGTGATTTGGTTGATTCTGTGTCATGGAACCCTAACAGAATAGGTTTTTGCTCAGACCAGACTCAATCACTATCGTCAAACTACATACTCAAACTACTGTTACGTTTCTTACAGCGGAGTCTAAGGGTCAAGAAACACGAAAGACGGAAAAACAAGCTGGAATATATTTCAAGTATGAATAAGAAACATTGTGACATGAAGCCAGTGTATGGACAAGATTTGTGCGAGGCTGTGGATGTGACAAAAACGTTATCAAGGACCCATGTTGTTGACAATTTGTGGCATGGACTTGGCTATGTGCAGTGTTTATGTGCTCATCATTGTAAAAACCCAGATCATCCAGACTTTTACTGGCAACAGTCAGATATATTCAAGCAATTAATTCACACTCCAGAACAGTATTTGCAGGAATTGAGGGACATTCTTTCTCGGTGAGTCCAGTGGTGTGAATTACACAGAAAGGTTGGAATGAAGGAGAAACAAGATATCATCAGCATTAGAAGAAACCATTCCTGATTTCATGAGACTGGTTAAGGATACGGCTGCTTGTTAATTAAACATCTAGTTACAAATTCCCTTTGTTGGAAATGAGTTTGGGGCTAGTTTTATTTAATGCATGGTATCTTCCCCTTTGATTGGTAAAGTTAAGACTTCGGTTCTGGAATATAAAGTGAAGAAAAATGAGGTAAGGTCTCACTTGATATGATACTCAAAATAAGTTAAGGATCACTCATTCTTTCATATCGCTGCAGTGAACGTCATGTCATGACAGATTATCTATATTTCCTTGAAAGATTTGGGTGGTCCTTTACAGTATGTATGTGTGGACATCTTTATGTAGAACATATATTTGATCCAGGGAGTGTAAAAGCTTAACCTCAGTGCCAGTGACATCTCCCGTTTTCAGGTACTTGTTCGTTACTCCATCGGTGGTTGCGCCCACGATAAAGATGCATGTATCTCATCCCTGTCCATCAGCCGAACAAGCCAAGAAGAGAATGTCTTTCATGCTGCATCGAGAAGTCTCCCCCCAGACAGCATGTCTACACAGTCTTTCAACTAAAATGATGGTCCAGTTCCCGGAGCTCCGGCTTATAGAGTATGATTGTGGTAAGTTTGTCATTTGGCCCAGTATTGCTGATGTAGGTGGAGGTTCAGCTTGTTCTTGTATGATTGTGGCAAGTTGTCGTTGTAAGCCTGGCTCTTGTATCATGTTTAGTACATTTTTATTATTAACTGAGCTTACAAGACTGAACAGTTTTACTGGACTCTTGCTTCGGACGAGTATTGCTGATATTCTGCTTGTTCTTGTATGATGGGACCGCCTGTGGTCTACTGGTAGAGCGTCCGCCCGGAGGGTGAAAGGTCCGGGGTTCAATCACATGCCGTGTCATACCAAAAGACATTAAAGACGGTACTTCTTGTTATCCTATCTGGCGCTCAGCATTAAGGGGCTAAAACAAGGACTGGTCCGCTCTGACTCAGTATACTGTCTGAGTGGGGTATTTATGTAGAACTGCAACAAGGTATCTCAGTGTGCTAGCACTATAAAAGCGGCATCAGTCTGGATTAGTGTGCATGCGCACGCGCACACACACAGGCACACTCACACTCACACTCACACTCACACTCACACTCACCCTCACCCTCACCCTCACCCCACCTCACCCTCACCCCACCTCACCTTACCTCTTTGTGATGATGGTAAGTTGGTGTAGCTGGGTGTGTTTTGTTCTGTTAGTGTTTGGTTAGAATTGACATAAAGTGTCATGGATGTCTTAAAACAAATTCAGATGCAATATCATGAAGATCCCCCAAACTTGGAGCTTTTTGACGTCTTCTAATGTCATTTAGCCACACTGCCGAGATATTAAAAGGATTCACTTGTCTGACAATCTTGCAAGACAAGTTGCTACTGATCTCGAAGAGTAAAGCCATCAGATACCTATGCCCTGATCACACGATATGAGTGGTTGGACACCTTGTCTGAAACACTGAAGGATAAAAAGAACTTGGACAATGGATCAATATGTTTTGCTTTTCTTTATACTCAGTAAATAATGGCTTTGATTTGCTCTGAAGCAGTAGATTTTAGTCCATTAGTCCTTATAATGATAACTTATAGCAAACCCCTTAAAAATGGCCAATTTCCACAAGTCCTTATGGTACCTTAACTATTAAGCAGCTTGGCAAGGACTACAGGACTAGTGCCAATTTCTGCCGCTGCCCTGACATCAATATTGAAACCTGACAAGAATGTGTTCAGTAGGTTATTGGGTTATTTACTCTAAATATTACTCGCCTGTTTCTGTGATGCAGAAAGTATAATGCCCAAGACATTGGCTTTCAATCTCATGGCTTCTAGTTCTAGTGATAGAGGTCTTGTTACTAAACAGAAGTAAACATGAGATTAAATGAATACTACTTTGACAATCAAATACAATTATTTCCTGTAGTTAAGCTTACAATCTGTCTCTGATTTTAGCCATAGATTTGTGTAAAATTTCTTCTGTTTTATTGTAACAGCTAATAATAGTCGATATATTAACACTAAGACCTACAGAAACCATACAGAATGACTAATGGTGACTCGTTTGCTCAGAAGCTGATGACACAAACTCTTCAAATTGATGTAAGCATTTTCTTGCTGCATAATCAATTTTCCCTAAGCTCACAAACCACCGTGGCATCCTATTGTCATATGTGGACTTCATAACTGGGATAGAGAAAACAGTCTGTTTAAAACTCGTATGCAGTAATAATCCCTGCATGCGATTCCTGTCATAGACAACATTAACAATTACATTTAATGGCTTCTTGTGCATCTGCCAAGTCCTTATGAGACAATTTGTCAGTGTTTGGAAGAGACTTGAGGATAGAACAATTTCTGTCATATAATGGATAGTATTATCAATGCGATTAGCCGATTACCATGTTCAGTTTACTGATGAAATTGTTTAGGTATTGTAACCAGCGTGGGCGTGTAAGATTAGAATGACAGTGGTTATTGACATGACAGATTTAAATATCAGTTCTAATTATGACAACCAAATCTTGAGCCTTGCAACTGTAGATAAGTTTCTATCGAAAGCACAGTTCACCCTTCATAAATGGATTGAAATTTAATATGATTTATCCTTTTGAGGCAATGAAAATGCGTCATACATTTGTGCATTGGTCACAATTTCCCAGTTGTTCAGACCCCAGATACGCGGAAACCTCGACTACAGGTCTATATTTATGTGAAATGAAATAAACACTACATAAGATGCTTATTGAATCTGGTAATCTTGTTTCCGGATCCAGACATTGAACTGTAACAAATCATTGCCTTCTGTTGTTTTTGTTTAACCTTTTGTTTTGATGTTTTTGTATGCGAACTTGTTTGTGATTACGAGACATTAAAAGGATTCACTTGTCTGACAATCTTGCAAGACAAGTCGCTACTGATCTCGAAGAGTAAAACCATCAGATACCTATGCCCTGATCACACGATATGAGTGGTTGGACACCTTGTCTGAAACACTGAATATTATATATATCTATCTAGTTCAGGAATATTCCGTTGAGGATTGAAAAGAAATTAGGTTTTCGTGCATAAATTTGTCACCTAGAAATTTGTGACATAATTTTCTTATTGTTTAGGTAAGCTTCAGACCCTGGACATACTGCTCCACCGGTTGAAATCAGGAAGTCACCGAGTCCTCATCTTTACCCAGATGACGAAGATGTTGGACGTCTTGGAGGCCTTCCTCAGCTACCACGGTCATCGATATCTCAGGCTGGATGGCACCACCAAAGTAGAGCAAAGACAGGTATGCCGCCATTGTAGCTTCAGCATAGCAAGGCCAAGTAGTTGTACACATGAATTGTCTTATAAAGGCATTTAGAAGTGATAAACATAAGGAAGAGAATTTATGGATGTCAACTTCTTTATTATGAGGAACACAACGTTTCGGAGTAAAAACTTACTTACATAGAAGCCTCGGGGTTAAAGCGTTCGCTCTTCACGCCGAGGACCCAGGTTTGATTCCTGACATGGGTACAATGTGTGAAGCTCATTTCTGGTGTCCCAGCCATGATATTGCTGGAATATTGCTAAAAGCGGCTTTAAACCATACTCACTCATTCAATTGATGGAGTGACTATATGCTCCGAAACGTCAAAGATCTGTATATTTGGACACTTATTAATATACCTTTATATGAAGTTTAAACTATGAGAGGGGCGGTCGGGTAGCCAGCCTAGTGGTTAAAGCGTTCGCTCGTCACGCCGAAGACCCGGGTTCGATTCCCGACATGGGTACAATGTGTGAAGCCCATTTCTGGTGTCCCCCGCTCACTCACTTAAACTATGAGACAACATGAAGAATGCCAGTATCTATTTAGTCACTCCCATTAGCAAACAAGTCACCAGCACCCATATTTGTCTTTAGAACGAACATATGTGAAGAATATGCTCCTAACGTCTTAAGTTCTGACTTGGTTGCCAGGCATTAATGGATCGGTTCAACATGGATCGTCGTATTTTCTGCTTCATCCTGTCAACAAGATCTGGCGGCATTGGCGTCAATCTGACAGGGGCAGATACTGTGATATTTTACGACAGTGACTGGAACCCAACCATGGATGCCCAGGCTCAAGACAGATGTCATCGAATCGGTCAGACCAGGGATGTCCATATATACAGGTGGGGCTCGTTCACTGTTTAGTGCAAGTGCATTTTGTCTTTGTCTACATCCTCGTAAGTTCAAACTGCAGATTTGTCCTGATTGTTTCTAAATTTGTCAGCACTGTACCTGAATAATACCTGTCCACAGCTGCATAATAACAATAACAGTAATAATCAAGTCGTTAAAGTGAATGTTTTGTTATAATATTAATACGTTTCTATGTGTTATTATTTTATTTCAAATCTTGATACCATGTATGACTGAGAACATTTGAGCGATGATGTATCGTTAGTTCTTGCACAGATTTTCTTAGTTATCTGATAAAGATATAGACATAAATTTCTCATCTTTTTTATTAACATATTTGTCTGTACTTTTTCTCCTGTAGACTCATCAGCGAGAGAACAATTGAGGAGAACATTCTCAAGAAAGCAAATCAAAAGAGGTTATTAGGTGATCTGGCTATTGAGGGAGGCAACTTCACCACTGCATTCTTCAAGGAGGTAAGCAGTGCTGTGGGTCCCCGTGGGGAGGTCAGAATTGGCCCCCAGCAGCCTTTGCTTGTTTTACGAGGCAACTTAGTGGATCAAGTGGTCAGGCTCAGTGACTTGGTTTTTTGTGTGCCTTTTCACCTCGGATGCTGAGGATTGTTGCTCCAAATATCCGTCACTTGATTGTCTACTCCAGACTTGATTTTACATGTCACCGTTACATAGCTGAAAACTTGCTGAGTGTGTTCAACATTAAACTGCGCTGTTGGCCATGACCCATCAGCATTGTAATGAATGTAGACATTGATGTCGGGATGTTATCCTATGGAGCCATGCAAGCAATATGTTTAATGCTGGTGTTGTGTTTAAAGTGTTTGTAATGTATGTTGTCAGTAACTGCACAGACTACTTATTTAATCAGAAAATCTCTCTTTTCTCTCCCTCCTCCTCCCTCCCCTCAAACCTGTAGACGATACGTGACGTCACACAAGACAATCATAAACCTCTTTTTTCGACTAATCAGGAAACATTAGTACGCTGGTAGGCGTGACTTAATTTTTTCAGTTTACGAAGGCATGAACAAAAAAATATTTGGTTGGTACGCAAATCAAATGACAAGGAATCACCAGCAATATTTATTGCATTTTCAGCACACTATCAAGGAACTGTTTGAGGAACCCTCTGGCCTTGACGCTCTAGCCAAGGAGAAGCAAGCCCAGGCAGCTCTCAAGCAAGGGAAGGAACTTCATAAGGAACCTCCCAAGAAACTTCCCGAAGGAGAAACAAATGTGCTGGCACAGTTTGAACAGGTGAGTTATGACAAACGAGTGTTTAGAAGAAGTTGAAAGAAAGTCTTCCTTTTGTAGAATTGTAGACGTAGAGCCTGCTCTGTTCTGACAGGGGCACGGGTGGCCCAGTCGTCTAAGGCGCCATGATTTGCTGTGCAAAGTTGCGTCCCTTGGGCACGCCAGAAACCTATCATTGTGGGTTCGAATTCTGGTTCTCCCCAATTATGTTTCTAGGTTTGTCAGCACCATACCCGTGCTCATGGGTTTCACCGAAGTGGTAAACGTCTGAGACCTGCATCACTTCGGGCTTTCCTCCCACATTGAGCTGATGCCGTATTATAACTGGAATTATGTTAAAAGCGGTGTTTAACACAACTCACTCACTGTTCTGACATGCCCTTGTCCAGGGTAGGAGTCCACTGTGTTGGGCCGTCAGCTGATGAAGATCAGGTGGCTACATTGTTGCTGCCAGTGCTTGATATAGGTGAAAAGTTGCTGACTGCATACGCTGCATACTCCCTCTGAAACATGACATTAATAACCTACCAGAAATCTCTTGCCTGCTCAAGCACAACACCAAATTGTCCATGAAGGAACCTATACTGAACAAAGTTCGGGATCATGAATAATCTTTGTTAAAATCAGCATTTGAAATTAGCATTAGTCCTGTAGTCCTTGCCAAACTGCCAAATAGTTAAGGTATCATGAGGACTAATAGAAATTGGCCATTTTTAAGAGTTTTGCTATGTTAGCATTATAAGGACTAGTCACTTTGAAATGTTAATTTCTACCACTGTATAATGTTAACGGGTTTTGATGAATTTGAATGAAAAAAGATGTCACATTAAAATATTTCATGATCCTTAACTGTTTGGTTTTGGGTTTGTTTTGTTTTTTGAGTATGTAAAGTTTCTTCTTGGTGTCGTGGTAACAGATGATGATGACTCAGACTGACGTTGGCCCACTCATTCTCCTATTTGTTATGTTTCAGGCTCTCTGCAAGGCGGAAGATGAGACGGATGCCATTGCAGTAAAACTGGTGAAAGCTGAACAGAAGGCAGAACTGGCCGAGTTTGACGAAACCATTCCTTGGGATGAGAAAGAGGCTGAATCTAAAAAAGATGAGGAAGTTTCCAAGGTGGAACTTGAGCTTGCACAACTGGACAAGGAGGTAATACTGAAATGAGAAGTTAAGCTGTGGACATGCAGTATTAGTATCACTTGATTCACGTTTGGATGTCATTGGGTGGAGGTGGATAGTTCCACGTACAGATGTTATGTTTCCCATAAGGGCAGACTGATCTGGTGTAATAACTTTCCCATATTTGCTCAAAGACATTTTAGCTGTTCTCCGTAGATATTGGTCACTTGAAGCCGTATGACTTCAGTGTTTTATTGTTGAGAAAAATATAATGTTATGTCTTACATTTTTCAAAAACTGATTACATTACGTTGTTTGATGTTTACATTGATGTTTGCTTGCAATTAACCGTTACTGAATGTGACTACCTCCTTTTAGCTTACCCCAATTGAGCGGTATGCTGTTTGTGTGATGGAAGCCGAGATGGAACCAGAGACAATTGAAGAACTCATGATTGCAGAGGTGTGTAACTGCATGCTTACATATACGAAATACGCAATTCTCTGGCACTGTCCTCATTCATTTTGCAGTCAACTTGTGTGCCTTTTGTTCCTGCTTCATGAAAGAGAAAATTTCCGCACATTTTATTTGTTTTTAAAGTTCAGCTGCCCACATCAATTGATATTGTAGTTTGTCTTTAAAAAGTATTCATGTACTGACTAAATACCACACAATTAATGTGAAGTTTATGCAAGTTGAATCGTTTAAATGAATCAAATTATCTGATTTCTTTATTTTCATTGGGATTTCAGTTTAAAATTTGACCCCAGTATTGTTTTTGTTGTACGATGCAACATCATGGGTCAGGTGGTCAGGCTCCATCAACATACTCCGTCAGCTTGGATTAATGCTTGCATCTATCACAGGTTTATGACTCAATTATTTACAAGCAGCTGTCATGTGGCTGGAATATTGCTGAGTGTGGCATTAGACAAGCAACAAGTAACGTTGTTGGTGTAAGTGTGGGTAAGTCCATGTGACAGTCTCAGAGCTCCAGATAAGCTTCGTGTCTGTGTAAAGTACGCAACAGAAATGCAGAAATACGCAGTAAAATAAAATCCAAGTGTATCAAATACGCAACGAACATTACAGATACAAAAATAAAACTCGTGCGTATCATCAAAATATTCTGAAGTAACCCTGCATATTCGATTCGCAAATCAGGAACTTATTTTGAAATTATAAACGGGCATTCCGTCTACCTTGCCAAACTCCACGAGGATAGTTACATCATGATCATTTGCCATCACACTTTCTTGTGGAAGTATTATGGTATTTTTTAGTACTATAACGCTCTCGAACCCACACAACACCATTTGCAGGGACTAGATGAATAGTGTTTTTAAATATTTAACTTGAATACCTACATGTGTAAAAACTAGTTGGTAACACAAATTTGAATACCCAGATAGAATTACTGATCCCCAATGATTTTAAAATGCATGGGTAAAATACCCACAACACAAAAAGCTTATCTGGAGCTCTGCAGTCTTGTGATTGATACCTGTTGCAGGAGGACATTGAGAACTCCAAGAAGGAATGGGAGCTTGCTCGGCTGAAGGCGTTGAAGGAGGAGGAGGAGAGACGCCTTGAGCTGGAGGAGGACGAGATGTTGTACACGTACTCTCGGGATGATGCATATAACCAGGTGAAGAAAAAGAAGAAAACCAGACTAAAGAAAAATTCTTCCTATACTAGTGATGACCTCGATAGTTGCCCTGAATCAAGGGCTTTAAAGAGTAGTGGGAGGTTGCACGAGGCTAAGGAGAAGGTGAAGGATGTCAGCCCTAGGTCACAGAGGTTAAGGCAGAAGTCGGGTGATTTAAAACTTTCAGGAGATGAAACCATCAAGCCCAATCTCAGCCCGGTGAAAGAAGTAAAGAAAGTTACACCCAAACCAAAACCAAAACCTGCACCTAAGAAAGAAACTCCCAAAGCAACCAAGAAAGAAGCAGCTAAGATTACACCTAAGGTTGCCAAAGAGCCAAGAAATACCCCTAAAGAGCCTAAAAATACCCCTAAAGAGCCTAAAAGTACCCCTAAAGAGCCCAAGGAAAAAACTCCCAAAGTTCCCAAACCAAAGAAAGACGTTAAGTCAGTAAAGAAAGAGGTCAAAAAAGAAATTAAGATTAATTCATTGCTCACTCCCACATCCCTGCCCATGGCTGTTAACATTGCAGATGCGTTGAAACTAAACTCCCACCCTGTCCCCAATGCCCATAGTGCTGGAGTGGTTGAGGTTACTGCCAACCCCACTAGGATATCTTGTGCAGCAGCAACTACCCAACAGGTGGTTCAACCACTCATCCAGCAGGCTGATTCCAGACCCATTCTCAAAGTCCCGACTTTAGCGTCTTCACTGACCACAAGTCCAGGCGGGCAGTTGACTCTGCCAACTCAAGGCAATGTGATTATCAACACTCCGCAAGGCAGGGCTATTGTCCCTCACAATAGGATAGTCATAACCCAGGGAAAGGCCTATGCAGCTCCCCAGCCTATCAAGGTCATTGCAGGTCCTGCACAGGGGCAGGTAATTGTGTCGTCTCCTGTTGCCAGAGTTATCTCACCTGGTGGAGCCACTTTAAACTCTGTTATTTCCCAAATGCAGACTCGATTGGTTGCACCAGTCCCAACTCAGGTTTTTAATAATACCCCACGTATCAGATCCCCTATCAATGCCAAGCAGACCCCTCTCTCTCCAAAGGAGAACTCTGTGCCTCCTCCCTGGTCCAACCCTAATCTTGTTATCCGTACCCGTCGAGCTTCTCTCCAAGAAGCTGCGAAACCACCTCTCCCTCAAACCAGCATCCTTGGTGGAGGGGTCAACTTAGTTTCTATTGCCCCTGCCCCGCCCACCCATCACGTCATAGCGTCGCCGATACCAGGAGTTGCCTACAATATTGTCAAAACCAATAGTCTTCATGTTCCTATTCTCAACAACCAAGCTGTGTCGTTGAGCAGACATCAGATTATTCAGACAAACTTGAATCAAGCTATTCCAGCACAAAGTTTTGTCATAGTCAATCCTAAGAGGACTCGGTCAGCTTCTCAGGAGAGCAATGGCCATCCAGTGAATGAGATTCGTGACACGGGGTGATCTCCCCGTGATTCAGTTGGTATTAGAGAATGTGTTCAGTAGGGTTACACAAGTTAACCACATGTTAACTGACGCTACATAATCAACTATATGTGCATATTATAAGAATGTCATTGATGATTCATATCTGACAATGTACTTCATGGAAAAAAGTCCAAAAGGAACTTATATTAAGTTGGTTCTTTTGCAAGCCTTTCATCATGCTACCTCGACTGTAAGATAGTAGTTGCAGTACCCAGGAAACAATGCTCTTGTGTGCTAGACGGTCACACCCCAAGGGGGATTTCCACGTGGGTTTTTTAACGGAACATAAAACTCTGAATATCTCCGGAAGCTGGCACTGCTCTGCTCTGTTACATGCAGCAGTTGCTCATAGACTTCTGCTCTTTTTCTGTTAAGTGATTCATTTCTGTGCTTGCTTGTCAAGTAGAAAAGTATTTTGGCCAAAATGGCTGAAAAATTGATCAAACCCAAATAATGCCAAAAAATTACGTTCATTTCTTCCAAGGCAAACTTACGACAGTGTCATTATTTGGACTTTTATGATCAAGTATTGTCCATGAAAGATTTTTATTTTTCAAAGAATGATGCTATATCTGTTGCGTTAGCCTGAATTTTATGACATTTACGGTAAAATGAGTATTTGTGTGAATCTGCTTGTTGAACTGACTGCATATGGAAATTGTGCGGTTGTGAGATGTGGATGTATATAGTCATGATGCATGAAGTGTGGCATCTGTATGAAAACAATAATGCAAAATGTCTGAGAAAATGTCAAAATAATGTTTTCTGAGAATAAAAGATTTTGTAAATGTTTCTGTGTGTGCATCTCATTTCACTCTGTTGTGCATGTGTAATACCGGCCGGGTAGCCACAGCACTCATCTGCTCAAGGTTTTTGGTGTCTCAACAAAATTCCATGAACGACTACGGCAATTAAGCTGTAGTCTGTGTCTCACTTATGCACTGCCAAAATTATTGTTGGGCTTTGTTCTTGTTAAGTGAAATGCTGGTAACGTTTGTCTAACAAATCAAAACATTAAGCATTAACTGAACTCATGCTTTCTGCTTTTAGAAACCAGTTTGACATTTCTGTAAACTGTGCATTGAAATCAGGGAAGTTTAAAATTTTGTAGTATTAAAAAACATCTATGGCTTTTACATTAATGACCTTTATTAGGCATGTTCATGATAAGTCAAGAGAAAGCCCTTCAATTGCACGAACAGTGTTCTGTTCTAGTGCAGGTTGAGTGTAATTTGGGTTGGCCAGGCATGCGATTTCATTTGATGTTCATCCTTCATTGCTAAGACTAAACGTATAGGCACCAAACCACCTTGTCCGCTGTGCCGCTGGCCCACATTACACACGCCACAAAGTGAGATGCAGACTACAGGCACACATCCGCACGCAGAAAACCATGACACATCCACAATGGACTACTTGCGTAACAGTCACATCAACATGTTCGCCTGTATTGCTGCCATATCTGAAATAAGATTCTGGCAGGGAAACTGAATGGTATTTTGAAAATCAAAAAAAAGATGAAAACTTGTCACTTTAATTGCATAACTTTTACTGAAAAGCAATTTTTCATCAGTGTTTTCATAATTTTCTTCGAATAGTTGAGAAGACATGCATGCGTGTTATTGGAAAGCTTGACCAAAGTCTGGAAATAAGCAATGGCGCATTTGTGAGATCTCTAAATACACAATTGTTAGAGATGTTCAGATTCATGTACGATGCTCATGATGTCAACAGACCACCGTCATATAGCTGGAATATTGCTGAACAACAAACAGATAGCAAGAATAAAGCCACAAGTTTGGATACATTGAGTCACAGACTCTGAGGTCATTTAGTCAAATGACACGTTAAACGTAAGTTACTTGTGCCATGTGTTAATACCCAGAAATAAACATCTATTATGGTATATTTCGTCTTGACATTCACAAAAAAGTCTGCCAATATTTCAGTGATTCAGTGCAGGAGGTTGGGCAAGTTGTTTGCTTTGTTAAAAAAAGAATTAAGATATATAGAAAGTTGAAGTAATGGATTTGAACTGGGGATGAGGAACAACCGTTCACTTTGGAAATACTTTACCAAAGCAGAACCACATGAAGATAATTCCAAAGATGTCCGTACAGTTTCATTCTGAAGTATCAACATGTAGATATGGAGCGCCAATGGGCTGTTTATTAACTTGCATTTACTGTTATAGCTTGTGAAGTTTAAAGACAGACTTGTAGAGTTTGGCAATGAAAGTAAATCATACTATTGTCAAAATAAGTGATTTAAGGTAGCTGAAGATTTAAATGCTATCAATATGCTAGTTTCAAAGAATTTTCCAGCATCTTTACTATCCAGTTGGTTTGAACATTCCATACATCTATTTATGGAGAAAGCTGCCCTTTCTGGTGCGGTTGAAGACATTCAGCTGTGTGTTGACGTCAGAAATTGAATCCTTCACTTGCACAGACATCTGACGTTTGTGACACCAAGTTAGCGCCCAAACTAAACACTCCAACCGTTATCTTTGGATTCTGTCTGATAACACGTGACATTTGCCTGACCAAGTTTGTGGAAGATTGAAGGTATCGTGAGGTCAAATTAAAATTGAGACGTTATGTCAAATTTTCCTCTTTCTCCCACCATGACATCCTGTCTGTTTTAATTCGGACCAGCATTGGAATTTGGCACTAGTCCTATAGTCCTTTGCCAAACTGCTCAATAGTTAAGGTTGTGCAATGTTATCCTGACCAGTGGACTAAATCTGTTAGTTTCTACCTCTGACGCAGAAGCCGGTCCCAAGAAAATGAAGTTTTAACTGTAGTGTATGTGGATGAATGCTCCTAACTTTGTACACGAAGACAAGATATTAGGATAACTTCTTTGACAACGTACCATCAACTCATCTTATCCTTGCCAAGATATTAGGATACAAAATGGGAGATTTCTTCTACAGTACCATGCACATTAATCTCCTCTTTCATAATTAATATGCCAAGATTCATGAAGGAAATCATGCAAGAGTTAACTATTTAAGGGTTCCAATGACAATGTCAGATTTTTCTTTAATTCCAGGTGTATGTCTCTGACTTGGGACCAGAAACCATGCCGGTGAGTTGTTTTTAGAAGACTCTCAAACCATGTACTGGCTAGCAACCAGTTATCACTGAGGACCAATTATCGCCAACTCCCAGTTACGGCACTCCCATAATCGCATCTCATTTTAAGTTTGCTTGTTTTCATTAGAACTGAGAAATATTTATCTCATAATATAAACAAAACAGACCTTCGTGAGGAAATATTTTTAAAAAAACACCATAATGAACTTGATCAAGTACAACTTTAGAAAAGAGACGTTGGCGGTGTCACATGACTAATTCACACGATAAAAATTTATCAAACAACCCAATGATGCACTTTCAATTCTGTCATTGCTTTCCATCTGTCTGTCATTTCTTCCCCAAAATAAGTTTCTGACAACTATTTCAGCTATATTTCCATAAGTGCATAGCCTGTATTTATCGCAAAATCCATAGTACATGTAGGTAAGGATAAGCATGTGTAGATCAAATTTAGGGAATATTGTTTTTTGTCAGTTTGCAGACAGCAAATTGATAATAGCATTTCTTGTTCATTTTGATGAATACAAAATATTAGTGCGATACCAGAGATACTAAAAGTGTACTTTGTATAGCTGAAGCTGTGCTGTGCTGTTTAGATGTTGGCGGTAACTGGTACAGTAAGTCGACGGGAAAGTTCTATTTCCACTGTCTTGATTCCCCATCGTAGTGTTATGACAGAAATTAACTGAATCTTATTCAACAGACAGAAATAAGCGCATTTGGTCATAGTTTCACGAAAATTAAAGTTATTGTTGCTGTCAACTTTGTACACGGAATATGTCAGAAATAACATGGAAAAAAAGTGGCGATGTTTGGTCGGTGACCAGTACAGTGTAACTGGACAGTTTTTAGCATCAGTACGTCCATGTCACACTAATGACCCGTCGCTTAGTCTCTTGTCATTAACAGGTTGTCAACTGTGGCCCAAAGCTGTCCACTTAACCTAAACTAATTTGTGAAGCTATAACGTGTTGACATATGTATATGGGGGCGGTCGGGTAACCTTGTGGTTAAAGAGTTCTCTCGTCATGCTGAAGACCAGTGTTGGATTCCCCACATGGGTACAATGTATGAAACCCATTTCTGGTGTCCCCTGCTGTGATATTGCTGCAATATTGCTAAAAGCAGCATAAAACCATACTTACTCACTCACTCGTATTGTCATGAGAGCACATACATATATTGTGCTCACAGTGCAGCTGGCACAGTATGAGTGAGTGAGTGAGTTGGGTTTAACGCCACTTTGAACAGTATTCCAGTTATATCAAGGCGAGTCAGCTTAAGGTGTGCGGAAAGCCAAAGTGATACAGGTCTCAGACGTTACCTCTTAAGACCCACGGGTTTGGTGCAGACTGACATAGGAACATAGGGGTGAACTGGGATCTGAACCCACAATCATAAGTTTCAGGAATGCCCGAGTGACGCAACTGTGTACAGCGAATTAGCGGCACCTCAGACCATTGGGCCACCTGTGCCACCTCATTGAGTATCTGCAGGCAGTACTGTGTGGTGCATGTGATCCAACAGTGAGGCCATTGGTTATCAACCTGTAACTTGATTAATGCCAGTAGGGGGCATGGGTGGCCCAGTCGTCTACGGCGGCGCGATTCGCTGTGCAGAATTTCGTCCCTTGGGCACGCCAGAAACCTATGATTGTGGGTTCGAATCCCGGTTCGCCCCGATTATGTTTCTATACCCGTGCTCGTGGGTTTCACCGAAGTGGTAAACGTCTGAGACCTGCATCACTTCGGGCTTTCCTCCAACATTAGGCTGACACGCCGCGATATAACTGGAATACTGTTAAAAGTGGCGTTAAACCCAACTCACTCACTATTAATGCCAGGAACAACAATAATGTATTTGTTTAGGGTAACTTAGGCATTAAGGGAAGTATCACTATCATGACAGTATGGTATATTCAGATTTAATGGTAACGAATGAATGCACACAAATTTGGGTAGAGTGCTGAGAAAATTTAAGTGTTTTTCCTGATTACCTGATGTGTTTGTTTTGTGAAGATGTGGGCACCACCGACACCGCCGAAGGATGACAACGACGTGTACATCGACCAGACGATGTACTTCCTGTACGAGCCGGCTGTGATGACGGAGACACAGCTCCCACCTGTGTATGTGAGGAAGGAGCACAAGAAGCCTCGTATAGAGACCGTCACCAGTGAGTGGATGCTGCTGCTGCTGCGTTCTTGTCACTTGGGGAGGGGGGGGGGTAGCATTGTGGTTAAGGCCTACGCCTGTGTTTGATCCCGCATGAGTTAAATGTGTGAAGCTCACTTCTGGTGTCCTCAGCTGTGATAATGCTGGAGTAATTCGAAAAGGGGCATAAACTCCATTCTAAAAACATGTTACAAATTGGCCACTTTTGATATCTGAATACAGTGAAATTTTCAACATCGACATGCTGAATTGGTATTAGATTTTCATTTTTGTCATGGAAATTGTTTGGGGAATTTCCCTCTCTTAGAATCACTTGAAACCCAGGTAGGTACAAACTTCACTTTGTGTCATTAAGCCATTTACGTATCTTTCAAAAGTATCGGACTCTTGACAATCGAACTTTTTGTCATTGTGTTCCTTTGGTTCTCAACTTAAGTTTCTCCCTCAGCTCGCAAACAAAAACAACGAAAGGAAGAGCAGCCCCGCGTTCCGCGATCTCTGTTTGATCGGCCGACTGCTGCCTTGTTGAAGATGAGGAGAGAAGCCAAGCTGCAGAAGCTGAAGCAAGGCTTGATCAAACCCTACCGTCCAGCTGCACCCGCTGTGCCAAGCAAGCCTGTCCTCGACACGGCGCCAGACCACCCAGAATGGCTCATTCATGAGGACTGGGCTCTTCTGCAGGTTGGAATAGTTAACTGGAAACTACAATACAAGATTGACCCGTGAAGATCCGGGGTAGAACATGTTTTCAGCAACCCATGCTTGCCGTAAAAGGTGACAAAGGGGATCGGGTTATCAGGCTCGCTGACTTGGTTGATGCATGTCATTGTTTCCCAATTGCGTGGATCCATGCTCATGATATCAACCACTGGATTGTCTGGTCCAGATTCAATTATTTACAGACCGCCGTCAAAGAGCTGGAATATTGTGGAGTGCAGTGTTACGCAACAAACAATAAAATCAAGCAGTCGTAAGTCCTTGTTAAAGTAAGTGGGTTGGCACTAACATCACTTTGGGGAACAGGGCCAAGGAGTTGGTCATTTTGTACCAGTAGTTCAGTGAAAATTATTTGATCAATAATTGCATTGTAGGGTTATTATCCCCCATCATGAAGTGACGTAGGAACGGAGTTAGTCTGCTTCTCAATGTGGACAAATTTTCTCAAAAACTATTCAAGTTGGAGAAATTAAATTTTATGCACTAATGCTACTGGTCATGATCTCTAATCAGTTTGAAAATTGGTGTTGTACATTCCCGTTTTACCAAGTTATGGCCCTTGCTTCATGCTTTACAACATAGTGTGTGCACTGGGGAGAACTTCTCTCAGAAACTACTAATTACATGAATGAAACTTTGCAAGCTTGTCGGAGAGATACTTGTTTTATTTGCTTTTGAGTATTGGCATATTGTTAGTACCGAATAATCATTGGACTAAACTTGACATCGTTCCATGACGTTTCTTCCACAGGCTGTGCAGACTTTGCTAAGCCTGCCACTCAACTTGATGGTGGTGGCACCCGCTCACATTCCAAACTGGGACCTAGTCGCCGATGTTGTCAACAGCTGCAGCAGGGTGTATCGCTCACCCAAACAGTGTCGCAGTCGCTACGAGAATGTCATCATCCCCAGGGAAGAGGGCAGGATACTGTATGACATCAGCCCCAGGAAGCAGAAGAAGACCAAGGGGATATACAAGGTGGAGCTCATTGATTTACCACCTGGGAAGATCCGGGGTAGAATCGATCCTCAGCAACCCATTCTTGCCCCAAGAGGCGACTAATGGGATCGGATGGTCAGGCTCATTGACTTGGTTGATGGATGTCATTTTATCCCAGTTGCTTAGATAGATGCTCATGATGTCAATCACTGGATTGTCTGGTCCAGAATTGACTGCACAGGTCATAGAGCTGGGATCAATTGTGGTTTTCAACATTAAACGTCAAAATAATAAACAATCAATACATTCTTTGTAAGTGAATGATCGTTTAGATCGGTGGAGAGAAGAAGTGCAACGTCAAAAAATCATTATCCTCCCTTTATCCAAGCAGGATAGTCTCCCTCTTCAATTTTGTTTTCTATATTTTATAATCATGTCAAAATTTTGTCAAAACTGTGCTTATATAAAAGTGCTGCCAAACATCTAAAAGTTTGGATCTATATTAGTATGTTCTTAATATTTATTCCTTCTCCGACCAAGACTCATTGTCCTGCCTTTATTCCCAGACAAAGAACAACCGCCCAATGCGAACCAGTCAGCTATATATCCAGGACAGCAACAACTCGGTGACCATGCTGTACTCGCTCCGCTTCGACTCCGTCAAGGGCATCGCTGGTAAGAGGCCCCCGACGCTGAGGCAGACCCTTGTCAACCCCACCATGAAGAACCCCAAGCACGCTGCTGTCCTGCAGGAGAGCGGCATCATCTACGACACCCCTCTGACACCCTTACAGGTGGCAGCCAACAGAGCCGATCGAATTGCTCGGGAAAAGAAACAAAGCCAAGTTGCAGCTGTGAGTTTGCTGTTAGGTTTTGTCACAAACTTTAGTAAAACTTGTCCTTATAACTGTTTCATGACAAGGGGTGGTTGGTAGTGTATTCAAACAAGCCAAGAGTTTTGAGGTAACCATGTTGGAAGTGTTTGTAGTCTAAGTAACTTCCTGAATAAATACTGTGTGTGAAACCTGTCTCGTACACATGCATGCAAGTCATGATATAACGGCAATAATCTTGAACACAACGTTAAACACTTATTTCACCTCACCTCTTGAGACTCCTGAAGATCCGGGGTAGAATAGGTCTTCAGCATCCCATTCTTGCTGTAACAGGCGACGATGCTTGTCATAACAGGCGACTATCGGGATTGGGTGGTCTCTGACTTGGCTGATGCATGTCATCATATCCCAATTGCTTGGATTGACGCGCATATCAGTCACTTGATTGTCTGGTCCAGACTTGATTATTTACAGACCGCTGCCATATAGCTTGAATATTGCTGAGTGCGGCTTTAAACAACAAAGAAACAAAACAAGTATCACCCCTCGAACTTTGGGAGGTCACACGTTATGGTTGTTCCCCACAGGCTGCAGCGGCGGAGCAGCAGCTGGCGGCACAGCGAACACAGCAGGCCCAACAGCAGCAGGCGGGGACCGTGGTGCAGGGCACCAGTACAACAACAGCCCCCGTGGTGGCTGCCAGCATCCAGGCCTCGCATCTTCAGCCCCTCGTCTCCGTGGCAACGGCTTCCACTAATGTCATTGTAAGTTCTGTCGCTGTTTGTTTGTACAACGTCTTCTGCAGGTCCACTTACAGTGTATGGTTTCTGAACCCCAGAGAAGGGAATAGATGTGAAATGAGGCCCCTGACCCAAATATTACAAATGAAGGCGTTACGGAGTAGGTAAAATACTTACCAGAAAACCTCAAGAACACTATGACCCACTTGATTGAGTAATAGGTTTGCAGAAGTGATATACAAAAAGCTTATGTCAGCTGGCCCAAATATCTTGCGATATATTCAGTTATCCCCTGCAAGGTTTCAGTATACTCTGTCTCAAAGAACCCCAAGTCTGTAAAGACATGTCAACTAGTCCAAAAAGTTGTCCTCTGAATTGATCTTTGGCATCACTATAACTATGTTTTACTCTGAGTATATGTTATGAAATAAGTCGTTTTACCTTCCAACAAGAAATGTTATACTTTGGTCTCCAGAGTAGTTTTTCATCCTGATTATGTTTTAGGTTTGTGGAGTGACAGATAAGCTGTGTATTTGTGTAAAAACTATTCAAAACCCAATTACTTTCAATTAACGTGCGTACAGAAACGCACACATTAAATGGAAAACTCAGTTGTTTGAAAACAGCATGCATATAATGTCCAATGAACCTTTTTGAAACACAATTTAATTTCCGAAACACAATTTCGATCTAATTTACTTTCCGAGTCAAGCCTATATTTAGAACCATTACATACATCTAAAACATTATTTCATTATTATTCTTTAAATCTCAAAATGTTTTACTCATTTTTAGGGAAAAACCCAATTAAAATAGAAACCCTAGAGTAAAAAACTCAATTGCTTAATTTTTTACTTATCCTGCATTACTCCTTAATGCATTCACTGCTTACTTACGACAACTAGAAGGACAGCGCTGCGAAGGTCCTGGGTGAAGAAATAAAGTTGTTGTTCTCAAGTCCCAATCAGTGGCCTTCCGTCGCTGTCCTGTGACCTTGATGACACCTAAGGTCATCTTCACATCACTGCTTGTCGCAGCACAGCTAGGACGTGTCCAAGCGGAGCTCTCCTTTTGGATTAATTTTAGACCTTCAGTTTGTCTACAATCTTAAAAATTGATCTGCGATGGGTGATGTATTCTTTTCATATTACTTTCACCATGTTGTGTAGTTTTATGTGAATTAATTAGGCGTGAAAAGACGCTTGTCTTTTTTCCCGCCAAAATATTGTTGTTCGCCGCCATTTTGAATTGTGTTACAATCGTTTGCCTGCCAAGGTAGTCATATTGTTTACAATTCTCAGCTACGTATGTATAACATATTCTTATGTTCTTAAATATTACTAGCTTTGGCGTAACAGTGAGTTGCGTATACTAAAATTATTGTATACTTTTTCAACTCGTTAAAAATATGGTTGCCGATAGATTAATATCAAATCTACGGCTTTCTTCCAGTCCCGCTTCATCAACAATTCTTTTATTGCGTACCTATGTTTATGCGATTAAATAGTTTTTTGTTGGTATTTTTGGTTTTACATTGAGTTGCGTATATGAACTATTGTATACTCTTGCAACTCGTAGTTTTTGCCGATAGATTATTGTTCAATTCTATGGCATTCTTCCAGTACCGCCTCATCAACAATGGCGTAATTGTGTTTAATTTAAACATATTTTATTGACATATATGGTCAACGGGATTGGGCAAAAGTTATCCAACTTAGGTGGCCCTTTCCCTACTCTATATGTACAGACATTGAATATACATATATATATGTAATTGTGTAACTTATGATTGAGCGTGGTATTAATTGTCGTGGGAAAAATCTTACAAAGATTATCATCCACGTTGTTTGGTTTGCGCGCAGATGGGCTCTCCAAACCCTAAATGAAAATGTAAATAGCCTTGGTTTACATTGAATTGCGTATATAAAAATATTGTATACCCTTGCAATTCGTATTTTTGCCGATAGATTACTGTTCAATTCTACGGCATTCTTCCAGTACCATTTCTTCAATGGTTTAATTGCGTAACATAATTATGTTTGCTCGGTGTACATATTGTCGTGGAATAATCGCCCAAAGCTCTTTATCCACGGTCATAGGCATGCACGTAGATGTGCTCGCCAAAATTCAAAATGTAATTTTTATGTAAATCTCTAATCCAACGAGTTTACTATATAAAAGCAGATTACTCACAATCATATTTTGCAGTTATTCCGTCGTGAGACGAGAGGAATGTCACTATCGCAGAATAGCGAATGACATATGGTTCTGTCATTACCACCCAACCGTTATTATCGGCAGGTATTATGACGACTGTGATTGCAGAAGTACACCATCCACCGAAATCAACAATACCGGAGGATTTTGTGAGTATCGTAACTGCTCCTATTTTTTCAGCCGCCGGACACTTCCAGATACATGTATGATAATCTGTGACGTCGGCGACAGCACCAGCGTATCGAGATGCTATGATGGGGGTAGATTAGACACAAGCCTTGATCCAGTCAATACTTTTGAGCTTTGTGTCTGATTTATCTGCGCCGAGCGCAGCACTTGACTACAACCAAAGCACTTCTATTACGCAATCGGCGCACGATCAGCTTAGCGCTGTTCCAACATATCCAGCATAGACCTGCGCCGAGCGCAGCGTCTGACTGATACCCAAGCGCTCCTATCACGCCAGTGACGCACGATCAGCTTAGCGCTGTTCCAACATATCCAGCATAGACCTGCGCCGAGCGCAGCGTCTGACTGATACCCAAGCGCTCCTATCACGCCAGTGACGCACGATCAGCTTAGCGCTGTTCCAACATTCCAGACCTGCGCTGAGCGCAGCGTCTGCGTATCAATCAAGGTCTCTACAATGACGTTAGCCCAAGGCTTACAGTGTACCGGTTACGTAACCGGCACATGATCAGCTTAGCACATGTACCCGATTGGGAAGCAGACCATCTCGTGTCAGTAACGCCTTCCCCTGATAACAGGGTAAATAAGAGGGACACCACGAGGTCATTGGAGGAAGCCTTCTCCAAAACTCACATTTGCTCCGTGATTTAAGCGACCAATATCGTCAATGTTTGTAGTGGATCAGAATCTATTAGAGGATAACCCTATCTGATTAGATCACTTCCAAACTATGGTGTTTTTCCTACAGCGTCAGTTTGACCACAGGAAAATTCATCTTGAGACCGTTCTGACGGTGATTACCGTTACACCCAAGACTTTATAGCGTTTCCAACTGAGATGCTGGTTTCAAGGGCAGTCTATTACGTCAACCTTGATCATCTACTCCCCTGTTCAACGAACAGATCGCAGACACGCACGTCAAGTTCCCAAAAAGCTTGGAAAGTCCAAGTCAGGGAATTATAAGCCTAGACGCGCGTTTCTCAGGGAAGACCAGCATTCCCTTACTGAGAAAGGGAGTGGCAGAGACAAGTCTCAAGGTCGATTTCGTACTTATCGCACTATATCATGGTGTCCGTATAAGGGTAGAGTTAACCCCACCGTTGACCACAGTTTGATTGGGAAAATCCAACATAGACATACTGTTGGTAAGAAGAGCTGTAGAGTGGGTTCACAACCCAGTCTTTACTCCGGGGTTTTATCCTCACACCTACCTGGTACTCATGAAGGACCCAGACAAGATGAGAATGATCCACAATCTCTGTGTTCAACGAACGTTTGATTCTTCATCAGTCTCGACTATCCATCCCAACCGTAGACTTTTCAGGTCCAGTTCATTGGGGTTCACTACCAATGGTAGTATTTCCCATTTGACATGTCAGTGACACTTATGGCTATTTACAGGAGTAATGAAGCCAATAACTATCTACACGTGACGAACACTTGGTTCGAGTCGTAGATGGAGGGCGATCTACTGTATCATCAACACATGTCAATAACTGGGATAGACAATCAACGAGGCGAAGTCGGGAGTATTCTCCTTCCTATTGACTTCAGTTCATAGGAGACCTGTTTAAGACAGACCAGGATATCCTATCTGTACCGAGGGACAGATGGCACAAGTTTCTACTTCTTTTGTCATCTACTCTACACCAACCACACACACTTCGCCAGTGGCAAGTGTTGCTAGGGTTAATCACCTCGGCACAGGAGTTAACTAGCATGGGCCGCTTACAACAGCGACCAATTCAATTTTTTTCCTGAACCCTTACATCAGGAGTCAGGATCCACTCAAGGCCATCACTCTACCAACTAAGCTAGAGCCTCAATTTGTGGCGCTGAATGTCTGCGGAGTCTGTTTATTCGGATTTTCCCCGAATACACACCTGTTTGTGGACGTCCCTTTTCAGGGGTGGAGTCTTCACTTACAAGACCAGATAAGCTCAGGGCTATGGCCCGGCGCACAATGGAAGTGGCACATAAACAACTTGGAGTTGGAAGCTTTAATTCTGGCTATATCACATTGGCAGAATCAACTACAGTTAGCCCGACTCGCTATATCCACAGACAACAGCACTGCGGTGTGGTGCCTGTGCAATCGGGGAACAACACACTCCCACTCTCCACTTCTAAGGACATTCAGATTTCTTCCATCTAGTGGATCGGCTGTGACTAAGGTTCATAGTTCAGCACATCCCCGGATGTAGAAACATACTGGCCGATACTTTATCACGTCCAGACAGGGTGGCTCCCACTGAGTGGAAATTTCTCACAGAAGCATTCCAGTTACTGCTTCAGGAATTCAGGCAACCAAACATTGACTTGTTTATTACTTGCCTAGGCCACCAACCCATGACGTATATCTCCCCGTTGCCGGATCCGCAGACTTGGGCGGTGGACGAGTTCAGTATCACTTGGGAAGGGCAAAGAACTAAAACTCTTCTGCCACCACTTTTACTTCCAAGGTGCTACAGGGGATCAAGGAGACAAGGTATCTCGATCTCTCCTTTGGTCGCACCATGGTAACCGGCGAGAGGGTAGTTCGTCAAGCTCGGAAAAATCTAAAACGATTCACTTCCCCTCTCACAGTGGTCCAACCTACTCATCCACCCTCAACAGAAAATTGCCTCACCCAACGTCTGCACGCATGGTTCGTCTTTAAAAGGCGTTTAAGTGCGAAGGGTTATTTCGACACGGGCAGCAAAGCTATAGCTTTAGTTCATCGTTACTCTCCCAGAGACGACGATGACAAGTGGGGATCACTTGAGACTTTTTACAGGGAAGAAAAGAATCAAGACCCTACGATTGCGTCACAATTCCTAGAGGAATACCTCCTACATTGCGTACCCAAAAACACTTGGAAGGTAGCACCATTACTACGTAATTGGCTGCAATTATCTTAGTGTTGGCCGTTTCCGGAAAATCACAGTGTGATTAAGGTCACGGAACTACAGGCCATATTATGCTCATTCAGGTTTGAGGATCAGAAGGCCAAGTTCCAGCCACCTGATTGGGACTTGAACGTGGTACTTCGAGGTTTGCGAGGGCCCCCTTCGAGCCCCTCATTGCATCCTCATTTTCAAGCTCCTTCCCAGCGCGTGACACCTTCGTTACACTCTCGGTATAGTATAGAGAGCTCCGCGAACGGGCTATCGCTGTGAGGAGCTTGGACCTCACCAAGGAAACAATGGTTTTCTCTTGGCATTAGCAATGGCGGTACGGGTGAGCGAACTACATGTGGTCGACTCAACCCGGATCCGTTTTGAGCATGGGACGCACGGAACAGGACATCTAGGGTTATGCTGGGATTTTATTGCTAAAATCTACTACCAGGCCAACCCGACCGTTCTTCACCATCCCACCGATATCGACTATTGTGGGAATCGTACATGGTGAAGTTCTCCTGGGCTCGGTGCGAGCAGTTCGAGTTTTCATTCGACGCTCCAAGACAAGGCGTGGTTCGTCCACGACAGAAGTTAGTCGCATAATCGCAAACACCATATCTATATGGTTACGCGCAGTAATCCTTCAGGCCTACGAGATCATCAAACGGAACTCGCCGAGAGCGAATTACCCTCAAGATCTCAAGGTGTCAGCCTTACCAGGGCTCAACACGGCAATTGTGGTTTTGGAACAATCACGGAAGGATATTTCTGGAGATTCGACACATATTTTCGTTAGTCATAACCTTCGCGTTGTGACTCTCGAGGATGTCAAAGACGTTCGAAGTTTGGCCCTCTGGTTGTTATCCTGCAGATTGCCAACCACTGACGCAAATAATGAACTCGCCCTATACAGAGCCAGTCAACTTCCATGTGCAGTCACTCAGTCGCCACCAGTGGAAGAATATTAGACAATCTTGTTTGTCAGCGACGGCTCTATGACGCAGTAAGTAAAGAATTAGCTGAATAGCTATTATTTTCTTTATTACTAAGCGTGTATAGGGAATTTCTCTTTAATTCCTATGTTCAATGTTTTTGATTTTTGAACAACCCTACCGTAATGGCGTTTTTGTCTGAACTTTTCCGCTTCACGGTTTATCGACCAAATGGGGTCGTATTGCAGGGTGTGAATTATTGAGGTTTCTGTATTCTGAAGGTTGACCCACCTCCAAACCGTCCGATACAGATGCATTAAGGAGTAATGCAGGATAAGTAAAAAATTTAGTAAAATCTAAATATTTTTTACATTTGTATACTTATCCTGCATTACTACGCTTAAGGCCCACCCGTCGTTAGACTTGCCTCCCCACTTTGGCTTCAGAAACCTCAAAAGTATGTTTTTCTAAGAGCTTGGGCGACAGGCAGTGATGTGAAGATGACCTTAGGTGTCATCAAGGTCACAGGACAGCGACGGAAGGCCACTGATTGGGACTTGAGAACAACAACTTTATTTCTTCACCCAGGACCTTCGCAGCGCTGTCCTTCTAGTTGTCGTAAGTAAGCAGTGAATGCATTAAGGAGTAATGCAGGATAAGTATACAAATGTAAAAAATATTTAGATTTTACTAAAAAAGTTATCTTGAGCTCTGGGTTGTCATCAGCCTACTTATTGTGTTTTGGGTTTCATCAAAATGATATACGTCTACAACGAGCATCACTTCAGGGTTCCTACAACATGCATGTGGGGAGGGCGGGTAGCCTTGTGGTTAAAGCATTTGCTCGTCACACCAAAGACCCGGATTTCGATTTACATGGGTACAATGTGTGAAGCCCATTTCTGGTGTCCCCCGTCATGATATTGCTTGAATGTTGGTTGTTTCACATTGCAGCAGAGCGGCGCTGTGCAGAAGATGCCAGTGGGGCAGGCAGTGTCCATAGCACGCACCCTCAGCGCCGGCAACATCGTCGTCAACACCCCAGCAGGAATGACCAATACATTTGCTGCCATCAACAAACGGATGAGTCAGGCGAACTCAACAATAGTAAGTCAGTTTCTCGCATTTACTTTGCATCAGTGAACATATCCCATAGCATTCAATGACATGAAATACTGTTCAAAGCACAGCTTGATTATTTACCAACCCTGAGGGATGTGTTAAACAAAAACTGGCCTTCACAGGCGGTATGCTGGGATGAAATGAACAATCACCCCAATGCTTTGCAGAACATTGTGACATCACAATCAAATGGCATCACTGAACTCCCTGCCACTGAAGCAGGTTAGCTGTACTTTTTGCACTCAAGACATTGCATATTCATACTTTTTAAACTCAAGACACGGCAAGTTACTGTTTACAAACTGAACAAGATGGTGAAATGATCATAACTAGAAGGGGCGGTCGGGTAGCCTAGTGGTTAAAGCTGTCGCTCGTCACGCGGAAGACCTGGGGTCGATTCCCGACATGGGTCAGTGTGTGAGCCCATTTCTGGTGTTCCCCACCATCCTGGAATATTGCTAAAAGTGGTGTAAAATCAAACTCACTCACTCATAACGAGAAACACGAGTAAATAAATGTTTAAGACTAGGGTGAGATTCTCCACATGACACAGCTTTTTCAACCAACACAGACAAGTCTGTGTTTTAATCTTGTATTAATGAGTGTTGATATATTTGAGATTCTCGATACACCCAACTCAATTTCCAAGGTTTATCGACAGGCCGTGACAGGCAACCTGACACAGGCTGTACGGGCGCGAGCACCAGTGGCTGTCCATGAGATAACAACAGTAACGACACAGCCAGGCCAGGTCGCTGCAGGTGTCCCAACGGCCACAGCAACACTGCGCACAGCAACAGCATCCGGAAACCTCGCCCATGCCCAGCTAGCTACACAGCGAATACTCACGGGCACCGCAGTCACAGGCAAAGGTAAAGGTAATAAGCTTCCAGACAGGGTTTGGGGCGGTCGGGTAGCCTAGTGGTTAAAGCGTTCGCTTGTCACGCCGAAGACCTGGGTTCGATTCCCGACATGGGTACAATGTGTGAAGCCCATTTCTGGTGTCCCCCACCGTGATATTGCTGCAATATTGCTAAAAGTGGCGTAACACCGTACTCACTCACCCAGACAGGGTTTCATTGTGGAGTAAAGTAATTTATCAAACCTCCATGTCGGAATGATGAGATCTGATTGGGGCACATGATCTTGATAAAATACTATGTATCTCGCCTTGGAGGGAAATATATTTCTCAATAAGAAATAAATCTGTTAACTGTTTTGGAAACACAAATTTGCCTTGAATCAGATATAGTTCTTACTAATAAAGCCTACTGATCATTGCGAGTTGTTTTATTTGGGACGACCATGTGTGTGTCAGTAGGATGATTCTTGGGGTAGGGACCTGCTGAATTTGGATGGTCTATTTCTTTGTTGATTGTATCATGATATAGCTGTGTTGTGTGTCATCATGATATTGTTTTTGCTGACTGCCGCCTGAAAGAACGGTCACCCCCCCTCCCTTGAAATAACCTGATACACTCCCGCGTAAATGTGTGTCCCGCATGCTATGCTTGCTCTGAGACACTCCCGTGTAAACGTGTGTACCAAGTACTATGCTTGCTCTGAGACATCCGGTGTAAACGTGTGTGTACCACGTGCTATGCTTGCTCTGAGACACTCCAGTGTAAACGTGTGTACCACATGCTATGCTTGCTCTGAGACACTACCCGTGTAAATGTGTGTACCACGTGCTATGCTTGCTCTGAGACACTCCCGTGTAAATGTGTGTACCATGTGCTATGCTTGCTCTGAAACCCTCCGGTGTAAACGTGTGTACTACATGCTATGCTTGCTCTGAGACACTCCCATGTAAACGTGTGTACCACATGCTATGCTTGCTCTGAGACACTCCCGTGTAAATGTGTGTACCATGTGCTATGCTTGCTCTGAGACACTCCCATGTAAATGTGTGTACCACGTGCTATGCTTGCTCTGATACACTCCTGTGTAAACGTGTGTACCATGTGCTATGCTTGCTCTGAGACACTCCCGTGTAAATGTTTGTACCACATGCTATGTTTGCTCTGAGACACTCCCGTGAAAACGTGTGTACCATGTGCTATGCTTGCTCTGAGATATCCCATGTAAACGTGTGTACCACATGCTATGCTTGCTCTGAGACACTCCCGTGTAAACGTGTGTCCCATGTGCTATGCTTGCTCTGAGACACTCCCGTGTAAACATGTGTCCCTCGTACTATGCTTGCCTTACAACACCACCCTCTGTTGCAGCCACCACGGTACAGCAGCAGTTGAATCAGTCAGCGCTGAAGAACTTTTCACAGCAACAGATCAACATCCTACGACAACAGCCTTCCATCGTCCGCCCACAAAACCCCCAGCAGACCATCAGGACACAGAAACTCAGCATCACCGTCAGTATTGTCAAAATACTCTCACATTTGATAATACCTGTGAAAATGGAGGGTAGAATAGGTCTTCAGTAACCTATGCTTGCCGTAAAAGGCAACTATGCTTGTCGTAAGAGGTGACTAACGGGATCGGGTGGTCAGGCTCGCTGACTTGGTTGATTCATGTCATGGTATTCCAGTTGCGTGGATCGATGCTCATGATGTCAATCACTGGATTGTCTGGTCCAGACTCGATTATTTACAGACCTCTGTCATATAGCTGGAATATTGCTGAGTGCGGCGTTAAACAACAACAAACTACTGTGTGTTTTGGCCCCCGACAGCGTGGACTGTTGCACACTCAGCCATGATGTAGCTGGAATACTGCTAATATTGCACCACGCTTGCTCACTCCCTCAGTTTGAGTTGGGCATGTATGTCATCTGATAAATTTGCAACATGTGGAGGTTGGTGGAGGTTGTCATGTCCACCAGAAAAAAGGTGTCCATTTAAAGCATATCTTGAAACCGAACCTTTGATAAAATCATTTATTTTCAGACTGACCAAATGAGGCAACAGATCAACAAGCGTCCGAATGCCTTAGTTGCACAACAGAAGTTGATCAGTACTCCCCAAGCACTCCTCACATCTGTTGCAACGGTAAGACGAACATATTTAGTAGTTCGGAACACAGGTCCTGTTGGGATTCCGTGTCAGAATTAGTGCCAAAGAACTGGTCATGTGAATAGATTGGTAGTCGGACTCGGTGGCTTGGTTAATTGAATGTCATGGTACCCCAACAGCATGGATCGTTGCTGATAATATCAAATCACTGGATTGTCTGGTCCAGACTTGATTTACATGTTGCCATCACACAGCTGGAATATTGCTGTGTGGTCCCGCATTGTCCCTGAATTTGTATGTTGCTGTAAGGGTAGATGCCTTTGTATGTTTAGATTCATAGATTTTCTTGATTCTACTTTCTTTGGAAACTTTGACTGATATGGTTTAATTGATACCAGGTGTTTTCATGCTTGTCTTGTTCGGAATTGGTTGAAATAGTAATGAAAGGTTGTGAATGTTATGTATTTTATCTTATCCTGCACAACATGGGTCCTGTAAGGGGGTTTGTTTTTGGCTGTTCATTTAAGGGAAGTATTGCCTTGGGTTGTCTCCATTGGAAGTATGTTTTGGTTCAACAGCAAGATATTGTATTATATGTTATGCAGATTAAGTATATAAATATCAAATATTTAGACATTGATAATATGAAAATGAATGTGGCATTGTTATCTGAATCTGAAAAGGGAATTGTGATTCTGAAAGGTTGATGTTGAAGTTATGTATAGCGTTTACCATTGATGCCTTCTGTTTCTAAAGAGTCTGTTATGTGTTCGAGCAGAAGCAGGGAATTCTGAAGCAGCCTGCGATGAAGCTGACCGATGAGCAAATGCTGGCGATTCGCAGAACGAAGACTCAGCAAGGTGTAGCCGGGGCGCAGGCAGGGCAGAGTCAGCTGCAGCTGCAGGTCACACAGCCGCAGGTCAGACAGGTGGGTGCAGGTGCTTCCTCAGAGGTAACATACCATGTCCACACAGGCACAACACAGGTGCTTGTCACACGGGGAACGCAACAGATGCTTGTCACACAGGGAACACAACAGGTGCTTGTCACTTGCCACACAGGGAACACCACAGGTGCTTGTCACTTGCAACACAGGGAACACAATGGGTGCTTCTTACTTGCCACACAGGGAACACCACAGGTGCTTGTCACTTGCCACACAGGCACACCACAGGTGCTTGTCACACAGGGAACGCAACAGATGCTTGTCACACAGGGAACACAACAGATGCTTGTCACACAGGGAACACAACAGATGCTTGTCACTTGCCACACAGGGAACACCACAGGTGCTTGTCACTTGCAACACAGGGAACACAACAGATGCTTGTCACTTGCCACACAGGGAACACCACAGGTGCTTGTCACTTGCAACACAGGGAACACAATGGGTGCTTCTTACTTGCCACACAGGGAACACCACAGGTGCTTGTCACTTGCAACACAGGGAACACAACAGGTACTTGTCACTTGCCACACAGGGAACACAACAGGTGCTTGTCACTTGCAACACATGGAACACAACAGGTGCTTGTCACTTGCAACACAGGGAACACAACAGGTGCTTGTCACTTGCAACACAGGGAACACAACAGGTGCTTGTCACTTGCAACACAGGGAACACAATGGGTGCTTCTTACTTGCAACACAGGGAACACAACAGGTGCTTCTTACTTGCAACACAGGGAACACAACAGTTACTTGTCACTTGCAACACAGGGAACACAACAGGTGCTTGTCACTTGCAACACAGGGAACACAACAGGTGCTTGTCTATTGCCACACAGGGAACACCACAGGTGCTTGTCACTTGCAACACATGGAACACAACAGGTGCTTGTCACTTGCCACACAGGGAACACAACAGGTGCTTGTCACTTGCAACACAGGGAACACCACGGTGCTTGTCACTTGCAACACAGGGAACACAACAGGTACTTGTCACTTGCAACACAGGGAACACAACAGGTACTTGTCACTTGCAACACAGGGAACACCACAGGTGCTTGTCTATTGCCACACAGGGAACACAACAGGTGCTTGTCACTTGCAACACAGGGAACACAATGGGTGCTTCTTACTTGCAACACAGGGAACACAACAGGTACTTGTCACTTGCAACACAGGGAACACAACAGGTGCTTGTCACTTGCAACACAGGGAACACAACAGGTGCTTGTCACTTGCAACACAGGGAACACAACAGGTACTTGTCACTTGCAACACAGGGAACACCACAGGTGCTTGTCACTTGCAACACAGGGAACACAACAGGTGCTTGTCACTTGCAACACAGGGAACAACACGGGTGCTTGTCACTTGCAACACAGGGAACACAACAGGTACTTGTCACTTGCAACACAGGGAACACAACAGGTGCTTGTCACTTGCAACACAGGGAACACAATGGGTGCTTCTTACTTGCAACACAGGGAACACAACAGGTACTTGTCACTTGCAACACAGGGAACACAACAGGTGCTTGTCACTTGCAACACAGGGAACACAATGGGTGCTTCTTACTTGCCACACAGGGAACACAACAGGTGCTTGTCACTTGCAACACATGGAACACAACAGGAACTTGTCCATGTCCCCACTATACACAGGAGGTGCCTGTCCAGCACACCAGAGAGCCCACAGCAGGTGCTTGTCAATGTACCGACAGGGCTAAAAGCCTCCGTGGTCTAGTGGTAGAGCATCCGCCCGGAGAGCGGAAGGTCCGGGGTTCGATCCCCGGCCGTGTCATACCAAAAGTTAAAAGTTGGTACTTGTTGTTACCCTGTCTGGCACTCGGCATTGAGGGGCTAAAACAAGGACTGGTCAAATCGGAGTCAGTATACTGTGTCTGAGTGGGGTATTCATGTTAAACTGCGGCATGGTATCTCAGTGTGCTAGCACTATAAATCGGCAACGGTCCAGACTAGTACAAGCAGCCACACAAACACACACATGTACATGCACGTGGCTATATAAGTGCAATAATCTTGGACGCGACGTTAAACCCAATTTCACCTCACCTCACCTTGTTCTTGTCTATTCGTTTATGTTCCCATATGTATAAATATATGTGCCATGTCACATATCAAATTTGGCTATTACTTTATGTTGCGGAAATGTGTATTTGGTCACTCACTGAACACCAGGCAATGTCCCTTGTGACGAGATGTGTGTTTGGTTGTTCCAGATCATCCAGGCCCAGGTACAACAGGTGGCCAACCAGACCGCCACCTCACAGACACCGGTGGCGACCCTCGTCAAATCCGTGTCGGCACCAGCAGGCACAATACCCAGTGTCACCATCCCAGTCAGCATCAACGTCAGTGTTGGCCAACACAAGGCTGGAGTTGGTAAGTGGTCTTCACAGTCCCACTGATTGATAGATGACTGACCCTGTTGGGAGTCTAGCGGCCTGTGCTTGTGTTACCAGGCGACTCAATGAATCGGGTGTAGGCTTGGCGACTTGGTTGATAAGTTTCATGTAGATGGAAAGTTGATGAATGTGGCATTAAGGAACAAACAAATGGTACTCTCTGCTACTGTTGTGAAAGCCTTGGTATGTAGAGAATCTCACCAAACATCTTTTGAAATGAATCACCTCAACAGGAGTCAAAAGTTTATAACTTCAAGGCTTGGTCTACAAAGCATTGTGATGCAATTTCATTACAGCAATATATCCCAGCAGTATATCCCAGCAGATATCACTTGATCTCACCCAAGCGATATCTGCTGTGGAAGCCAGTTCGGGATGATAAATGGTTAGTTAGTTAATTATTAACAAAGGTACAGAGGAAGTTTAAGATGGGACTAAAGGGGTAAAAATGGACTGTAAATGAATCAGTCGTCTTGTTTCTTTCAAGAATGGGGTTGTTAATATTTGTGTCTCTGTGCAGCTCAACGAGCCACCGTGAGCCAGCTCCAGCAGCAGCAACAGAAGATGTACCTGACACAACAGAGGAAGACCCCACAGGGGCAGAAGGTTACCAGTAAGTCACTCATTCTTCCCAGTCGCAACGGGGGCACGGGTGGCCCAGTCGTCTGAGGCGCTGTGATTTGCTGTGCAGAGTTGCGTCCCTCTGGCATGCCAGAAACCTATGATTGCGTGTTCGAATCCCGGTTCGCCCCGATTATATTTCTAGGTTTGTCAGCACCATACCCGTGCTTGTGGGTTTCACCGAAGTGGTAAACATCTGCGACCTGCATCACTTCATCCCACATTAAGCTGACACGCCGTGATAAAACTGGAATACTGTTAAAAGCTCGCTCACTCACTCACACCCTCTCGCCACACCACACCATCTGAGACCTGCATCACTTCGGGCTTTCCTCCCACATTAATAACCTGACACAGGGTGATGTAACTGGAATAGTGTTCAAATCAGTGTTAAACCTAACTCACGCACTCACTCACTCCCTGTTACCAACTTGGCCCTCAGGATTTAGGGCACAGATAGGATCCCCACTGGCCTGGTTGTCATCGGAGCCAGCAAAAAGGAGGATCTGTATTGGTCCAGTGTTTGACTAGGCTGACTGACTGTCATGCCATCACCCACTGGTTTAACAGGCCAATGTGACACGTGGAATATTGCCGACTGTTTCATGTAATCTCTATCTCTCCTCTACAGTGCCTGTCATCTGTGTCACAGACAGCCTTAAGATTGCTTTTGTGGCTTGAAGTAATATTTATACTTGCCCTTCTCTCCAATTCCATCCCTGATTTACATTTGACCTGGGTGACCAATCAAGATATTGGAGGATAGCGTTGTTGTTTCATGGCCTGTTTGTGAAGCCAATCAGCTAGAACTTCACACGCTTCCCACCAATCACGTCACCATGATTTGTTCACGAGGTCCAAATCTGATTTTCAATATTTTCAATTTTCATATTTACAAAACAAATTATGGCCATTGCTCAGCCTTTGTTCCCCAAAATGGAATGAAATTTGATATGTGTGTAGTTATTAGTGGAGCTCAAAAAAGGATATATTTTTTTGTGACATTTTGAATTTTGACCATGCTCTTATTTCTCTCAAAGGCATATTGGCTTTATAAGCTGCTTCTCCTCTGATGTGACCGACAGAGAAAACTGAACTTTGCCATGTTTCTCCTAATGAGGACATATTTTGTTCAAATCATCAGATTTTAGTTTTACTTTTTTGTTCTCAGTAATTATGCAGAAAGTACTCAAATATAAATGCTGACATCATTTTTTTTTTATAAATATCTGTTTTTGTTGAAGTACAAAATATATCAAGTTTGAGAATAAGAATATTTTCATGGAATTTTGGAAATCTTTTGCAGAGTAATACATTGGAACCTTTGATACACAATCAGGATAGATGAAGCTGTCTACACTGTTGGTAAACTTCAGTGATTTTTTAACATCTTGTTTACTCGTTAAATTCTAAAGATACTTTTCTCATTCATGATTGTACATTATACGTCCTAATTTAAGTTTGCTGACTTCGTGCTCAGGTTTAGAGATGTCCTTGTTTGTTTCAGCTCTGGGCCAGGCTCAGGTAGCCAAGACGCAACAGATCCCGCTCATCATCCCTCAACAGAAGGGTGGCCTGCCGTTCACAGGTCAGCTCCTCCACCAGATCGTGAAGCAGCAGCAGCAGCAAGGCCAGGGAGCCACCATCCAACAGATCATAACCCACGCATCCCAGCAACAACCCACCATCATCGCCACAGTAACACAGGGCCAGGGGACGCAACCAATGGTGGCCAAAGCTTCTCTAGGTTCCTGTGCCCCTACTGCCCACATACAAACACTGTCGGCAGCCAGTCCCATCACCGTCACCCAGGTCACATCCGCGACAGGCCAGCATGCTCCCATCACTCTGAACGTTGCAACACCAGTGTCGCAAGCTGCGGTTGTAAAGGCTCTGTCCGGTGAGCATGCAACAGTTCAGGTACAGCAAGCAGCCTCACAGCCTAAGATAACAACCATCACACAGAGTCTGGTGTCACAGCAACTGCAGCAAGTTTCAACGGCCCAGATTCACCAGATTCAGGCATCGGCTCTACAGACGTCTGCTGCGTCCCAACCAGCCACCATCCAGGTGCACAGTCCCATGGTGACGCCGCAGGCCTCGCCTTCCCCAGTCCCTACACAGGTTACTCAGACTATTCCGCAAGCTGCTACTATTGCTACTGTGGTTACTCAGGCTCAGCAGCAGGGAGGAGCTGCTGCTGGACAGGCAGCTCAGGCCAAACCTTCGCCCTATGCCATGAGGACACGCACAAGGAACTGAGTGCAACAAGCCACCAGTTTCCCTATCCATATGCAAGTTCAGGGTCAGATTCATAGATCTCGTTTCGACAGTTTGTTCATAGTTTTCTTGGATTTCTTCGATGTGGAACCACTGAACAAACACGGGGAACAGTGCCCCGTTTCACAAAGCGATCGTAGCGCTACGACTGTCAAGTCTGTGTGGATGAATGGCGGTTACGTTCACCTTAGCGCTACATGGAATGGGGCCAAGGGCTGATACGTAGCGCTACAACTGTCGTAAGTCTATGTGGACGTATAGGAGTTACGTTCATCTTAGCGCTAAGATCGCTTTGTGGAACGGTGCCCAGGGCCCATTGCACAAAGGAATCTTAGCGCTCTGACTATCATAAGTCTGTGTGTACGTATGGGAGTTGCTATCATATTAGCGCTAGGATTGCTTTGTGTTGCGTCAGCAACAGGCCCATCCGTTTTTGTGACTTCAAGCATGGAGCAACAAGCAATGCAGTGCATTGATTTCAGGAACAGTTGTCCAGTAAGGACAGCTGTCATATTTCTTGGACCACACTCTTATAATAAAGCACACCTATTCATTACACAGTGCTGTAGTGCTGACTAAACTGTTGATTCATTCATGCACGCACCATTAACATAATGTGTCCAGTGAATAGTGAATTCGTCCATTTATAGATCTGAAGCCGACGTGCAAAGTAGCATAGATTATTGTGTTATCCATCTTGGAGTACATATCGTGTAGATTGTTTGTGTTCAGATTGTGAGTACTTATATGTCCGGTAGAGTTGGTTGAATTCAATTATGTTACAGACAACTAAGTTTTAGCTTAATTTGAACTAATTTTCTGTCGTGTGTAAGTTTTGACAAGATTGTCTATCGATTGTCTCTTAATGGTGCTGAAGTTCAGTCATGGCAGCAAATAATCTTGTGATGGTGATACGTTTAGATTTGATTTTCTTTCAATTACTTCAAATGTTGATGTGACATTTGGTTGAAATTATTGTTCTGTTGAGTTGACAATGTGGGAAACAAGGCCACATTTATCAAATACCAACACTTGCACCACAGCAGCATGCTCAAGACAGTGGAATATGTCCAGTCTGGACTTGGGTGGAACTGAAAGTCTAGGTCCAGGTTAGTGCAATTGTAGTGTATTTTGCATAAGTTTCTGTTTCATACCTAGATCAAGGATTAAAGTGGAATATACTACTCACACAGGGGCACCCCATTCTTTCATATTTACTTTCAGTAGTATACATTTTTTATTGGATGAGTCAGATTGCACTGGATGATATATTAAGAAATGGGAAATTCAGACTGACAATGTGACAGATCCAAGGTAGACAGCTAGGCTTTGACAGATCCAAGGAAGATGCCGCAATTTGTTGTGCAGAGTTGCGTCCCTTGGAAACTATGATTGTGGGTTCGAATCCAAGTTTGCCCCAATTATGTTTCTAGGTTTGTCAACACCATACCCGTGCTTGTGGGTTTCACCAAAGTGATAAACATCTGAGACCTGCATCACTTCGGGCTTTCCTCCCACATTAAGCTGACACACTGATATAACTGGAATAATGTTAAAAGCGGAGTCAAACCCATCTCTCACTCACTCACTCACTCACTCACTCACTCACACCTACCTCACTCACTCACTCACTCACTCACACACACACACACACACACACACACACACACACACACACCATATTTCTAGGAGCGCTAAGAAGATACTGTATTGCTTGACATTTGCACCCAAATTTCCAGGCATACTTTTACTAAACCAATTAAACTTTTGAAAACCTAAGGAGAGAATATGAGTTCTATCGGATCAATCGTAAGGAGGTTCCTCTGCAATAAACATGTCTATCAGGATGTGCTGTTTGCTCAAGTCATGCTACAAAATGAATCTGTTGTGTGTTTCTTCTGTGACTTTTAGTTGTAAATGTTAAATGTTGTGTTTTTGTTGAATATTCATTTTCATTGTACAAAATTCATAAACTTCACGAAAGATTGTAAATTTCTTCTGACATTGACGTTGTACCAGTGTAACTGTTGTGTGTGTCGATGTCGATGTCGTCATCCCTCATTTGTACAAACCTCACAGCCCTGTAGGCCAACATCGCCATCAGATGCAAGTGAATTTGTGTTGTATGTCGAACCATCAGGAACCAATACTCAAGTCCGGTATCAATTATGGGGTTCAGTTTGATATCTCACTGTGACTATTTTTCTTCAACAGTAGATTCTATCACTGTAACTAAATGCCTTGATTCTTACCCCAAGGGTTTCACCAAGTGGAATAAGAAATTCAATTGTTTTCAAAAGTTTTGAGAAATGGCTAAACTGATAATGTCTTTGATGATGCTGATCGCACAAAATTTTCAATCGTTTTCAGTCTTGTTGTAAATTATGTACAGGTTGTGTTCATGGATACAATGATGACTTGATGGTTGTGTGTCTGAGCCAGCCATAGCTGTATGGTTGCATGGCTATCAGTTGTAAATCAACTAATATCATTCTGTGTCCATACAAATATTTCCGAAACAAGTATGTGGCCATCTTACAAGGAAATGTTGTATATTTTGACCTGCCAGGCTGTATTATTGGGATATCAGTTACGTGTATATTGCAAGTGAGATGGTCACTAATGGAGGACAGTGTATGTAAAATAGTGCGATAAGTGTTACAGCTGATGTAATAATTGTACAGAGAAAATATCATGTCTGTATTGTTTTATAACAGTGCTTGTTGCCAATCAATTTGAAAATAAATTGTTGAAATTTGATTTCTTGTTATTGTTGGGGTCAGATCTAATGGGTTGTCAGGTTTTGAGTGTTTTTGACTTTGTATTGTGATGTGTGGCACAACTCAAACCTTTGACCTCCATTTGCCATGAAAATTCTTGTGAACTATACTACTCACAAGACGTTAAGGAACACCCGATCTTTTTCATGACTTATGTTAATCTGTCATGTCATCGGGTGTTCCTTTACTTCCTAAAGTATAGTATGCCAACGGTAAAAAGTTTAAATGTTATGTTTAAAAATGATCAGTGTTTTATCATAACAAATTCATTGACAAAACCCATACCTGGTAACAGGAGGCAGAGTGACACGCCCCCAAAAAGGGTGGTGTAACAACTCGATTCACAATGTCAATATCGGGTGGGACCACTTGCGTTGACACGGGGGACGCAGCGACGGTGCATTGAAGCAACCAGGTGATTAAAAACAGTCTCGGGGACGTTGTTCGAAATGTCAACCAAAGAATGACCCAACTGGTCTTGCGTTACCGACTGGTTCTGGTCCTGTCGTAGGTTTCCTTCTATCTCATCCCGGGATTGGGGAGAAGTCTGGAGAAACAATGTTATGCTGCCTAAACAAAAGTATGTTACAACACGTGCAACCTATGGGCGGGCATTATCCTGTTGTGACGTCCCTGCATTTGCACATGATCTTGAACGACATCAACCCGGAGGCGTACGCCATTCAAATTGCCATTAACATTGACAAGTTGCGTTCTCCGATGAGTTATGATGCCGCTCCATACCATAACACTTCAAACCCCAACCTATAACGCAAGTGTCCCTTAAGCCTTCCCGGTTTGGACTCTGATAGGGCTCAGCTAAGGAATTGTCCGAGCTGTTAACGTGGCAGTTTAGTATCGATTCCGTAGATGCATCAACCTAATTTGGTTGTGATGTTGAGGTGACGTACCACATGGACGACCGGCCTGTGTCTAGTCATGAGTGTAGCCTTGCTGTAGATTACGTCCCCAAAGAAATGAGTTTGTGTTTCTCTGAACATCAAAATGTCTGGCGACTTCGTTCTGCGCCGTTTCTGTTGCAGCATACCCACGGCGGCGCAGACGTTGATTTTCAGCAAGCCGTAGTACTGTGTTAGCGTTATGGTAGAACAAATGTGTTTCTTTTTATGACCACCTGGTAACTAAAAAGGGGCGGTCGGGTAGCCTAGTGGTTAAAGCGTTCGCTCGTCACGCCGAAGACCCGGGTTCGAATCCCGACATGGGTACAATGCGTGAAACCCATTTCTGGTTTCCCCCGGCGTGATATTGCTGGAATATTGCTAAAAGCGGCGTAAACCCAAACTCACTAACTCACCCACTCACTCACTGGTAACTAAACAATAGTAAGAAGCCATATTTTACTCAAATCCTTCTTCACAGCAAACAAACAAGAAACAAATAACACCCAGACAATATCTAAACTGGCACCCAAGTGGTTGTCGGTTCGAAGCTCGGGTCTTCAAAGCCGTGCGTCCAACTCCTTGGGCTTTTCGTGACGGCGGGGTCGCCTTGTGGCTGAAGCGTTCTCATGTCACACCAATGGTCAAGGTTCGATTCCCCACATGGTTGCAATGTGTCAACCCCAAAATGTCTCCGAATACCCAACCTCTATTAACCTCACTCATTTACTCACTCACTCATTGCAGAGTGCGGTGTTAAGCAACAAACAAACGAACAAACTTCTTGGGATTTCCTGCTATAATTGGTACCATGCATCCCAATACCCGAGAGGCGAGGTGAAATGGGGTTTAACGTCGCGTCCACGATTATGGCACTTATAGAGCGACGCGCATGCACGTGTGTGTGGCTGCTTGTACTAGTCCGGACTGATGCCGATTTATAGTGCTAGCACACTGAGATACCACGTTATACCCCACTCAGACACAGTATACTGACTCCGAGCCCACCAGTCCTTGTTTAAGCCCCTTAATTCCGAGCGCCAGACAGGGTAACAACAAGTACCATCTTGTAACGTCTTTTGGTATGACGCGGCCGGGGATCGAACCCCGGACCTTCCTCTCCCCGGGCGGGAGCTCATCGTGAACTCATCGTGAAACCCATGTGGAATCTGAAGTTGTGAACTCTGGTCAGGGCCGTGAGTGAGTGAGTTGGGTTGAACGCCGCTTTTAACAGTATTCCAGTTATATCACGGCGTGTCAGCTGAATGTTGGAGGAAAGCCCGAAGTGATGCAGGTCTCAGACGTTTACCACTTCGGTCAAACCCACGAGCACGGGTATGGTGCTGACAAACCTAGAAACATAATTCGGGCGAACCGGGATTCGAACCCACAATCATAGGTTTCTGGCGTGCCCAAGGGACGCAACTCTGCACAGCGAATCGCGGCGCCTTAGACGACTGGGCCACCCGTGCCCCGTCAGGTCCGTGACGTATATATGCTCTCTACCACTGTACCCACTGGAACCTCGACATGAAACACACTCCGGATGTCAAAAATATGTTTATTTCTATTAAGGGACCGTTCGTGATTTAATGATAAAGCGGTGGTGAGGTTGTTTTGTAAAATATTGCAATAAAATACAGTAAGCTGACACCCATCGCACCCTGTTCCCCTACAACCAAACACCACCACCTTACCCGTAGATAACGAACGGGGTACAGACAGGCGTAGAACAATACTTTCTTGTGTCAATACTAACACAGGCATCGCAACGTGTTACATGTTTACCACGCAAAAAGCTCATAAAAATGCTATTATGCATGTGCAAATGAGAAAACAGAAAATACTGTAAGAGCATTACTAAGCAGTCATTTAAAATATTCACCGAAATAATTTTGGAAAAATTTTAAAAAAACAGTCTGGAGGGTGGGTCTCTGTACAAGCTGCTTAACAGCGGTATAACGGGTAAATTCTCTCGGTTTATCCAAAACATGTATACAATGGTATAAAATTAAGTGAGGATCCAAGATCCTTGCAAAACTCTTTAGATAATTTTCATAACGATTGTAAACGATGGAAACAAATGTTAACACTTAAAATACTAAAATCTTCATATTCGTTAGTGGGCCTTAGTAAAAGAAAGGCCGATCATTTACATATTGTGAGACTGAATTAGATATTGTCGATTCTTATAATTACCTCGGAATTAAATTTCACAAAAACAGAAAATTAACATGCGCTGTTAAAACTTTAGCAGATAATGGGAAGAACATGTTTAGTTTGTTGAAAAAGTAAGAAACATTGATCTTCCTCATGATTGCCTGTTACGAGCGTTTGATGTCATGGTTTACCCATACTGTCATACGGATCCTAAGCATGGGGTTACGAACATCTCGATATAATAGAACGGGTGGGCCTAAACTTGCAGCTGGAATAAAACCGCCCTCTCCTAATGTCGAAGGTAGATTTCCGCTATCAATTAATACTGCTCAGAAAATGATTTACTTCTGGCCTAGAACTCCGATTGAAGAATCCCCCATACTATGTGAGTACATCATACCTGACAAAATAACGAACGCTCATGCATATCCTTGGTTAAGTCACATTTAGTCAGTATTTAATGGATGTGGAATCTCGGAAGTATTTTCATCGCCTTTTAATTTTGAAAGTCGCTTGCTTGTCTAAACTGCGGAAAGAATACTGAATTACCAATATATAAAACAACTGCCTTCCTTCAGCTGCTACTTATTTGAGCCCGAACCTATTGCCTATCCTATACTAAAATATATTACAACAAAACATTCCATTATTATATATTACTGTATGCTCCACAAAATATTTTAAATTTCCAAACATATTTACATGTAAACGCCTATTTTGTACTTTCAAGTTTAAAAAATTAAAATATTTGTCAAATTGATCAGCAAATATAATATTCAATAAGTTACAAACTCACAAATTATATCAGCCATTCTTATGTCATGCAAATGGATAATAATGTTCCACTTTGTTATTTGCTCTTGCACCACGTGTGATGGGCTTTATGGAGAAATATAGACTTATCAAACTTTAAAACATAAAAACAAAAACCACTGTCAGCATACAATACATTTCCACCATAGGAGGGTGTGGCCCAAATGCACAAAACGAACTTAACTGCGACTGCCGTAACTCGCTCCCATGAATGTCAGATAGTCGTATCACTACTAGGTGTTTGTGGAATAGGGGCAGGGTCCACATGCACAAAGTGATCATAGTGCTACGACCACTGTAAGTATGTTAGTAACGATAGCCGCAGCACTAAGGTCCCTTTGTGCAGCTGGACCTGGACTTTGTGCCCTCTGTGCACTGTCCCTCCAAGCGACCTTAGTACAACGACTGTCGTAAGTCACATATTCAGACAGATATTTGCGACAGCCGTACTGCTAAGATTGTTTTGTAAAATCGGTTTAAGTTTTACAGTTTGAGTATTCCCTAATCCGTGACCATAGGCGTTTCTACACAGGTCATACAGACGCCACACAGACGCCAGACTGTCACTGAAACGTAAAACCCTTACTGAGTCTTTAAGGGTTCATTGTAAAATCGTGGCAAATATCTTGAGAATGAACGTTTACATCTTTAAAAAAATAAAATACAAAAATACAAAAAAATAGAAATAAAAAACAAACAAACACGTAAAGCCTGAGTATATTCAGGTACATGTACTTAGTATCAATGAAAATTAAAGTCAGCAAGAACTACGAGAACAAACATCAATGGATGCTTTAGTTGGACGTTATGCTCCCCCTTTAACCGGAAGACGTCATGCAAGCAATAGCTTGGCAATTAAATCATGTGAATATTTATACTTACACACACAGCAAACCTTCGCTGCGTTGTTATACGTGTCCCTATTTGTTCCCATGAGTATATCGTTATCAATATCTACACCCTCTCCTACCCGCAGGCCATTCTACTATATATAAGGGCTATATACCAACACCGCCCAGGTGCTAACCATCAACAATGATTACTGAACATATAATCAAACACTTGGTCATGGAAATTTGAACTATATAAAACGAATTCAATTTTTCCATTCCGTTCAACAAAACGAAAGGTTCATTTCAAAGTATAACTTTGGCAAATGGGTGAATACAAATTCAAAGGAAGTGAGTGAGTTGTGTTTAACGCCGCCTTTAACATTATTCCAGTTATATCACGGCATCAGCTTAATGTGGGAGGAAAGCCCGAAGTGATGCAGGTCTCAGACGTTTACCACTTTCGTGAAACCCACGAGCACGGGTATGGTACTGACAAACCTAGAAACATAATCGGGGCGAACCGGGATTCGAACCCACAATGATAGGTTTCTGGCGTGTCCAAGGGACGCAACTCTGCACAGCGAATCGCGGCGTCTTTGACGACTGGGCCACATGTGCCCCCCAAATTCAAATCAAACGATTAAGTGAAAATAATTGACATCTAATGTGAAGACAATATATTTCTTGGGCAATAGGCAAAAGCAAGAGTGAGTATGGTTTTACGCCGAACACGTACACCAGAAATTTGTTCCAGAATTGTACCCATGTGGGGAAACGAGCCATGGCTTTCAGTGTGACGAGCGAACGCTTTAAAGTTGGGTCTCCTCATCCCCTCCATCTAGGCACAATATTCACATCTGACTGATCACCCTATATACCTGGGGATGCGACATGTTTCCCCACTGCCATGCGGGGGTTATCAAAGGATGTGGCCACAGTGGGGTGGGCTTTGAGATTTGTATTAAGTAGTATTTGGGATTCAGGGATGAAAGGGAGACTCAGAGTGAAATATTGTATGGTATTTGGGGGAGGAGGGGTGGCACCCTCCCTCATCCGTTCCCTTTTTCATAGTTTTCAGTTTTCAATTTCTGGGGGCGACGGATCATATCGTCAGAAAAATGGGCGAATTTGCGCTGTATGATTTAAAGGCCCACCTCTACATCCCCGATTGGCTAAAAGTAATAAAATATTTTATAATCTAGACTCCAGACTATGTTTTTATCATTTACGTCTAAATACCTTATTTCATCAAAAGAGAACTTTGATTAAGAAATTCCCGATCGAAACCAAAACCGGTATTAGAAGGCGATATGTGAGTGGGTGGGTGGTGAATATGGGTTTACACCGCCCTAGGGATATTAGAGCATGTGAGTGGGTGGGTGGGTGAATATGGGTTTACACCGCCCTAGGGATATTAGAGCATGTGAGTGGGTTGGTGGGTGAATATGGGTTTACACCGCCCTAGGGATATTAGAGCATGTGAGTGGGTGGGTGGGTGAATATGGGTTTACACCGCCCTAGGGATATTAGAGCATGTGAGTGGGTGGGTGGGTGAATATGGGTTTACACCGCCCTAGGGATATTAGAGCATGTGAGTGGGTGGGTGGGTGAATATGGGTTTACACCGCCCTAGGGATATTAGAGCATGTGAGTGGGTTGGTGGGTGAATATGGGTTTACACCGCCCTAGGGATATTAGAGCGTGTGAGTGGGTGGGTGGTGAATATGGGTTTACACCGCCCTAAGGATATTAGAGCATGTGAGTGGGTGGGTGGGTGGGTGGGTGAATATGGGTTTACGCCGCCCTAGGGATATTAGAATATGTGAGTGGGTGGGTGGGTGGGGGGGTGGGTGGGTGAATATGAGTTTACGCCGCCCTAGGGATATTAGAGCATGTGAGTGGGTGGGTGGTGAATATGGGTTTACGCCGCCCTAGGGATATTAGAGCATGTGAGTGGGTGGGTGGGTGAATATGAGTTCACGCCGCCCTAGGGATATTAGAGCATGTGAGTGGGTGGGTGGTGAATATGGGTTTACACCGCCCTAGGGATAGTAGAGCATGTGAGTGGGTGGGTGGGTGAATATGGGTTTACACCGCCCTAGGGATATTAGAGCATGAGAGTGGGTGAATATGGGTTTATGCCGCCCTAGGGATATTAGAGCATGTGAGTGGGTGGGTGGTGAATATGGGTTTACACCGCCCTAGGGATATTAGAGCATGTGAGTGGGTGGGTGGGTGAATATGGGTTTACACGCCCTAGGGATATTAGAGCATGTGAGTGGGTGGGTGGTGAATATGGGTTTACACCGCCCTAGGGATATTAGAGCATGTGAGTGGGTGGGTGGGTGAATATGAGTTCACGCCGCCCTAGGGATATTAGAGCATGCTAGTGGGTGGGTGGTGAATATGGGTTCACGCCGCCCTAGGGATATTAGAGCATGTGAGTGAGTGGGTGGTGAATATGGGTTTACACCGCCCTAGGGATATTAGAGCATGTGAGTGGGTGGGTGGTGAAAATGGGTTCACGCCGCCCTAGGGATATTAGAGCATGTGAGCAGGTGGGTGGGTGAATATGGGTTTACGCGCCCTAGGGATATTAGAGCATGTGAGTGGGTGGGTGGGTGAATATGGGTTTACGCCGCCCTAGGGATATTAGAGCATGTGAGTGGGTGGGTGGTGAATATGGGTTCACGCCGCCCTAGGGATTTCAGAGCGTGTGTCACCAATTGTTTTTCGACGTTTAACTCTTAAACCATCCAGTAATATAATACATGTGACCTACTTGTACCCATTGATCGGAATGAATAACAACAACTCCAATACTGGACAAAATACGCTACTCAATATATAGTCCTCAAACGTACTATAGCTAATCCGTCATGGCATTAGAGATTAACTATAGTAATACAAAAGTATCGGGTGGTCCATAACGTCTTTAAGTAGTTTATCAAATACCCTTAATTGAAACTACGATGTCAAACTAACTCTTTTTAGTATTGTATTAACTTGTGTTATCCTACATTTATCCGAAGAAAAAAATACATAAAATATATAAAAATAAAATTAAAATGTCCAGCGACCCTATACCTCACCGATGTCAAAGTATGAGTGTTGTGATGTAGTGCTTTAACAGTGACTGGTAGAACAAGAAACAATTTATCCTAATCGACCTTGGATTGATGAGTTTTGCAATCAAACTCAACGACATCATCATCTTCGTCGTCAGACACTCTGCACACACGATGGTAGGAGACAGCCGCCTCATCTGGCTGTACCAGCTTGAGAACAATCTCCAAGGCGATGAAGCCGACAACCCCCAAGGCCCACAGAAATATGGCGATGTAGAACTTGGTCCGGAGGCACATTAGTCGGTCTGTGATGAGCACGAAGGTGAAGCCTATGCTGCCGAGCGTCCCGAGGTTGGAGAACACGGCCGGCTGATGGTTGGGGAAGGTCATGGCGATCAAAGCTGCAAGTACAGTGTGAGGTGAGTTGTGGTGAGGTGTGTCTTTTTTTTCTTTCTTTGTTGTTGAACGCCGCACTCAGCAATATCCCAGCTATATGTCGGCAGTCTGTAAATAATCGAGTCTGGACCAGATATCCAGTGGTTGACATTATGAGCATCGATCTACTCAATGGGGATCGATGGCATGCTTCAACCAAGTCAGCGAGCCAGACCACCCGATCCCGTTAGTCGCCTCTTACGACAAATTATTTTACCTGTCTGCTTGTACTAGTCTGGACTTCTGCCGGTTTGATAGTGCATGCAAAGTGAGATGGCGTGTCGCAGTTTAAAAACGGATACTCCGTTATACTGACTCCGAGCCGGCTAGTCCTTGTTTTAGCCCCTAAATGCCGAGCGCCAGGCAGTTAGACAACAAGTACCAACGTCTTTTGGTTTGACGTGGTCAACCGTTCGGCCAACCGATATTCCGCCCTCCGGGCAGACATTGCGGAAACCTTTCGAACAAAGTGCATCCGATTTCGTAAAGATTCCCTCGCACTATATGTCGGGGATAATATACAGTCTAACCAGTTTGGTTATAACGCCCAAATCTTCATGGACAAATGCTGGCGTTATAATCAGTGTAGGTTGTTATAAAGTTATATAATGAAGTTTGCCTTACAATTGATTTGAGTCGACCAGATCCCGTCGCCAATCGCCCATATTGATGGCATTATGAACAACAGGTACATTTCTTCAGGAATCGGTTTCCATAGTAACATAGCCACCAGGGTAGTGATGTCTGCGGCTAGTGTAAGAGCTATCAGAGGTTTACGACCTGCGTATTTGGCGACATGGCCGAAGGTTATGGCGGAGAGCGCCGCTATTATGCCGAATGTCATCATGACGTAGCCAACCATCTTGACGCCAACAGAGCAGCTCACGAAGGCCTGTAATTAAAGGGTTAGATGGGAGTAGTTGAAAAGTTGTCTGCGGGGATGTGGTTGGCATTGTGGTACCAAAGGAATGAAAAAGAGAAAATGAATCATAATAAACTGTTATCTCAAGAGTAACTGAATGATGGCGTCCCAGTCAGCAGTATTTCAGCTTTTCCCGACGGCCTACAAATGATTCTGGACCAGACAATCCAGTGACTGACAGTATGGTCAACCATCCACGCCATTGGGGCACGATGACCCCAGTCAGTCAAGTCACCAAGGTTTGCCACACTATCCTCTTTTGTCGGGTGTAAATAAAAGCATCGAATACTGAGAACCTATTCTCGCCTGGAAACTATCATCTTCCCGAGGCAAGAGAGTTCACTGACTATAAAAGTCCGATTTCCACCCTTGCCGAACTAGGCTGGTATTGTGGAGTTACATATGCCTGGACTAACGAGTCTATGCATAGTCCAATCAAACTCGTCGTGCAGATTTCGGTCGATTGCAGGATTTGCAAAGCATGTGAACCACCAACTCATAACAGATATTTTCCAAATCTGTTCATGTTTTTAATCAATGTGCTCACGTGATTTGATGCACTTCGCGATGTAAGACCCGTTTTATCACAATACAGATCTTGATTATCGATCAGATCGTCTTGACTGGGCGCTGCCATTTTGTTTGAAGCAAATGCAAGTGATACGAGAGATGGAATCTGATTGGTCCATAGAGGCTTATAGGGGACATAACTCGTAATAACCACTGGTGGAGCTTCGATCGAGCCCAGGAATTCCAGCCTCGTTCGGCAAGGGTGGAAACTGGACTTTTACAGTCAGTTACTCTCTTGCCTCGGGAAGATGGGAAACATTATGAGGAAGGAGGGCTACGTGGAGTCAGGAGGACATCGCAAATCAAGCAAATTGGGATTTGTGTAAAGTATTGCACGAGACTCTGAGTGAAAACGTGGATGGTATTTGGGATTCAGGGGAAGAGGGTGTGTGTGTGAATAGTGTGGGTTGGGTGGGGAATGTGGGTGGAATTGGGGAACACCCTCTATACAATACGTCCCTTCACCACCCGTGAACGCACACGGACGATATGACAGGACGTTGTATATTTGCAATGCGACGGAAAGCTAACAAACAAAATGTAAATATTATCATATATTAAAATGCACAGTGTATATCAGTGTATAATAATTATTAATATCCTATATTTGTACAAACCTGATATCTCATTACACACACAAAAAAACTGCTGCCGAAGATCCGGGTTCGATTCCTAAAATGGGTACGTGTACAAGCCCATTTCTGGTGTCCTCTGCCGTGATATTTCTGCAATATGGCTAAAAGCGGTGTAAAACCATACTCACTCATTCATACAGATTCATACATACACACTTGCTATCGTCGTGATGCAACTAAACTACTGTTCAAAACGGCTTAAAACACAACTCACTAACTCACTTGCTCTAAGATGTAGTGATACTGTTCTCTCCCTATCACAATTTCCAACCTTCCTTGGTTGGGTTGGGTTTGTTTGTTGTTTAACGCCTCACCACGCAATATTCCAGATATATGACGGCGGTCTGTAAATAATCGAGTCTGGACCAGCCAATCCAGTGATTGACATCATGAGCATCGATCCACGCAATTGAGATACGATGACATGCATCAACCACGTCAGCGAGCCTGACCACCCAATCCGGCTAGTCGCTTCTTACGACAAGCATAGTCGCCTTTTACGACAAGCATGGGTTGCTGAAGACCTATTCTACCCCGGATCTTCACATGGCACAAGCATGGGTTGCTGAAGACCTGTTCTACCCCGGATCTTCACGGGTCACCTACCTTGGTGAAACCTGTGAGCAGAATGGACGTGTTGACAGCCTGAGATATGGACAGTGGCATCAACAGGAACAGCACCTTCTTCTTCAGCACAGTGCAGCATGCCAGTGACGACCTTATCAGGCTCTTCCGGTCGCTCCCTTCAAGTGTCAAGGGTCGAAGAAACAGCACGGTTGCCCCAAGCCCCGCTAACTGACACGCCAGATAGATGCCGAACAACAACGTGACCACATCAGGGTCCGGTCGGACGATCGTTGTCGTCTTGTTCGCGATCCCTGGACAATCGTCAGCGCCGCAAATCTTTGTCTGATTCAGATCTGATTGGTCAGCTGAGCTTTGATGAAGGATAACCGACGACAGAAAGTTCCCCGTCACTTGGGCCATGGAGAAGAAGGCAAAGAAGATTCCATTGTGTTTACTGAGGGACCCATGGAGATCTATTTGCGTGTTTTTGGTGTGCGATGCCCCCATGGCATTGATGTAGAGATGTCGGGAAACCCACATGGGCGATACCGACAGACCTAACAGAATAGATGTCGGAATCAGTGTCCACCATCTTGGATAAAAGTTACTTACACAAAATAAACAATGGCTAACGAAGGCAATAATAAAGGTCGGCTTTAACCCCACGCACTGTACGTATAGTGGGCTTATTATGGACGTCACGATACAACTTGCATAGATACAAGCAAGGGAGGCAGCTCCCAGCCCCTTGTCTTGAAGGATGCTGGTCGTGATGTTCTGGATTCCCTGAAAGGCCGTGTAGACGGCGAAGAATGAGAAGGCCAGGACGACGGTGTTCTTCATCGGCTTCATTGGGATGTTGAGTTTGTCGTCGAGGTCCACTTTGTGCACGTCGTCTGTCATTTATAGAGGAGGCTGTTGTCAAATAGCTGAAGCTGTTGATCCCAACACCATCAAACACCGGCTTCAGAAAGTAACGGCCAGATGAGATAGGGCTTACTTCCGGTATGTATAGCCAGGTCTGAAATGGATAAGAGCTTCATGTTAACTGCAAGTTTATATTTATCGAGGTCTCGATTACCTGTTTCTAGGCACTGCTTGCCACTACACTGCACCGCCATTACAGGTGCGTGAGTGAGTAATATTATACGCCGCTTGAGGCAATATTCCAGCAATATCATGGGGGGCGCAGAAATGAGCTTCACACATTGTATCCATTGTACACATTGAACCCGGGTATTCGGAGTGACGAGCGAACGCGTTAACCACAAGGCTACCCCAGTTAGGTCAAGCATTCAGTGCCAGTACCATACAGTGTTTGATATGGAACCCAAACATCATCCCGAGGCAAGGGAGTTAACTGACTACAAAAGTTCAGTTTCCACCCTTGCCGATCTACGCAGGAATTTCGTGACCCGATCGTAGCGCTACCAGTGGTTGTTACGAGTTATGTCCCTTCTATGTCCCTCCTATTGACCAATCAGAATCCACTTCCCGTTTCACTTGCATTTGCTTTAAACAAAATGGTGGCACCCAGTCAAGAGGATATGATCAATAATCAATATCTATATTGAAAAAAAACCGTGTCTTACCTCGCGAAGTGCATCAAATCATTTGAGCACCTTCATTTAAATCATCTGTCGATATATATGCTTTGCAAATCCAGCAGTCGACCGAAATCTGCACGTTGAAATCCATGTAGTTCGTTACGCGATTTTGATTGGACTATGCATAGATTCGTTAGTCCAATCAAAATCTAACTCAGGAATTCCCGTCTGGTTCGACTTGAGTGGGAACTGGACTTTTATAGTCAGTTAACTCTCTTGCCTTAGGTTAACGGCTGTGTTATATTATGATTTGTAATTGTTCTAGTGTTCCATGATTTATTTGTGAAAAAAGAACTAGATTTATTTTTCAGCTACACCTGCAAAACCAGACATGTTTTAAAATAAAACCTACAATTGGCCTAAATACACAAATTTAAACCAAACCTCCAGCAATGTTTTTTGTGTGACAAACAATAGCTATTTCAAAAGCCTGAAGTAAAATTAATTTGTGCAAACATTTTCTGGGACAATTTACTTTTTTCGATAAAATCCCAATTAATAAAAGTGTTGAGGGTGTGTTCGTGGCAGAAGAATATTGTTGAGGGTGTGTTAAAAAGATAAATTGGAGGAAGAAGGTATTTTTTTTCAAGATTGAAATATTAGCACCCGGATATCAGATAAACTGCACTGCAGCTTCCGGAATACCACTCGACAAGGGCCCGGCATCCGGCGTACCAAAAGCGTTTTGGCAGCCTCATAAAATATACATGGTTATTTGCTACAGTAAACTACGGTTATAACGAACTCAAAGGGACTACTAATTTTAGTTCGTTATAACCGTAGTTCGTTATAAGTACATATACAGCATGACTACAGCACTATAGGCCTGTGGCCTCTTCAGTATGTGAAATAAAGATTAGACTACAGCAAGTAGTCGGGACCAAAAAGTAAGTTCGTTATATCCGTCAGTTGGTTATAGGCGTGTTCGTTTTAACCGTAGTTTACTGTATATCATCCGACACCTGAACTCCTGATAGGTGCTAAAATGCTGTTCTACATCACTGTTCAAGCTTCACCACGGCGGCCTGCAAACGATCGAATATAAACATACAAACCAGTGGTTGACAGCTTGAGCAACAATGTGGGGAAACAGACCGGAACCACCTTGGCCTCATTTCAACTCTACCCGTGAAGATGCGGGTGGAGAATAGGTCTTCAGCAACCCATGCTTGACGTAAAAGGCGACTATGCTTGTCGTAAGAGGCGACTAACTGGATCGGGTGGTCAGGCTCGCTGACTTGGTTGATACATGTCACCGTATCCCAATTGCGTGGATTGATGCTCATGACATCAATCAGTGGATTGTCTGGTCCAGACTCGATTATTTACAGACCGTCGTCATATAGCTGGAATATTGCTGAGCGCAGCGTTATCCAACAAACAAATAAACAAACAAGAATTATTGTTTTGTTTTTTCGCAAGATGTTTTCTCAGGATATCCAAAATGTCCAGCATACAATTAGTTTTGTTGTAATTCGTGAGCCAATACTTTATCCAGTATTTTCTGGGCCAATATTTTTACAAATACCAAATTCAGACTCGATTATTTACAGACCACCGCCATATAGCTGGAATAAAGGGTAAAAACAGAAACAGCTAATTGGACCAGCGGCAAGTGTATATTAACCTATCGCCTGACGACAATTACACTTTTATAACATAAATAAAGTTTTTCCAATGAGGCCGGGTCTGTGTAGTCGTTGTAGTGAATTCTTCGGTCCATGAACATGAACACAATGATAAGTGAGTCAACCAACACAGTTCATGTATATACACACGTTTTAATGGAGCACAAATCTCCGACACATTGTCATTTCCTACGAAACTAATTTGGCATGCATTTTCCACATTCACTTAATAATTCTGGACGCTGGTATTATGTCCGATCCCTTGTGGTCCTGAAGAACCCCCTTCGGTTCCATTCAGTTGATTTCCTCATACCCTTGGACAATCTTCTTCTCAAACGCAACTCTCAGTTCCACTGTGACGTAACAGATCGATCCCACAATCCATAGCGCGATACTTACGTAGAGTTTCGTGCTGAGACATACGTACTGGTCGTAAGCCAGTGTTACAGCGAAGGCCACAGACCCGAACGTGGAAAATATGGCGAAGGCTGCTTCCCTTTTGTGTGCAAAAAATATACCAACCAGAGCTGAAACAAAAATATCCACCTGTGACCAATCGAAACCTTTGCAGCATTGCGTCATCTTTATGTAATATTTAAATCCTTGTCGATATCCATTCCCATGAATCTATTTTTAGCCGACATCTATGTTGGGAGTCTCCTTTGCTTGATGGCTGATGACAGATATCACAGTTCGGATATATTTAGAATTAAAATGAAAGTATTTCTTTGCACAAAGTAGAAATAATACTTTATGACATTTCATCCATAAATACACATTTTTCTCTTTTTTTGTAACGGCTAATAAGGTCAACGACTTCATGTAAAATTCTTTCGTACGTACATGTATTTTAACTACAGTGTCAGTATGCACGTGCGTATACTTACACCCACTCTGAGTCTGCCATATACCGTCACTGGCGGCACAGACAAGGGTGAAAAGAAAGTTTATATACAGCTTGTCGGGGCTAGGTTTCCATAGCAACATGAAGAGCAACGCCCCAAGTTCCAGTAGATAGGAAGCAGCAAAGAGTGGGTAGCGGCTGGTATACTTGGCTAGTCTGCCCACGCCGTATGACACCAGAGACGTTGACCCTCCGTAACACGCCATGACGTAACCCACCATCTTGATACCGACGGTGCAGCTCACGTAGGCCTACAATGAAGGTCAAGGTCTTAGAAATACGTATGTAGCTCAAACTAAACGGATCTTGTTATAATAATTCTTTGAGGACATGAACAATTAAAACTGAAATCTGTTTTTGAGTTTCAATTAACTGTGGACGTTGTTTATAAATACGTTTCTCGTGCACTTCTCGTATTATTATCTTAAATGTTAACACTCATCCACGATTACCTTGTGTATCATATCTCCATTCCTAAAACAATATTAGTGATCACGCCCTATTGTTTACACAGTTGATTCTGAGCCAGGAATTCACTGGCCGTTCTGCGTTTTGAAGAAGTAAAAAAGTCACTGGAGAACTACAAGTCATCTTGCGAAAATACAAAACAATAATTCTGGTTTGTTTATTTGTTTGTTGGATAACGCCGCACTCAGCAATATTCCAGCTATATGACGAAGGTCTGTAAATAATCGAGTCTGGACCAGACAATCCAGTGATTGACATCAAGAGCATCGATCCACGCAATTGGGATACGATGACATGCATCAACCAAGTCAGCGAGCCTGACCACCCAATCCCGTTGGTAACCTCTTACCACAAGCATAGTCGCCTTTTACGGCAAGAATGGGTTGCTGAAGACCTAGTCTATCCCGGATCTTCACGGGTCTATAATTGTTGTGCTCCTTGGGTAAGTGTCTCACCTTGGTAAAGCTGGTCAGCAAGATGGCGACGACCATGGACTTGGCGAAGTAGAACGGCAGTAGCAGCACCAGATTGACATCCTTCAGTGACGTGAACCACTCCAGCACCTTGGACGCCGGTGTCGCATCCGTGAGACTTAGCCTCGTGACTGGGGTCAGACAGCACATTGTCAGGAGTAGACCCAAAAAGGCACACATGAAATAAACTCCCATCAGAATGTTCACAAGTGAAGGTGTTGGATGGGGGATCTGAGTTGTGCTGCTGGCTATCCCAGGGCAGTCGTCTGCTCCGCACACTCTCGTCACGTTGGCGGGAAAATCTTCCTTCGCGTCGCGAAAAAGTACAAGCGAAGCAATGAGACTTCCGGTGATCTGAGCTGCTTGAAAAATGAGTCCAAATATCCCAAACAGCTTGCTCATTGCTTCATGGTTTCCCACATTTTTACTTCGGCTGTAAATATCCGCCATTGTTGTGATGTACACGCCCTGGGACGTCCACATCGGCGCGACAAAGAAGCCCAACAGCAACGACGCTGGGACAAGCGTTCCCCACGTCGGGTAAAAGTTGGCAGCCGTGTACAAACAGTGGGAAGCCCAGCCCAGCACCAGAGCCCGTTTAGTGCCTATTTTATGAATAATCATCGGAGACAGTATCCCAGCCAGGATGATCATTCCATAAACACAGGCCAACGATGTGACTCCGAGATCTGCGGCTTGGTTCAAACTGCTCTGAAGGTTCTGAATAGCTTGAAACGCCGTGTAACATAGTAGAAACGAAGTGGATAGGACAATAGTATTTTTGATAGGGTCGATTTGAGGCACGGCAGTTATATAATCGTCTTCATCAATAGAATCATCCATTGTGAGATGTTCAGAGGTCGGATCTAGAAGACTAGCGAATTTTTAGCTTCCAAAACGTGAAGGGTTGCCATGTCTAAAGCAAGCAGTTGTCCTGTCTGCCCGTCTGTTAATGTTCAGTCAGTCTGCAACAGAAAGAGACTTGTTGAAGCTGCGGTTAGGGCTTCCAGAATACGCCGAAATATATATAAAGTCACATTTACAGCCTTTAACTGAATTTCAGACATGAATCTTGTTTATGAATTAACCTTAAATTATTAACAATTATCGTAATCGTGGAACATTTCAATTCGGTATCCACCTTTCAGCACATCCCTGAAGTGTTTTGTTAAGATTACTATTTCTTTTAAAATCGTCCTCGGTTTATACAAGATTTTATTAGAAAATGATTGGTTGATAATTTAACATTTTAAGAAGTCTTAGCCTGAGCAGTTAAAACAATGACTTGTTGTCACATGCATCTGAAGAATGGCTTTTATTTGTTCTCATGCAGCTTCAAGAAACCCATCTCTGTTTTATAACTAGAAATTATTAGCCGGGTCGAGTGTGTTTTCTTATCGAAAATATCATATATCAAGAATAAAAAGAGTATTATGTGAGCCTGTTCCGAGGGCTATACATATTTTTATTCCAAATGTATAATATAGCACACGTGGGTAATAATATCTTTATCACATATTGTCATTCTTTAAATAATCGAAGCTTAAGGTACAGAGGATATTTCATGTGTCGAGTGAAATATGTTTCTCTCTCTTGAAAATATCTGAAGACCACCAACCTACAGTGGGTTCCAGATGAATTATCTGGTACATGTAACATTTAGATTTAACATCACAGTATATATGTATCTATAAAATAATTAAATGAGCTAAATAATATCTAAATATATATAATTAAAAAAGGAGACAGGCCTGCCTTTGTATTTTGATTTTGATCATGTGATCAGTTGTATATACTTCACAAAAGCAAAATAATATTATGATCAATTGCCTGTCTATTGTCCGTGCCTCAATGCCTGCCTTGTCAATACCGTGAGTCAATACCTGTGCACTTGAATAAAGGCGGATAGTCCGCGTGCATATTACTTTTGCACATCTGGTTTTCACAGCACAATAACGTTACAATCTTGGCTCCTGTATACAATGGTCAATGTCTCGAAGGCTGTGATTGGGTAACACTAAACATACCATTCACTGGTCCTCGGTATTGAGTAAACACAAATACTGGAGTACGTGTGCTTTCTGTATGAAGAAAGATTGCTCCAGACAAACGTAACATCAGCAGACAGTTTGTTATCTACCAAACCAAACTTTCGCAGTGGCGGCATCTCGCCATGTTTATTTGTATTCTAATTGGGAACTTTGCGCACACCTGTCACCGGAAAGGCCCTGTTGGCACCAAGCGCTATAAAGGTGGCTGCGCAAACCAGTAGTTGAACCAGTTTAGTCCTAGCGTGACGGACAGATTCCGTTTCCTCTGTACATGTGGGCAATGTGTACAGCTGTCGCCGTAGCCGTACCGTAAAAGAGGCCCTAGCGCGAGTCAGTGTGTCTAATGTTAAGGGGTGGGTTAAAACTATTCGGGGTAGTACATGCTTCAGGTTAGGTTGCAGCATATAAAAATACTCTAAATGACGAGCTGTATTTGTTAACAACAGCGAATATAGCAGTCCTATCCTAAGTCTAGAGGGACAACCCCTGTTGCAATAGTCACATATATCCTGCATTATGTTTACATACACATACTACTGTCAACGACACGTGAAGATCCGGGGTAGAATAGGTCTTCAGCAACCCATGCTTGCCGTAAAAGGTGACTATGCTTGTCGTAAAAGGCGACTAACGGGATTGGGTGGTCAGGCTCGCTGACTTGGTTGATGCATGTCATCGATCTCAATTGCGTGGATCGATGCTCATGATATCAATCACTGGATTGTCTGGTCCAGACTCGATTATTTACAGACCGCCGTCATATAGCTGGAATATTGCTGAGTGCGGCGTTAAACAACAAACCAAAAAAACTGTCAACATATTCTGAGAAGGCGTGGAATACAGGAATGACTACCACGAAGGCTGGTTTAAAGGGTCCAGAATATCGAGGTTTCAGTGTAGAGAGGCCTACATATGCAAGCACAGAGGCAAATGTAGCCAAGGATGTAAGCACAAACACAACGCAGGCCAGACCGCGAGTTACGATCAGGTGCAAGCGAAGATAATATGAACATAGACCCACACGGGCAAGGTAACATGGTGAGTAAGTGAGTGAGTATAGTTTTAGCAATATTCCTGCAATATCACGACGGGGGACACCGGGAATAGGCTTCACACATTGTACCCATGTGGGGAATCGAACCCGGGCCCTCACCGTGACGAGCGAACGCTTTAACCACTAGGTTAGCCCACCGCCCCCACTAGAGTACCAAGAGCATGCAAGACTAGGAGGAACATGTTCTCGCAAGAGCATATAAGACTAGGAGAGACATTCTCGCAAGAGCATACTAGACTTGGAGAGACGTGTTTTCGCAAGAGTATGCTAGACTAGGAGAAACATGTTCATGCAAGAGCATATAAGACTAGGAGAGACATTCTCGCAAGAGCATATAAGACGAGGAGAGGCAATGTTCTTGCAAGAGCATACAAGACTAGGACAGACATGTTCTTGCAAGAGCATACAAGACAAGGAGAGACAATGTTCTCGCAAGAGCATTTAAGACTAGGAGAGACATGTTCTCGCAAGAGCATATAAGACTAGGAGAGACATGTTCTCGCAAGAGCATATAAGACCAGGAGAGACAATGTTCTCGCAAGAGCATATAAGACTAGCAGAGACATGTTCTTGTAAGAGCATATATCTACACACGAGTAGGATATAGAGTGTGAGTATGATTGGATGAACGCCGCTTTAAACAGTGTTCGAATTATACAGGTCTCAAACATGTACCACTTTGGTGAAGCCCACGAGCACGGTATGGTGCTGACAAACCTAGAAACGTAATCAGGGTGAACCGGGATTCGAACCCAGCAGGATTAAGACAAGTACTCACAAGAGCATATACCAGCATACATGCAACGAGCGGGATAGACACATCCATATCTGTAAGATCATAAACGCAGGGACGAGGATTAAGACATGTGCATGCTCGCACGAGCTAGTCCACCCCAGGTTATACCAGCAAGAGCAAATATAAAGTTTTTAAATAATTTGTTACATCCCTGTCCAATGCCTCAAGCGCGATGGACCCAACCGGTCGGGTGTTGCGTAGGAGCGCTATCATGTGTGATATTATACCATTTGTGTCTGGAAACATGTCTACCACGTGCTTTATAGCGAGGTACTCCCTGTATTACGCTATTCACCATCACATGACTTGTACTTTCATCTATTCCGGATCCGAAAGTAAAGTGTTTATGAGCTGCCCAAAACCGATGAATCACACAAACTATTTAGTAATTCAAGGTTATTGTTGTGAACATTCCGTTGGGGTTAAACTAATTATTAGCATTCCTATCCGTCTAACTGGGTAATCTGATTTAGCAGTTTGTCAACAATTCAAGAAAGTGTCACCTTTCACGTGTACGATGTCCATCTAGTACTGCTCCTACTGCAGCCATGTCCTGGCCATGTCACCTGTTTGACACGGTACAAATAAGCACAGCCAGGACAGACGCGATTGTTTGGGGGCTATCCTAATACCAGCCTACTTGGTCTCTGTTGTTTTCGACACAGCCCTGCAAAGCGACCATGTTCGCAAAGCCGCTAACACGGGTGGACAGTTGCTCCATATAAACACGCATATAAAATGTTGAACAATGACGCCATGTAATGTCGCTATAACCGGTTATTTATAAACCGAAATTCACTCACCTGTGAGTTTTTTGTCAAACAGAGATCTACCTGGAAAAGGGATATAAATATTTAACAACACACTGTGGCATAGCATATATTCAAGCTGTCACCGCTCGCAACCAATGGGTTATTTATAGCTGACAAATCAAAGTATATTTACCTTTGAAATATACAGCAACTCTGCACGACTGCTCTGTATATTTCTATGTACTATTTATGCAGTTTGCTTCAGGATGTCGTGTCCGTATTTCGGCCTCAATAGGCGTGCATTCTGTCTCTCTACTTCCTGTTGAGCATTGTTGGTAAACTATTATATTACCAGAATATTCAGCCTAAGACTTGTCTGTAGGCCACCACGCTTGGGTCGATACACGTACCACCGCACTGGCGCTAATGGCGAACTGCTAAATAATATTTCCGTGTTAACTGTATTTGAACCACGATGTGCTGGAGATTGTCTATATCCTGTTATACCTGCAGCGGGGAGAATACAGCTAGGCTGTTTATACTAGTGTTACAAAAGGGCCAGTCTAGTGACAACTCGCCCAAGCGTGACCGTGTTTCTATTAAAAGCGGGCCGATCGCCTCAGTCGCTGGATTTCGCTGTGCAGAGTTGCGTCCCTTACGCATGCCCAAACACTATGATGGTGGTTCGAATTTCTAAACCCCTGGTCAGCGCCAATCGTGTTTATATTGATTGTGGGTTTTATCGAAGTGGAAATGTCTGAGACCTGCATCATTTTGGGCTTCCCTCACACTTCAAACTAGACTAACATTTAGTCTCTGAAATCTTATATTACACAATGTCCTTCTTGACTCTAAAAATGATAAAACAATTCCCTATGCTGATTTCATATCAGCGCTAATTACTGTAAAGTATTGGATTCCATTGTCATTTGTTAATCACCTATCAGCGCCAATCATCTGTGGGCTTCCCTTGTTAGTTTCTACCCTTTGTTATTTTCCACCTTTTGTTATCTTATTAATTTTGTTGTCCTTACATGTACATATATATTCTCTCTGCCTCATGGCATTCATTCACCCTATGAAGGAGTAAGCATATACTCCGAAACGTTGTGTTCCTCAGAATAAAGAAGTTGACATCCATATATTCTTTTCCTTGAATAGGTTATTCTTTTTTTTAAAATGCAACGCTTGCATTTCTGTTATTTATTTACTCGGTAAATATTCATAGCCAAAGAAACCAGTATAACAAGTTTTCTTAATTTAAACCAGTGTGACAAGTTTTCTTAATTTAAACTCTGTGGGTGTGTTGAGGGAGGGTTCATGACGGTGGGTGGTGGGGGTGGGTGATATATATATTCTAATTATTTCTGGTGTGAATTGCTTGAATATAAAACCCAATTCAAATCTTCCCCTGTGATTGTATTGATCGTCTGATTGAGGACCAACTTTAAGAAAACATCGTTCCAGAAAAGAAAACCAATCTAAATGCAAGTCCACTGTCCAAAACGCCTAAAAAAACTCAATCACATATCCGGACAGAACCGAACTGTTCCTGAACAATACACACCGACAACAAACATTACTGTAAACGGCATGGCTTCAATCGGTTAAAAGCTAACAAATAATAGCATTGAAGGTACGGGTGTATTATACTGACAATTTTGATCACATGTTTTCTGAATATCTCCCGTATTTTAAGGCGAAATCTGTGTACTTACTTCCGGTTTTACACTTCCGGTAAATTAGCCATGTGGTTTTGTTGACAAGCGAAGAAATCGTATTTTTCCTGAATTGTGGAGATACCAGATATTCTCAGCATGTCACGCATAATTGTCAAGAACCTACCAAAAGGGGTAGATATTGATTTGTAACCGTTTTCATTTCATTTTGTCAGTAAAGGTTATTTTGTAAATCACGAACTGTCCAGATGTGAGTAAACAGTCCTGTATATAGTCTGCATAAGACGTACGTGTACTGGGCTGTAGACGAGTCTCTTCAGGGGTTGGGGTAACCGTTCGTTTCGTTAATTCCATCCTCGTCTCGTGAGATGATCAGCTGATCACCACTGTTTATTTGGTTACAATTATGTTTGATTTATTACAATCACGTATCGATGGACTATTTCCATAATCGCAGGTCAGGGTATGATATCCCAGAGACCATATACCGACCGATTTCTGGTCCCTGAGTAGCCTATATGAACCTCAGTCGCATTCTTATAAGTCAATCGTAGTATGTCTCATATCCAAACTTACGTATGACAAAAACTAAATTGCGTTATTTCAGATGAGAAACACACTGTAACACATCCTTGTTTTAGTGATTAGTGAGAAACATGTCCTTGTTTTAAATTTAATGATTAGAGAGAAAGTTATCCTTCGTCAGCATTTAGTGCAGCTGTTTAATTATTCATTTCTTTCATTAATTCAATCTTCTCTATGATTAAACAAATTAACGTTATGAGAGTGACACTTAGTCGATGGTTCTGTGTGTTTTAAAATCAATCATGAAATAATTTCCGAGTGTGACGTCACATGCCCAATTTATTACTCAAACCAAGACAATAGTGCTTCATATAGTGAAGCTGACATTGCAAGCGCGACGTAGAGTTTTTTTTAATAGTGTCAAATTGGATAGACAGTTTTGTGTTTTTCTTACAGATAAGTTACAAATGACTTATTGCCAGCTTGATTAGATTAGACACCAGTGTTTCTCAAAGCTTAGATCACAGTATTAATATGCCTCGATTGTATATAGCCAATCACTCTCCTACTCAGGGTTCCTTGCGGCCAGCCTAGTAGTAGTACCTCCTGTCACATCATCAGATCTTGCACACTGTTGCACAACCCATTCATGAGTTTTTCATGTGTTTCATTTTGGATGCATCTACACATTTAGATACACATAAGTCATGTTTAACTTTCGCTGAGGAAATATCCTAAACCGTGAAAACACATTTCCATTTGCATATTTATCCTCCATATCAAGTCATGGAAACTCTACGGGGAGCTGGTGATATGGCCACTTCCATGTGTACATGTAGACTAACATCTAGACTAGTCTCTGAAATGAACATATCGTACAGAAAAAAACAGTTGTTCAATTAGCTTCATTAAAATATAATAAAAGCGAGCCCAGAGACTCTCTTCATTTCCTGATACTGCAGTAATCTAGACTTGTCAAACATTATGGACTTCCATGGGCTGTTTTTGATATATATTTGTATCAGGGTCTGTAAGACAGACTATAGTGTACATGGTGTAAAGCTGTTATCTCATGCACCTCACTGTCGCAGTTGTAGCAGTATTATCTCTATGATTATGCAAAACAATATGTATAGCGCACCGAAAGGCTTGCATTAGGCATGTCTGTTCTTATTTCAGAATAAGTGCATTTGTTTACATGACGAAAGTCTGGTCACATGATAAGCCTTCACTGGTGTGGTCACTGGAACAGAATCGGAATAAGGGGTGCAGGGCCGATTAATCTCGGGGGTTATCAGCTACTATTTATAAACAAAGTTTCTGAACGGTCGACATCCTGTCCCTTTAACCTTAAAATAAGACATTTCACCAGTTAGTATACAACACAACCAAGTATGAGACAATTCCCTTATCTTGGAAATGAATGCATTTGAAAGTATCCTAACTTTTATCATGTTTATGTTATGATAAGCTGATGAGGGTATCAAGACTACACAGTTTGGGGCAATACACTTTATACAATACAATATTATACTGTATGTCAATCCAAGGTTTTCCTGATTTTACTGTTGAAAAAAACACATATGAAAGCTTATGTCATTGTCAAGGCAACTGTTTCTGTGTGGCTTCAGACCAAGGAGGAGAAGCTGAGAGAGCTGTTCACTCAGAAGGGGGAGGTGACAGACTTGTCCATGAAATACACCAAAGATGGCTTCTTCAGAAACTTTGCCTTTATTGGTTTTAAATCAGAGACCTCGGCACTTCAGGCCATCAAGCATTTCAACAACACCTTCTTTAATAGCACGAAGATGCAGGTAATGTTTATTAAGATGAATACATTCAGCTTGTTGATAATACCCGAGAAGATACGGGTTAGAATATGTCTTCAACAACCAATGCTTGCTGTAAAAGGCAACAATGCTTGTCGTAAGAGGCGACTAACAGAATCAGGTGGTCAGGCTGGCTGACTTGGTTGATGCATGTCATCGTATCCCAATTGCGTAGATCAGTGCACCTAATATCAATCACTGGATTTGATTATTTACAGACCCGTCGTCATATAGTTTGAATATTGCTTAGTGCGTTGTTAAACAACAAACAAACAAAACTTAACACTAAATGATAGCTTAATGAAAAAACATTTTGGTCGTACCATTCATTCAGCAATCAGGACAGTTTACAAATGTATTATGAGTTTTGGTTTATTCCAAGGTTGAACTTGCAAAGGACTTTGGAGACAAGACCAAGCCTCGAGCTTGGAGTAAATATTCTTCAGAGAGTTCCTCCAATCAGAAGAAAGCCAAGGCGGGGCAGACAGGAGGCCAGCAAAGTGCCGTGAAAGATAAGAAACTGGTATGACAGAGTTGCCAGAAAAAATGGCAGGAATGTGTTATTGTCACGACAGGGATGTGTTATTGTCACGACAGGGATGTGTTATTGTCACGACAGGGATGTGTTATTGTCACGACAGGGATGTGTTATTGTCGTGGTAATGCTTTATTGTCATGGTAGGAAGTCATATTTGTGTACAGGCTGCTGTCATGTAGTGTTGAACAACACACCCTTGTGCCTTGTGACAGTTGCATGCCAACCCTCATTGTAAGGCTGTGGTGATAATTTATTACAATCAGATGTTGGTTGACATTTAAACTTTAATTTACAGACAGCTGTGGAGAGGAAAAAGAAGGCCAAAGAAGAGAAAATGAAAGAATTTCTTGGTGAAGTGAGTTTGAAAATAACCTTGCCATTAACATTTAAAATGAATTGAACAAGTAAGCACTAATTAATTGATAGTACAAGTAAGCTGTAATTGATGGATTGTACAAATAGTCAGTAATAATAAGCTTTGGAATGATCCTGTTACCTTTCCATTCATGTATTTCTACCTGTGAAGATGGCATGTCAGAGTTGGTTCAGCAACCATGTTCGTCGTAAAAGGCGACTATACTTGTCATGAAAGGCTACTATGCTTGTCATGAAAGGCGACTATGCTTGTCATGAAAGGCAACTATGCTTGTCATGAAAGGCAACTATGCTTGTCGTGAAAGGTGACTATGCTTGTCGTAAAAGGTGACTATGCTTGTAAAAAAAAGGCGACTATTCTTGTCGTGAAAGGTGACTATGCTCGTCGTAAAAGGTGACTATGCTTGTCGTAAAAGGTGACTATGCTTGTAAAAAAAGGCGACTTTTCTTGTCGTAAAAGGCGACTATGCTTGTAAAAAAAAAGGCGACTGTGCTTGTCGTAAAAGGCGATTATACTTGTTGTAAAAGGCGGCTATGCTTGTCATAAAAGGTGACTATTCTTGTCGTAAAAGACGACTATGCTTGTCGTAAAAGGCAATTATGCTTGTCATAAAAGGCGACTATTCTTGTCGTAAAAGGCGAGTAAAGGGACATGTGGTCAGGCTCCTGACTTGGATGATTCATCATATCCCAATTTTGGTATATCGATGCTCATGATGTCAGTCACTAGATTGTCTGGTCCATACTTAATTTTTTACTGACCCGCATCATACAGATTGATAATTGATGATTGCGGCATTAAACAACAAACAAATCATATATTTCTGCTCTTGACAATCTACCTTGATCATGACCAAGCTAACTGCAGGTGATATCTCGTCTTCCAGCTCGGAGATGATCCAGAGTTTAAGGAGTTTCTGGAAGTTCATCAGAACGCTGCGACGAAAAGCACATGGAGCAATGACACGGGTCAAGCAAAAGTTGCCTCCCCTGACAAGCAGCTGAAGAAACGCAACGATGTCACCTTTGATGATGAAAGTAGCAGTGGTGAAGATGATGATGATGATGATGATGATGATGATGATGACAAAAGTGATGACAGCAATGATGAAAAAAGTATGTTATCCGATTAGTGGTATTTTGTATTACAGTCAAGTCTCATTAATCCGACACTCGTTAATCCGACAATCAGCTTTATCCGACACTAATGATGGGAAACGATTAAATCAGTGCTATTTAGACCCATTAATCCGACAGTCTGGCAGGACCGAAGCTCTAGAAATTCTCAGGAGTCAAGCTGCTTAATGTGGTCACCCATCCAACTACTTTCCGAGACCGACATTGCTTAACTTCACCTGATTTGTGACCTGTGCGCTGTGCACAGGACCAAGTGCCACCAATGGGACTTGACTGTATATGGACCTTTAATCAGGGCCCTGATCCACTAAACAATCTTAGCACTGCGAAATATTATAAGTCAGTGTTAAAGTATGGTCTTCATGATTACCTCAGCGTTAGGATGACTTTGTGGAACGGGTCCCTCATCTTACCCAGTCAAGATAAATTTTACTGGACTAATGGCTAAGGTCTCAGAAAGCCATGTATATCTAACATTAACAAAAATAAAATCACCGCTCGGGTGAAAAAAGTTCCTGAACATCACTGACTTCATGGGAAAAAATATATAAATGGCATCAAAGAACATTTTTTGCACCAGAACAATATTTTGATGTCAATTTATCATGAATTCAACACATGTCCTCTGTCAATGTCATCTCAGGCTGAAAGTGGCGTGGGGTCAATTGTCAGTTCACAAGTCAGTATTAGGAATGACCACCATTACATGATTAGTAGTGACACAAGCTTGACAACAGCGCCTCCTTGATTGGCTGAGGAAGGCTTGTGGGATGTCATTCTATATCTGGACCAAGGCCTGTCCCGGCTGAATCAATGTCACCGGTTTGTTGGGAAGTTGGCGTAAACAAAGTTTAATTTCCGTCCACATGTGTCTGATGGGCGACAGATATCGCGAAACAGCAGGCCTGGGAGTGTGGGGATGTTCTATTGTCCAATGAAATCCATGGACACATGTGCAACATGGTGGCATGCACTGTCCTGTTGCAAAGTGATGTGACGCCCATGGGTTTAAAGGAACGTAAGGACGGATAAATTGCCATCGATGACCACCAGAGGGTTCCTGTGATGTGCAATGATGCCTCCTCCTCACACAATGATACACCAAACACTGAATGCAGAATGTTGAACAACAAACGCATGAGCATGACGTTCCATCCGATATCACTGAAGATGCTGACGGCCATCGCTGCCTTATAAGATGAAACCTGGACTCCCTTGTGGAGAGGACTCACCTCCAGTGTTGAAACCTCAAATGGTGTCGTGGCGAGGTGTGCAGTTCAATGAGATTGTAGCAAAATGGACGTACACCAGGATGTCTGGTTGGAGGTTATGCTCTTATAGTCCATTTCTCACAGTCCTTTCAGGAGCGGTCGGGTAGCCTAGTGGTTAAAGCGTTCGCTCATCACGCCGAAGACCCGGGTTCGATTCCCGACATTGGTACGATGTGTGAAGCCCATTTCTGGTGTCCCCTGCCGTTATATTGCTTGAATATTGCTAAAAGCGGCGTAAAACCAAACTCACTCACTCACTCACAGTCCTTTCACTGAAACCAGAACATGGTCGGCCCTGGTGTTGCCAGTCTGTTGGTACCGAGCCCAAAGTTAATGTATGATGTTACGATGAACACCAAAACAATTCCGATTTCAAGTATTCCAAACTGCTCAATCATAAAACCTCCCATCTCACACTGTGCATTTCTTACTTCTACTTTCGATCTTGGTGTGGAAACACTCTAGAACAAAGTTTCCAGCTTCAAAAAACACTTCTCCCAAACACTTCCCAGCATCATGATGGTCACCACCCTAACAAATGGATCACAAAATGCAATCCCGTGTGCCATGCCACTAAACGACCCAACATAACCTGCCACATCATTCTCTTCCTGAGAGCGGACAGGCTGGTGTATCTGTGATGCGGGGATGGACGGGTGGGCCTACAGCAAGTGAAATAGGATAAAGTGTATAAATATACATTTTATTATAGCATTTTCAATTTTCAGATAGATGTGATGTAACATTTCCGTGGGTTGGCTGTGAACAAGGTTGCTTTTCACAGTTAAAATACTTACACGATTGACCCATGACTGTGTGACAAAATTTTTACTCAAGGGCTTTGTGCATTTTATGATCGGGATGTGCAATTTCAAGGTCATCATGGGTAACCATGACAACGTATTTGTACATGTGGTCATGAGGGAGTCTTAATACTCAGGCAATAGTTTTTTAATGTGATTTTTTTCTGCTGTTTTTGTTTGATAACAAATACATTTTAGAAGTACAGATTCATTCTTAGACCCATTGACCTTTTTCTTGTTGTAGACGTGAAACAGTCAAAACAAACAGCAACAGCAAAGACAACGCTGTCCGACCTGGAGGTATGTGGTGCTGGTGTTTATGAAGAATAAACTGACTCCAAGTTAAAAACATCTTCCCGAGGCAAGGGAGTTAACTGACTGTAAAAGTCAAGTTTCCACCTTTGCCGAACTAGGCTGGAATTATGGAGTTATATTTTGGCTGGACAAATGAGTCTATGCATAGTCTAATCAAAATCGCGTACCGAAATCAAGATCCTGTTTGTCAACAATATAGATTTCAACATGCAATTGTCTCCAATAGGCATGATAGAAAAATGGATATTTTTCACATACACATCAATATGGGAACGCTGGAAAAGAATGTTTTCTTTCATAAAGAAGTCTGTCTACCATTGGCTCGAGGGGAGGGTTTGAGCCCCGCCCTTTGCAAATCTCATATATATATACCTATCTGTGAAGTTTATGTTTAGTTCCAAATTCTGATTTGGACCTTTCCACAATCTCTGCACCTGTTCATATGTCTACAACTTTGTTGAGAAATGTTTTGGAGCTAATAGTTGTAAATAATGATAATAGTCAGCTTACGGTGTGATTATGTCATGGCCTCCCTGTCTGGCAACATCCGTGTTGTCTGTTGGCATCTCAAAAACCAATGAAGCTGGAACTTCTCATGCTTACTCCCACCAATGTTTTTTAACCGTGCTTGTAAATTCTCTAAAAATGCATATTTGGCTCTGTGAACTTCTACTCACATCAAAGTACCAGACCGAGGGAGCTGAATGGTGGCGTCCCTGTCTAGCAACGCTAATGTCGTTTGTTAACATTTTCTCAGAAACCAATGGACCAATGAAACAGGAACTTCATTGGTTTAGTCCCACCAAGGATGACATCCCAATTTGTTCCAATTGGTTTGAAATTTGATTTTCATGATGGCTGCCATGGCAGCCATATTTAAAAAGCTATTTATAGCCATTGCTCAGTCATTTTTGTTGAGTTTGGTACGTGTGTAGGTAGCAGGGTTGTCGTTAATCATGTTAATGGTGGGGCTTGACATATGTGTTCTGATTTGCTGCGGTATTTTAGATTTTGACCTGGATTTGACCTTTGCGTTTCAGCCATACTGAAAGCTGAAACTTTGTATTGCCATTATTTGTCTGGCTATTTTGTACAAAATGAAATGAAATTTGGTATTTGTTTTGTTTGTCAGATTCAACTCGCATGTTCTGGTCTTTTTACAAAATCTTAAGATTTGGCCTTGGTTTTTTTACCATGCTTGTAAATTCTCTAAAAATACATACAGGAAACTACGTTTATAACGAACATGCTTATAACATGTATAATGAATTGAACGATATAACAAACTTATTTCTTAGTCCCGGCCATTTTTGTATATATGCTGTATATATGCATATATAACAAACTATAGTTATTAAAAACTAAAATTAGTTGTCCCTTTGAGTTTGTTGTAACCTTATTTTTACTGTATTGGGAATTGTAAACTTCTACTCATTTCCAATTCCCGGACCGAGGGAGCTGAACTATGGCATGTTTGTTTCTCCTTATGTTTACATCATATTTTGTACAAATCATTAGTTTCTTTGTTTGCATTCGCCCTCAATATTGATGCAGAAAATATTTGAATATCAAATGCTGAGAGCAACTTTCGGCTGTCTTGACTTCATGCAGGGAACTCATGTTGAAACAGGTGCTTGGATGCACGGGCGAGGGATGGGCGGTTTGTGATGGATATAGGACGCCAAGGCTGTTTTAAACACAAAAGACTATTTCTGTTGGTCAAGCACATGGTCAACACTCCTGGCTGGAGGCTGCCCTTTTGGTACATATGGAAATTGGAAAATGGTAAAGGAAACGAAATCAAGTATAACAAAGTGGAATTAAACAACAAAATGAAATAATAGACATTTGGGCTCAGAAGGCTTTCTGACACATGTGCCATGTCACTATTTATTATATTTCCCTTGTCTCCAGTATTTGAAGACGATGATGACGTCGTCCGTACTGCTGAGTGATACCAGTGATTCTGATGAAGACTCCGATGAGGATGATGATGAAGAAGCTCCCACATCCAAGAAGAACAAACAGAAAGGCAAAGTGAAGACGAAGAAAAAGAGTACCAAGGGAGGTAACTCTGATGAAACGCAAGAAAACTGGGGAAAGACAATTGCTCATAAACAGGTACATTTTCTGTTTTGTTTCTCTGGGTGTTTTGTTTTGCTTCAATTGACTCAAGACACTGTGTAAGCACTCAAAAGAGTTTGTCAAGTTATGTTTCTGAGACAATGGTGACTTGTCTCTTCAATACAAATGTCCTTCACAGGTAGGGCTATTTGTAGAAATTCATGTATATGCATGTTATGACGGTTACGATGAATTCTCATATTGCTGGTGTACCCCACCATGATAGTGCTGGAAAATAAAAGCTGCTTAAAACCCAACTCACTCACTCATGGATATTAAATGACAATCCATCATTGAATAATGTGACATCATTATGCATGTATGTGACCGAGCTGAAAGTACATGTCCTTGTATTGTACATGGGCCTGTGGCCTTCATGTTATAACACACACCATTTCCTTGTATTGTACATGGGCCTGTGGCCTTCTATTATAACACACACCATGTCCTCGTATTGTACATGGGCCTGTGGCCTTCATATTATAACACACACCATGTCCTCATATTGTACATGGGCCTGTGGCCTTCATATTATAACACACACCATGTCCCTGTATTGTACATGGGCCTGTGGCCTTCATGTTATAACACACACCATGTCCTTGTATTGTACATGGGCCTGTGGCCTTCATGTTATATAACACACACCATGTCCTTGTATTGTACATGGGCCTGTGGCCTTCATGTTATAACACACACCATGTCCTCGTATTGTACATGGGCCTGTGGCCTTCATGTTATATAACACACACCATGTCCTTGTATTGTACATGGGCCTGTGGCCTTCATGTTATAACACACACCATGTCCTTGTATTGTACATGGGCCTGTGGCCTTCATGTTATATAACACACACCATGTCCTTGTATTGTACATGGGCCTGTGGCCTTCATGTTATAACACACACCATGTCCTTGTATTGTACATGGGCCTGTGGCCTTCATGTTATATAACACACACCATGTCCTTGTATTGTACATGGGCCTGTGGCCTCCATGTTATAACACACACCATGTCCTTGTATTGTACATGGGACCTTGTCCTTCTCATTAAGTATCACCTTGATACCGATAACAGTGCAGTTGAAATTTTCAGGTTGAAGAAAAGCCGAGATATGTGGCAAAGATCCGAGGGCTGTATGGAAAATACAATGAGGTAGTGTACCATTTGTCATGTGGAACTGTTGGTTTAGATCTTGGGTATCATCATATCATTTTATATTTTGAGAGGTATTACCTCCCGTATGCGTGACCGACCATCTCGGTCTCCACCATTTGGTCCTAGTGGGTTTTATCTAAGTGGTTAATGTCTAAAGCGTTCCTCTGGCTTTCCTGCCACATTAAGTTGACCTGATGTGATAAGGCCAAAATACTGTTGGAGGTCAGATAAAATTGGGTTTAACGTCGCGTCCAAGATTATAGCACTTATACAGCGACGTGCATGCTTGTACTAGTCCGGACTGATGCTGATTTAAAGTGCTAGCTCACTGAGATAAAATGCCGCAGTTTAACGTGAATATCCCACTCAGACACAGTATAATGACACCGAGCCTAACAGTCCTAGTTTAGCCCCTTAATGCCAAGCGCCAGACAGGATAACAACAAGTATCATCTTTTAACGTCTTTTGGTATGACACGTCTGGGGATCGAACCCCGGACCTTCCTCTCTCCGGGTGGACGCTCTAAATACTGTTGGGTGCGACATGAACCCCCATCATGACACCTATGTCAGGCCTATCATGTATTTGTAGATCGATGCTTATGATGTCAATGACTGGATTGCCTGGTTGAGACTTGATTATTTACAGACCGCTTTCATAAGTGGCGTTAAACAATATGGACAACTTTGCTTCAAAAGCTCAGTTCTGGATACGCTGTGTATTTGGTCACATCAAATGTTGGTTGTCATGTTTTTTAATTTTCTATTTTTTTCAGAAATTGATCAAGGAGTTCTTCCAGCCCCTACACACCGTGTCCATCAAGCTGCCCCGAAACGCTCGCAAGAACCTGATCGGTAGAGACTAGATACTTGTTAGTCAACTGTATGTGTGTGTGGGAGTGTGGTTGCCTGGTGATACAGCCCCTACACACCGGGTCCATCAAGCTGCCCAGAAACGCTCGCACGAACCTGATCGGTAGAGACTAGATACTTGTTAGTCAACTGTATGTGTGTGTGGGAGTGTGGTTGCCTGCTGATACGGTCCCTCATCCTGCTGCCAGCCTCCAACACCAGCTGTCGGGATTCCGGGCTACAATAGATCCTCACCAACCCGTTCTGATCGTAAGAGGCGATAAGAGGGATTGCTTGGTCAGGCTCACTGACTTAGCTTATGCATGTCATTGTATCCCAGTTGCGTGGATCGATGCTCATGATGTTGTTTGTTTGTTGTTATTCCAACTACCAGTATATGAAGGCGGTCTGTAAATAATCTAGTCTGGACCAGACAATCCAGTGATTGACATCATGAGCATCGATCCACGCAATTGGGGTACAATGACATGCATGAACAAAGTCAGTGAGCCTGACCACCTGATCCCGTTAGTCGCCTCTTACGACAAGCATGGGTTGCTGGAGACAAATTCTAACCTTGATCTTTACGGGTATCTTGATGTCAATCCCGGGGTTGTCTGATCTTGATTGTTTACAGACCGCTGGATTATCGCTGGGTGTGGCATTAACAACAAACAAACAATATACAAACACTGTAAATGAAGGATGGATGCCTTGGATTTCCTTCCCCAATTGAAACTTTGTTTAGAAAGGATGTGTAGGCCTGTGATTCCTGATTTGTGCTGTCTCTACACTGTTTATGTCTTCTGTTCACAGGCGTTGCATTTGTTGAATTCTCCTGTGTCAAAGATTTGGACCAAGCTTTGAGGAAAAACAAAACCTTTATTAGTAAGTTGTGTGCAGTTGGCTGTTACTTAGTAAATAGATAATCTCGCAGATGACACTTCAGGACATATTTGCTCTCGCTGTACAATATTGTGCCAATCAGCAAATGAACACTAGATTACTTCCAAGTCCTGGTCACTGGTTCCACTGGTGGAGTAGATTAAAATAACTCATTCCGCTATGCAGTTGTGGCCAATTAGGAACCTTGTTTTTCAAACTCATCGATTTTACCAAACTGGCAATCGTCTGTGACCACAATCACTTGGAACATTCCTCCCTAATAATAATGGATCTGTCATAAAACCGTATTTACTGTAGAAAACTCTCTTGCTTGTGACAATGTTGTTCCACATGTTTTTTGCTACATTTAACTGAATATCTTCTTCATTAGACACTAAATTTGTAGGTTTTCATCAAAAAATGAAAGATCTTGAGGTTGGGGAAGTTTTCTGTATTTCTTTTTTCACAAACTGAGAAGTATGGAATAATTGTCCCAACTGAAGGAATGATGGACGTCCAAGTGTTTGTCCAGGGCATTCTTGCAATGAGGGACAGTGGACATTGCCAGTAATTAATTGTACATGATATGTTACCATGGTTACTAACTGTCATTTTAAGAAAGAAAATGAAGAAGAGCCTATACAATGTAAACCATCCAGAGAAGCACCACTCACATTGCCTGTTTGTTCAGAGGATGTAATGTTTACAATGTGTGACACGAAGAACGAATAACGTCGTATCATCTTGACAATATTCTTCACAACAATAATGCAGTTTGATGTCATGTTGCACAGACCAATCAGCATTGAGAACACTAAACTGTAATGCAATGTCACGATTATTACAGTTGCTATGTCAACCATCATGGGTAATATTAGGGTGTATTTCATCAAGTAAGATGGCAACACATACTGTGTTTGCTGCAATAAGCTTACTGGGTGCTTGGAAACTTAACAAAGGGGCACTAACTAACACCATTCATGAGGTACATTTGAGTTCGAGCGGTAGAGAACAAACTCGTCATTGAGAGAAAAACATTATTTACACTCCTGTGTTTCCTGTAAATAATCTGCAAGGTGTTCAAGACAATACACACTCTTATGTAAAGCTGAAGACCTTGTACAGGAGCTGATGGAGATTTCTTACAGATTGGCGTTGAAGTTGGTCAGAGGTCACATACTGGAGCGGGATGCCTAATGCTGTCTTGAGTAGGTCTGTGAGTGAGTGCTGTCTTGAGTAGGTCTGTGAGTGAATGATGTCTGCAGTAGGTCTGTGAGTGAGTGCTGTCTTCAGTAGGTCTGTGAGTGAGTGCTGTCCTCAGTAGGTCTGTGAGTGAGTGCTGTCTTCAGTATCTGTGAGTGAGTGCTGTCTTCAGTTGGTCTGTAAGTGAGTGCTGTCTTGAGTAAGTCTGTAAGTGAGTGAGGCATTTGGTAGTGAGCTGTTTGGGGATGAAGAAATGTGTAATGTGTTCATGTGTTGACTGTTACCATGGTTACAGATGGCAAGCGGATCAGCATGAAGAGAACTCAGGAAGAGGCTGACCTCAAGGTTACGGAGCATGAACCGAGAGCATGGGAACTGAAAATAGTATGAGCCATTTTATTCTTCACATGGGTCCCCTCTCCAAAGTAAGATGGAGGTTGAAGATTTCCTGAGAGTTTATACCAGTGGTACCTTATTGTTTAGTTATGTGTCAAAATATTTGGGAGTGTTTGGAATAGTTAAGAAATAAACAAATTGACCTATCACTGCTCAGTACAAAACACACGTCCTCTGTATGAAGTTACTGTGTAAACTGCCAGGCCCATGGGTGAGGTGAAATGGGGTTTAACGTCGCGTCCAAGATTATTGCACTTATATAGCGACGTGCATACCGATTTATAGTGCTAGCCCACTGAGATACCATGCCGCAGTTTAACATGAATACCCCACTCAGACACAGTATACTGACTCCGAGCCGACCAGTCCTTGTTTTAGCCCCTTAATGCCGAGCGCCAGACAGGGTAACAACAAGTACCATCTTTTAACGTCTTTTGGTATGACGCGGCCGGGGATCGAACCACGGACCTTCCGCTCTCCGGGCAGACGCTCTACCTCTAGCATAGGAGGCGGTCTCCAGGCCCATGGGATGTTAGCATATCAATAAGGCCAAGTTAGTTATGGCCGTGAAAAGTTGCATGCACGTTAACTGTCCATTGTGCTGTTGTACAAAACAACCATAGCACTACGACTGTCGTAACTCTATATTAAGATGTGGGTGTAAGACCACCTTCGGGCTAAGATGGCTTTTTACAACTGCACCCATGTCTGATGTGTTTACTCAGTTTCAAACAAGAAGAGCCCCATCTATAATTAATGTATGGCTGCACACGTAATTCATATTTCACATCTTGTTAGTACAGAAGTGATCTTAAGACCCCCAGGTTTATGCTTGGGACCCACAATTCATTACTGAGACCCCCAGGTCTCACACATAAACCTGGGGGCACGGGTGGCCCAGTCGTCAAGGCGCCAGGATTCGCTGTGCAGAGTTGTGTCCCTTGGGCACTCCAGAAACCTATGATTGTGGGTTCGAATCCCGGTTCGCCCCAATTATGTTTCTAGGTTTGTCAGCACCATACCAGTGCTCGTGGGTTTCACCGAAGTGGTAAACGTCTGAGACCTGCATCACTTCAGGCTTTCCTCCCACATTAAGCTGACACGCCGTGATATAACTGTAATACTGTTAAAAGCGGAATTAAACCAACTCACACACACTCAGTTTCAAACAAGAAGAGCCCCATCTATAATTAATGTATGGCTGCATGAGTAATTCATATTTCATTTCTTGTTAGTACAGAAGTGATCTTAAGACCCCCAGTTTTATGCTTGGTACCCACAATTCATTACTGAGACCCCCGGGTCTCACACATAGACCTGGTAGATCCCTCATGTGGTGTGTGATCCATCCTCGATGATCCGCTGTGTCTTCATTTGTAAGATACATACCCTGGACCCATTCTCCACCACAGCTTCATATAGAAGTGACGTCAACACCTTCACCTCACTTGTCTCCGACTTGGCACGAGATTTCTCTTGCTCATGACTGTAATTTGATTGGATGGCTATTTTTAGGATAAGGCTCAACCAAAGCTATGAATGCAATGTGTCCAGGGTATTTAGGACATCAGAATGGAGATTTGATCCCTGGATGACAGAAGATGCACATAATCTGGAATTTCTTTTTTATTTCTGCCTAGCAACAAGATCGGGCGGAGGAGGATGAAGGAATAGCGGAGGTAAGTTGAGGGGAGGAAGATGTGTGTTTGTACATTTCTACTTTCTCAGGCTATTCCAATGAAGGTATATGTCATTTAATCTGATCTTTCACTTTGATAGGATACTATTTCCATAGTATCTGAATGAGAAGGCTGCGTTCTTTAGCCAATCAGATCTCAGCCTTTTGAAATGATTCGGGATCATTTCTTTACCACCTTGATTCAGAAATGTCAATGTAACAAATGAAAACCCACACAGAACACCAATATTCCATTGATGAGGAAGATGACTCCCTTTTGGGCAGAGCTGTCGTGGTGCTCAGAAACAATAGGGTGTATTATATATCTACAATGTAATGGCCTGGCCTTTATCAGTTAAATTCATATATTTGTCTGAGTGCTTTGCTTGCTCGTACCGAGACTTTAGAAGCCTCGACACTGATGGCGTTAAGCAACAAACAAACTGGTTAGTGTGTCTAAACAATGGACAGGAGTAGAGAATAAACAATGGACGAAGTAGAGAATAAACAATCGACAGAGTAGAGAATAAACAATGGACGAAGTAGAGAATAAACTATGGACTGAAGTAGAGAATAAACAATGGACGGGAGTTGAGAATAAACAATAAATAGAAGTAGAGAATAAACAATGGATGAATTAGAGAATAAACAATGGACGAAGTAGAGAATAAACAATGGACAGAGTAGAGAATAAACAATGGACAGAGTAGAGAATAAACAATGAACAGAGTAGAGAATAAACAATGGACAGAGAGAATAAACAATGGACAGTAGAGAATAAACAATGGACAGAGAGAATAAACAATGGACAGTAGAGAATAAACAATGGACAGAGAGAATAAACAATGGACAGTAGAGAATAAACAATGGACAGAGAGAATAAACAATGGACAGTAGAGAATAAACAATGGACAGAGAGAATAAACAATGGACAGAGTAGAGAATAAACAATGGACAGAGTAGAGAATAAACAATGGACAGGAGTAGAAAATAAACAATGGACAGAAGTAGATTATAAATAAAGGTAGTTATTGTTTAAGGCAGCAGGTTTGCCAAGTGGAGCTGGTTTGCTAGCTGTAAAATACATGTCGCAGCTTTAACAAGATCCAACTGGGACAAACTCTATCTTATGCCTATTGATGTGACTAGAATGAAGATTTGTTGTTCACAATGGCTGGTGAGTGTGGTCAACTCTAAGCTGTGACACTATTCACTCACTCAATCCCCAATATCTGGATTAAAGTGAACAGAAGTGCTGGTGGTGTAACTTTTACTGATGTTTTTTCGCCGTCTGCTTCAGTCTGGGCGGCTGTTTGTGAGGAACCTGGCCTACTGCTGTACAGAAGATGACATAGATGCTTTGTTCAAAGAATATGGTGAGCAGATATGTATACTTGTTCTATATATACTTGTTCTATATATACTTGTTCTATATATACTCACCGTTAATGCGAACCATAGAAACAAATAGAGAAGTATGTACGTCGAGAAGAGATGTTTCCAATGTGTACCACTTGATGACAAAACAAACAATCAGTCAAGTGTTACCACAGAGTGTCTTTTTATCACGATATGCTGCGCGTGACTTCCAAACTTTACACGCTTATCCTGCACGAGACAAATGGTCATGGATCTATGATGTCACAAGTGGTGCGCGCACGTACCAGTATGTTCGTTTGTGCGTCAAACAAATCTAATATCTCTTGAATATGAGTAATTATTCGTATATTAACCAACATGTATGGTATTCAAGTTTCTTTTGTCGGTGTACGTAACAACTTGTAATGTGTGTGAAAAGTCGTACGCTATTTGAAGGGGGCATGGCCTAAATGCAAATGTCCGATTGGGATTTTAAATTTTCCGGACCCCTGGTATATAATCTGATGAAATACTAAATTTATCATAAAGTATCATATCGATAATTTAAGATACATCCAGTTCAAATATGTCTGTAGTTCCTGTCAAAACATAGTTGAAATCTGACTCAGTTGATTAAATATTATAGAGTGTGGAAAGTGATAACAGCAGGCAGTAGTTCCTTGTGTGTATTAAGGAAATGTTGCAACTCTCTTCTGATGAGTTCAAGATGTACATGATGTATCATGATCAGTGTTTACTTTGCAGAGTTGTCTCCCTTAGGTATGCCAGGATCCTATGGCTTTGGGTAAAATTCCAGACTCAGTCTAATTATGATCCTTGGTCTGTCTGCAACACTCATGTAGGGTTCAAAATTAACAGAAGTTTGTTAGTCTTAGACTTAGGAAGGGGAGTGGGATGTCTTTGTGGCCCACCACTTTTACTAGTTACTGTGATTGAAGTGATGTATGTCATAGGCATGACTGATGTCATAGGCATGACTGATGTCTTAGGCATGACTGATGTCTTAGGCATGACTGATGTCATCGGCATGACTGATGTCTTAGGCATGACTGATGTCATCGGCATGACTGACGTCTTAGGCATGACTGATGTCATCGGCATGACTGATGTCTTAGGCATGACTGATGTCTTAGGCATGACTGATGTCTTAGGCATGACTGTTGTCTTAGGCATGACTGATGTCATAGGCATGACTGATGTCTTAGGCATGACTGATGTCATAGGCATGACTGATGTCTCAGGCATGACTGATGTGTTTGACATGATGGGTGTGTTTGACATGATGGGTGTGTTTGACATGATGGGTGTGTTTGACATGATGGGTGTGTTTGACATGATGGGTGTGTTTGACATGATGGGTGTGATTGACATGAATGCTGTTTCAGGTCCCCTGACAGACGTGAGCGTTCCCGTGGACCCGTTCACCCACAAGGTCAAGGGCTTTGCTCACGTGACATTCATGATGCCGGAGCATGCTGTAAAGGCCTTTGTGGCACTAGATGGCACCGTCTTCCAGGTAGGGACTTCGGACATACGACCTAAATGGCACGATGAACGTATGATTTTACTGATACACTATTGAAGTCATATTTTCATGTGATATTTGATCAATGAACACATGTATAGTTGACCTTGTTGTAACCTTTTGTTTTAACTACCAGGCCTTGTGGCATCATCATTTCACTTTCAGCCTTATGACCAAAAATGTTGCCCCCTTGGGACTGAACCTCCTTCCCTCACTCACTCTGTTATTTGATTTCACTCACTCACTCACCCTGCTGTCTGATTTCAGGGTCGAATGTTACACATACTCCCTGGAAAACCAAAACCAGATGAAATAGAAGTAACAGGTGAGTCAGTGCCCCTGTAGGGAACATGAGGCTAGTCAGACATGAGGCTAGTCAGACATGAGGCTAGTCAGACATGAGGCTTGTCAGACATGAGGATTGTCAGACATCAGGCTAGTCAGACATCAGGCTAGTCAGACATCAGGCTAGTCAGACATGAGGCTTGTCAGACATTAGGATTGTCAGACATCAGGCTAGTCAGACATGAGGCTAGTCATTCATGAAGCTAGTCAGGCATGAGGCTTGTCAGACATCAGGCTAGTCAGGCATGAGGCTAGTCAGACATGAGGCTAGTCAGGCATCAGGCTTGTCAGACATCAGGCTTGTCAGACATGAGGATTGTCAGACATGAGGCTTGTCAGACATCAGGTTAATCAGGCATGAGGCTTGTCAGACATCAGACTTGTCATACACATGCATAATTTGGCATAAGCTTAATAAGAAAGTCCGAGCAATGTTTTGGCGTACAGTGAAGGATACACCTGGGCGTGTTTTGGTGACCTGTTCAACATTGGTTTCTGACAGTTTGACCTTTGACATCCATGCAGTTAAAGAAAAAATCATGAAACTTATATTCCACCATCATAACTGATAGATCTTGCAATGTGTTTTATATTTGCAGAAAAAACTTCCTTTAAGAAGAAACAAGAAGCAGAAAAGAAATCTTTGGCTAAAAGGTGAGGATTGGTGGTCGCTGCATGGTGTCCCAGGTTATAGTGAGTACTCAGCAACATGTGTGTCAGTAGAGGTGTCTGTATGGATTGGTGGTCGCTGCATGGTGTCCCAGGTTAGAGGGAGTACCCAGCAACATGTGTGTCAGTAGAGGTGTCTGTATGGATTGGTGGTTGCTGCATGGTATCCCAGGTTAGAGTGAGTACCCAGCAACATGTGTGTCAGTAGAGGTGTCTGTATGGATTGGTGGTCGCTGCATGGTGTCCCAGGTTAGAGTGAGTACCCAGCAACATGTGTGTCAGTAGAGGTGTCTGTATGGATTGGTGGTCGCTGCATGGTGTCCCAGGTTAGAGGGAGTACCCAGCAACATGTGTGTCAGTAGAGGTGCCTGTATGGATTGGTGGTTGCTGCATGGTGTCCCAGGTTAGAGTGAGTACCCAGCAACATGTGTGTCAGTAGAGGTGTCTGTATGGATTGGTGGTCGCTGCATGGTTTCCCAGGTTAGAGTGAGTACCCAGCAACATGTGTGTCAGTAGAGGTGTCTGTATGGATTGGCGGTCGCTGCATGGTGTCCCAGGTTAGAGTGAGTACCCAGCAACATGTGTGTCAGTAGAGGTGTCTGTATGGATTGGCGGTTGCTGCATGGTGTCCCAGGTTAGAGTGAGTACCCAGCAACATGTGTGTCAGTAGAGGTGTCTGTATGGATTGGTGGTCGCTGCATGGTGTCCCAGGTTAGAGTGAGTACCCAGCAACATGTGTGTCAGTGGAGGTGTCTGTATGTATTGGGTGGTCAGGCTTGGCAACTTGGTTGATTGATTGTGTCAGTGCGGGGCCGTCTGGTAGCCTAGTGGTTAAAGCGTTCACTCGTCACGCTGAAGACCCGGGTTCGATTCCCGACATGGGTACAATGTGTGAAGCCTATTTATGGTGTCCCCCGCCATGATATTGCTGGAATATTGCTAAAAGCGGCGTAAAACCATATTCAATCAATCAATTGTGTCAGTGCACTTCTAAATGTGGTTTGGTGTGCCCTTTGAAAGTGTTCAGCTAGAAGAATATTTTGTGTGCTTCTTTGAACTCTGTCACAAAGGCAAGATTAATAGCAGTTGTGATTAGAAACTTTGCTCCCTTCGTTTTGACTGAGATTGATACTGTCCTTTGTGTTGTCTGACTCCCTAGGCTGGTTTTGTGAATCCTACTGTATTGCGTGTGTTCATATGGCCATTATAATCCATGGATGTCCGGTTTAATTGTGAAACAGGACATTAATCACTGGCTTCAAACAATAAGCATTGTAACAAAGCATTGTGGGAAAAATGTGATTTCTAGGTTTACTTTCAAGCACAGGCAACTTATTTTAACCATTCCGTGATTATTATGACAGTGAAATTGACACAAGAATGTATGGAAATTTCTGACCCTGAGTGTTACATTGCTGGCTGCAGCATTCACTCATGTATGTTTTTTTCCGATGCAGTTCTCACAACTGGAACACTCTGTTTCTCGGTGCCAATGCGGTGGCTGATGCAATGGCGGAGAGATACGCTACCAGCAAGAGTCAGATCCTTGATGCGGTGAGAAGTAGTTCCTCAGAATCAACAATTTGGTGAGCAGAGTTGTGTACCTTAGCCATGTAGGGATCCACTGATCATCGCTGCATTTATGGCATCATGTCCTTAATTTGCCTTGATCAAGATTCTTAGCCTATGAGTGTATTTCTGCTTCTACACAGCAGATACCGTACAAGACCTCATCACTTTCCTCCAGTGACACGTCATGATATACACGGCATGACATTGTGTCACACCCAACTTGCTCATGTTCCTGTCACCAGGGTTTTACATGACTCTCAAATGTGCATCAAGTACGCACAAATGTAGAGACTGGAGGCAGAGATAAGATATAAATAATATGCATTGTACCTTCAGCGCATCAAGAGCAGTTATGGGTATCTGTTATTTCATCCACCAATCATGGCCACTGTACTATGATGATAGTGATGCTGCTGCTGCTGCTGCTGCTGATGCTGATGATGATGATGTCTCTTTGATTGTGTCAGAGTGGGAAGGAGAGCCTGGGTGTGAGGATGGCGCTGGGTGAGACGCAGATCGTGTCGGAGACGAGGGACTTCCTGCTGGAAAACGGTGTCAGTCTGGACAGCTTCAGCCAGGTGGGTCTGTCCTCCTCAGGATCTCGTGATGTGTCACAGGGGTAGAATCTAACAGTCCACTAGTCCTTATAATGATAACATATAGCAAACCCCTAAAAAGGGCAAATTTCCACTGGTCCTTCGGATCCCTACACTATTGGGCAGTTTGGCAAGGACTACAGGACTAGGGCCAATTTCTAACGCTGTGTCAGTACAGAAACAAACTATTGTTTAATAGCAGGCAATGATAATATCAAGAGGGAAGTTCACACTACTTGGCCAAAGATCAATATATGCATCAATATAAATTAAAAATATGGTCTGTGTTTTAGACATTATACAAGACTTAATGCAAACACTGCCTCCCAAACGAAATGTTTGGAAATTAAAAAGAAATGAGTGGCGGACTTTATGATGATGTGGTGGTGCCTGAGAACCGATTTTTAACTTTCAAATATGTATAACACATTTATATGTCCCCCTTCCCCCCGTGTGTTCCAGGCAGCGGCGCCCCGCAGTAAGACCGTCATCCTGGCCAAGAACCTCCCGGCCGGCACCAATGAGCTGGAACTACGGGAGAAGTTTGATAAGTATGGAACTCTGGGAAGGTTCCTCCTCCCGCCAGCTCGAGTCTCCGCACTCATTGAGTTTTTGGAGCCTTCGCAGGCTCGGGCCGCCTTCACCAAGCTGGCCTACACTAAGGTAGGTACTACTTGTCCTCAACTCTACACCAGAACACCAGCCAGGTGTTGTTATCATAGGTCATACAGGGAAGCGATACATCAGTGCATCTTGACTTTCATGCAATGATACGATACACAATATGTTTTATTCTGTATCGATACAAGACGATACTCTTGCTAAAATATATTACGCACTATTCGTTTCATGACCCCCAAACTTTTTTGTTAGTCAGATATCACAAACTGTGTTGTGATTAGCGATTTAAGTTCAATAGCCACAATGAACATGTGTCTACCATGTCTACAGCTGTGTACCCGCTGGCTTTTAAAACTTTCAGTCCTGGTGGACTGGCAACACTAAAAATACCAGTCCCCCTAATTTTTGTCAGTCCCAACTTTCCACAAATAAATAAACATATGAAAATTACCTGCTTTAATTCTTTCGACATGTTTGATAACAAAGACGTCATCTCTGAAGTAACCTATTAGATCTACTTGTCATTCACTCAAAGTCCAGTCACAATTTACTCTTCTACATTCTGACTTCAATAAAAAATATACTTATTTGAATATCGCCAGTGTTTTGTTCAACAACAAAAATTTATAAGTGCTTTATTTACCAGTCCGCAGGGACAACGAATTACAAGTCGAAACCTAATTTTAACGGTAAAAAACTGGTAATTATCGGTAAACGGGAACACTGCTACAGCTAGCTTTTCCTTTGGATCCTTCTCTGAAATATTTAAAGAAATTTCCACGCAATTTGACGAAAGTATGTGTATCGCGATACATGTCATATCGTGGCCTATGTTTTGTGATATATATTGTATCCTGACCTATGTTTCATGATACATATTGTATCATGACCTATGTTTCGTGATATGTATCGTATCGTGACCTTGCTGTATCGTATCGTGACCTTGCTGTGTCGTATCACCCCCCGTAGATACAGGGGTTCAGGGTGTGATGGTTCTTAGTTTGGCAGTGGATTCTTTATGTTCCACGGCTCTGTTATCTGCCCTCTGTGTAGCTCGAACTACGAACAGATACATTGCAGGTGATACCATGGCTATAGATGGCTAACCAAGCAAGTCTTTTACGTTTACGTTTCTGTTTCCGCTCAAATTTACAGTGTTCACAAAATTGGTTTTTCACCTTCAACCATGCAATCTTCATGAATTCTGCACAAAAGTTTCAATATCTTAAGTTATTTGTTCAAGTGAATTAAATACAGAAACACACAGCAAGAACAGTACCAGCATGAAACGGTAAGGTAATTTTTACGTGCCACAAGGTGGGAGGGGTATATACGAATGGGTGCCATCCTTCCATCTGTCATGTGTCTTTACCAGAGCATAAATTGGTAACTGTTAAATATTTTATTACAAACGTTTGCATATGTATCAAACACATGTTAAAATGGTGCCTTTTGGTGTTTTGGTATTTCAAAACAAAATATTTTTGGTGTTTCAATGTCAACAAACTGAAATTAGGATATGTGTAGCATTCCTTTCCTAGAGCAGATCTCAGAAACCATTTCATATTTTATTATGAAACTTTGCATATTTATCTAACAGATGCTGAACTGCTGCCTTTTAATATTTTGGTATTTATGCCAAAAACTTTTTTGTGTTACCTTGTTTTTTTCCTTTCCTCCTTTGTGGTGTTTTCCTCCATGCTGTAGATTTTATGCATCCTGTTTGCAGTGCATGATTCTAGAAAATGAGCACGCACTCTGATGTCATATGTCCCTCACTCACTCACTCACTCACTCACTCACTCACTCACTCACTCACTCACTCTGATGTCATATGTCCCTCTATAGTTTCAGTACTTGCCTCTGTACCTGGAGTGGGCGCCAGTGGGGGTGTTCACCACGGAGTACAAGGCACCACCAGAGGAAGAACAGGAGATGGAGGAACAACAGGAGGAGACGGAGAAAGAACCTACAGCTGTGAAAACTGAAGAAACCAAAAAAGAGGTACGTAGTCACAAGGAACCTCTGTGATATATTCCTCTGTAAATTCTCCAGGGAACTTTTGGGCTAGCGATCCATGGGAAACCAATCTCATTAAAATCAGATCTTTTAGTCAGATGCGATACCTCCCTTTGTAAAGGTCTTACAAACCCCCCAAGGCAGGTTGCATCACATGAACTTTCAGAAATGCTCAGTATTCTCTGTAGCTCAAAAACAAAGTTAAATGGCCAGTTCCAAATGTAAATAATAAAGGTTGTGCCAATAGATTGTTGAGGATATTCATGTCCCCTGCCTTTTGTGAATAAAATCAAAGGAAAATGTTCATGCCTGTTTACCTCACAACAAAACCCCACCTGACATCATTTAATTACCCCAAGTTGAAGAGCCGCTTTTAGCAATACTGCAGCAATATCACGGCGGAGGACACCAGAATGGGCTTCCATTTATTGTACCATGTGGAACCTGGGCCTTCGGCGTGACGAGCTAACGCTTTAACCACTAGGCTACCTGACTGCCCCTCCAGTTGAAGAAGCCCTTTGTGTTCCCTTCTTTTTCTGTCTCGGTACACTTCGTCCAGACAAACGTTATGTGTCAGTCATGTCCTTATTCGCATCTGTCGGCAGTTAATTTACACAGATGCCCTGAAGAGTTGGTTTAAACAATAAACCATTACAAATAAGTCGCCTCCTACTTCACAATTCAGATTTATTTTTGTGATTTGTTGTGGCTTTAGCAAATGGTAAGTGATGTTGTTTTCCATGTGATGTTGTTGCCAGGTAACCGAAGACGGGGATTCTGATGACGAAGATGAGGAGGAGCATAGGCCGGGCTGCACACTGTTTGTGAAGAACCTCAACTTTGATACAACGGAGGAGGACTTCAAGACGGTATGTATCTACCAGTGTCTCCTTTTTAGCTCACCTGTCCTGAAAGGCCATGTGATCTTATACAGTCGCAAGTAGTTGTCCATTAACTTCTTCCATTTCCACCTTGTTCTCCAAAATGGTTGACGGATGGAGCTGAAATTGTGAAGATGTTTGTTACAACGTTTGTTGAATGGCTCTTTGTTGAAGTTTTTACATATCCAGGTGAGCTACAGTGCTTTGGTACCAAGCAACTGTCCATTTTCTGTCGCCAGTGTGTTTGGGGCATATTAACTTGATAGGAAATGATAGTGCAGGTAATGATGATAGATGTCTGTAAAATTAATTTCGGGTGGTCGATCAATATCTTGGCGATGACCTGAGCATGATGTGGTCAAAATATCTGGTGATAATTCTAGCGAAGGAAGCGACATGACGTAAAATTTCGTCAATATATCGCTGGCCAGTCAAATGTCCATTTACTACGGAATCTGTTTGCCTGTCACGTGTGATACCGCCCCACACCATGACACTATCGCCCACATACGATCATGGTCAAGAGTTGTTGCCAAGGCTTTTTGTCAAGTCTTAACGGTCGAAGCTACTTAGCCAACAATGTTTTCTGCCATCTGTGAATCGGAGGCAGAACCTTGAATTGTCTGTAAACATGGTGTCATATGTCATGTGTGGTTATTTTCTATGACTCATGGTCTTTGTTTATAGTACATTAAAACACTGCTGGTAGAATAAACCACGAGGGGCATGAAATAAGCCACGTTTTTTGCAATTTATCGTGTAGCTATCTTATATTTGACTATATGTTAATAGATAAGATGTTGCTTTTAAATACAAACACCTTAATTTTATCACAACACTTTTTGTTAGGTATATCTGGCTTGTCCAGTGAGTAATCGTTTCTTGAGTTAAAAATATTTCCTATATTTTCTGAAACAACTTTTCTGTCTTCAAATAAATTCCAAGATTTGATTCTTCATTTTTATGGGATTTTGTTCATCAGATGTTCGAGAGATGTGGAGATGTTAAATATGCAACAATATCCAAAAAGAAGGACTTCAAAAATCCAGGTTTGTTTCCACTCATTCATGAGTGAGTTAATAGTGGTACAAGTTTACAGGATCCCATTTATATACTCACAACCAAAAGAAACGCAAACCATAGAAACATATAGAGAAGTATGTATGTTAAGAAGAGAAGTTTGCACTATAATTTTTTAATTTGAAGTTTACACGATATACAGCTTTTCAATTGGACGAGAGGTCGGTCACCTGACCACGAAATTGACGGTCATACATATTTCACGAGACCGTGTTCTTGAAATGACGTAAACACTGACAGACTACTTCCACATTCCTGGGGATACATACAGAAACATCCTTTCTGACGCTTTAATCTTGAACTCAGCATTTTGGTATACAATCAATTTGACTGCATGATTGTTCACGAATATCCTCGCTAAAGGCCCATCCCAGTGAATAGAACGAAGAAATGCACATCCAAACTATGGTAGTCTAGTCTGGCATTGACTGTCTACAGCAATCTATGAGTTTACCTTAGTGTCTACTTGACACATCTTTTCAATGATCGGCCAGTTGATCAATGATGACTAAAACATGTAACCGCCATGGGTTAATTAGCAACTCCCGAAATCTCTCCCATCACGTTTATCATGTCGGCCATTTTGACATCTAGTAATTAATGTAAATGTATTATGACGCGCTGTCATTGTGACTGACTTACTGAGGTAGTTCTTAACAGACCTTTCTCATCTAATGGGGATATTATTTGAATGTATGTGTTGCGTTAGATGTTTCTGAACTGTCGTCGCAAGCTCCAAATAATGACAAAACTAACAATCAGTCAAGTGTTTCCACAGTGTCTTTATTCTTATCACGACATGCTGCACGTGACTTCCAAACTTTACATGCTAATTATGAACAAGACAAATGGTTCATCTAGAATCATGGATCTATGACGTCACATGTGATGCATTCATGTGCGTCTGTTCACACAACATACCAGCATGTTCGTTTGTGCATCGAACCAATCTAATATCTCTTGAATATGAGTAAATCTTAATATTTTTAACAAACATGTATGGTTTTAATGTTTCTTTTGGCGTTGAGTATCTATGAGATATAGGTGAGCTTTGGATGTAACTTCCACTTTGGTGTAATGTATTTACCTATTACAGGAAACTGTGTGTTGTGTTCCTTCTTAATACTTCATGGTTTGTGTTTTGACCGTTATGCATGCACTGCAGGCCAGTTCCTGTCGATGGGGTACGGTTTTGTGGAATACATGAAGAAGAAAAGTGCTGAGAAAGCCTTGAAGACATTGCAGCACGCGAGTCTGGACGAACACCAGCTGGAACTGAAGATCTCACACCGAGAGACGACGTACGTACACAGCAGCACAGCTCCAGACAGGCTGAGTATTTGTGACAAATAGCAAAATAAATCACCAAAACCCAGTTTATTTGAGCTGCTTGCTTTAAAATGTCTGCTCTTTGTTTTATAAATACCCAAGGGAGTTAAAATATTTTGAACACCCAAAGAACACAATCAAGTACCCACTGTGAATGTTAACATGTGAGTCAATGGCTCCCACAATGACCTGGATCCCTGCACCAGAAGCATATGTGACCCAGGAGATAAGGGACCTTATTCGTGAAAAATCACATTTTGAACTTTCATTATTTTTTAAAGCTACAATATTTTCGGTAAACATGTAAGGATTACTAAAAATGTTAATATTATATTACAAATTAATGAGAGAAACATAAGGTATTTTTTTACAATCCACACACATGGCAATCTTCACTGAAGTAAATTGACGTGAAACCTCTTGATGATGTCACAGCACAATTGTATCCTAGCACTCATTAGGTCCCTTGTCTCCTGGTGAGGCTGGTGTACCAGTGGTCTGAGGCACGCACTGTGCAGAGTTATGTCCCTTTGTTGTTCACTTTCATCTGACAGGTGTACACTGGTGTGCCAGTGGTCAGAGGCACTCACTGTGCAGAGTTATGTCCCTTTGTTGTTCACTTTCATCTGACAGGTGTACACGGTTGTGCCAGTGGGCTGAGGCACGCACTGTGCAGAGTTATGTCCCTTTGCTGTTCACTTTCATCTGACAGGTGTACACTGGTGTACCAGTGGGCTGAGGCACGCACTGTGCAGAGTTATGTCCCTTTGCTGTTCACTTTCATCTGACAGGTGTACACTGTTGTGCCAGTGGTCTGAGGCACGAACTGTGCAGAGTTATGTCCCTTTGTTGTTCACTTTCATCTGACAGGTGTACACTGGTGTACCAGTGGTCAGAGGCACTCACTGTGCAGAGTTGTGTCCCTTTGTTGTTCACTTTCATCTGACAGGTGTACACTGGTGTACCAGTGGTCAGATGCACTCACTGTGCAGAGTTATGTCCCTTTGCTGTTCACTTTCATCTGACAGGTGTACACTGGTGTACCAGTGGTCTGAGGCACGCACTGTGCAGAGTTATGTCCCTTTGTTGTTCACTTTCATCTGACAGGTGTACACTGGTGTACCAGTGGTCTGAGGCACGCACTGTGCAGAGTTATGTCCCTTTGCTGTTCACTTTCATCTGACAGGTGTGCCAGAAACCTGTGTTCCTGGGTTTGAATTAGGGCTTCCACGAGTCCAAATTTTTTGACTCGAGTACTCGAGTACCCGAAAATAGGACGTCCTTTAAGAATATTGGTTCATTAGATCAAAATTGCCATCTAAAAGTATTAAAACATGTTATAAGTATAATTGAACTGCACTGAAATGTAAATAGAAAGCGTCCACGGAACTTGTTTATCTGTCAAAGTGTATGGAAGTGTTCAGTGTTTGCTTGTAACTGCACTTATCTTAATCATGACCTTCAAAAACATTACGTCACGTCTACAAATACTACAGTACATATTGAACACAAGCCAAGTTTTTTCTCTGACGATCAGCGTTTCTTTCGACACCTGCCAACAAGCACGAACAATAATTCACAGGAAGAAAATCGATAATGTGCATCACGTGACAGACACGTATACACAGCTGCTGGGCTGCAAGACTAAGGCCGCTAAATATGGAAATGTAGTACTATAAGTTCATTCATTCATGAGTTGGTCACGTTTTCAAACTGTACCAGACTGTCGGACTGTCGCTTGATTTGTAAGCACTGAAATAGCACATATATACCAGCTAATCAGTTGTTAATCTGTGTAAGGGAATACACTTGGCATTTGAGTCGGAGCAAAGAAGCAATAATCGCCTTGATACATTCAATTTCTTAAAGTCAGGAAGGAAAAACAATAATTACGTCTATTTTATGTGACATTCTCAATTGTTCTAATGTACATCTACTTTCTACAAAGAATACATTATTCAAACAATATTAAAAAAGAGTGATCTCCCCTTATCGAGTACTCGAGTCCTTGATAACGGACTCGAGTCCCACTAAAACCGACCCGAATACATTATTCAAACAATATTAAAAAAGAGTGATCTCCCCTTATCCAGTACTCGAGTCCTTGATAACGGACTCGAGTCCCACTAAAACCGACCCGGCCCCGAGTACTCGGGTACTCGTTGAAGCCCTAGTTTGAATCCATGAGTTGGTTCACTTTAGTCTTTCCTCCAATAATATGCTGACATGCTGATTGATATTGACTAATGTTCAATTCAGGTGGCATGACTGGATAACTTGGTTGTACTGGTTTGCCTCCCTTATATGTACCAGGATCTCATGGCTCCCATTATAATCCTACTAGACTGGGTGCCTGGCTACTTTAACGGGTGATGTTAGATGACACTAAACAGATCATTCACTGGGACTTAGTATTAAATGAAAAATATGGCAGACTATGTGAAGTAAAATTGCTCTAGCCAAAATTAATGAGCAGTTTGTTCTGGCTATTGGTATTGCTGAAGTAATGATGCTACACATGCACACCTGCAAACAGATATATTATTGTGCAGGTTGGTACCACATATTTTGGCCACCACCTTTTACCCATTCTCACACAAACTCACACTCACACACACAAACATACACACTCTCTCTCTCTCTCACGCACACCCTCTCACGCACACGCACATACTCACACAGAGGCACACACCCACACCCCACACAGAGACACACAGAGTAGACAAAACATGACTTTCTAACATAAACATGGCATCGAGGGTTATATATTATAATAAAAATGTGACTTGTATCTCTCTCTCTCTCTCTCTCTCTCTCTTTCTCTCTCTCTCACACACACACACACACACACACACACACACACACACACACACACACAGTGTTCAGTTCAGTTTTTAAACCTCCTACCTCACAGGACAACCCAAGCTTCAACAGCGATGGTGAGTAATGTGCTGTAAGTTGTGTGTTTGTTGTAGGATGATAATTCTCTCATGTTTTATTTTTTGTAGTGCCACCAAAACATCCAACAAGAAAAAGCAGAAAAGCACCAAGCAGAAGTCCTCCAAGATACTTGTCCGAAATATTCCATTTGAAGTCACACGGAACGAAATCTATGAACTCTTCAAGTATGTATGGCCCTGCGGGGATTTCAGACAAAATATAGAACCCAGCAACCTATGCATGTCGTACAAGGCGAGTGAATGGAGCTGGTAGTCAAGCTCACTACCTTGGTAGATAGCATGTCATCCTACCATGACGACATGGAGTATTGCTCATAATATCAATCAATGGATTGTCAGGTCCAGATTTGATTATTTTCAGGATGCTGTCACCTAGCTGGAATATTGCTGAGTGCAGTGTTAATCAAAACTCTTTAAGTTGTTAAATGGCATTTTGAGAAGGAGGAGAATTTATGAATGTCAACTTCCTTATTATGAGGAACACAACGTTTCGGAGTATAAGCTTACTCCTTCATCAGGTGATAAAATGCTATGAAGTGTGTGTGTAAGGGAAGCCAACATCTAAATGTCGCTGATAGGTGATGAGCAATGGACAAATGGAAGCCAACACTTTACAGTTAATTATGAGTCTGTTTGGAAATATCTCTGATGGTACCTTTATGCTTGCATATGAAACTTAATCAGAAATCAGGACATCTCAAGATTTCATCATTAAACAGGGGTGGTGGGGTAGCCTATTCGTTAAAGCGCTCGCTCGCTCGGCACGCCGAAGACCCGAGTTCGATTCTCTACATGGGTACGATGTCAGAAGCTCATTTCTGGTGTCCCTTGCTGTGATATGTCTGGAATATTGCTAAAAGCGGCATAAAACCATACACACTCACTAAGCAATAAACAAGAAACTGACAAGTCTTTATTGAACCAAATTTTGCCTCTTGTACATCTATTGAAGACTAATATGGATTCAGTTATTGCACAAGCAAACAAATTTAGATAATGTCATTATTTCATATCATCTTATCACATGCATATTTTAAACTAGATATGAATTTGACTTAGTATTGGAAATGTATTTGACTTAATTTTGGAAAACTTAACAAGACAGTTGGTATTGCCAATCTTACCCAGAGATTGCTATGGTACTGTGATGTCTTCATATGACTCCTAGAGGCAAGGGTATGAGTGCAGTTATCTTCAGTAGTCCTCACTGGGCAATTTAATGTCTGCTCTCTCTGATTGGCTAGTTCACACTAATTGTTCCAGTGTTTTCATTGTTTGCTAAGTGACCCTTAGCAAATTACAAAGGCAGTAAACAATAGAGTCGTAGTGCAATATTGAATGGCAGTAAACAATAGAGTCGTAGTGCAATATTGAATGGCAGTAAACAATAGAGTCGTAGTGCAATATTGAATGGCAGTAAACAATAGAGTCGTAGTGCAATATTGAATGGCAGTAAACAATAGAGTCGTAGTGCAATATTGAATGGCAGTAAACAATAGGGTCGTAGTGCAATATTGAATGGCAGTAAACAATAGAGTCGTAGTGCAATATTGAATGGCAGTAAACAATAGAGTCGTAGTGCAATATTGAATGGCAGTAAACAATAGAGTCATAGTGCAATATTGAATGGCAGTAAACAATAGAGTCGTAGTGCAATATTGAATGGCAGTAAACAATAGAGTCGTAGTGCAATATTGAATGGCAGTAAACAATAGAGTCATAGTGCAATATTGAATGGCAGTAAACAATAGGGTCGTAGTGCAATATTGAATGGCAGTAAACAATAGAGTCGTAGTGCAATATTGAATGGCAGTAAACAATAGAGTCATAGTGCAATATTGAATGGCAGTAAACAATAGAGTCGTAGTGCAATATTGAATGGCAGTAAACAATAGGGTCGTAGTGCAATATTGAATGGCAGTAAACAATAGAGTCGTAGTGCAATATTGAATGGCAGTAAACAATAGAGTCGTAGTGCAATATTGAATGGCAGTAAACAATAGAGTCATAGTGCAATATTGAATGGCAGTAAACAATAGGGTCGTAGTGCAATATTGAATGGCAGTAAACAATAGAGTCGTAGTGCAATATTGAATGGCAGTAAACAATAGAGTCGTAGTGCAATATTGAATGGCAGTAAACAATAGAGTCGTAGTGCAATATTGAATGGCAGTAAACAATAGAGTCGTAGTGCAATATTGAATGGCAGTAAACAATAGAGTCGTAGTGCAATATTGAATGGCAGTAAACAATAGAGTCGTAGTGCAATATTGAATGGCAGTAAACAATAGAGTCGTAGTGCAATATTGAATGGCAGTAAACAATAGAGTCGTAGTGCAATATTGAATGGCAGTAAACAATAGAGTCGTAGTGCAATATTGAATGGCAGTAAACAATAGAGTCGTAGTGCAATATTGAATGGCAGTAAACAATAGAGTTGTAGTGCAATATTGAATGGCAGTAAACAATAGAGTCGTAGTGCAATATTGAATGGCAGTAAACAATAGAGTCGTAGTGCAATATTGAATGGCAGTAAACAATAGAGTCTTAGTGCAATATTGAATGGCAGTAAACAATAGAGTCGTAGTGCAATATTGAATGGCAGTAAACAATAGAGTCGTAGTGCAATATTGAATGGCAGTAAACAATAGAGTCGTAGTGCAATATTGAATGGCAGTAAACAATAGAGTCGTAGTGCAATATTGAATGGCAGTAAACAATAGAGTCGTAGTGCAATATTGAATGGCAGTAAACAATAGAGTCGTAGTGCAATATTGAATGGCAGTAAACAATAGGGTCGTAGTGCAATATTGAATGGCAGTAAACAATAGAGACGTAGTGCAATATTGAATGGCAGTAAATAATATGATGGCGGTGGTCAGCATCAAATACACAAATACAGCGGTGACAGCAAGGGTCAGTGATAACAATATATATTCACCCAGCGGCAACAGTGGTCAAGCTTACAAGATGGGCTAGACAGGGAATCAGGGATGATGAGCGATCCTCACATGAAAGCTGGTTCCGATGTGATGAAAATGCGTCAGAGCTACGTAAACACGCTCTTATCCCCTTATATAGTCTAACCAGATACAGGAAAGTCCACATAGTCCTCACAACATAGAATGTTACAGAAGTTTGGGTAACATACTATCACTATCCGTGGTATACAGGACCAGAAGTTTTACACACCATTCTAGCATTCAATATAGTAACTTCCTGATGACTGATCACTGTCCAAACACAATGCAGTGAGCATCTACTGAATCCCAACACAAACAATGCAGCACAATGTGAAACAATACAATACACTGCCCTATGACAAAGTGTGTAGACTGTACACAGTATTCCTTGTTCTGTTCAGAGTGTTTGGTGAGCTGAAGACAGTCAGGCTGCCTAAGAAGATGAGTGGAACAGGATCACATCGAGGATTTGGGTTTGTCGATTTCCTCACCAGACCGGATGCCAAGGTAGGACATTATAGTTTAGGTACTAGTCATCAATATTTATGTTCAACACAACACAGAGATGTGTATATCCAGTTTCCCAACTGACCCCATCTGGAGCCCCTGACCCCTGACCCCTCACACCTGAACCTTTGTTCATATTTCTATCCTCCCCCTGGCATAGTATGCAGGGAAGCGGAGGGAGATATGGTCATCATCTGTCTGTCTGTCTGTCTGTCTGTCTGTCTTCCGGAAAACAACTTGAAATCAAAACTCTGAATTATTTTTCATCCAAATCTGGTACATGTATTAACCAGAGGCAGAAGTGGTGCCTTTCTCTCTTGTAGGGTCATTGGTCATCAGATGACTCTTGTTTTATTATTTTATTGTTTTGTAATATGAATCAACATTTTACAGGGAAACAAATAACAATGACCTCCGGCTGATATGAACTAGCATCAATATCTGTACATATTGGACAGCACAGGGTGTAAAGGATTATGTAGACTCACAAAACAGAGCATTGATCCATATGAAATTGTACTATAATATATAATATGTATTTGAATACATTGTTTAGTACTTCTTGGGGGCCATGGGTGGCCGAGTAGTTTAAGGTGCCTCTTTTTGCGATGCAGAGTTGTGTCCCTTGGGTTCGCCAGAGTGAGTGAGTTGGGTTTAATGCCGCTTGTAACATTATTCCAGTCATATCACAGCGTGTCAGCTTAATGTGGGAGGAAAGCCTGAAGTGATGCAGGTCTCAGACATTTACCACTTCGGTGAAACCCACGAGCACGGGTATGGTGCTGACAAACCTAGAAACATAATCAGGGCAAACCGGGATTCGTACCAACTATCATAGGTTTCTGGCATGCCCAAGGGACGCAACTCTGCACAGCGAATCGAGGTGACTTAGATGACTGGGCCACCCTGGGCTCTCCAGAAACCAGTGAACATGTACATGTATGTTGTGTGTGTGTGTTACAGAGGGCCTTCAATGCACTGTGTCACAGCACCCACTTGTTTGGGCGACGCCTCGTTCTGGAGTGGGCGGAGACAGAGGAGACCGTGGAGGATCTGCGGAGGAAGACAGCGGAGAGGTTCCATGACGGTAGGTAGATGACTTCTCCCCGACTCATGGTCATTAGAGGTCATCATGAAGAGCAAGCAACAGGCTTTCAGAGCTAATGCATCATGTGACATCACAATATAATCATTTCTTTCACTCATAGAGTGTAATTGCTCAGTAACCTTACCGTTGTCCAATATGGCCCAGTTGTAGCACAGTTACCATATAGCAGACCCGTGATAATCCGGGGTTAATTAGGTCTTCAGGAACCCATGCTTGCCGTAAGGAGCCGTAGGGGCGACCAACGGCATCAGGTGGTCAGGCTTGCTGACTAGTTGAGGCATGTCATGGTATCCCAATTGTGTGGATCGATGCTGTGGAGTGTCAATCATTGGATTGTCTGGTCCAGACTTGATTACTTACAGACAGTCGTCATCTAGCTGGAATATTGCTGAGTGTGGTGTAAAACAACAAACAAACAACCTCTTGTTGAATGTGAGCACATTGAATCCAGCGGCTGATGAGGCTCACGGACACCAGGTGGCAGCCGGAGCTAGTGCTGTGTGGGAAGGATCTGTTATATTTTTGTCGTGTTGTATGGGTGATCTGATGCATGTGGTAGTGACTGTCATGTGGCCTTGTTATTTACAGAGGGGCCCTCCAAGAAACTGAAGAAGTCGTCCATCATGGAGAACCTGGCGTCATCTAAAGCCTGACTGAAGCTTGTCGGGGGTTACTGTACATAGCTCTGTACAGAACACGGTCACTGATTGTATAGATGTACATAGACTACCACAATAAACATGAATATGAACATAAGGGGTGTTTGGGTTAGCACTTATACTAACAGCTGGACATAGTGTAGACACTGGACCCTGTAGACACTGGACCCTGTAGATACTGGACCCTGAAGACAGTGATGGCTGTAGACACTGGACCCTGTAGACAGTGATGCCTGTAGATTCTGGACCCTGTAGACACTGTACCCTGCCGACATTTGACCCTGTAGACACTGTACCCTGCCGACATTTGACCCTGTAGACACTGTACCCTGCTGACAGTGGTCCCTGTAGAGACTGGATCCTATTGACAGTGGTCCCTGTAGACACTGTACCCTGTAGACACTGGAACCTGTAGACACTGTACCCTGCTGATAGTGCTCCCTGTAGACAATGTACCCTGTGGATAATGGACCCTGTAGACAATGTACCCTGTGGATAGTGGACCCTGTAGACAATGTACCCTGTGTATAGCGGACCCTGCAGACAATGTACCCTGTGGACAGTGATCCCTGCTGACAGTAAATATTCCTCAGTTGAGGCGGTTGAAGAACACAACATATGGCAACCAGGACTCATGGTCTGCAATGGTCTGCAATGAGGTCTCAGTTATCTTGGTAGATAATTGTACACAGAAAAAGAAATTCTTGCAACTATAATATGGTATGCAGCCAGTGCTTAAAGAATGTGGATACATTAACTCTATTCCCCACATTCATTGATGGGAGCTAGCTCTTGGCTTAATTAAATACAACTGAAAAGGATTGGGAACCGTAGCCCCCACAGATATAGTATCCTCTAAACATTCCAATACAGTATTATTCATTGAATTATACCTACAGACAAGTTGTTGTACACAATGGGATCTGAAGAATAATTCAAGTTTCTTAACAGAGTGTGTGAGTGAGTTGGGTTTAACATCCCTTTGAAAAGTATTCCAGTTATATCATGGCGTGTCAGCTTCATGTCGGAGGAAAGCTCGAAGTGATGCATGTCTTGGATGTTTATCACTTTGGTGAAACTAATGAGCACGGGAATTTTGTAAACACAAAAAAACAAACCTTGGTGCACCGTTTTTTTATTGAGAAAGTGTAAAAGATATCTGGAACAACCTTGAAAAACAGATTAAAGACAAAGAGGCAATAGAACTGGATTTTTCAAAATTGACAATTTCAGAAGCATGTCAAGAAAAAAGAAATGATCTTTTAAATCACATCAGAACTATACTTAACCAAAACATATTCAAAAGAAACATTACCGAATCACTCCCATTACAAAGACAAAAACATATTCCCTTTTTAAATACACACGTTTTGACAAGTATGTCACTATCTATTAGAGTAAGCCACAAACTTGTACAATTCCGACAAATTCTTACCATCCTGACACAGGAAATGTTTTATTTGTTATTATGCATAGATACATTTTGTAACCTGTATGTATTTAAGATGTGAACTATAACAACGGTAATTGTCTTTGTGATGTGGAATGACATAAATAAACATAAAGAATAAACACTTGTCGGCGCCCAGAACAGAACTCAGTGAAGAACACAACGCAAGGATTTTATAAGCGCATCCTATGGACCATCCGCAGTTACCTCCCTTGCATCAATGAACGCGAAAAACACGAGTCTATCTGTGGGATTTCTTCGAGCCCATGTGGTTGTAAACGCTCTCACGCACGCACATACACACACACAGGCACACCCCACACAGAGACACACAGAGTAGACAAAACATGACTTTCTAACATAAACATGGCATCAAGGGTTATATAGTATGATAAAAATGTGACTTGTATCTCTCTCTCTCACTCTCTCTCTCTCTCTCTCTCTTTCTCTCTCTCTCTCTCTCTCTCTCTCTCTCTCTCTTACACACACACACACACACACACACACACACACACATTTACTTACTCACTCACACATCGGAGCTGAGTTGTAGCAAGTGTTCTACAAAAAGGAAACGCTTAGACTGTTTCGTTTTCTATTTCTGGTTGATACTAAAGTGGGTTATTCAGCTGACCACTTCACAGCAGTTGAGGGAGCGTCCCCGTCATCCCGCCACATTCCCGGGGCTGCGTCTATACATGTTGTAGGTGTCCGCGCTATCACACATCGGAACCCTGGTGCTAATTTTCGTTTAGAGACTGGTGTTTTATTAAGTGTAAGTGTCACTTAATCCCGTTCCATGCTTCTTAACGGGTGCCTGGGGATCTCAGATGGCCCATCAGCGGCGGCGGCGTGGTGCGCCGTGACACCTCATGATCACTCTAGTTTTATTGTGCATGCCTCCATTCTCTCCTCTCATTCACCCTCTGCCTGCCATTTCCTCCATGGAATTGTGTATGTGTATCCCCCCCCCCCCCTCTCTCTCTCTCTCTCTCTCTCTCTCTCTCTCTCTCTCTCTCTCTCTCTCGTTGGCGTGCAATGACTCAAGTGGAACGTATCTTTCTGTGTGTACCCATTTCTTACGTTCTCCCCACCCCCTCTAAGTCTCCCGTGACCCCCTCAGTCTCAATCCGTCTGTCTTTCTCTGTATCTGACCGCCTCGTTGGTCTGGTGGTAGAGCGTCCGCCCGGAAAGCGGAAGGTCGAGGTTTCGATCCCCGGCCGCGTCATACCAAAAGATGGTACTTGTTGTTACCCTGTCTGGCGCTCAACATTAAGGGGCTGAAACAAGGACTGGTCGGCTCGGAGTCAGAATACTGTGTCTGAGTGGGGTATTCATGTTTAACTGCGGCATGGTATCTCAGTGGGATAGCACTATAAATTCAGCATCAGTCCGGACTAGTACAAGCAGACACACACGTGCGTGCACGTCGCTATGTAAGTGCAATAATCTTGGACGCGACGTTAAACCCCATTTCACCTCATCTCTCTGTCTCTGACAGCCCCTTTTCCTTCATCATCTGTGTCCCTCTCTATATAGCTTTCTTTCTCTCTACCTCTCTGGCTATGTATGCCTTTCTCACTGCCGGGGGTGGGTTAGCCTAGTGGTTTAAGCGTTTCGCTATTCACGCCGAAGACCCGGGTTCGATTCCTCACATGGGTACAATGAATGAAGCCCATATCTGGTGTCCCCCGCCGTGATATTGCTGAAATATTGCTAAAAGCGGCGTAAAACCATACTCACTCACTATATCCCTGGCTCTCTCTCTCTCTCACTGATTCTCTCAATTTATTCTCAAGGGTCTGGAAGACAGACTACATCTCTCTGTTTCTTGCTGCAACCCCCCTCTCACTGCCTCTCTCCGCCCTCTCTGTCTCTCCCCGACCACACTGCTTCTCTCCGCCCTCTCTGTCTCTCCCCGACCTCACTGCTTCTCTCCGCCCTCTCTGTCTCTCCCCGACCTCACTGCTTCTCTCCGCCCTCTCTGTCTCTCCCCGCTCACACCGCCATCTCTGTCTCTCCCCGCTCACACTGCCTCTCTCCGCCCTCTCTGTCTCTCCCCGCTCACACCGCCATCTCTGTCTCTCCCCGCTCACACTGCCTCTCTCCGCCCTCTCTGTCTCTCCCCGCTCACACTGCCATCTCTGTCTCTCCCCGCTCACACTGCCTCTCTCCGCCCTCTCTGTCTCTCCCCGACCTCACTGCTTCTCTCCGCCCTCTCTGTCACTCCCCACTCTCTCCGCCCTCTCTGTCACTCCCCACTCTCTCCGCCCTCTCTGTCTCTCCCCGCTCACACTGCCTGTCTCCGCCCTCTCTGTCTCTCTCCGCCCTCTCTGTCTCTCCCCGCTGTCGCTGCCTCTCTCCGCCCTCTCTGTCACTGCCTCTCTCCGCCCTCTCTGTCTCTCCCCGCTCACACTGCCTCTCTCCGCCCTCTCTGTCACTGCGTCTCTCCGCCCTCTCTGTCTCTCCCCGCTGTCGCTGCCTCTCTCCGCCCTCTCTGTCACTGCCTCTCTCCGCCCTCTGTCTCTCACTGTCTCTCTCACAAACCTCCTTCTGTCTGTCGCCGTTTCTTCCTCCACTCTCTGTGTGTCTCTCTGTGTGTCTGTGTGTCTCTCTGTGTCTGTGTGTGTGTGTGTGTGTGTGTGTGTCTCTCTCTCTCTCTCTCTCTCCCATCTCTCAAAGTGTGATTTCAGAACGGAGGCAATCTAGACTTGCCAAATCGTTCTAGACTTGAGTTGGATTCATTTTTCAATTTATTCTCAAAGGTTTGAGAGTCATCTCTCTGTCTCTCCGCCCTCCATGTCTCTCGCTGAACACTCTCACTTATCCCCATCCTTCAGTCTCCACAATTTCTCCGTTATTTCTCTCTGTCTCTCTCTCTCCACCCTCTACCTTCTCCCTCTCTCTCTCTCTCTCCACCCTCTACCTTCTCCCTCTCTCTCTTCACCCTCTACCTTCTCCCTCTCTCTCTCTCTCTCTCTCCACCCTCTACCTTCTCCCTCTCTCTCTCTCCACCCCCTACCTTCTCCTTCTCTCTCTCTCTCTCTCTCCACCCTCTACCTTCTCCTTCTCTCTCTCTCCACCCTCTACCTTCTCCTTCTCTCTCTCTCTCTCTATCCACCCACTCCTCTCTCTCTCCACCCTCTACCTTCTCCTTCTCTCTCTCACTCCACCCTCTACCTTCTCCTTCTCTCTCTCTCCACCCTCTACCTTCTCCTTCTCTCTCTCTCTCCACCTTCTCCTTCTCTCTCTCTCTCTCTCTCTCCACCCTCTACCTTCTCCTTCTCTCTCTCTCCACCCTCTACCTTCTCCTTCTCTCTCTCTCTCTCGCTCTCTCTCTCCACCCTCTACCTTCTCCCTCTCTCTCTTCACCCTCTACCTTCTCTCTCTCTCTCTCTCTCTCTCCACCCTCTACCTTCTCCTTCTCTCTCTCTCTCCACCCTCTACCTTCTCTCTCTCTCTCTCTCCACCCTCTACCTTCTCCCTCTCTCTCTCCACCCTCTACCTTCTCCCTCTCTCTCTTCACCCTCTACCTTCTCCCTCTCCTCTCTCTCTCTCTCTCTCTCTCCACCCTCTACTTTCTCCTTTTCTCTCTCTCTCTGCCACTATCTACGTTCTACTGTCTATCTCTGTCCGTGACAACCCACTGCGCACGGCTGTGGATTATTCAGGGGTAGACAGATACCCCTTCCATTATATGGTATGTATGCTGGGGTGTGAAACAGAGCACACAAGAACTGATTCGAGACGGATGTGTTGCTGTGTCTCATGTGCAACGGTTTGAGCGGAGTCCAGCTGTGCTATTCTAGCTGAATATCCTGCCTCAGTCACTTGCGGTGATTTGGCTTAAACCTACACATAATGGATATATATTGGAGAAAAAAAACTACATCAATTTTCCAGCGTGAAAGTTTGATGGATGCGCCTCTGTTCTGGGGACCACCTGTCACATGACAAGACGTCTGGTCAAGAAAAAAACAGACTTCGTTCTTTTCCATGTTTGTTAAAGAGAAAACCTTTAGTTTAGCTTACACGTTTTGTTCCTGATAACCCGCTTTTAGAATACCGAAAAACTAACCTGTCAGGATGATATATAGCACTAACAGGAAGATGTATTTGTAGATGGTAGTAGTTGAAAACTCTAAATTGCTATTTAAATAGATTTTTTTTAATAGAATAATATAACATACATGGATATAGTGACATCGTATTGAAATAGTTAAAACGTCGAGTTGTTTTTCTTGCGTTTTAAAGGTTCCGCCTTCAGCTCAAGAAGACATACATCCAACAATTATTGCAAGTACCGCATTTCTTCTTAGGAACACCGAGTTAGACGCAACGTTAGAGTCCCATTTTACGCCCATGCCTGAATTACCTTCCATGCCTCAATTATTTACTGTAATACCTCTATTTACTGCAATACCTCAATTTACCACCAGGACTCTATTTACTGTAAGACCTCTATTTACTGTAATATCTCTATTTACTGTAATACCTCTATTTACCACCGGGATTCTATTTACTGTAATACCTCTATTTACTGTAATACCTCTATTTACCACCGGGCTTCTATTTACTGTAATACCTCTATTTACCACCGGACCTCAATTTACCACCGGGCCTCTATTTACTGCAAGACCTCTATTTACCACCGGGACTCTATTTACTGCAAGACCTCAATTTACCATCGAACCTCTATTTACTGTAAGACCTCCATTTACTGCAAGACCTCAATTTACCACCGAACCTCTATGTATCACCGGGCTTCTATTTACTGCAATACCTCTATTTACTGTAATACCTCTATTTACCACCGGGCTTCTATTTACTGTAATACCTCTATTTACCACCGGACCTCAATTTACCACCGGGACTCTATTTACTGCAAGACCTCTATTTACCACCGGGACTCTATTTACTGCAAGACCCGAAATTAGTGCAAGACCTCTATTTATCACCGGGCTTCTATTTATTGCAATACCTCTATTTACTGTAATACCTCTATTTACCACCGGACCTCAATTTACCACCGGGCCTCTATTTACTGCAAGACCTCAATTTACCATCGAATTTCTATTTACCACCAAGCCTCTTGGATTATGTTCAGCTGTCTACCGAGTCTGTCCATCGCCAAATCGCTCAAGAAATGTCATTAAAACATGGTCCTCCGGAACCTCACTTTGAAAAACCATGAAGAACAAATGTCATCACCCACCATGAGATATGGGACCTGGTGGGCGAAAATCACATTTTGATTTTTTATTATATTTTTAAAATACAGTATCTTAGGATCACAATAATAAAATTCATAAGCTTCAATTCATATTTGTTACAGAGAAACATAGCATCAAACATTTGGACCCATTTTCAAACTTATAACTGTTTATGTAACGATTGCAGTTTTTAGATATAATGTCAGATTGTAACTGAAAGTAGACATATATGCAGATATATTTTGTAATAATGTTTTATTTCAAAACGAACTAATGACCCGTGAAGATCCGGGGTAGATTAGGTCTTCAGCAACCCATGCTTGCCGTAAAAAGGCGACTATGCTTGTCGTAAGAGGCGACTAACGGAATCGGGTGGCCAGGCTCGCTGCATGTCATCGATCTCAATTGTGTAGATCGATGCTCATGATGGCAATCACTGCATTGTCTGGTCCAGATTCAATTATTTACAGACCATAGCTGGAAGATTGCTGAGTGTGGTGTTAAACAAAAAACAAACAAACGAGAGAAAAACCACACTCCGGTGCAGTGGTGACTTAGCATAACGCAAATGCCACTGTCTAATTTGCATATCACATGACCGGACTTTTCTCTTGTTTGTAAACAAACTCGCCTAATCTGAAATCAGATCAGATTAGCCTGATGCAAGTATTTTGGGGCTGATTACATATTGTTTTGCAATAATTATATAGAAATGCAACTACAGTATATATTTACACATCAAACTAACCGTATCGCTAGTTCTCCGTAGTGCTTCGATGACAGCACGTGGAGCCGTACAACGGATAGATAACTACGCAAATGGAAATAGTTTTTCACGATTTAGGATATTTTCTCAATGAAAGTTACTCATTCTTTGACGTAGGTTTATCTAGATGTGTAGACTTGTCAAAAATGAAACAGATGAAAAACATATGCAATATATTCGAATTCTTTATTCAGTACAGTACAGGCCACATTTATGGCAACAGTCACAATGATAAAATACGTGTTCTCTCTTCTTTACTGTGATACAGATATATAGCGATATTGATAATCAGCGTTGTGTTGGTTGTAGATAAAAGAATATTAAACTTTTGGAGAAAAATAAGATATCTATGTACAGTCCGCACGCCAGCCTCGTGTTCGGTTATTTCCGTCAAGGCTTCTGTGTCTGTTACCTTCACGCTATACCATCCCGCTTGGACCAGATAATCCAGTGATTGTCATCACGAGCATCGATCTGCGCATTTAGGATACAATGACATGCAACCAGGTCAGCGAGCCTGACCATCCGATCCCGTTAGTCGCCTCTTGGACAAGCATTGGCTGCTCACGACCATGCAACTCCAACCCGGATCATAACGGTTGTGTTTTGTTCTATAATGAACACTGTGTGTTGTGTGGACCAATCAGATCATCAGTCTTCAGGTGGACGTGGTGGTCCCGTCTAAGGCGCCGCAATTTTCTGGTGAGTTGCGTCCCTTAGGCGTGTCAGAAACCTATAATGGGATTGAATGAGTGAGTGAGTGAGTTGGGTTTAACGCCACTTTTAACAGTATTCCAGTTATATCGCGGCGTGTCAGCTTAATGTGGGAGGAAAGCCCGAAGTGAAGCAGGTCTCAGACGTTTACCACGTCGGTGAAACCCACGAACACGGGTATGGTGCTGACAAACCTAGAAACATAATTGGGGCGAACCGGGATTCGAACCCACAATCATAGGTTTCTGGCGTGCCCAAGGGACGCAACTCTGCACAGCGAATCGCGGCGCCTTAGACGACTGGGCCACCCGTGCCCCCAATGGGATTGAATCCCAGGTTCGCCCTGATTATGTGTGCAGCACCATACCCGTGCTCGAGGATTTCATCACAGTGGTGAACATCTCAGACTCGCATCAGTTCGGGTTTCCACCTCCCGTATCCAGCTGCCACGCCGTGATATAAACAAAACTCATTAACTCACAGAGTTGGGTGGGGTAGCCTAGCGGTTAAAGCGTTCGCTCTTCGCGACAAAGACCCGTGTTCGACTCCCCACATGGGTACAATGTGTGAAGCCCATTTCTAGTGTCCCCTGTCGTGATATTGCAGGAATATTGCTAAAAGCGGCGTAAAACCATACTCACTCACTCTTTCAGGGTGGGGTGGGGTAGCCAAGCGGTTAAAGCGTTCGCTCTTCACGACGAAGACCCGGGTTCGATTCCCCACATATGTACAATGTGTGAAGCCCATTTCTAGTGTCCCCTGTCGTGATATTGCAGGAATATTGCTAAAAGCGGCGTAAAACCATACTCACTCACCCTTTCAGGGTGGGTTGGGGTAGCCAAGCGGTTAAAGCGTTCGCTCTTCACGACGAAGACCCGGGTTCGATTCCCCACATGGGTACAATGTGTGAAGCCCTTTCCCCCCCGCCGTGATATTGCTTGAATGTTGCTAAAAGCGGCGTAAAACCATACTCACTCACTCAGACTTGACATGAGCGTTAGAACGTAATTAACCAAAAATATCCTCTTCTCTCGCGCTCTTTTGTCACGAATTAAGAGCAAAAACAACAATAACAAAAACACCCCACCCCACTGACCGACACCTACACTTAACCAGGAAGTGAGATAATATAGACGGTTGTAGCATAAAGTTGAAAATAAGAACATAACATGCACAGCTTCAACGTACAGACTGAAAAGAAGAACGTTTTTTTAATTTCATGCTTCAAGTATTTGTATGAAAAAACATTATTTCATGAGATGCCAGGACATATAGAGGACGAACCTGTTTTTTATTGAGTCATGCTTTGCAGGTTCACCAATAAAAAATAATTGTTAAAATGACATAAAAGAATGCGAGCAACATCCATGACACATATATCAGTTTTTAAAATTAATCGAATGTCTTGTTTTAACACGTTGTTTTTATAGATGTCTGTAAACACACTGGGTGGCTTTTGTATACGTCTTGTCGTGTGAACGCATATGTTTTAACATCACTTGCATGATAACAATGTTACTATCTGTTCCGCCTCCGTGGTCTAGTGGTAGAGCGTCCGCCCCGAGAGCGGAAGGTCCGGGGTTCGATCCCCAACCGCGTCATACCAAAAGACGTTAAAAGATGGTACTTGTTGTTAGCCTGTCTGGCGCTCGGCATTAAGGGGCTAAAACAAGGACTGGTCGGCTCGGAGTCAGTATACTGTGTCTGAGTGGGGTATTCATGTTAAACTGTGGCATGGTATCTCAGTGAGCTAGCACTATAAATCGGCATCAGTCCGGACTAGTACAAGCAGCCACACACACACGTGCATAAGTGCAATAATCTTGGACGCGACGTTAAACCCCATTTCACCTCACTGCTATCTACATCGAAACGTCGCATTCATTGTAATAAACAAGATGTACATCCATATAACTTTCTCCCTTCTTCATCCTACCAACTAAATGCCACTTAAAGAAGTAATATTTTTTTAGTTATTCGCTCTCCTCCCAGCCCCTCCCTCTTTCGCCTCTCTTTCTCTCCTCTACTATCTACTGTTACACGTGATTATTATCTTATTAAAAGAAAGAAAATATTAAACATGCATCGATTTGAAAATCAGATAATTTGAGGCACCAGTTCCATAAAGACGAAAACATATGGGTTTCAGTCCTTGACGAATTAACATGGTTTCAGTGGTTTGAAATGCTTGTAATCGCTGCTTTAACATTTTCTCATATTCCTAAAGCTATAACGGAATCTTAATTAGAAAATCTTCCAATTCTACCATTACCTGGCGTTTAGCAATCGTAAATCGTAACCAGTAGTTAGGCAAAGCCAGGTAATCCACGACCTGCCCCATGATGCGTGCGCACCTGTTGGGGTGAAAGCCCAAACGAGTAGTTTTCCGAACGCTATCCCTTAATCTTTCCCTCCCCTTGGCCCGCGCTTTGTTCTTTTCCTGACATTTTGACTGGAAAGTTAATTTTATGAGCGAACCTACCCGTCTCCCGCATACAACTGGCTCCACCCCTTCATTTGGACACGCGGAAACCCCGAGGGGTGTCGCGCGGCTTGCACGTGTTACTGACATCATCTGCACACCTGGTTGAGATGGCCATATCATGCTGTTTTCAAACCGAAATCGAATCGCGCTTTGCAGCTTTCAGCCACTAGGCATTGTAGTCGTTAGGCTAGTCTATAATTTGGCCGTTTTGTGATTCTGTTCGTTTGAAAAACAATTTGTAATTATTCATGGTATCTTCAATAATGTCAGAATGACTTAATAGACTCGCTGCGGAGGATCGTTCCAAGTTAGAGATCAGGCCTTTGAAGTCACCGCCTCCCTGTCATTCCCGACGACGATGAGCAGCACTACAATGTGCGGGTCTTTCACTAGGGTGTCATTACTGTAAATGACTTTTCCAAAATGTTTGTCTCCGTTTCTGGAAATGTGATATTTGTTGTAAAATTCATTAACTGTACGATAGGTTGGCGGGAAAGCAGCTTCCTCAGGGTCGCGAGCCGTACTCATTCAGCGAAAATTAATCAAGACTTAGCTGATTACAGATTCTACCTAGACACGATAAACTCATTTTTTTGTAAAGTAGATTAATTCAGTTCTTTGTAGATGTCGGTTCTTGTCCCATGCACTTATTACGCGCACCTATTAATTTCGATATAACGGTATATTTGTGTACAGATGATCCGCGAGTGGTACGACAGGACGCAATAGAGGCGATTCGATCGGAATGTAATTTACAGATATTGGACTAATTGATAATCGATACGGGATGTATTGTTTAATGGAGTATACGGAATGAAACCTAAAACATGCTTTGACGGATTATATTGCACGATACTCATTAGTTGGAACAGGATTAGAAAGTTAATGTTTAGTACCTGTCCTTTTTTGGAAACTTAGAATCTGTTTGCTTCGTCATCGACAGTGTATTTTCAGGATCCCGTTCCACAAAGCGATCTTAGTGCTAAGTTGGTCGTAACTCCCTTACTTCATCATAGGCCTACGATCAACACTAAGATCCCTTTGTGGAACCGGACCCTGGTCACTGTGATATAGTTCGGTATATCCGAGCATGCGTCGTTGATTGCAAGATTTAAGGATTCTCCCATTGTTCCTAATAGATCATATCTATTCCATACTTATATATTCGTCGGAGCGACGAGCTTTCTTTCGAATGATTTTGTGTTATAATCTGACATTATTAATTATAAATTGTAGTGAGTGGGTGAGTGAGTTTGGTTTAACGCTCTTTGAACAGTATTCCAGTTATATCACGGCATGCCAGCTTGATGTGAGGGAAAACCTGAAGTGATGTAGGTCTTAGATTTTTACCAGTTTGGAGAAACCCACGAGCAGGGGTATGGTGCTGACAAACCTAGAAACATAATCGGGGTGAATTGGAACGATCATAGATTCCTGGCGAGCCCAAGGGATGCAACTCTGCAGTATTGACCAACTCTGAATACAAGGCCACATGTGCCCCTATCATAAATTGTAACAGTGATTATTTATTTGATGACATTCAGGGTGTTATGTTGCCATTAATTTAGGATAAATAACTGAACCTGATAGTTTCATTTTTAGTCCGAAACGACGCCAAACCCGGCCGTCCAATCAAAGAACACGCACGAGCGAGAGAACTTATGTGCAAAGATACTGTTTGGAGGTATGAGATGGTGACGTCACTTCGAAAACGAAGCTATGGCGACGAATGGTTCCAGAGTATTTATCACAATAGAATGCAATAAAACTACCCTGGAAAATCGAGGATGGGTCCCTCCATACGACCTACCTAGCACTCAAATGCGTAGGACCACTCACGAAAACAATGTCATTCATTTATAGACAGACTCATTGATGTTCAATCGTCAAAGGTAACACCAGTTACCACCAAGCTTGCAACCTTATTCTTTTTTCCGAAATATGTTTTTTCGTTTAAAATCAGGTTCAGAAATGTCTTATAATATTAAGATATTTCGATCGTATTTTATTTTACCCATCATAAATAATCATCCATTATTTTAACTGAGTCCATAAAGCATTATGCCCTAAAATAATAGTTTGGTTTTTCTTTTCGGTAAAACCAAAAACAAAAGCGCTGAATATTTTAAATTATTATAATAAAAAACAGTACATTTACCATACTTGCAATTTGCAATAAATGTCTTTCAATTGAAAAACTGATCAGTGTATATATATTTTTTTTCTGTTCAATTAGATAATGACACGTCTTTGTTTTATTGGGAAAAAATATACATACAAATTCCCAGCAAATGTTTCTGAGACACCATTAACCTGTGTGCAGCGACATAACGATCACGTGCAGAGAGTTCGTCACGGGGTCCCAGCTTTGATGTTCGCCGCTATTCTAGGTATTCTCAATCTTGTACGTACTCGCTGTAGACAAAGCAGCGCAAAATGCCGTTTATCACGATTCTCGCATTATAACAGAAAACACTATGTGCTATGACATTTACCTAGGGTTCAATCTTCGGGTCCGTGTACCCTGGTATTGTCGGAATGGGTCTCCCCCACCCTCAAACCGCTCTCCCCCACCCCACGCCCTTCGCCCACACTCGCTGACCTTCGTATAAGGGTGCTTGCGACTCGGTGCGGCTATGGTCAGTTTGTTTGGGTAACTGGTGAGGGTAACTTGTCAAGGTAACTTGTCAAATTTAACTCGTTACATTGGATGAAAGCACGGCAGACTCGGGTATTTGTTGCGAAGGAAGAGGTGTGAGCGAGTGCGAAAGTATTTCAATGAAATGTTCACATCCCGTCTGACTCCCTGGGCTGGTTCCAACTCCAACATGTAAATTTGTAGACGCATTAATTAAATTTGTAAACCAGATTGCCGAAAACTGCCAGTAGAATTTCTGAACGAAATGATACTCAAACATCACTGTTTGAAAACACAGGTGTGTTTTCCTTTAAAATAAATACGACGAAACAGCTATTTTCAAAGTATTATGTAAGTTCAGGAATGGCTGTTTAACGAAAATAGCATCAGCTCTTTTTGTCGATTGTATATATATAAAAATAAATATATATATATATATATATATCATATTTATTTATTTTATTATATTACTTTAAATTTTCAGTGTTAACAAACAAAGACAATAGATATTGTACACTGAACAAAAAAAGCTAGGGTGTATGAAGATTTTTTGTGATATTTTTATGAAATAGTGTGCTCTCTTCACGGCAAAATAACATCACGATCCCTAACTTGTTTTGTAAAGTATATAAAAACACCGCTCAAACAGATCACTGCAAACAGATTTTGGTCTAGTCTGTCTCCCAAACCCTAGAGAATGTATTAAAAAAGGCGTCCAACTCAAGTCTAGATTGCCTCAGCTCTAAATAAGGATTGTTCTGGGCTCCATTTGGCTTTTATTATATATATTTTGTAGATATGAATATTTGAATAAGACAACTTTTTTCTGGAACTAAATGTCAGTCTCACTGAAGACATTTGTATTTGATTCCTCTGATTTTCTATTTGTATACGGAGTTGCAATTGTTTGTTTGAAAATAATTTTTAGTTCTTCCTCAGCCCTTTAAATGATTTTCATTTGGTCTATGGACCTGTTGACCAAGCACATGCTTCAGATTTGTGTTAACATCAGAAGTATCAAATCGATGATTACATAGCTTAAGCAAACAATGAATTTATGTCCATATTTTACACATAACACTTCTCATCACATGACATTTGTATTATGTCCAGAGCAAATGGCAAAATGGTAGTTGAAAGTGGCCGTGCCAACATATATGGAGATGTAGTGCCATGCTGTAAATCGCCATTCAGATCCAGATGAGCTCATTCCAACGAAGGGCGGTCGGGTAGCCTAGTGGTTGAAGCGTTCGCTCGTCACGCCGAAGACCGGGGTTCGATTCCCGACATGGGTACAATGCGTGAAGCTTTCTGGTGTCCCCCGCCGTGACATTGCTGGAATATTGCTAAAAGCGGCGTAAAACCATACTCAATCAATCAATCAATCATTCCAACGCCACTATAAACTACATCAGTGAATAGACAGACTGACACGTACAGATATGTGTCGCTGTGTGCAACACTTCACTGCGGACATGCGCTCAACTTGACACAGACAAGGGCAGTGCAACAAACACCTGTGCATATCGTGTGCGTTACGATATTGTTACCGACAGCATGTCAGTCAAAGGGCTGTTGTCCTGGATTTGCATCTCATCGTATGGGATCATGTGCGATATTTACATATAGGGCTTATAGAAATTGATTTTCAGTTTGTCAAATTGTATTCATTTCATGTATCACATGACATCTGGATGACGTTGGATAATTGATGGGTTTTGAGGGATTTCATGCGATTTGTAATCACCGAACATGTTTTTGAAAAATAAACTATCGAGTTTATCAATATCTTCAGAATGAACTATCACTGCGTTCAAAAGAATGTTTTTTTCTACTGCTTTGTATCACATAGATATTCACAAGCCGAGCGCCTCGAGTTTGTTTGTTGTTTAACGCCGCACTCAACAATATTCCAGCTATATGACGGCGCTCTGTAAATGATCGAGTCTGGACCAGACAATCCAGTGATTGACATCATCAGCATCGATCCACGCAAGAGGGATACGATGACATGCATCAACCAAGTCAGCGAGCCTGACCACCCGATCCCGTTAGTCGCCTCTTACGACAAGCATAGCCGCCTTTTACGACAAGCATAGACGCCTTTTACGACAAGTATGGGTTGCTGAAGACCTATTCCAAATTAAATTTTCAAGTGTTTACTTTCTTTTGCCGGCTGGAGTGTACGACATATTTTCTTTTCTTATTTCTCCCTCCG